TTCTTGTTCAAGCTCATGGTGCAGAATATGATCTGGTGTAAGAAATGTCAGGAAACTTGTCACAGAATAAACAGCAACGCACTCGAGTGGCGCTCCTTGGCCGACGCGAGCAGCAAAGACTCCTGATCAATCCAGCGTAGCATATTTTCACTCTCTCGGGACAGGCGGAGGTCTTCCTCATGACAGCGATCAAGTACATGGAGACTGGAAATTCCCTGCCGGACATTCTCATCACACAGCCACAATGGAACACCCCCCTCGGAGGGAGTGATCCATATATCTTCGAAGAGGTTGGTGTGAGACTTAAGCTCGTTCAGTTTGGTAGGCAGTGGGAGAGGGATAGGAACAGAGCAGTGTGGGGGCTGAATTTCTTCCAGTCGAGAGCAAAAGGAGTTGAACTTGTCGATTAGACGATGCAGCGCGGGCTGACGTTTTGAAAGGGCCTTCCGAGCTGCTTGATGAAGCTTTGTACCTAGATTACATATGGAAACATGTCAGTGTTGTGACGAGTGCGCATGGGGTGCGGCGGGGGTGCGGCGGGGGGTGCGCGCGGGGGGTGCGGCGGGGGGTGCGCGCAGGGTGCATGGAAAGGAACTTACCCAGTGGCTCCCGACGTCCTTGGACAGCACGGTCTAAATTCTCCCATTCTAGGAATGTTCCAATCGCTTGTTTTCGTATCTGTATTTTGAGATCCCTCATCAGCAGCAGTGTTTGAACAAATTCAAAGGGAAGTCCAGCCAGTTCTGGGTAATGAGTCTCCAGGTCAAGGGAAGTGTACAGATGCACAGCTTGTTCACTAAGCTTGCTATGAGTGCATTGTAGATCTTTGATCGCAATGTGCGCTGAATTAGAGCTCTGTCGATCGTCAATGGTCTTCTGGAGTTGCTCCAGAGTGTCATCGATATCTTCGATTTGATTTTGAAGGCTGACTATCTTGCCCAGCTCGCGTTGGACACGAACAGGTGGGCCTGTAACACCGTGTTGAGAGCAAATTTTTTATGATGGGAAATGATATACTGGACTGAAGTGATACCTGGGCAGTCAGCTGAGCCTGCCAGTGAGATCGCAAATCCACAATGGTCACGCCTGCAGTGCTGATCCGTCGTGTTGCTTGATTATATTTCTGTGGAATGTTCTTATTTCGTTGCCGTTCAATCCAACTCCCCAGACTGGTGATGCCTTCACGATTGACAAACGAAACAAATTCATCCAGGGTGGCTATTCGACGCGCAGCCTGCATATGTTTCAGAATCCTCGATTCAAAAAGGATTTAAAGAAGATACCCATTGATTTCGAGTCAGAGGAATTAACCTTCGTATCCTGGACCAAAGTCTTTCTACACCTTCTGAATCAGTAAGACCCATACCCGACTTCATGCGTGGGTTGAAAATCAATTGGCAGACCCATTGATGACCAAATGCATGCATCACATTCAGAGAGAATGATACACGAGATCGCAGATGGGCAGAAAGGATAGGGAACTTCAGAAAATAGTCAGCATTGTTATGGACTCTGTAGCGGGGGTGCGGCAGGGGGTGCAAGAGGGGGTGCAGAAGGGGGTGCGGCGGGGGGTGCGGCGGGGGTCGCCGCGGGGTCGCAGCGGGTTAAGATATGTGATGGTGGCGGAGAAAGCAGTCCATGAATGGAAATGCACGCACCAGATTGTTACTCCGGTCAAGAACACAACCAATATCATAGCATTGTGTAATGGTCGCATTGGATGGCAGCAGTGAAGCCACCTTCTCCAAGAGCGCAATTATGTAGTGCTGCTGCTCTCCTGGTGTGTCTATGTCACACATGAACAGGACTTGCGAATGACGACATGTCAGTGCAAAGATGCCAGTGGAGTCATAGCGCTTTGGGTCCCCCTTTTGTTTGTTCTCATTTGCAGCAGTCCATGACTCTCCACAGGCCTCCACAATATCAGCAGAAATTGGAAACTCTTTTAGGGGCTTCGGAGATTTCCTTGCCAAAAGCACAGTTTCTTTGACCTTGTGAACCTCTTCAGGTGTCAAGAAGTACTCCTGACTGAACAAAGACGGTCCGTTGCCAGCAGCGCGGAGATGGCGATAGTTGAAGCAACCATCAGCACCAAACTGTACATCCCCACCACTGAGCAAAACATGTCAGTCACTGCTGATCAGGGTTTGAACGAAAATCGAACATAGCAAGTGGACGGCCCCATTCCTTCAGGGAGAAGCACGAAGGACACCGACTTTGTAGGATTCTATTTGCAGATCCAGGAATCAGTGAAAACTGGTCATCAGATTCAATGGTGCGGTTGGCAGGGATGAACGAGGCGGGGGTTGCGGCGGGGGGTGCAGCGGGGGGTGCGGCGGGGGGTGCAGCGGGGGGTGCAGCGGGGGGTGCGGCGGGGGGTGCCACGGGATGCCCAGCAGGGGGTGCAGCGGGGGGTGCATCTGACATGGACGCCTGGCAAGGTCCTGTCATCGAGACTGATGGAGATGACTCCGCATGTTCGGGGGAACTTTTGTAGATGGAAGCTATGGAATCCGTGGAAGATAATCTGGTGTTGATTTGACTATATTCCATGGCCAAGGCATCATTGACCATTTTTCGGATATGCCGCTGGATGCTGCTGTACACATGCACAGCCTGGGAGAGGGCTTGTCGTAGAGGATCAGTAGCATGTTCGCCATCAAACTAGGGTGTATATCAGATGTTCATTGCGAAAAGCAGGTGGAAAGAAGCAACTTACGGTCTTGGACATGAGCTCGAATCCTCTGGTGTTATAGAGGGTTGTCAGGGCATTGGTGAATGCTTGAATCGCAATGCAGGAGCGTTCAAATAACGCTTGGTATATTTCCAATGTATTCACTGCAACAGCAATCTGTGGCTTGCTAGGTGAGGTGGCGAGAGCACCATGTTCCAGTAGGACAGTGGCAGGTGAAACACAAGAACATGCTTGCACATCGATATGTTGAAAATCTGGTAATTTGTCAGACAAGATCTGGCAAGAAGAAATTCGAAACATACGTGCAATGTGGAGACATAGAACCCGAATTTTATTTTGGGTACAGGAAGGGTTGTCACAGTTTTGATAGATGGTTGCAGCAAGAGATGTGGGTGGGCATGCAAAAGATGATTTCCGAAATGCCAGGAGAGAGAGGGCAAGGTCAGGAATGAGATGGATCCAGACAGAAGAGGCTTGTGTAGCACGTGGTTTCCTTTGAAGACCATGGGGCCTTGCAAGAATCTCTGGAATGTATGGCGGCAGTCCAGCCCCCACACCCAACCCCGCGGCAGACCCCGCGGCGGGCCCCGCAGCAGACCCCGCGGCAGGCCCCGCGGCAGCCCCTGCACCTGACGCCATGTCTTCCCACACATCTTCGCCCGTCATATTGGTTTCATCCACTTCCATTTGATCTTCAAGCATTGTATTTTGCTCTTTCCCGAGTTCAGAGGCCTGTGCCACCAATTCTGGTGGCTCTGGGTCAAGCAGGGAATTCATCTTTTGAGCAAGACGATTTGCACGAGCGTTACGGCCCATGGGGATTGTCAGCACGTTTCGGAGCTTGTGCCGTCCCTTTACTGGACTGGTGGGTCGAAGGCTTTGCCCTGAAAGTCTTACTGTCTGCTTTCTTGGTGGTGGCTGTTTGGGGGGCATCCTGGGATAAAGAGCCAAGGAGGACCTTCATGAGAAAATACATGAGTGATTTGTCAAAGAAGGCGGCATCACCGTAGCATGAGTGGTGGTTAAACATGGAACTGATCAACCGCACGGGTGACCCCGCAAAATGATGGGAACATTCCCATCATTACCGCAGTGCGGCGGGCATTTTGCGCTCAGCGCTTCACTTTCTTAATTATCGAAGCTAGACACAATTGGGATAGCATCGGAATTTTTTCCGGCAGCCATTTGGTTTTTTTTTGCGCCCAGTCACGTGACCGTTTTGGCCGCCATCCGCTGCATTGTGCGCCATCGTGGAGAGCATGCAAAAACCCGACCAAATGGTGGCAAAATGGCCGGGATGAAGTCACGTGAATATGCGCCCGCCACCCGCCGTGGCATGCGGGAGGTCGGTAATGACCCCGCCCGCACCCCCGCCAGCCCCCGCCAGCGTTTTAAAATTTTTGGTTCCATCTGTCACGTGCTTTTTTCGCCCGCCATCCCGCCCGCTCGGTGCTTCCACGTGATTGATTTTTTTTTCCCGCCCAGCTACCCGCTCTTACAGATGTAGACAAGTCACATGTATATATTTTCGTTCACCCCCCCCTGCTGACCCCCGCATATGCCCCCGCCCCCAAATGGACCAAATCCCCCCCGCGGGCCCCGCAGGGGGGTACCTTTTAGGTACCCTCAGAGCTACGTCTGAGGGTACCCAGGAGGACCCCCGCGGGGGTGCAACCGGGTGATGGCGGTGGTAACTGAGGTGGCTGGGCCCTTCCCCTCACCCCCATTCGAGAACTTCCGCTCCTCACCGCTTGGCGCAGTCACACGCAAACGTTCCTCAAAAGTCCGTCGCATCCACCACCTCTCTTGGCCCTCGGGTTCTTCTGTCAACGACGGGATTCCGGACTCAGAGGCCTCCATCCAATACGACATGGTTGACCGTGCTATTGCCGACATTGTCACTACTGGACCTGGCTCCTTGCTAGTGAAACTCGACTTGGAATCAGCTTTCAGGCACATTCCCGTGCGTCCCGAAGACTGGCACCTCTTGGGATTCACCTGGGCGGATCAATTCTTTCATGATCTCGTCCTTGGTTTCGGATGTCGCTCCGCTCCATACATCTTCAATCTGTTCGCGGAGGCTCTCCACTGGATTCTCCAGCGACATCTCCCTGCCCAGATTCGTCATTACCTTGATGATTTCCTCAAAATTTATGCGCCAGGGACACCGCATCACATTGTCACAGACGCTCTACAGTGGACGCTTGAGCTTGGGGATCAACTTGGGCTCCACTTCCAGCCTTCCAAAACTTGCGGACCCACAACCAAGCTCGAGTTCCTGGGTATCGAACTCGACTCGGTTGCCATGGAGGCTCGACTTCCTGGCGAGAAGATCGAGTACCTCCACAAGCTCTTGAACTCCTGGACGCATCGCACCCACGCTCGGCTCCAGGAGGTACAAGAGTTGACGGGCTTCCTCCAATTCGCGTCTCAAGTCATCCCCACAGCCCGTGCATTCCTGCGCGGCTTGTACAACTTCCAGAATGAGTTTTTGACTCCATTCTCCCGGCGGCGCATTCCTAAATGTGCTCGCCGGGATCTCGCATGGTGGTTGGCATTCTCAGCTGATTGGAATGGCATCCGTTTCTTCGCACCGCACCGGCCTGTCATTCACATCTACACTGACGCCAGCGGCACCAAGGGCCTGGGGGGACACTTTGGTGCTCGCTGGTTTGCAGCCCATTTCCCTCATCGACTTCTCTCCGAACACATCCAAGTCAAGGAGATGTTGGCCGTTGTTCACGCGGTCCTCTGCTGGGGCGAGGATTTCCGTGGTTCTCACGTCGTTTTCCACATTGACAATGAAGCTGTCCATGCCACTCTTAACTCTTTTTCCATTCGGAACGTGCCAACGATGGAACTGTTCCGTCACTTCCTCGCGCTCTCGTGCCGGCTCGACTTTTCCTTCTCTTCCGTTTGGCTCTCTTCCAAAGATAATTCAATTGCTGACGCCGCTTCCCGTTTCTCTTTCACCCGTATGTTTGAAATCGCGCCCTACCTCAACCGACAGCCCGACTCCCGCCGCCTCCAGATTGGTGGTACAGCCAACATGGCGGCTATCCCCAAGCCATCGCATTTTACCTTTGGCACGGTCTCGCACCCGGAACTCGACGCACATACGCAACCGGGCAAAAATCCTTCATTAATCACTGCAAGCTCTATTCCATCTACAATGACGATGGCAACATCCTCCCAGCCTCCCTTCCCGCACTCATGTCATGGGTTTCCATTGGTCTCGCAGGACGAGTGCAGCCCAAGACGATCAAGCAGTACATTTCTCACATCCGCTCCCTTCATGTCGACGCTGACCTACCCTTCTCTTCATGCGAGTCACCAATCCTCCAACGGCTCATCCGCGGAATCAAGCGATTCCACGGTGAACGCGACCGGAAGCCCGTCCAGCCAATCACCCTCCCCATCCTCACTGCCATGCTCGCACAACTCCAACCCGGAATCACTCCCGGACACACCACCCTCCATGCCGCCTTCACCCTTGCATATGCAGGGTTCCTTCGCTCCGGCGAAATCACTGCGGGATCCGGCTCGGGAAACGCCAGTCTCAACCTCAAACGCAGCAACGTCGAATTCCTCCCTAATTTCGACGATTGCACCCACATCCAGCTCACCCTCCCTGCTTCCAAAACAGACCCCTTTCGCAAAGGAGTCACCGTGTCCATCGCAGCAGCTCCCGGTCGATCGACTTGCCCCGCCGCAGCCCTTAAACGCATGTTCACTGAGTTTCCTTGCTCAGACAACGCTCCCCTCTTCGAAGGCCTCGACGGCAAACCTCTGCAATACAAGGCATTTGTATCCGGGCTCCGAGGCGCACTCGATAGGGCAGGAATCAAGTCGGACGACTTCGCTGGACACAGTTTTCGGCGTGGGGCTGCTTCGGAAGCAGCCGCTGCGGGCTTCAGCGACTACGAAATCCAGATGCTAGGCCGATGGAGAAGCGACTGCTACAAACTGTACATCGAAAACTCACTGTCGCGCATCCTCTCCCTCTCCAAAAACCTCCACATGGCCCATCCTCACTCCATCCCTTACACACCTCCGGCATTTCGGGACTACGCACCAATGGCTTGAGTCGGTCCCATTGTGGTCGGCCAGGCATCTCTTTTGGACCCAAATGCAATCCCATTTGCTCCCAAACTCGTTCCCCTCTCTTTTTGTCGTCGAAGCGAAGGAGGCTAAACGATCTTTGGAGATGGGAATGATCGGATTGATCGGTTGAAAATGATCCGCCGCGAGAGTCCTTCCTCGGGCTTGGCACCTCAGTTACCACCGCCATCACCCGGTTGCACCCCCGCGGGGGTCCTCCTGGGTACCCTCAGACGTAGCTCTGAGGGTACCTAAAAGGTACCCCCCTGCGGGGCCCGCGGGGGGGATTTGGTCCATTTGGGGGCGGGGGCATATGCGGGGGTCAGCAGGGGGGGGTGAACGAAAATATATACATGTGACTTGTCTACATCTGTAAGAGCGGGTAGCTGGGCGGGAAAAAAAAATCAATCACGTGGAAGCACCGAGCGGGCGGGATGGCGGGCGAAAAAAGCACGTGACAGATGGAACCAAAAATTTTAAAACGCTGGCGGGGGCTGGCGGGGGTGCGGGCGGGGTCATTACCGACCTCCCGCATGCCACGGTGGGTGGTGGGCGCATATTCACGTGACTTCATCCCGGCCATTTTGCCACCATTTGGTCGGGTTTTTGCATGCTCTCCACGATGGCGCACAATGCAGCGGATGGCGGCCAAAACGGTCACGTGACTGGGCGCAAAAAAAAAACCAAATGGCTGCCGGAAAAAATTCCGATGCTATCCCAATTGTGTCTAGCTTCGATAATTAAGAAAGTGAAGCGCTGAGCGCAAAATGCCCGCCGCACTGCGGTAATGATGGGAATGTTCCCATCATTTTGTGGGGTCACCCGTGCGGTTGATCAGTTCCATGTTTAACCACTCGTGGTATTCGTTGCATTGTAGCCGCCTTTTTGAGGAAAAACAACAGCTTTTACAGAGTGTACTACTCTGCTCCCTGAGAAGCTCTGCACTGTGTAACTCTGCCTCACGCCGGGGATTATGATGTTGATCACAGAAAGAAATTCAAATAACCAGGGTAAAATAATCCTAGTGGTATTTCCACATGATTCAGGGCTCTGTATCATGGAATCCCAAAATTTTAGACCATTCAACTTGTCCTAAATCGCCCTTGACTATGAGTTTGGTGTTGTACACAATCTGTTGTTGTTGTGGGGTGCACGCGGGGGTGCGTGCGGGGGTGCGTGCGGGGGTGCGTGCGGGGGTGCGTGCGGGGGTAAGCGCTGGGCTGCTCCTAGTAATCTGCTGGCCTGGCTTGCTCTAGAAGCGTGAAGAGGACGGTTATGGAAATTTTCTTTGACAAACAGCGTTACACCACTTCGGTCTGGAATGAGAGCTCCCAATGAAACTGTTCACTGTCAGGGACTGGTAGGGGTCAGTGAAAGCTTGCATGATTGAACTCCGTGCACTGAATACTGCTGATTGACATTTGAGAGAATTAAAGGCCCCTCAAGTTCGATGAATGTTGAGGGAGGTGTGGAAGCATGAACAGTATGTTTTTGGGTGGGGTCAGAAGGCACTACTATTCAAGCATTCATTACCTGACCATGTAATGGTGCAACTCAGCTTCTGAAAATCCATCCCTTAAAATTCCATAGCCAGAAGAGGGGGGGGGGCAGATCGATGTCGTGTATGAAAGATGTACAACAGGACGTTGTAAAAAAATATGTCGAAACTAATATACGGATGAATGTATGCAGATAAACCCCACGATCAAGAAAGGACATGCAAAATTGAACGTAACACCTTCATTTTTTCGCGAGCTCCTCCTGGACTGCGCTGCGAATAGCACCTGCCATCATTGCTTGGAAGGACGGGGCAGAGAAAAAGCTAAGCAGAGCGGTGGCGGGATCAGTCACTTGAGCAGCGGCGGCAGTCTCGGTCGATCCAGTCGCTGCCGTGGAAGTCGACGCTGTGGGTGCAGCAGCAGTGGCCGCGGGGGTATCGGCGGAGGTGTCGACGGGGGGTGCCGCGGGGGGTGCCGCGGGGGGTGCTGAAGAGGGTGCCGCCGTTCCTACGTTGGCTGGCGTCAACTGTGACACCAACGTCGGAGCTTGAGCTGAAACAACAGCCCCTTGCTTCTTGGTGGCAGCGCGAGGCGCCCGCGCAGCAGGGGGATTGTCCAGCGTTTGCTGTGAGCTGCTGGCAACTGCATTGACTTGGCGGGGGCGAGGGCGGGGGCGAGGGCGTTTCTGTGGGGGTGTCTTTGCCACTTCCTCCTCACTCTCAGGGGAAGAGAGCTCGGGGGACGGCGCGTTCATCTCTTGATAGCGACGCTTGTTCTGTCGCGGCAGCTTGCGCGTCAGAACTACTGGAAATGATTTAGATCTGCGCTTCTCTTTGGGGAGAATGAAGCCGAGGGGAAGATTGTCATGTCCATATAGGGTAGCGAGGTACTGACCGGCAGGACCTTCCTTTTGAGCATCCGATGTCTCCGAGAGAGCAGACGCAGTTGGGACGTATTCCGAGGCCGGTGTCGACTCCTGACGCTGCTTGCCTCCACCAACTTGGTGCGACGGTTGAGGTGGGGCAGCAGTGCTGGCCTTGGCACGCTTCGGATTGCGACGGGGAGCGGGAATGTCCACGGAATCAGCCTTGCGCTTCTTCCCACTGGCCTTGTTGACAGCAGGCGGGGGTAAGGCAGGCTGCGGCATGGGAGACGACGCTGCGTCAGTGACGGGAGGTGCGGCGGGGGGCGCGGCGGGGGGCGCGGCGGGGGGTGCAGCAAGGGGTGCAGCGAGGGGTGCGGCGGGGGTTGCGGCGGGGGGTGCGGCGGGGAGGTGACCACGGCGCTTGCGCGTTGGTGAGCTCAATACGACAGGAGCAGCCCCAGGTGCATGCAAAGCCGGTTGGGAGACCACAGGAAGAGCGTAGTCCCCAGCTTCGTTCTTCACCACGATGCTGAAGTCCAAGTATCGTCGCGTTGGGTCTGGGTCCAAGAGGTTCAGCCTGAAGTAGCACGGGTCCCCCTGTCCAGTCACCCCGAGGACGAACTCGGAACCACTGAAAGCAATGGTTGTTCCAACGCGCTGGGGGAACGCAGCGAGCACGGGCATTCCTGGAATGAAGGTCAATTCGTGCCAAAAGGTGTTTATCAGGAAGCGCTCACGGGGATCGCGGCAGTCGTTGCCAAAAAAGGAAATACCCGCTGGCTCGCGCCCCTCAAAGACCTCGTTCAGGGAGAACTTGATGGCGGCCGCCAGTGAGCTCTGTTGCGATGCCGGCAACGAGCGAATGCCCTTGTCTGCGTGTCCGAGCTTCGTCGGAAGGGGAAGAAGATGGGGCCATCCGAGGACCATGTACCCTGCCTTGAAAAGCGCCGGACCGGCGGTCTTCCATGGGAACGTCCTTTGGCTCATGCTTGTCAACGTACCAAGCGGTTCGCTCCCGACTTGAGCCATCGACAACGCGCTCAGGTCGTCAAGGAGGTTGTCCCACAAGCGGTTCACCTTCATCGTCCGTTTTGAGCGCAAGGTGGAAGGACCGTCCAAAGCATCCAAGATGGTCTGGATGCCCTCCTCAACCTCCCGCTGCGACATCGGAGCCGTCTCCAGCGGCTGAAGGGGGTGACGTGGGGGAGCCCGTGCCCGCAACTGAGCCAGGGAGTCAGCAGGAGACGAGGGAACAGTGGTGCGCGCAGAGGCACGGGTGGGGGTGTCGGCGGGGGCGCGGGCGGGGGTGCGAGCGGGGGCGCGGACGGGGGTGCGAACGGGGGTGATGGTGGGAGCACGTGCAGGGCTTGAGGTGGGGTCGTCCGCCCCGGTGGCATCTGGACCGTCTTCGCCTTCGAGCAGAGCGTCGCGTGCCTGATCTGCGTCGTGGATCATCAAGCCACTGGAATGAAGATAAGTCAATAAACTGTTCCATCCACATGGGTAAAGGAGAGACTCACGCAACGTGATGCTGAGCTCGACTGAGCAGTTCTTCGTCGCTCAGCTCCCCATGGTACAGAGTGGACATGAACTGAGATAATCCCTCACTTGCAACAAGGGACGCAAGGCGGCTGTCATGCGATGCAACGCCTCCGAGTGCAATCATGAGCACTTGGAAGTTGCCACTGGTCTCGCCACGCTTGATCTGAATTGGATTAGAAGGGATGGTAAGCTGGATGGTAAGGTGCTCACCAGGGCCTTCATTTTGCCCAGCCATCCATCAAAAAGTTTTTGCCGGTTTCCCAGCGTCTGCAACTCCGTCATTTGCTCCCACTCGACGAAGGTGTCGAGAATCTCCTCCAGCCCAGTGGAGCCGTAACGCTTCTGGAACTTCAACCACGAGTTGGAGAGCTCTGGAGATCGTTGGCGCGGTGGGAGCTGGCCTGGGAACTGGCTGAGATCACCACCAGTGCCCCGTTGCCACTCGCGGCCTCGATAGCGGGGATTGTTCGCGTAGCGCTGGTACACGTTCCAATAGTAGTTCCGAGCGCGGAACAGCCTCGGGTATTGCTCGTGCAACTTGGCTTCGACTTTGGCCTCGCTCCAGCCGGTCAGCTTCGCGGTTTTCACGATGAGGAGGCCGATCGCCTCTGCGGTTTCCGATACGAGTTCGCGTTGCTCTTTCGAACGTTCCTTCAAGATCCGCATCTGTTCCACATCCTCAGCCGGGATGTCAGGGGAATTTTCGCGGGAACCAGCGGTGACGGCGTCTGCGGCGGGGGTTGCGGCGGGGGGTGAGACAGGGAGTGCGACATTGTCGTCAGCATCCATCAGAGAAGTGGCGGTATTGGTGACGGGGTCGGCGGCGGGGGGTGCGGCGGGGGGTGCGGCGGGGGGTGCGGCGGGGGGTGCGGCAGTGTCACCAGCATTCATCGTAGAAGTGGCGGTATGTGGACTGAGAAGCGAGGGCCCGGTTTCGTTGCCATAACCACTGTATTGTCATCAGTAAACACGTCAGGGAGGATCGAGAAGTTTTCGCCACTCACTCGTCATCGTCCCAATGTTCGGCGAATGTCTGCTGATGGCCCGAGCCCAGAGCTGGCTGGATATAAAGGGAGGGCCGTGGATAGTCAGTTGATAGTTGGGGGCCTGGCGTCACGTCTTCCTCTCCCTCCGCGTCGATGTCAGAAATCCGCGAGTCGTCCAGACGTGAGAGGCTGGCAGGATCAATTCCATACTGGCCGGTGGTGGCCATGTCCGGCGGGACCTCCGGAGAGGAAAGGGAGATGTCGGGGTCGGTCTCGAAACGTGCGCTGGCGAGCAGCCGAGCCTGACGCGCCGCATTAGCCGAGTCGGCCAGATTCTGGCCTCTGCGCGATGCGGTGATCTGCCGCCGGAGCTCGTAACCACCCCCTTCCTGCATCGGGAACTGCTCGTCGTCTTCATCACTCTGGAGATGAAAGAGCCCCCGAAGAGCTTCCAAGGGGGGATGCTCAGGGGAAAGGGTAGTAATGGGCGGAACGGAGAGCGGAGGCGATCTTGGCTGCACCTGCGGGGTCGCCAGGCTTGCATGAAGTCGTTGGGAGAAATTGGGGAGGGGAGAGATCGAACGAGGGACGGAAAAGGGGACATCTACAGCAGACCGTGCATCCACGGCTGAAACAAGGCCGGGCGGGGGGAGATTCGACAGCAATAGCCCCGTCGCGCTGTCCGCATCAGCCAATTCGTTCTGGGGAGGCGGCAGGGGAAAGGAGAAGTTGTTGGAGAATGGGTCGAGCGTGTCGGTCGACATTGCGGACGCGTTGTTATGCTCACTGGGCACCTTGGGCCTCGACGTGCCTGCACTTCCTCCCCGACCCTGCGATGCCATTCTTGTCGAGTTTGGACGCGTCAGCAAGTCGGGGGTAGAGGCAGAGGGTGTGAAACGCGAGCTTGGTCGGTTGAGCAGTGAATGGACGCGTTGACCTTTGATGAAAAGAGGTGATCTGTGAGCTGGTTTTTTGAGAAAAGAGTACTAGAAGGTGAATGGATGGTGAGCAGATGCGAAATGAGCTCCAGAAACTCACCTACACAAAGGGCACCCCTGCAGACGAGGGAGAAGGAAAAAGCGCGGGGGAGGGCTATGCACGTCACATCAGTCGCGACATGTCACAACCCGTGGCAATAGCGGACCCCCGCGGCAGCCCCTGCAGTGACCCCGCCATATTGGGCGGCCCCCGCCGCACCAGGTTTTCGCCCCCGCGAACAAGCAGGCGGATCCTTCCGAATCTCAGACGTAATTTTCACACACCTGACATCCCGGAACACGTCACCTGGCAGCCAATCGGATTGGGAATAAACGTCGTACATTTATCTATGAAGGAGCTATGAGGCAGTGGAGGGCCCTCAGGCCTCGGAAATGAATGGGATATGCTTGAATTACCCCCCTTTTCTTTTGTGAGCATGACTTCCACGCTTTCCGGTCAGAAAAAATACGGCACTTGAAAGTTGGTTAAGGACACTTGAGTCTCACACTGACTGAACACTCACCGTCATCTTGAAAATGGGTCGCCGTGCAAACTACCTCACACTTGCCGATCGGAAAGCTTCAAAGGCTGTCAGAGATGCTAAATATGTGTCCAGCATGCGGTGAGGCCTTATCGTCACTGCCGATCCTTCTCTAATGCAGCAGATTCACAGTGGTCAAGCCCAGCGCAGATTGACCAGATTGGCCAGAAAGGACAAGGAACTAGAGGAGATGAGGACTCTACCTGACACTGTTACACCCCCCCAGCAGTTGATCGACTATGGGACACGCGCAATACCCACAGAAAATGAATTTTTCCAACGTGCATTTTCAGATCCTGGAACATTGGATCTGTCGGATTGTAATCGGTGGCTTGGCATACCTCCTTTCATTTCCATGCAGGACGACACTCCTACTCACTCACCCGACTACCGTGCCTACACTTCAAATCTGAAGAATGTCATGCATGGAGTTCGAGCTGGCCTCCAGCAGTCCATGGACGCAAAGAGCCGCACGCTCTTTGAGAAGGGACAAATGAATTGTCTGGCAGACGATGCGGGCGAAGCTATTGCACGATGGGAGAAGGCATACAAGCTGAGAGAGCAGGGACTTTACCGTGAGGATGAGTTCTCACGGGAGTATGAGATGTTGGAACATTTTCTGCAGTGGGAGGCGAGAGGTTACTTGACACTATATAACATGGCATTCTTGTCTGAATGAATTCGATATACCATTTTACTACCCTGACAGCACCCCCAGCGTGACACCCCGCGGCACCCCCACGGCACCCCCCGCGGCACCCCCCGCGGCACCCCTCGCGGCACCCCCCGCGGCACCCCCGCACCCCCCCTGCGCTTGTCAGCAGAGAGTCAGGACGATTTGCATGGAAGTGTCAGCATGAAGTTGGTGAGAGTGTGTCGTAGAAAAGGAATTTCCGGTTCAGTGATGTTGGATCCCAGCATTCCACGGAGAACAGCTGCAATCATGACAAGGACCCAAACACCGCAATCGTAACTGTTGCACTGGACTGCGATAGAAATCATGGGCTCTGCAGTCCAGGCCTCCCCGTCCATGCTCAAAGGGAGCGAATGTCCGTTTCGATGTGCCAGGAGTGTCATCCGGGTCACCAGTAACATAATATTCTGAAATTTTTTTAGCTGCTATGATGATAAGAAAAATGAAACATACCTTTGTATCAGTGTACCACGGACGCTTCTGAGCCAAGCTGTCAAAGAGGAGGAGCTTTTGTTCGTGTACAAGGACGATGACAAGAGCCCAGTGCTCCTGGGCTTGTCGGTGGACTGGAACAATCCAGACCGACTTTTTCCAATACTCTGTAGGAGCCAGACTTTTCCAGATAGCTTTATCGGGAGCATTGAAACGAACGCGATGCAGATCATATGTCGATAAAAGAGCACATCTCTGCGCAGACTGTGCATGCAAGGAGAAGGGTTGCATGCACCATGAGAGAACTGCTGCTGACACACCATTGAGGATGTGTCCATTCAGTCGGGCTGTGGAATCCGTGAGCAGCGCTAAATCGTTGGGATCTACGACAATGGTGGGAAGGTTTCCAGGGAGAGCAACAACACGGGGTTGAAGATCACGTATCACAGGAAATCTTGTGACGTGTGCTGTGAGATCTCTCACGAAATGAGTATCACAAGTGGATCGAGACTATTCTCGATCAGTATTATTCGTTGTCATGGATTCATAGCACATACTTTTGCAAGGGAAGCCCAGGAAACTTGGACATGGCAATGATCACGCTTGAGTGTTGCTGTGTCTTCATCGTCATCCGTTTCCATCATATCTGTTACAGCAAGGGCCTCTTCGGAGTCTGAAGGACAGGCCTCAACTTCATCCGGGGATATATTCTCAGAATCAGCCCATGGGGACTCATTCATATCATCTTCAACAGGTTCAACCATTGACAAATTGACGGCAGGGTCAGAGGGTAAAGCGGCGGCAGGGGGTGAAACGGGGGGTGCCGCGGGGGATGCCGCGGGGGGTGCCGCAGGGGGTGCCGCAGGGGCAGAATTTTGCGAGTGGGTGGTCAACCTTGGATCAATGGCCAGAAGCAGAGGTTGTGGAATTTGCAACTGACGACGCCATCTAGAAGAAACACGCGAGAGGAATTTGGCTTCTTGTTCAAGCTCATGGTGCAGAATATGATCTGGTGTAAGAAATGTCAGGAAACTTGTCACAGAATAAACAGCAACGCACTCGAGTGGCGCTCCTTGGCCGACGCGAGCAGCAAAGACTCCTGATCAATCCAGCGTAGCATATTTTCACTCTCTCGGGACAGGCGGAGGTCTTCCTCATGACAGCGATCAAGTACATGGAGACTGGAAATTCCCTGCCGGACATTCTCATCACACAGCCACAATGGAACACCCCCCTCGGAGGGAGTGATCCATATATCTTCGAAGAGGTTGGTGTGAGACTTAAGCTCGTTCAGTTTGGTAGGCAGTGGGAGAGGGATAGGAACAGAGCAGTGTGGGGGCTGAATTTCTTCCAGTCGAGAGCAAAAGGAGTTGAACTTGTCGATTAGACGATGCAGCGCGGGCTGACGTTTTGAAAGGGCCTTCCGAGCTGCTTGATGAAGCTTTGTACCTAGATTACATATGGAAACATGTCAGTGTTGTGACGAGTGCGCATGGGGTGCGGCGGGGGGTGCGGCGGGGGGTGCGCGCGGGGGGTGCGGCGGGGGGTGCGCGCAGGGTGCATGGAAAGGAACTTACCCAGTGGCTCCCGACGTCCTTGGACAGCACGGTCTAAATTCTCCCATTCTAGGAATGTTCCAATCGCTTGTTTTCGTATCTGTATTTTGAGATCCCTCATCAGCAGCAGTGTTTGAACAAATTCAAAGGGAAGTCCAGCCAGTTCTGGGTAATGAGTCTCCAGGTCAAGGGAAGTGTACAGATGCACAGCTTGTTCACTAAGCTTGCTATGAGTGCATTGTAGATCTTTGATCGCAATGTGCGCTGAATTAGAGCTCTGTCGATCGTCAATGGTCTTCTGGAGTTGCTCCAGAGTGTCATCGATATCTTCGATTTGATTTTGAAGGCTGACTATCTTGCCCAGCTCGCGTTGGACACGAACAGGTGGGCCTGTAACACCGTGTTGAGAGCAAATTTTTTATGATGGGAAATGATATACTGGACTGAAGTGATACCTGGGCAGTCAGCTGAGCCTGCCAGTGAGATCGCAAATCCACAATGGTCACGCCTGCAGTGCTGATCCGTCGTGTTGCTTGATTATATTTCTGTGGAATGTTCTTATTTCGTTGCCGTTCAATCCAACTCCCCAGACTGGTGATGCCTTCACGATTGACAAACGAAACAAATTCATCCAGGGTGGCTATTCGACGCGCAGCCTGCATATGTTTCAGAATCCTCGATTCAAAAAGGATTTAAAGAAGATACCCATTGATTTCGAGTCAGAGGAATTAACCTTCGTATCCTGGACCAAAGTCTTTCTACACCTTCTGAATCAGTAAGACCCATACCCGACTTCATGCGTGGGTTGAAAATCAATTGGCAGACCCATTGATGACCAAATGCATGCATCACATTCAGAGAGAATGATACACGAGATCGCAGATGGGCAGAAAGGATAGGGAACTTCAGAAAATAGTCAGCATTGTTATGGACTCTGTAGCGGGGGTGCGGCAGGGGGTGCAAGAGGGGGTGCAGAAGGGGGTGCGGCGGGGGGTGCGGCGGGGGTCGCCGCGGGGTCGCAGCGGGTTAAGATATGTGATGGTGGCGGAGAAAGCAGTCCATGAATGGAAATGCACGCACCAGATTGTTACTCCGGTCAAGAACACAACCAATATCATAGCATTGTGTAATGGTCGCATTGGATGGCAGCAGTGAAGCCACCTTCTCCAAGAGCGCAATTATGTAGTGCTGCTGCTCTCCTGGTGTGTCTATGTCACACATGAACAGGACTTGTGAATGACGACATGTCAGTGCAAAGATGCCAGTGGAGTCATAGCGCTTTGGGTCCCCCTTTTGTTTGTTCTCATTTGCAGCAGTCCATGACTCTCCACAGGCCTCCACAATATCAGCAGAAATTGGAAACTCTTTTAGGGGCTTCGGAGATTTCCTTGCCAAAAGCACAGTTTCTTTGACCTTGTGAACCTCTTCAGGTGTCAAGAAGTACTCCTGACTGAACAAAGACGGTCCGTTGCCAGCAGCGCGGAGATGGCGATAGTTGAAGCAACCATCAGCACCAAACTGTACATCCCCACCACTGAGCAGAACATGTCAGTCACTGCTGATCAGGGTTTGAACGAAAATCGAACATAGCAAGTGGACGGCCCCATTCCTTCAGGGAGAAGCACGAAGGACACCGACTTTGTAGGACTCTATTTGCAGATCCAGGAATCAGTGAAAACTGGTCATCAGATTCAATGGTGCGGTTGGCAGGGATGAACGAGGCGGGGGTTGCGGCGGGGGTGCAGCGGGGGGTGCGGCGGGGGGTGCGGCGGGGGGTGCCACGGGATGCCCAGCAGGGGGTGCAGCGGGGGGTGCATCTGACATGGACGCCTGGCAAGGTCCTGTCATCGAGACTGATGGAGATGACTCCGCATGTTCGGGGGAACTTTTGTAGATGGAAGCTATGGAATCCGTGGAAGATAATCTGGTGTTGATTTGACTATATTCCATGGCCAAGGCATCATTGACCATTTTTCGGATATGCCGCTGGATGCTGCTGTACACATGCACAGCCTGGGAGAGGGCTTGTCGTAGAGGATCAGTAGCATGTTCGCCATCAAACTAGGGTGTATATCAGATGTTTATTGCGAAAAGCAGGTGGAAAGAAGCAACTTACGGTCTTGGACATGAGCTCAAATCCTCTGGTGTTATAGAGGGTTGTCAGGGCATTGGTGAATGCTTGAATCGCAATGCAGGAGCGTTCAAATAACGCTTGGTATATTTCCAATGTATTCACTGCAACAGCAATCTGTGGCTTGCTAGGTGAGGTGGCGAGAGCACCATGTTCCAGTAGGACAGTGGCAGGTGAAACACAAGAACATGCTTGCACATCGATATGTTGAAAATCTGGTAATTTGTCAGACAAGATCTGGCAAGAAGAAATTCGAAACATACGTGCAATGTGGAGACATAGAACCCGAATTTTATTTTGGGTACAGGAAGGGTTGTCACAGTTTTGATAGATGGTTGCAGCAAGAGATGTGGGTGGGCATGCAAAAGATGATTTCCGAAATGCCAGGAGAGAGAGGGCAAGGTCAGGAATGAGATGGATCCAGACAGAAGAGGCTTGTGTAGCACGTGGTTTCCTTTGAAGACCATGGGGCCTTGCAAGAATCTCTGGAATGTATGGCGGCAGTCCAGCCCCCACACCCAACCCCGCGGCAGACCCCGCGGCGGGCCCCGCAGCAGACCCCGCGGCGGGCCCCGCGGCAGCCCCTGCATCTGACGCCATGTCTTCCCACACATCTTCGCCCGTCATATTGGTTTCATCCACTTCCATTTGATCTTTAAGCATTGTATTTTGCTCTTTCCCGAGTTCAGAGGCCTGTGCCACCGATTCTGGTGGCTCTGGGTCAAGCAGGGAATTCATCTTTTGAGCAAGACGATTTGCACGAGCGTTACGGCCCATGGGGATTGTCAGCACGTTTCGGAGCTTGTGCCGTCCCTTTACTGGACTGGTGGGTCGAAGGCTTTGCCCTGAAAGTCTTACTGTCTGCTTTCTTGGTGGTGGCTGTTTGGGGGGCATCCTGGGATAAAGAGCCAAGGAGGACCTTCATGAGAAAATACATGAGTGATTTGTCAAAGAAGGCGGCATCACCGTAGCATGAGTGGTGGTTAAACATGGAACTGATCAACCGCACGGGTGACCCCGCAAAATGATGGGAACATTCCCATCATTACCGCAGTGCGGCGGGCATTTTGCGCTCAGCGCTTCACTTTCTTAATTATCGAAGCTAGACACAATTGGGATAGCATCGGAATTTTTTCCGGCAGCCATTTGGTTTTTTTTTGCGCCCAGTCACGTGACCGTTTTGGCCGCCATCCGCTGCATTGTGCGCCATCGTGGAGAGCATGCAAAAACCCGACCAAATGGTGGCAAAATGGCCGGGATGAAGTCACGTGAATATGCGCCCACCACCCGCCGTGGCATGCGGGAGGTCGGTAATGACCCCGCCCGCACCCCCGCCAGCCCCCGCCAGCGTTTTAAAATTTTTGGTTCCATCTGTCACGTGCTTTTTTCGCCCGCCATCCCGCCCGCTCGGTGCTTCCACGTGATTGATTTTTTTTTCCCGCCCAGCTACCCGCTCTTACAGATGTAGACAAGTCACATGTATATATTTTCGTTCACCCCCCCCTGCTGACCCCCGCATATGCCCCCGCCCCCAAATGGACCAAATCCCCCCCGCGGGCCCCGCAGGGGGGTACCTTTTAGGTACCCTCAGAGCTACGTCTGAGGGTACCCAGGAGGACCCCCGCGGGGGTGCAACCGGGTGATGGCGGTGGTAACTGAGGTGCGGGCTTGGATGAGGAAAAGGTGATCAACCTTTTACAAGGGATTTTGGAATACACCAGCGAGTAAGCGCGAATCCGGTCCTATTCCGCGTAATATTCAAACTTAAAACCTGTCAGAAAGGAATTGCCTCGGACAAATGAGCAAGCTTTCGAGTGTATCGTGGATATCGTCACCCTCTTCCCAGGAAGCCGCCGCCTGTTCCTCAGGACACCATTCTTCGCCAATCGGAAGCGCACATTCGGGCCGTACTTTTGTCAGGACGATATTTTGAAGATCTGGAAATGGGGGAATGGAGCCGCTGAAAAGCACTGGACATATTGGTCCAACGTCGCTAGTCTCGCGCTCTCGCATTCACAAACTTCCACGTTGATGGAGACGAGTCGTCTGGATGACCTCGTTGGGGGTAATTCAGAAGGTGCGGGACTGTGCGGGATACAGCAACTGATCGTCGGTCGTGCCGAGTAAGCGCCCAGTTGGCTCATGCGACTCCAAGCCGTGTCTCATCTTCGATCTAGCACTGATTCCAGTCACGGCGTCTTGATAGTCCGATTCCTCTACGGGCTCGTGGTTCTTCCCACGTTTTGGGAGGTCCAGAACGCCGAGCGAGCCGCAGTTGCAGTCCGGCTATGCAAGGAGGTCTTCCTAATACTCCAGGACACGGGGATCGATGCGGAGGAAGTCCGCGACGGTGAGGAACTCTTCGATGACGACCCCCCATTCGATTATGAAGGCGTGGACTGTCTTTGCCACGCGCTGCTCGTCGGCCTTTCTCGCTGGAACCCGCTCATCCTGCACACGCGCCAATCTGAGCCCTGGTTTTCTTTATTCCTGGAGATCATCGGTCTGCTTCTTCGGTGCGCAGCTCCAGTACAGTCTCTTTCCAGAAGCCAACAACGTCCTGCGCAGCCCACTCGCACTCAGCTTCTGTCCCCAATCTGCAGAATTTGCCAAGAGTGTAGATCTCTCCCTTATGGAGTTCCGCGAAGGGACCGTCGTGCAGGCTGTGGAAGTGAACATTGAAGTTCAGCCGGAAGATTTTTATTCGGAACGGACCAACCACAATCGAGGTATACCAGACACCCGAGACATCGAGCCCGCACCGGAATCGTCTCCCCCGCAATCTTCCGATGACAAGGAAGCCTCGATCGATAGTCTGGAGGGAGCTGACTCTGACACTATGCCGCCTCCCATACCTCAGATTGGGTCTTCGGTAGAAATGGAGAACGAAAGCCCACCACACCCCGTCACGGTCGACGACGTCGCGGATCGGACCAGAAACGGAGGGAGGCAGTCGCGTCTCTCTCGTCCTCCACCTAGAGAAGGATGGTTCCGACGGGCAACGAAGACAGTGAAAGCGATTTTGGGGGAATAGACACGGGGTGGCTCGAGATTCACATATCTGGAACTCTAAAGATAAGAATGACAACAGGGTGTAACAAAACGGCCGGATCGTCTTGGAAAGTATGAAGAAATCTCAACAAGAGTGCTTCTTGCCGGACTGAAGATATTGAACGAGTCCCACGAGTGAGTATACTGAATTTTTGTTTTGCAGACACACCTCATAAAGAATACATGTTGAAAGTTCAAAAATAAACGCATGTGAAAGCGAAACGGAACTGTAACAACCGTGAGGTATCCTTTCCTTCTCAATCTTTTCTCTTCTTCCTTGTATCGACCAGAAATTTCCCTCCTCCGTTCGTGTTGTCCTGCCGTTAGAGCTTGAATCGATCTTTCTTGACCATGAATGTTTTCGAATGGACCCCTATATCACGTTTCGTGAAAGTCCCAGCTACTCGTCGAGTGCGTGGGGATGCTCCTCAGTCGACTCGTCAGGCATGATTGATTCTGCACTGTCATTGCAACTGACATGGTGAAAGGGTCAGTCACGCGGCCAATGATTGCGGCCAGAAGCAGTCTCAAATAGGACACACAACAATAGGCATAACCGAAATAGGACGATATAAGAGTATGAAACCACGGTACGTTGTACAAAAGATAAGAGAGCAATACAAGACAGCCATCGTTCGAATACTGGCACTCACAGATCGCCCACCCGAGTCAATGCGACCCGCCGTTTCTTCTTCGGGGGAGCATCACCCTGTGGCGCATCCTCCGTATCCGTCTCCCGGTCTGACACCAGCGACGCCATACTCGTGGATGGAGTCATCGCAGCCACGCTGGGGGACTCCTCCGCCAGTATTGGCAACTCTAGCGGTCGCTTCCTGGTTGAGGGCGTCCCGATACTGGACAGGATCGGCACACTATGCTGCGCAGCGATCTGCTGCAGCTGCAGGGACGACTGCTGCGTGTGATGGGCTGGCAGAATCTCGTCGAAGGTGATCATTGTGCAGTATCCGTCTCGGGAAGAGAGCATCAAGCATTGGCCGTCCGGCGACCTGCGCGAAATCAGATCTTCAAGATAAAACAGCAAACGAACAGCACAAACCACGTCAGATCCGTCAACTCGTCATAGTGCAGCTTCGACAGCAAGCAGACGGGACCAGTCTGCTGGGTATCGTAGATCGCGACCGTGTCCATCGTCACAACAGCATACAACATCCGATATGGAAGCGCAAACACAGCTCCGGGCTTGATACTGCCAGCAGATGGTCCCGGTGTAGATGCCCTCGAGGCAGCAGGTGTCGGTGGTCGAAGATCAGTTGGCGTCGCCTCGGGAGCACTGGATGGAAGAATGTCCACATCCATCTTGCACTCGCTTTGTCGATCGTGGGCCTCCCCAGTCGCAGTTCCTGTGCCAAGCTTCGCCTCTCTCGTCGATCCCACATCCATCCGCAGATCAAAGAGAATAGGGTTGAATCGGACGGCGACGCTGGCCTTTCGGTGCCCGGGTAGCTGAGCAACAGGGGGTCGCGCAAAGTTGGCGCGCGTGTATATATAAACAGTCGAATTCGCACCCGCTTCTGGTGCAGCGTGAGTCTGTTTCCTGCCTCTCTCATCAGCCAGGAAGCCCGGATCCTCGAACGTTCCCGCCGGCGTCAGCAGAAGTCCGCCGTCCGGACTGAACGCCAGGCGTCGGAAGAAGTTGCTGTAGCCTTCGTCTCCGTACATCCGTGCGCCATCTGTCATGCGCCGGGCGTCGTATCGGGTGTCCTTTTCAGCCGCCCAGTCATCGGCGGCCCAGCCGTCGCCTCGGACAGCACTCCGTTCTCGACTAGCTTCGTCGTAACGGCCCCGACCAACACTCGGAGGTGTGCGGATGGCTGGAAGTGCAGGCATTGGTGAGGGACTGCGGCCGTATCGAGAGACCGAGATGCTCGGTGAGCTGGGGGCATTGCTTCCGCTGAACGAGGACCGCCGGCTTGTCGACGGTGGGAACATGCTTGAGCTTGCCTTGTCGGGGAAACCTGGACACATGGGTAATGACGATAACGAAGGGAGCAGCCATGGGCGTACTGTTACTAGCATGCAACGATGCTGGAGTTGGCGGCAAAACCACGCTCTCCCGTTCGCTGTCGATGGACTGACTTCTGGGCAACGGGGCACTCTCCTGCATTGACGGTGTGCGACTGTGGGTCCGGCCTCTCACGGGAGCGACTGGGAAGCGTGTGTTTCGCCCAATCGAATGTGCTTCGAATGTGCCCTACGCGGGAGGTGAGATGGGTGACTCGGGAAAGGAAAAGCTGCCGACCTTGGCTGTCGAGATCTTGTACACATGCATCGACCTGTCCGACGACTGAGTCGCGATATATTCGTTCATAGGGTCCCAAGCAACGCCCTGTACGTAGTGCGAGTGTTCGGCGATTTCGCATACACATTTGCCTGCATCTTGTCAGATACGCTGCCGTAACAGCAAGAGAACCGACCATCTGCCGCAGCAAACACGCGTGCTACATTGTCTGTGCTGCCCGCGAGCAGGTAGTCTCCGGTAGGACTCCATGCCAGATCGTATACTTGCATGGTCGAGCACCGGAACGTCGTGCGCGGCTTCCACCACTCCTTCTCATGCTGGAGGTCTTCTGTGGAGAATTCAGGGTTCGAGAATGCCGTGGATGAGGATGAGGATGCGGAGGACGAGAATGCAGATGCGGGTGGCGACGCAGAGGGCGCCCAGACGATGATCATCCCATCGTCCCCAGCGGATGCGAGCAGGTCACCTGGAAGCGAGAACGCGTTAGCAAGCATAGCAGAGGACACGCGGAGCCACACCACACACCATTGGGGGAAAACCGCACCACGTTCACAGCGGCTGAGTGTCGGCTCAGCGTCGCGAGGTACTCGATCCTCGGCGCGCGCTCCTTCTCCCCTTCGCCATCCCCCATCGCATTTCTCCCATCGCTGGTGGGGGAGGTGGACGCGGCTGTGGCACAGAGGTTCGGGTGCACCATCCATATGCGGACGTGGTTGTCCTCGCCCGCGGTCGCGAGACGGTACGCCTGGCTCGCGTACGCCGTGCGCAGCTCGGCGTCCCTGTCCCGGTCTTTCTCCCTCTCCTGCGTGGGCCCGGCGGCGAGCGTGGGCGTGGCCTGCGACGCGCTTGTGCCGAGGTGGGGACGCGCCTTCTTGAATCCCACAGGCTGGAAGTCGCAGGACGAGATGGGCTTCGAGTCGTGCCACCGGATTTCGAGCGTGCGATAGCGCATGGCGAGAGGGCACGGATAGGGAGTGGGAAGATCCTTTGTTCTGGTGGGAGTCTCTTGGTCGTTGGGCAGCGTGACGAGGGAAAACGAGCTGGGGCTTACGTGAGAGGGATGACTACCGCCATTCTAAATCCCTCTGCAAGGGTTCTTTGTCGTCAACTTCCTATTCAAGTTAGTCGATCTGACGCTGAATTCCTTCAGACAGCTGACCTGCTTAGCTCCTTGGCTAAACTGAAGTTGTAGGGACCGGCTCACTTCCGTCTTGTTTTTTTCGCTGGCGTGCTGCACATCGTATCCAAAATATATAATCCATCGGATATCTTGTTTGAGCTCATCCTGGAACTTCCGCTGGGTTGTCTCCAGGTAAATTGGGGGACCAGTGGGCACTTGCACCCACTGCGGTCGTGTCCACGTCGTTCCCAGGGTTTGACCTGAGGTCACGTGGAATACTTGAGTCACCTGATCTGAGATCACGGGCTTGCACATGCTCTGCCTTGTCTATCACTTCTGAGAAGGGTTCAAACCTGGCCGCTGCTTCGTTCCTTGCGAACAGCTTGAGCCACTGGCTCGGTTGCGCGGACTGATCCCCGAGTTCTCGATGCGATCATTGGTCTCGATCGTTTACAGTATGGTGTGTCGCGCACACTCTCGCGGGGTGAACAATGATGTACCAATTTCGAGGATAATGGTCTTGATTGAGTGGCCTTGCCCGCGCAACCCGTGCGGATTCCAACCATGTTCCAAGCTATCACCAACCGTATTCTCCACCATCAACCAATTCCGCGCGTGGTGTCTCATCAGGTCAGAAGAAATACCGTCGCCTACGAGCCCTCCCACAGCATAATTTCCCACCCGGCATGATTCCTCCGGTCTAATCTCCGTTGTACCAGCAAATTTCATGCACGATCTGCACATTGACGAGGTGAATTTCTCTCCAGATATCTCAGCACCTTCTATGGCACGGCAAACACTATGCATTTACATCCTCAAGACCGGAATTCCATGGTAGAAACACCCGTACTTGACTTCTCCGAGAGAACTCGAACCCTCGATTGAGCCCGCTCCTTCTAGTCACTGGGAAGTGGCTTGTGACTTCTCTGATGCATTCAATCCACAGAACGAGCAATGAAGCTCAAACCGAGAATCACCCCTGCCAGTCTTCTCATGATGCACGAGGCTGCAAAGAGAAATGCAGAGGAATACGGCGAGTAGCCGCGGCGCGCGTAGGCGTCTCTACCAGTGTTTTAGATCCACTCTCAAAGCAGCACGGGTCCACTATATCCCTACTCGCGTGTTGGAACTCTCGACCGAACCCTGGAATCAAACGAAGCTCTGTGGCTTTCAAGTCCTGCATTTTGCACGAGGTCGCACAAGTTATGGGATGGACTCATCTATCCTCTGGGTTTCTCTAGCACTTCAAATGAAAATGTTTGATTTCTTCCGTTACTTACCTGAATCCCCTTCATCTGGTTTGATCGTGATGTGATCCGGATGATAGCTGCCCAGAGGTCGTAGCCAGGTTCTTCGATGACTGAACAAGATTCAAAAATAACCCGGACACAGAAGACCCATCGCGTTCCACAGACGCGCCGGGATTCCGATACCCGGCAGCAGGAGCGGCATCAGTGATACCCTCCCCACCCAAGGCCGCACTGGGATTCCGAAGCGTTCGCGAGCTGAATCTGAGCTACGAAGGCTTGGCTTGGCCCTCTACTGCCCCTTCGGTGTCAACATCGCGCGTCGGTCACCGCATTTGTGGCGCAACGTACGCTCTCCGTCCGAAATGAGATGTGTTGGAGCTTGCGTGACAACCGCACCAGCTTATCAAGTCGCCTCGGACGAGAGTCTCAGAACTCAGATGCTCGGATGCCGGAATCTGAATCAGATTGGGCCGTGATTGGATATGCAGAGAAGCACAGGCTGTGTGTGATAAGCAGAGGAATCATCAATGATCGAGCCCGTCGCGGTAGCTGGTCCTTCATCTCATCGGATGAGTCACGGACCAGAGATACTGCTTCCATTCGAGCTTCCCCCAACGATGAAAGACACGACTCAATAGGACGCCATGTCGGAAACGAAATCAGAACGGAACCTTGTTTTCTTCTACCAAAATAAAGCGGTGGGTACATGTGGCACACCTCATCTACGAACGAAGAGGCCGGGTATGGTAACACAGGAGAACCGCTTCCACGCGACTCACGACGTGGCATGCCGTTACGGATATGGATATGCACAGTCTCTGTCTTCTTGACACTCTCCGGGACCACCTGACGCAGGAAGCACACCGGGTGTACATACAGCATGCTGCGTGTGACGCCCCGGCTCAATCTGTATCTCGCGAAGCGCGTTCTCGGCCGCGGCGGCACTCGCGTTATGAAACGGCCGCCAAACAAGCCCTGACGCGTCCTTGTGCTTCACAGATTGTATTGCTGGATGTGCCGCATGATAACGAAGGACGCGAGAAGCTCTGGGGAACGCATTTCCATATCAGCCCGTGGGTAAGCTGCGAGTGGGGTGGGTGGTACGCACCGACAGCCAGATGCGCGTGGTGCTCCGGGAACGTGAGCGTGTTCCCCGACACATGGTATTCCACCACGTCCGGGGGCTTGAGGTTGTAGTGCGCGATGAGCGTGCTCCCGTCAGCAGTGGTGCACTGCAACAGAACACGTCTCGTCAGTACACACACATAGACGCGCGTAGGACACGCCCGAGACGCACCGTCCACTCTTGCCCCGCGACACTCCGATGCGCCCATTTCAGCTCCCGTCCATCCGAGCACACGAACTTGCGCGAGAGCGATCTGAGTCACGAATCACAGGTCCCATCAGCCCCTGTCTGGCTCGCCCGAGAGGGAGGGGTAGAAAACTGGCCCTGCTCACCTCCCGAAGATCGACGTCTTGCGCAGATACGCGCTCATGGCGACGGAGATCCGCTGATGCCCGCCGGGGAAGAACGACACCGTCCCGTCGAGCCCGCCGTGCAGCGGGAACTCGAGCACGGCTGCGGGGGCGTGCTGGTGCGCCTGCCAGTGCGCGTCGCGCGCGCGCGAGGCGCGGCGCGGCATGGAGTAGATCATCACGCTTGAGGAGGACGAGCCGGGCGTGGGTGCCGAGAGGATGTGGAAGAACGCGCGGTCGTAGATGTCGTCGAAGTCCGTCGACGTCGGCGAGCCGGTGCGGTCCTCGAGCGTATAGGGAAGAGGTACTTGGACCATGGAGTGTGTTGTTTGCGGGGTGTGTGTGTGGGTCGTTGAGGCGAGGGAGTCCGAGGGTTTCTCCTATGGATACGGAGAAGAGAAGGGTCGGAGGAGGAGAGGGCAGCAACGGGGAGGTCAGCTGGTTTAAAACGCGAAGGGGATGTGGTGGCGGAGGGCCGTAAGCTCGTTTGTGACCCATCGGGCTCTCTTTATAGTTTTGCTCCCTTGCGAGCCGTCATCGGAGGCAGGTTAGCCCAGCCCATTGTTGTGATATGGAAGCGGAAGACGTGCTAATCCATCCCGTCAGTGCAAAGCTGTAAGCGAAGAACGAAACGATGATGACATGTGACAGGCCCGGATGCCGATGAGGACCTTACGGCACCTGGCCTGATTCTTATGAGGTCGTCCTGCCAGATGGCCGAAGGAATCCAGATCCAGGCTTGGACGACTCAAGAGATTCGGTGTATTAATAACTTGGGAACACGCCCGCCTGTGCTTCTCGATTCCTGGTCCCGGTCCGGGAGTTGTCGCCAAATCAAACAAATGTTCTCCGAGGCGCAGTCCAGTCCTTATCTCGAACCTGACTCGGTCTGAAAATAAGCACTCGAGATCGAGTCATATTCCAGCAAAACATGCAAAAGCACTGAGCATCAGTTTTCCCGATGCCGATCCATCAACGTTATACATCCACAGGAACTGATGGACACACTGCTGGGCGACCTGGGCAATCTACGCTTTCGGGCAAGACCAGACCAGACATACATACATACATATGAACTTACAGCGGAGAACCCCGCCGCTTATCTCGCGTAGCCAGTCAAGGGGCGGGATCCGTGTACATCTCCCATCCCGTCTGATCGTATTTACTTCCGTGGTTCCTTTTTTCCACCAGAAATTCTGCTCTGTCATGCAGCCCGTGCGGCATGCGCAAAAATAAGAGCAGAGTGCATGCGGAAACGCCGTGTGAGACGCGGACCCTCGAACGGACACGGGCCAAGCGAGAGACACTAGCCGGCCAAAGCGTGTGCCTCCGGTAGGCGGAGTCGACTGGGACCCGGCGGTGGCTCAGGCTCTGGCTGGCAGGCCCCCCCGTGTCACGCGGGGCGGCACTCGATGACGTCGCAGATCTACTTAGCTCCAGGAACGGCGAGTCCGTTGGACCAGAACCACCGGGGACCCAGCTGTCGAACGACTCGGACACATACCCAAGACGTTCACACCGAGCCTCGCGGTCAGCTGATCCCCAGCGCCGATCAACTGACCCGCTCTAGGCTTTTCTGCCCCAGCGACTCAGCAAAAGCCTGGGGGTATTACGAGCACGGGAACTGACGGGGCCCACGTTCTGAGCGTAAGCATCCGGCGCACAGTCATCTGGTGCGTGGGGGCCATTGAGTCCTGCGCCGCGCCCGGCATCGGCGCGTGTGGCTGGCACTGTCAAGCTTTTTTTTTGCAGCGGCACGAGACACATGTGCGCGCACACATGTTTCATGTGAGGTGGCAAACAGCAGTTTTCCAGCTCGGGCGGGAATTCGCGAACGCTTGGCATGTGGCATTTTCCCGGCAAGACAGAGTGAATTTATGCATGCAACCACCGCAGTCCCTCTTCCCACAGTGGAAATAGCCGCCAGTTGGTCTGTAAGCACGAAAAACTGGTAATCCATTCACACCGTCACGCACATGCAGCAAAAAAAAACTTCTTGTCCAGCCCAACTTCTAGAACTCCGTCTCATCTCTGATCGATCTGGGGCGACCGCAAGATCCGGCGAGAACACAGCGCAGAATACGCTTTGTTTCAGCGAACAGAATCACGCAGCAGACGCCGGTGGCGTGCGAGTGGCGTGCGTCTGCGTCTGCGTCTGCATCTGCACCTGCGCCCCCCCACCCCACGTGCCTCGGCGTCACGCGCCCCCGGCCGTCCGAAGTCGCCAAGGCCCAGTGCAGGTTGCGCTTCTGGTTTTATTAAACGCCACCATCCGCGCGCGCACTGGCCCAAGGGCAACCCCGAGATGGACACCACCGGATCGCAGATCGATACCCCCCCCACGCACGGTGCGGTACGATATGCGTCCGGGGGCACGAAGGATCCGAGATGCCAACGGGGTACCAAGGCGCAGCCGGGCCCGACGAACGGTGCACGTTGGAGCGTCATGGATCGGAGGAGCAGACGTATTTCTTCGTCGCGGGACCCGCGAGTTTGGAAGAGCCGTGTGGAGCTCGCGGAAGGCTCTCAGGTGAGACAGGACAGGAATAGAACATGGACCGTCGTGCTTGGCTCCACCGTCTTCGAAGACCGGTTCGCTGTCGGGTCTGCCGGAACGAATACGAGGTCGCGAGGGGTGGTATCTGGTCCTTCCTGACGCACACCTTTCTGCATTCGAGCGGATCCGGAGCCGGGATCTGCATCATCTGAAAACAGAGTGCATGATGTCATGAGCCGTTTTTGTCTTGGTTGAGACATCTGTCCTCAAGATCCGAATGGCAGACTAAGGCAACCAAGGCAGAGAGTGGAGGTCAGAAAGAAGCAGCGGTGATCAACGCTATCGTCATTGCACGTGAGCCCTAAGTTCTGTTCGGATCGTACAACCACTGTCAATTTCTCGGGCGCGCTAGTCATCTCTCTATCTCTGGTTGACTTCGCTGCGCTCCCGAAACCGGGCAGTTTAACTAAACTCGGACGAGGTCTTGCGGTGGATATTCTCAACATATGCCTATAAATAGCGCCGCTGCATCCCTGGTCCTGCACTACTGCCCTCTTCAGCATGGAATTCGAGCAAAGCTTTGACATCATATTCGCCGGTGGAGGCACTACAGCGTGCGTCATTGCGGCGAGGCTGAGCGCTGCAGTGCCGTCACTCAGCATCCTGGTCTGTGACACGTTCTCTGCCGGACGATCTCCAACGAGTCTATCTCACACAGATCGTTGAGGACGGACCGGATACGCTCGACTCGCCGATGCATCTACAGCCAGCGTTGTTTATCGAGAACATGCGCAACCCTGCATCGCCGACGATGCAGTTCCACGGGACGCGCGACGCGTCTGGCAAGCTGAGCAGCGTGAACCACGGCCGGTGCGTCGGCGGAAGCAGTGTCATCAACGGTTCGTTCTCGCATCCTGAGCCGTCAAAATTCAATGTGCCTCCCAGCGATGATCTACAACCGCGCGGCGGCAAGCGACTACGACGACTGGGCGCGAGCTGGGAATCCGGGCTGGGGTGCCGAGGACCTCATCCCGCTCGCGAAGAAGGTCGGGCAGTTGCTATTCGGCACTTCCAAAAACTGACGCGCAGACACACACGAACAGCTGGAAACGTACCAGGGCAAGATTGTCAACGACACGCACGGTTCTTCGGGGCCGATCCAGGTGTCCCCGGCCCGCGCGCTCGGACTTGGGGCGGACTTTCTGGACGCCGCGGCTGCGTACCCTCGCGGCCGATCCTTCACCGACGATCTGAACGGGTTTGGGCCGGTGGATGTTTACGGCGTACGTCACATCTGGCATCCCTGCACTCTGCCATGTTGAATCTTCGCACGCTCATTGCTCGGCTGGGAGATAGCGGTGGCCCAAGTGCGCTATATCTCCAGTCATATCGTCTGTCCGCCAGCCACCAGTACTGATGAATTGTGGTGGGGGTGGGCAGATACATCGACGGCCCGAGCGGACGCCGGTCCGACGCTGCGAACACGTGCCTCTACCCCCGGCTCGGCACGACCGCCTCGAACATCCGCATCATTTCGCGCGCCCGGGTGTCTGCGGTGCTGTTCGACGGCTCCACCGCCGTGGGCGTGGAATACCACTCCCGTGACCCCGGGACGGTGCACCGCGTCGGGGCGAGCAAGATGGTCGTCATCTCGGCTGGGGCGTTCTGTTCGCCTGCCATCCTGGAACGGTAAGCATGCAGATAATTTCAGTGCGTGGAACATCCCGAGTCGCCGACGAATTCTGCAGTTCTGGGGTGGGCCAGCAGGCGAGATTAGAGCTTCTGGGGGTGCCCGTTGTCGCTGAGATCCCCGGTGTCGGCGAGAACTATAACGGTAGTTGCCGTTTCTTCTCTCAGATCACGGCTGATGCTCAATTCCTCCTAGACCATATCGGAGCTGCACCCTCGTATTTCGCCGACGAAAGTCAGCTCACACTGGACGGGGTGCTTGAAAACCTATCAGCGACGGGCGATGCAGAGCGGGGAGTCGTCGCGTCAAAGTGAGCCACACCGCTCTGTTCCTGCAGACATCATCTGACGAGGTCAACCCGAAAGCGGCTTCGACGCTGGGATCAAGCTCCGCCCCAACGACAGTGATCTGGAGGTCCTGGGGCCTGGCTTCCAGCCCCGCTGGGAGTCGTTCTTTATGGACGCCCCCGACAAATCCGTGCTGGTGGCTATCCTCGCCGCAATGTGATTAATATTGGTTGCCCGGGTGTCTCAAGTAAAGCCTCCTCATTTCTCTCTACATTCAGGTCGCTCCAGGCCGTCCTGCAGAAATCCGACCACGAGAGCGGCTCCACGACGGTGTTCTCCCTCACGTACTACCTCGTGAGTTCCCGGCCGATGTCAAACATGTGAAAATCCGACAGAACCTACGATACCCGATACAGTGCTACCCGGGCTCGGCCGGCTCCGTCCACGCCACCTCAACAGACCCCTACGCCGCACTCGACATCGCGACTCACCTGCTGACCAAGTGACCCCCCCTCCCCGTAATGTATCCCAGTTCTTATTGCGCACCGCAGAGAGGAAGACGTCCTGGCGCTCCGCTGGGGCTACAAGTGGACCCGCGAGCTCGTGCGCCGCATGGCCAGTTTCCACAGCGAGGTCCCCGCCAGCCACCCGCACTTCGCAGACACCAGCGCAGCCAAGGCGATACTACTAGACGAGCGGCACGTCGGCGCGCAGGCCCCGGAGATCCAGTCAGTGTGGTTATCCATCCCCCCATCGGGTCGATCCAGGAGGTGCTGATGCAAGCTTGGGCTTGCGGCGGCAGGTACTCGGCCGAGGACGACCGCGCGATCGACGCGTACCACCGCGCGGTCGGGGCGGCGACGTGGCACGGGGTGCGTCTACTACCGCTCCCCTTCGAATGTTTTTTTTTTTTTTTAAAAAACGCATCGCAACCAACAGCTCGGCACGTGCGCGATGAAGCCCAAGGCCGCTGGGGGCGTGGTCGACGCGCGCTTGAACGTGTATGGCACCGCGAGGCTGAAGGTCGCCGACATGAGCATCGCGCCGTCCAACGTCCTCGCGAACACGTACAACACCGCGCTCATCATCGGCGAGAAGGCGGCGCTGATCATCGCGGAGGACCTGGGAGTGCCGCTCGCGTAGGTCGTATCAATGCAACAGGTTTTGATAAGTAGTATCTAATCTAACACGTGGCTACTGCACAAAAAACAACAACATACATAAGGAGGTACTGAGGCAGGTACAATGGTGAATGAATGAATGAATGGGGTACACAAGAAAGGTTACATGGAAAGCGTGTGCGTGAAAGAATGCGTGCATGTGTGATGAGGGTGCCAGAGTGACAATGTGAAGTTACATATAGAGAACAAGAAGAAGGGATCGGTGATGCGGCATAATCGTATGGTCGTCGAAACCTATCGTGTCGTGTCGGACATCAAGTGAATTCACCCAATCAACTTGCGCAGGAACCCGAGCAGCATCCCGGACAGGTTGCTGATCACCCCGGCAAACGCACTGAATCTGGAATGAATGATATGTCGTCTCCCAAGACCGACAGAAACAACGCACATCGCAAACGGCTCGGGCCTCGGAGTCCCGTGAGAGGACCTCGGTGTCCCGGAGTTGGCGACAGCTCGGGTCGTGTTTCCTGCAGCGACCCCTCCAGGAGCAGGCCGCTCAGCTGGATAAGTCGGCACGAAGATCACAGTGGAAGGAGGACTATGACAAAGAGCAGCTAGGTCAGAACAGCCCGATCAAGAACAACGGTCACTCACGCTGCAGCAGCGATCACCGGTCGGGGCTCTGGCGCGACTGCGGTGGTATCCACTTCGGCTTTAATCGGCTGAGAAGGGAGATCATCGATGGCTGGTGCGGGCTTTGGAACAGAATCAGGGAGTTTGGCGGTCGTATCGACGAGGGCGGCAGGAGACTCTTCGGTGGGGATGGCTTCGACAGTGGGTTCCGATGCAGCAGGTACAGCGTCAACTGGTTGCTCTGGCTGCACAGACGCGTCCTCTGAAACAACAGGCGCTGCTTCCGGAGAAACGGCAATCCACGAATCCTCGTTGGAAATCTGGGGTGCGCTCATCTGCTCGACCACCTGCGGCTCCTCCACCTTGGCTATCTCCGCAACAGGCAGAACCTGCTCAATAGTCGCCAAATCTTCTCTGTTCGCAGCCTCCTCCCGTGCTGGCGACTCGGCGATGGGACTCGGGTGCATCCAGTACTGCGCCGCCGCAGCCAGCGGGTGCAGGCGCTTGGGGTTCTTCGGCGACTCGTGGACAGCTGGGATGATCGCTGGAACAGCCTCGGGCTCCGAGGACGGAGCGAGCTCCACTTCGACTGTCGGCTGCACCGTGCTCGGTGCCGAATCCGCAACTGCAACAACTTCGGACTCGGCATCCACGATGGGTTCAGGCTCAGCGACGGCGGTGGGCTCAGGCTCGGCAACGGCGATGGGTTCGGGCTCGGGCTCGGCAAGGACCGGAGCCGGCTCAGCGGCGGGAACAGGTGCAACGGCCTCGACGGTGGGTTCCACGACCTCCGATGCAGGCTCAGGCACGATCGCTTCCAAGGAAAGCGGCTCCGGCTCGGCGGATTCAGGCTCGGCGGTGATTAGACCATCAGTGATGGGCTTGGCGGCGGCGGGCGCGACGAGGGGCGACGACAGAGCCGGGACGGGAGTCGCATCAGCGGCGGGGGTGCTCACTGGCGGCGCGGCACTGGCCAGGGAAGCGCTGGATCGGCGGCCCTCTGAGTTCTTGGAGATGGACGAGGACGACCGACGTAGAGAGAGGATCGTCGACGTGCGGCGCATGACACCTCCCATGCGGTTCTTGAAGCCCGACTTGGACGGTGTCGGGGACGGCGAGGGTGGTGGGGACGGGGCGGCGGCGGCCACCTTGGGCGACTTGCCGATGAGTTTGCTCATGGTCGGTTAAGAGAAGATGAAGAAGTGGATAAGACCGGATAAAGTGGGCAGAAAAAACAGATGTGTGGTGGTGAAGGGAGACAATGAAGATGAGGGAGACGAGGCCAGACACGGCGTGGCTTATAAGCACGCGTAAGCAAAGCTAAGCGACGAATCCACTCCGCACACGCACCGAAGCCTAGCGGTTGCATCGAGGAAGTCTCAGCCATCTCCCACGCAGCGTCATTGTAGGAGCGATACTATCGATTATCTGCTGAAACAACAACGCGTACACCACGAGGCGCCCTTCTGCGTTGATATCGTGTTGCCGACATGAGGATCTACGCAGAGCAGTCGGTTTCGCGGCGACTTGCAAGCTCCACTGATGGTGTTCGAGACCAAGACTGCGGTGCTCGTCCAGCGTACAACGAGGACTGTACGTGGTCGGAGAGGAAACGTGTTGTCACGCCAATGGTCACGTCGATCGCGATCACGTGCTGACGTGTGCAAGAAGGTGTGGACGTGTCTGTACATTGAGAGGAGGATATCATCGAACACTATTACGTGGCTGGGTATATACGCTGTACTTCTCGTCATCTACTTCCTCTGGGCCTGACCCGATCATTCCTCAACTCGAGCGGCCGTTCTCGCCCATGCAGGCGCTCATACACCCCGCATGCGTTGCACAGTCTCATTCCCTCCGAATTCTTCCGCCACGTGCTCGTCCGCCTCGTACCACAATGGGAGCACTGCCGCGCGTCCTCAGGCAGCGCGGCATCTTCCGGCGACCCGCTCTGCTGCTGCTCGGCCTGCCCGAGCTCGACGAGGCGCTGCGGCCGGTGTTTCGAGCGCTGGGACAGATACACACCGCATGCGTTGCACAGAGGAAGAGACGTTGTGGGATCTCGACGCCAGACTGGGGTAGTTGTCGTCCCGCAGTGCGAGCATTGCCGCGCTGGAGGTATCTGTGGGGGCGGAATTTGAGGGGAGAGTTCGGGCATCAGAGGCGGGATATCAGGATGCGAAGATCCTTGCACGCAGAAAGGGGAAGGCTCGAGTGGATATAGGGGTGGTGGCGAATAGTTATGAGGTATCTGAGGAGAGGAAAATGGTGAGGGTGTGAGAAGGGTTTGCCGAGGGTCTATCGCGAGATTATATTCTAGAGGTAGAGATTTAGTCGCTGACAGCTCTCCGCCAATCATTGACGTACCCCAAACTTCTCCATTCTGTTCCTGGTTGCGTTCATCTTGAAACGAGTATTCGAAATTGAACCCGCTCATAATTTGATGATGTTCTCTGGCTGCAGGGAGGCAACATCACGCCGTTATATAGACCTTGTTGAACCGAAACCATCAGCGCGCGTAAGAATCTTACAACTCGTGAGCCAATGAGAATGCAACTCCGAATGACTCAATCGTCGCATTGGGACCGACGAGTGAGGAGCCGGATGGCCGCGTCAGCAATGGCACGCCCAAATTCGGCTGATGACGGAATGTCGGAGCCGAAACATTCCGACGACCGCTTGCACAGCAGAGGATTCGGTCTGCTGCTCATATATTTAAAAATACAAGACAACTCCGAGAGTCGCAAAAGCCCTAAATTGCGCTTCCCTCACTTTCTGCTGCAAAATGTAGTTCATGGGCGAAATCGTTCGATGGCTGCGGCATGGTTTGGATCGCCCAATACTGTGCGTCGCTGCGCATCTTCGCAGTCGGCGCTGTTACAACTTGGCATGGGCCGTGCTAGGCTGTGTGATTCCGTGAGTGAGTGATTAATTCGTGTCCTTGCGCAGCAGTCGATAGGTTCCGCAGTCTTAACACGTATCCTCGAGTTCCAGCTGGATGGAAAGGGATCTATGACATCAGGCAAGTAAACGAGGGTGTTTTTAGCTCTCGCGGATCAGCCAAGGAGGCAAAGATTGGAATGAGTAGCCCAATTGCAGTCATGACAGGATATCACATGCATTTCGATGATCTGACTGATGGACCATGGTCGATTTGGCAGCTACCCCTAGCCTGTGGTCGCACTGATGCTGAGACCGGGCTTGTGTCGAATCCCGAGTATGTCTCTTCAAGTCCAAGGGGCAAAATATATAAGTGATTACATCTCTCGGTAGGATACATGTCTAATAAAAATACAAAATTACGTCTCTGCAGACATAAATACTCGTCATCGGATGACCGACCGATACTCGTCCCTTAAGGCATGTGATTGTAGTATCCTCCTCTAGTCAAGTCGTAATAATCCTGTGCAGCATACGGATATTGCGCACTCTGGTCCTCAGTTGCACCAGCTCCTCCTTGGAAATCGCGTCGTGGGTCTTGGAAGAAAACCTCCTGGGGTATCGGCATCCCGTAATACCCGGGCACGCTATATTGCACATTGCCATTAAAATTCTCCGCCATGTAGCCTGTGGGCATTGTGTATCCAGTGTAGTTCGGATATGGATGGTATGTGTCGGTCTGGTGTGCCGGATCGGGTACAGCCTGAGACGATCCTTGTGCCGCAAGGAGCTGCTGCATGTCACCATCACGTGCAGAGATCTGCGGACGTCCAGATCCGGCCGCCTGCGCTGTCTGTCGTGGGATTGGCGCCAACCCAGCCATGCTGTGGCGTTGTGCGTCGCTGGCAGGATAATCTTCCGGAGTGGTTGGCGGCTGCCAACGGATCGGCCGCGGGTTAGACTCGATTGGGACGTATTCGCAGGTCAGGCTGCTCCTCTCGCATCTCTGGCAAGGTGTGTTTGCGTTCGGGGTGATGCACTGCCCGATGTCCAAATGAGCCTAGTTCTTGCGCGTGCTGGAAGACGAACCCGAATTTTCCGCTTGCGGCAGCGGGTGCATGCCAGCGCAACACGCTGGGCCAGAGAGACGGGAGCGGGCTGAGCTGATGAGGACGCCATGCCAGTGGCCGGGGAGCGTTCGAGAGATGTAAGAACTTCGCGACTGGTTCTTATACTCGAAAGCGGCGCGTATTGGGTGTTGCGAGCGAAGAGTTCGTGAGAGAGGTTCGATCGGAGGACAATATTCCCAAATTGCGTACCCGGTGTACGAGAGCCGCGGTGCATATGCCAGTGAGCAACACTGCATACGCGCACTTCACCGACTCCCCCGCCAAAGAGGAACAAAGGCAAGGTTCTACTCGACAATGAGTTGACACACGCCCTTGAGACGCAGGAAGTAAGGCCTGCGCCGCGTTGTGGGCGCTTGTTTACAAGAATCACGTATCCCCATGACTGTCCGAACATTCCGGGTGATCTGCGCTGAGGGGCTGACATCTCGAGCGAGATCGAGTCGGGTGGTGTCCCGGCTTGTGGTGATTGATCTTTACTCGAGAGGAACCCGCCTCGAAGTTCGAAAAGCACGCCTCCGCCTCTGTGTGGGGTGAGTGACATCGGCCCGAACAGGCAGCACGGGTGTCGGTTGGACAAATAGAGCACTAAGACAGGATCGGCTATCGATCCAATCACTCACATTGACGTGCTCTTTCCCAGTTTGCCTTCTTCAGCAACGGCGAACTGCCGGGTCTAAGCAGGGCTTAACCAGACCTCGAAGCGGAATGGCAAGTAAGATTATGGCACCTGAGCTTGGTCATGTGATCGCGACTTCTACGAGTGTAAACCTTTAGACGTGAGGAATTGAATACCTAATGCACAACGACAAGTCAGAGCTCATCAGACAAAGGGTCAGAAAATTTGAACTTCGATTTGAATTTCTAATCGAGACTCTACGCATGAATGATTTGACAGCCCTGTCCTCAACAGTCTGAGACAGTTATTTGGAAGGTTTCAGAATCAGAAACACAGTGCCACTTCAAATCGAGACTGCGAGCAGGATATTTCAGCGGAGATGAGTTGAGGGGGATCGGCATTGGTTCAAGTTTGGGAATAAATAGTCAGTCTGCCATTGTATCCAAAGTTGCTGAGATGGCTGCGATCAATCAGATTCCCTATACAACTCAAAAACAATCGAGGAACCCACGTAGTTACCTGGACCGACTGGAAATCAATTTCATACCATGTCGTGAACGACTGCTTTGAATGAATGTAACTTGTTCATACTCCAGGGGGAATCGCGATTGGGTCCACCGTGCACGGTGGCTGCGGTTCCCCATCAGACATGCTATCCCCCGGTGAGTTGAGCAGAGCCGATCATCACTCTTTGATGTGTTCCAAGGAACTTATGTCATCAACCCAGGCACACCAGGAATTTTGTGGAGAGATGGATCCTGTTCGTCACCTCATTACGCGCTCTAGTAGCACAGTTTTCTTCTCCCGACCATCATGGCCTCCCCGTCGACACTGGAGCCGCGCCTCCCCGCCGAATTGGAGCGCATCGTCTTCGAGGAGGCGGCGGCGGTCGAGCCACGTAGAGTTGCTGAGCTCATGCTCGTCGCGTCCCGGGTGCGAGAATGGTGCGTGTCCTATGATCTCTAATTTGCAGCGGTTGGTCGCAGAGCCGCTGAAGCTGAAGCTACAGGCTAGAACCTCTGCTTTACCGCATCGTCGCCAGTCGCGACACCTGGATCCGCAAGACGTCTTCACTCGACGCGCGATTCCCATCTACCTTCGTCACCAGTCTCATGAAGGATAAGGCCGAATCGTTTCTGAAGAGCGCTGTCCAGGTCGTACTGCTGGCACAGAAGGATGCGCACTACATGGAAAAGATCATTCCCGTTTGCACGAAGATCCATACCCTCGTCGTCGAGGCGCCAATGAACGAGACATGGGAGCAGCACCTCCCCGCTCTCAACAAGCTCACTGCACTTCGTCGGCTCTGCATACCTGTCCTGCACCTCTTCCCCCGCCCATCCGGCGAGCTGCCGGCCCCCGATGTCTCTATGCCTCTGTTCGCGACTCTGACGCACCTCGAGCTGCTTGACTACCCACGCACTCAGGAGCACGCGCTGATTCTCTTCAACAAGCTAGCGACGCTCTCGAGCCTGACGCACTTGGCGTTCCAGGGCTCTACCATGATCAGCACCCTCGCTCAGCTGCTCAATCCGGCTGTCTTCTTCCCGCAGGCGCCGAAGAAACCGCGCTGGGGCCCGCACATCCAGTGTCTCGTCGTTGCTTCCGAGCCAGATTCTTTCGACGGCGACCGCTCCCTTGGCAAGATGCTCGTTGTAGACCCTCGGGTGGTGGTGATCGCGCGCAGGGGACTGGTGACCACGTGGATGGACGAGAAGAGGGGATTCTGGGCTATTGCAGATTCGTTGCTAAAGGCTAAGAAGGACGGGACTGTTGCTGGTGGGCCTCGTTTGTCCTTATTTCGCTCGTTAGCGCTGATTGGGCGACATACAGAATCAGAGTATGCTGTAGAGGATTACAAGATCAACTGGAAGGAGAACGGGCTGCCCGAATTCAAGTTCAAGTGATTCTCTCGCGTGGAACGACTAAGCGCTGCAAACACGGAGCGCTGTTCTTCCATGGCTGCACGATACCTTTGTAGGCGTAGAATCCAGTCCACAGTAGTATGAGCTCGTCGTTGGACAATCACTTCTTTTTTGTCTCTTCCTTCATGATGTGTGGCGTGCGTTTCGCTGCCTCATTCTGCTTCTGGGCCCCGAGAAAGCAACCCGCGCACCGGATCCTATCACCACAATCCCATCACATTGAGGGAACGGCGCGCATGTAATCGAACTCATCTGCACGGGACAGCTGAGTAGGTCCCATCGGCAGACTGGTACTCAAAAGTTTCGGGGCGCATGGCAACATGTTCGAGTCGCTTTCCAACTAGATTCGTTTTGGGCCTCCAAGGGGTCATATCGCAGATGATCGCAGAACCAGGATTTCCTAGTACGAAAGAATCCTGCCAACGGGCTGCAACAACTGAAGAAAGAATCATGTCAGCGAGGTTGAGAGTAGTGGAGGGAAGGGGTCTTTATTGCAGCGCAAGCAGACCTGATAGATTACAGAGGGAATGATGCGGGTACACACTAAGGATTAATAACATGGGGCACAACACGAACGACCAATCAGAAAGGGAACACTACGTAGCACAGCATGCTGGCTTGGAAGCGGCTGCGTCGACTATGCCCGCACCAGGCGTTGACAGTTTGACACCGGGAGACTGTCCATCAGAGTGAGCAACATGCAGCAAGTATATGAAGAAACAACTGACCCTTTCATCGTCAAACCTCCCGTCTTTCACCTTCTTCAAGATCTGCTGCGCCGCCGTCATGAATGCATCGTCCACACCGTCGCCACTCCTTGCACTGGCCTCGGTGAACATAAGCCCCTCCTCCTGCGCAAACAGCTGTGCCTCCTCCAGCGTGACTTGGCGCTCCCGTGTGCCCTCTGCGACCAGATCCGACTTGTTCCCGACGAGGATCACGCTGACCTCGCGGTCGGCAAACTCGCGCACGTCCTTGAGCCACAGCCGCGTGTGCTCGAACGACTTGCGCGACGTGACGTCGTAGACGAGCAGGCAGCCGGCCGCGCCGCGGTAGTACGACCGCGTGATCGCGCGGAAGGACTCCGTCCCAGCGGTGTCCCACACTTGCAGCTTCACGACGGTCGGCGTGGGCGTGTCCGGTGTAGGCGGTAGAGTGAGCATCTTCGACCCGAATTCGACGCCGAGCTACGGGGGAGAGGTCTGCGTGAGCGATCGCGCGCGTGAGTGGGAGACGGTGCGAGCGTACAGTGGGGTCAGGATTCGTGAGAAACCGCTGGTCGGTGAGCCGGACGAGGAGCGAGGACTTGCCGACGGCGGCGTCGCCGGTGATGATGAATTTGAGTACGTATTGCCACGGTGGAGGAGCAGACATCTCGAGGCTTCTATGGTGCTAGCGGAGTACGTGCGGTGGTGGAGGTGACGCGGGCGGAGTACACGTGGAGAGTGGTCGTGTGCGCTGAGAGTCTAGTCCTCGCGACGTTAGATCCGTCTGGACAGATGTGGCGCTTCAAGAGAAGAAGGACACGAGGGAGGGAGACGAGCTTAGTGGTTGTCAACGACGATGGCGAGGCTTGAATGATCGTCACAGCTACTGTCACGCTGACATCATGCGTGGGCAAGCCGCATGTTGCAAACGAGGTCCAGCATGTGCTGCCAGCATACAACGCACTGTCCTGCTGACGAGCACCAGGAGCTATGGAATTTATTAGAAACATCTCCGAAATCTTGAAATTTGCCGCTTAAAGCTGCAAAGGACGCACGAAATGTCACCATCCGCCAGATGAGTTCTACCATGTCTTCTGATGAGTTTACCTATCGTAAATTGACATGGAAGATGTGCCCTGAGACCATCGCATCGGCTCATCCATTATCGTGTTTGGAGTCGCACGCACCAAATGCCTGAGATTCCGCGATCATCTTCAGAGCAATCCGTTTTAGCCCAAGAATCGACCTCCTACTTCGACTGGTAATGGCTTTGCGAAGTCATGGGCTTTGGCGCTGTATGATGAATTCTCTCTGTGTGTATTCGCTATAGACCCCATCCGGTGCCTCAATTCCCAGTCTTCGAAATGTGACGTTGAAGTTAAAGAGCGCGGGCGATCAATACAAGCGAGCTGAGTGTTGCGGACAACGCATCAATTTGTGTCCCATGATAAGTACATATGACTTTTGTATTGATAACTAGCTTATCTTCGTTTCTGTTCTCTATACGAACATGTATTTCCCTTGTGCTGGACTATCCCTTTCTATATGGAAGAACAGCAGTCCAGAACTGAGAGGCTACCAAAGTTCCACGCGACGAAGAGTCTCGATCAATATTCGCCGATGCCCACAATTAGATGTCCAGGTAAGTACTTTGGAACTATCCGAAATAGTGCAATGCCACATGCAGAAATCTTGTTATCGAAAAAAATCTACTCATCAGTAGTGACAAAACCGATTTCTTCATAGATTGAGACTCTCCAATGAACTTCAAGAGAACCTGCCACATCCAGCTGGCTGCACCGATATTGGACGGCTCGCGCATCGGAACGTATCCTGGAATGGAATGTCACCAGGAATCTGATCCCTTGGATTCTTGCAACCTTAGAGGCGACCGCGGAGAGAGTGGGAAGAAATCCAAACTCGCGCATAAGGGGCTCGAGAAGAAAAATAGTGTAAAGAGCGCCATCCATGTAGTACGCAAGTTCCATATTCATTTCACACTAGGAGAAACTTTCTTCCTTTTCGAAAGTGAATATGTCGATTGCCCACATAGCGCCGGTGTACTCAGCCACTTACGGTAAGTAGGCAATCCTTGATCGTCGTCAGGTCGCCTCAAGGGAGGAGCAGCCTTGCTTTTGCTTCTTCGCGGATGAAAATTCGAAGAAGGAGCTCCTTGTCGGACGTTGAGAAGCATCAAATCCTGCTGTCTTCTAGCGCCGCCGAGAACCGTAACGCAGAGAATTGTTGGATGAGTGGCTGAAACATGGGTGCGCGGGCCGAATGAGATGATTCCGTGACCACGGACAATCATCGTAGCCCTCCACGGGCGTCAAAGCGCGACTCCCCGCTGGCGGACCACTGGTAGGGTTTATTTAGCGGAGTGATAAAGTCACATGCATCCAGGGTTAAATCTAGTTCGATGCGGAGTCTTTCTAGCCTTCCGCGATTCTTAGCTGGCCGTTGGGAAGACTCGCGCATGCGCTTCCGGATTCCCCGATACGGGCGGGCAGGATATCTTTTTCCTCAGCTTAGTCTGCAGGTGTTAGCACTTGTTTTATCGGATTGCTACCGAGTGGTTTTTGTGTTCGGTGCCGGACGCTCTTATGTTTATTTCCGTTCACCGCTATGCGAATCTCCGAGTGCCGATCGGTACCCTGCGGTCAGGATCGAACATGCGGAATTGGCTTTGGTGTGGCGGTACAGGGACAGAAGCACAGCCACAGAGAAGGTCAAACGACGTTCCACCAAACCAAACATTTCACAGATGTGGCGGCGAGTCGCTGCGCTCGATTCCTGCTTGCCATTTACGCAACAATGAAGTGCCGTTGCCGGCACTGTTGTCCTTACGCTGTTTCGACCCTTGAACGTCATGAATCCTGCGGCCCCTTTGATCGCTCGACTGGCGTGTCCAGGGACCACCGATCGCCATGGACCATGTGCCTCATGTCAGCGAGTCTGACTCTACAAGCCAAATTAAAGATACAAGCGCGATCGGACAACACAGCTTAAAGGTCCAATAAAACCCGGCAGGGGGGTGATTCCAGGCCAGCCCAGACCGACTGCCTCCGCACCCCGCAGCGTCAGCCATGGCCTACACGATGTTCCCCTCGCTCGGCATACAGGCGCTGATCACCTGCCTCCATGTCCTCGGTGCGTGACATCTCCGCTTTGTGGGGAAGGGGGCCGACAGGCTGACGTGCGCACACTCCACTTTTCAGGAGTCACGATTGTGTCGTGCTTCATCTCCCGGCGGCTCATTCTCGCCGATGGGTTCTCCGTGCGGGCGGTTCTGCAGCTTCCGTGGGCGCGGCTGTGCACGCTGTTGATCTTCATCGACTCGTACCTCTTTCTCTTCGCGTGTGCGTTGCTTTCCTTTTTCTGTCAGACATGCACTGAGGCATGGGTCCACACCACAGCAACGCTCGTGATATTTGGCTTTGGTCTTCAGCTCAATGCTACGTCGTGTGCGGCCGGGATATACCTCTGCGTGCTCTTCTATGCGACATCTAAAATTCTGATATACCTCTTTTTGAGTGCGTGTGCTCCTCGATCCCGGACGTTCTCCATCTCACGTGTCATTCGAACAGCTGAGAAGGTCTATGTCGTTTGGGACACCGGGCGTTCGCGATTCAGGTCGCCGGTGTTCCTTGTGTGCTTCGTCACTGTCGCTCTTTATCTGGCCATCGTTCTCATCATGTTCTTCGGTACGTGATGTGGCGGGCCTCGGTATCCATTCACACCTGCTCACATCCGGGGATTTCAGGTCGAATCGAAGAGTTCCGCCCTGAAGATGGCGCTTGTATCATTGGTCTCAAGCCTACTGCATCCATCCCACTCCTTTCCTACGACCTGTATGTGTTCTGCCACCCCTGGATCATGTATTGACACTGATTTGACCAGTTACATCAACGTCCTGCTGACTGGACTTTTCATGTGGCCGTTGTTACGTTCCAAGCACTCCAGCGCACGGCTCCGGCGTGTGGCAACGAGAACGCTCATGTAAGCGCGCATCTATTCTTCCTTTCTGTCCTCTGAACGTCTCCCAGCGCCTCTGCCGTCGCACTGACCACCTCAACGGTGAACATGACCGTGCTTACTCTCATGCACGGCCGCCAATTTGGATGGCTCTGTCTCGCCTGCTGCTCGTCCGACGTGATTTTCAACGCCGGCGCCATCTTCTGGGTCACAGACGGCAGCACGGGCACCGCCACGACGTCCGGCGCGCGCAACAACACCGGCTCCGAGAGCTTCACGATGTCGGTCTCGCTGCCCCCCACGCCGGCCCGAAGCAACTTCTCCGCGCCGAACAGCCCCGCGCGCGGCGGCTTCCGGCTGGCGGACAAAAGCATGTTCAAAATCGGACGCCGGTCGGGCGGCGACAACGGCTCGATGCTGTCCCCGACCACGCAGGAGTTCCAGATCCACGTGACGCGGGATACGGCGGTGAGCACGAGTCCGCTGCCGCACGACGCGCACAAGGGGCTACCCGTGGCTGTCGAGTTGTCGCGCTCGAGCACTAAAGACGAGCTAGAGCGGACCACGACCAAAGACTCCGGGGGCCTATGAGCAGCCTGCACTGTATTTTTATCATACTTTTTTTTGGCATTCAGTGCGTATTTAGTGGATTCTGGGGTTATTTGCGGGAGCAGAAGAGAAACATTCGTTTTACTATTACAGTCGTTTTAAGTATTCCACATTTGTTGTACAAATACAATTTTTCGTCGATAATTCATCTTATCATGCTCAGTGACCTCTTCGATTAACTCTCGTCACTTTGCGTAGCCTCAAGTCTGAGCATGTGTGTTCTTAATCTCGATGGAGAAACTTCGAGTTGTACTGGCCCCTCTTGGCTGAGAGTGGTTTGGTTTTCCATTGGTCTGTTCAAGCGCCCTCCCACTATGATCGAGGGAGCATCCTGTGCGTTTTTGATGATGGAACCTGCCATTCAGACTACTTCATTGTATATCCCTCCGTCACAAATTTCTTGGCCTGTGCTCGACTTGAACTCGAACTCGAAGGGAAAAGGTGCATTTTCGATCTCATTTTCAATCTACGCCACAGCAACATATGCATCAGTGGTGAGGGGCCCAGTACGTCTGGATTCTTTAGAAGCATAAAATTCATATTCTTTCATCCCGTGCCTATCACGTGATCGCGTGTCAGATTGTTCGCACATTCCTAATGATGTCTGCTGCTTTCTCAGCCCTGAGAAGGATCTGCTGAGCGGTAATCTAAGCATATTGATGCAGCACTCACACCCCATAGAGAGTCGACATCGGATGTGCGCTGATTTGCAGCGGCAAGACCGAAAACTGAACCAGTGACCAGTCAGGCAAAACTTTACAAAACAGGAGATAAGAACTCACGTCGACGACTCGGATGTTTTTCGTGCCGTAGACCTGCAATTTTGAGTCGCAAGTCAGTTTTCCAGTTGCTTTTCCGCACCTTCAAATCAGGGGAAACCACTCCGCCCTTGTTGCGAGGCATCATGGCGGAACTGCCAACAGTGTGGTATTCCGGACCACCATGGTTCTTGATATAATCTGCAATATTGGTATCGACTGCTCCAAAAGCCGATAGGGAACCCACTGCGGATCTGATCATCCGTCTGAACCGCAACTCCGGGATCCACCTCCCGTGCAAACAAGTCTGCAGCAAACTGAGGCACGGGACTGCCGGTGACTCGCAAGATGCCTACCGCTAAATTCAGCAGTTGCAGCCAACTTTCTGACATATTTGAATGCCTCAACTAGGACCTGAAGATCTGTATCGTGTTCTATGGGTGCTAGGCCAGGAGGGATCCGAGCACAGACCGAAATCATCTTTGAAGTACCCTGGATCGATGGCTGGCTGCACGCTGGCGTTCGAGGAAGCGATGTGGATGCTGCCGGTCGAGAAAGGAAAATGCAAGTTGACGGTGAGCGTCAGATACTTCTTCCCGGGCTGCGGAGCGCCTGATGCACCATCAGTGCTCAAAATAACAAATGGTAGACGCCCACATACTGGCAGAGGTAAAGAACCCAGGGAAAGCAACGAACTCGATCAAGCCCCGCTGCGTTGGCTCTCTCAGTCCGTCGACAATTGAATTCAACTTCTCCTTTTGCGCCGCAGTGTAGTTGCCGGTCTGAATCTTGTCCGCTTGGGCATTGATCATCGCAGTGGCGTTGGAGGACCCGACGATAGTTTGCAAAGGCGCCAGAGCGAACCCGGTGACGCCAACCGTCATGATGCCCGTTCGATTCGATTCGCTGCAATTGTTAGTGCCCGTCGCCCTGAACGATGGAAATTGTTACTATTCGGCCAAGGCTGCGGCTTGGAATGTGGAATTCCTGAGATCATCGAGGGTGACGATCGAGTCGTTTTTCAATTCTGCGCTCATCAGCTTCCTCATTCACCATCGCAACTGAGACACACCGAAGCTGAGCCCCACAAAAACCTGGTCAATGATGCCGTCGCCAACGCCGGCTAGATCCACTCTCGATTCGACACCGAATTTGTTCAAGATCTGGGGATTGCCGATGCCACTGAGCTCCAAAAGCTGAGGAGTCTTGACTGTGCTGCAGAAAGTTGAGTGAATTGTGGATGGATCGCTGTGAACACGCACCCAGCGGACGAAATGACCTCTCCGCCGGACTTCAGCTTTGCACGATATGTCTGACTACCCGAAACAAACTCGACGCCCTTTGCCACGACCAACCCGTTTTTGTTCACCTTCTTTTTGAGCAGGATGCGAGTGGCCTCAGCTCCTGTCAACAGCGCAAGATTTGAGCGGTTTGACGCGGGGACGTAGTATGCGGAAGCAGCGTATGAGCGGGTGATGGTCGTCCCGTCGATCGCAGCTGGGGCCATCCAAGCACCGACGTCGTTCCCAGCGAGCTTGAGACAAGAATCGGGTAAGTGCTTGATAGAAGACAGAAGGATCGAATCGCACCGCGTCCTGGACGTGTGCCAAACCCATTTCTTGACATGCAGAGAGCCACGGCTTCTGGGCGTCCGAGATGAATCGCGAGAAGCTGTTGTGCACCGGTCCGGTGAGCCCATGCGCGCTGGGAATGAAGGTGAGGTTGTTGACTGCTGCGTACCCCGGGTCAGGCGCGGTAAAGCTAGAGATCGTCAGAAAGCACCCGGAAGTTCGTTTGGAAGTAACGCACGTTTCTGCCTTTCTCATGTACGCAAACAACTCTGTTCCGTTCCATCCTGGATTTCCCAGCGCCTCAATAGCTACGAGTAAACGTTGAGGAACCACATGATGCGCCGCCACCAGGCACTCAACTCACCGTCGATCTCGTTCTCGCCCGGCCGTCCCCATGCCATGAAGTTGATCGCTGTCGAGCCACCGAGCACCTTCCCCCGATCAAACGAGAACACGTTCCCGTTCGCATTCGCCTGTGGGACGGTCGTGAACAACCAGTCGTACGACGCGTTGCCGACCGTCGAGCCAAGGAATCCCGGAATGTCGATGAGCGGGTCGCCGAGCCGGTTCTCGCCCGCCTCGAGCACCAACACGCTGAGATTCGCGCCGGTGGGAAGCTCGGTGAGCCGGTTGGCAAGCGTGAGACCTGCGGGCCCCGCGCCGACGATGATATAGTCGTACGCGGTGGTGTTGAGCGAGCTGATAACGCTCGCCTGAGCGTGAAGCACTCGTGCGAGGAGAAGCACGGTGGGGGTGAGGGACTTGGGCATGCCGGAAGAGGACAGGGACAGCTGTGGGCGCTGTTCGAGGCATCTTGGCCGGTGCGTCGGCTATAAGGTGTGCTGTGAGAGATGGTTTGTCAGGAAGGCCGATCTGACCGTGACGTGCGTTCGGATAGCACTTACGAGCGCAATTTGAGGCGCACAACACCGCTAACGTCAACCGCGCCGGCCGACGCCTGGGAGAGCTCAGAGCGGAGGGACATCGTGTGATTGTCTCGGTCTACGAGCCCCGCTTGGGTTTATCACTGATTTCACTAAGGCTGCCACACTCTTAGAGGCAAAACTCACATGTCCGATGGAAACCTGCCTCGTGAAAGTATGTACGTGCAGAGATCGTGCTCTTAGATGCGCCTGAACCCGGTAAGCGCTGGGAGGAATTGGAAAAGTGGTCGGCTCGGATTGTGTGACTGTGTGAAAAGCGAGTTCAGTCGGCCCTTCATTTCTCATCAAGGATAGATAGCGTCAGCGCCTAACGAGCACAAATCCGTCTGGCTCGCTTTCTGCGATGTGATTTGAGCATTGTGAAACCTTTAGAGAAGTGGCGCATACGGCGAGTACCAGAACGACGTTTGTCAGGCACCAGTGGCACGTTTCAATCACAGTTGGACCCGCGCTAGGTGGGATCGCAGGAGGCATCTGCCATCAGCATCAGATTTGTCACCTACCTCACGAATGACAGATGGCAGCTCCATCACGAAATGGGGGGCACGCCGCGAAGCGATTTGAGAGCTCTGGAAAGCGTGAAAAGGGCCTGTAATTCCCGGAAGCATCTGTCACCTCCTCTGAGCACTTCTATGTCCTGCCCGACGCAAAAAGGCAACAGAAGCGGCCTCAAGCTCTGAAGTGCTTCTAAGCGATCGGGATGCTGTCAAGTCTCGTCAAGTTTTGACGCGCTCGGTGAGACATCTCAGGCTGCGTCACTCTTTGAATGTGACTCTGAGCCCGAGCAGACTTTGACGCACTCGGGATGTTAGTCAAACTTGAATACGCCGTCGACGCAGCTTATGCCAAGACCAGATTGTAAGCGTTTTCAATGATCCAGTTACTTTCAGTTTACCATAAGCTGATCACGGTATGCGCCTCACAATTCGGAATCGATACATTAATAATCAGTACAATATACTATTGAGCACAGTACTCGAGACGACAAGAACACAACATCAGCCGGAATTTGAGGTTAGATGATACATCGGGAGAGACAGCAACTTGAAGGCCAGGACTTGAAGCGATTAGACCGGAAGCACAGAGGACACAGTAGAGCAGCAGATCGATAGATCGAGGGAGACAGTGAGACGAGCTTGCAGGGTATAAGTATCAGAGAAGGGATCTGTATCGGTTTCAGTCACACGAAGTCAAAGCTTCAAAATGCTCACCGAATCAGTATTGAGTGAGCGAGGAGATGGTCTTACAGGAAAAGATGAACACGGAAACAATGTAGGACATCGTGGGACGTACCTAGTGAGGGTGGGCCCGTGCGCGCATGACCGCAAGCGCATTGAACTTGCAATGTTGATGCCGCCGGTTGGCATCAGAGTGCCGTGTGGGGAGAGCTCCGCCAAAGACATGTCTGAGAGGTTTGGAGACCGCGCAGTCCAGCGATGAGATGTATGACTTACGATTGTATGAATGCCAGCGTGTCTGATCCCCACTGCGACAACTCTGCTTCATTGGTGGTGTAGCCTTCACTTGTTGGAAGATAGAACGCGCCACGAAGCATTGAAGCGTAGGCATCGTAGTCGAAGCATCCGTCTTCGAGATTATTGTCCCAGGCAGAGCACGACATCATGACCCGAAGCTAAGGAGGATGCATTATAGCAAAAGAAGACAGGCAGAGGGACACACCTGCACACATGCATACACAACCAATCCCGGAGTGACATGCTTGATACCAAGAGTTGCGGCCGAGCAATTTTGTGGTGTCTTGCTAGGAACACGATCTGTGTGCTCGTCACCAAGAAGCAGAGATCGGATCACCTTCAACGCGGTGAGATTTGGGGCAAGAATGAGACACCCACTCACGCGAAGCAGTGCAGTGGACCGGCACAGTCCATCCCAGACATCCTCACGGTCGTACTTGTAGTCCTTGTAGAGATGCAATGGAAGCATAGTCTCGTCGACATCGATCTCGCCGTTGATGAGTTGGTAAACGACTCTAAATCTGGATGAGACGGGAGAGGATGTATGCGTATAAGACGGCAGGACTCACTCTTCGTTTGTAAGCAAGTCCAACCCGATTCTGTATCGACGCTCATCGGGAGGCAGAGCTGCGTACAATGGTGAATCGAACGGGTCCTCAGGTGGCACCCAAGCTCCGGAGGCCCGCAAACTCATCTCAGCGCCTATGAACAGCGGTAGAAGCATACTGTGGTGCACACCACGTGCAGATTTCAGCTTGAGATCCAGCGGCGGGTCGAAGATATGGTTCGGGTCGTCGAAGAGGATCCACAGTTTCGGCTTCAAGTGATGGGTGTCCGCTTCACGCAGGCTCTTGGACTGCGCTCTGGCCTACATTGAGTGTGAGAAACATGGACAGCGAAGTGAGAAAAGATACTTGCGAATGCTAGGACAAGCATCCAGACTCTCGAGTTGCCAAGGTAAATCTCTTTCAGTTTCTTGGCCATTGTATCGGACATGAGCTGGAGAAGTGACTTGAAGATGTGAGTGTATGCGTGTTGCTCTATTCACTGCCTGAGCCTTATGAGAAAGTCAATAATAGAATAGGAAAAACGGGTACTCACTCGGCTGTCTCTGTTCCCAAAGCAGATCCGGCCTGCGTCCAGTCGGGTGCACCACCATGGAAAGCCATTCCCCACTGGTCCTCTGCGCCGACAGAGAGGACCTGACCAATGTCTTTTGTGAAGTCGAAGGTCCGTAGAGAAAGTTTGGCCAGTAGCGCCAGCTGGGTCCTTCCGGACTGCATGGCGCTGCTCAGATACAGGTCAGTGAGGTACGGGAACTAAAAAGAATCGGAGCGTACATTGAGAACCTCTTGGATTTTCCGCGCTTTCCAGAGGGAGCAGAACCAACAACTGTATCAAGCTCTGCAAAGAGGTCGCCAAAGATGAGTGCCTGGGCCATGAGAGGAGGAAGAAAGACGAAGGAATGTGAAGGCTGCACGTCAGCAGTCGTCAGCAGTCTGATGACATATACTAAATTACAAATCAATCAAAGTTGTCGTGTTTCACAGTTAATTAAAAGAATATCAAAGCTCTGCATATCCAGCTCTAGCAGTAATTTGTGTGTCAGTCGCGGTTGGATTTAGCCAATCACCAGGTGTGTCAAGATCTTCCAAATCACTCTCTACTTCATCCTGTGAGTCTGAACCTTCCGACCCGATATCATCATTCTCTGATCCATCATCTCTGCCTTGCATGTCGTCATCAGAACCGGAGTCTGGTAGATCATCCAATGTGTAAGACTCAGGAACGGTTTCCGGAGCGTCATTGTCTGGAGCGTGATTGTAATCTTCAGTTGGCTCGATTGATGGTAGCTGGGATGACCGCTTTAGGCGACCATGACCAAATGGGAGAAAGCGCCATGCCATGTCCCGGTCCACGAAACTAAAATCTTAGCTGGAAGAAAAATGATACTTTTTAAGATGGACTCACATATTCACATAATAGCAAACCCAATCTTTGTTTTCATCTCCTTCGAAAATGTGTGCAATTGATTTTGTGAGGTACCGATCGGTTTTTCCCAGAGAAAATGCGGGGATGAGATGGACAGCGCGAAGGATGACAGCAGGATCAATGAAGCCAAACGCTGATGGGCCGGCGCCATCATTTGGCTCGAGAAATCCAATCTTGGGGAGGCGACGATGCTTCCAGCCGCTGAGATGATCTCCTTCTCGTCCAAACCAGCGAACATGGAGGAAGTCCATGCGTTTAGGGCCACTCAACTTCGATTCTGACCCAGTGTGATAGACGAGAATGTGGTAGATGCCCAAAGCACGACCATACCAGAAAGGGTGGTCATCATCTTCGTCATCTTCCTGGGAGTACACCATGAAATCGGGATGATGTCTGGTACTGATAATGTCCTCATCGACCTGATTATCATATGTTTTGAAGTTCACTCGAAGGCGTTCATGTTCGTACATCTTCTCCCCCTTGAAAAGGACAGATGCAAGTTCATCGTCCCGGAACTGGTGCTCGTCACCGTTATAGTCGTAGCCGTACAAACGAGCGAGCAAATGGACTCTCAGGAGACGGATAAAATTCTGAGCGGCTTAGCTTCTTAGCTTGTCTCCATCATATGTTTCAGTCAGACGCACCGCAGTTGCTGGATCACCACGATGATCTTGTGACCATGCTCTCAGGTCAAGCGATCGTCCTTGACGTGCCATTGTGTACCGATCCATATTCGAATCATCATCATCCTCCGACTCGATTTCTGCCGTGTTCATTGGCGCTGCCACAATTTGGGCCTCGGCCAGTCGGATGTTCTTGATCACGAGTTGCAGTGCTCGGTGCTGATGGTCTTTGCCGGCAAGCTGCCTCTCAAAATCGCGTTTGTTGGTCTTCCCGTACATTCCTTTTGCCTTCTTGTGATGAAGCTCTCCCTATTTCGATGAATGAGTGCACCGGAGAGTGTCGTAATACGCACTGTTTGTGTTGAATAAGAATCACTAGTTCCCATCGTCTTTATCCATTCAGGATAGTCACCCATCGCATGCTATTTAGGTGTATTAAGATTGAATGATTTGCGTTGTTTTTCACTGGGTGATGTGTGAGTGCCGGAAGAATCTGCATTACTTGCGTTGCGTCGCATCCGCTTGCGGACCTCAGCAGCGAGCTCAAAGGTTCGTGTCCTATAAGCTTCACAAGTGATGTCTCGAAAGTAACGGGAAGCCTTGCCAAGCTCTCGGGTGACTTCGTGAAAGAAACTGTTCGAGAGTTCGTGATGGAATCGTGATTTGGCGAGAGCGTGCCACATTTGGAAGATGTATACAAGATCAAGAACTATTTTCTCGTGATTTGGACTGCCAGGAGCAGCATCCGGGTCTGTAAATAGGCCCTCTAGTACAGACAGGATGCACTGGACAAAAACGGATCAGGGAGCCATGCAACCAAACAGGATTCTGATACCTGGAGAATATCTTCGAAGTCGCGTGCAGCGAGCTTTTTCATTTCTGAGACATTATTGTGGAATTTGCGGATGGTTCCACAACCGAAGCTTGAGATTTGACGAAATCTGTGACTATCATGAGCTCCGGCCAGTCTAGAACTGTCATCCCACCTAGCGTCTAATTCAGCCACCTGCGTAGAATCAAGAGCCTCCAAGATTCGCAGTAAATGAGTGAACAGAGCTTTCCAGGTACCGAGCTCCACTTCGTGCATAAGATCAGGCGCAAGAATTTGAAACACGCTAAACGAATGTTCCGCAAGAACGGAAAAAGCGTTCTGCAGAGGTGAATAGTTTGCATTTACAAGGACAAATCAATGAATACCTTTACGGGGACCAGACATTCATCTCGGTAGACTCGATTGATTGTTGTGCCATCTACTCTACGGCCTTTGTCAAATATCAGTTGTCGGGCTGATTTTGTTGCCATGCGGAGCCATCGACTATCTTCCCGAGTGCGATTCAACCGCCGTTGCATGTCAAGATGCATTCCAATCTTATAGATTTCGTTCTTTTGCACGAGACATTGTGGACAGGGACAACCACCGCAGTATTTGATGAGTGCAATAAGAACCCTTCACAAGTGTTCAGCTGCATGGATTTCGCTCGCAGATTGAATGAACATTTGCTCACTTCTCAGGGTAATCCGCACTGTATGTGAACAGACGTAAGAAGAAAAGCCGTTCGACTCGATCCCAGCACAGAATGAGCAGTCCGTGGACATAAGCATGAACGAATTCCTCAGAGAGTAAGAGGTCCCAGACACGATGAAAGAGATCTCGCTTGCAATGCGTGACAATCTCTGGTGCCGGGAGTTTGCCAATGAGATCTTTGTACGCGCTCTTGAAGAAGGAGGGTAGCTACAGATAGGTTAGCTGTAAGATAGACTTCTCGTGTAGAATGATCTACCGTTGGGAAGTAGATCAAATGGTGCATCGTTCCTAGACTCGGACTTGCGCGTTTGTACTTGGATAGGTTGCCAAACTGTAGATACGCCGGCCAGAGAGAAGCTGATCCAAAATTCGCGAGGTGGGTTGCGTCGGAATACAGCATGAGTGCTGCGATTACAGTTTCGATATTGGGCTGTGTCGGATCCCTCCTCACTGCGATGTGCTCAGAAAGCATCTTCCGCGACTCGTAGACCTCTTGATACACCGCAAAATGCCCTTGTGGGATACTCGGGAAACCGGCTACATCGAGTGGTACATCGAGTGGATCGAAGTTTGGTTGCAGGGGCGAGGGATCGACATTAGGATCTTGGCAATGTATGTATGGCGTAAGATGCGCATCAACGAAGTCCGGTCCTTGGAAGAATTCTTTGGTGACATCAATAAACGAACGATACTTGACATTTTGAACCTCGAAAACCGGAGCATCCTTTTCAGGTCGGCGTATCTTCGTTGCTGGCAGGGAAATCTTGACTGCGGCTGAGCGCCATGCAGCTGTATCCACCTCAGATTCCCCAAGCATAAGCTTGACCATCCCATCGAGGCGCCTGTTCTCTCGGGAGACATCGAAGTTGATGAAAGAAGTGGGATCGAAGCCGGCACTGCCTATGATTGCAGCGAGAGTATTTGTCGACATATTAGAGTGGTTTCCAGATCCGAGGTGATGCCATTCCATGAACTTGGCGACATGCTTGTCACGGAAGGGGAACCACGGTGGTAGAGCAGCTGGGCCCTGCACAGATCGACCGTTTGTGCGAGCACGGTGGTCAATATCCGCAAGAGTGATGGATGCGTCGGGATCGTGGGTAGGTCGATTGGGGAAGATCTTGTACCGGCCGTCCGCATTGGGCATTGTCTTGATCCACTGCCTAACAAGCGGAGGGTCTTCGTCCGTAGCCGGTTGAGGTGAAGGCAACCGTGGTGGTAATGCAGGGGGTGCGTATGCTTGCCTTACTTTCAGCGTGGGGCGAACGATGCGTCCGGCTCGAGTACGACGCGTAGGTAGCTCGGGAACTTGTGGATGCTGTGGCACTAAGGGCTCGGGTTCACCCATTTCGAAGTCTGGAACAGCCTGCTAGACTCTATGAGCTTTCATCGCGCAGTATAAGATGTGACGACATACTGCATCCTGCGACTGACCGTCGGAAGACCCTGAGACTGATATTCCTGCTTGATAGGTCTGCATAGCAAGGGCTTGTCGTTGGCTGGTTGCGGGGCAGACGACATAATGTTTTAACAGGCCTTTCCGACCCTGCAAGCCCTCCTTGTGACAATGGTTGCACGATTTCAAGGTGGGGGCCATTGGCCTGAGTGACGCAAGAAGGGTAGATGATATTGTTTGTATAGACTCGGAGCACGATACACACAGGTGTAATCTAGAGCACTGAGTGTGCCTCAGACTCACGGCAGGATGGGGAGAGGAGTTGGGCCCTACCTAAAAACGCACCAGATTCCTCGACCCCTCAGGCCCCCTGTAAGTCCTTCCTCGTTGTCACGAGTCTCCTCCTCGCGCTCGAAGGGCTTCTCACCCGCGTCGTTAGGAATAACAAGCTGGTGTGTGTGCAAGAAGGGCGCAAGACAGGCCACGAATCTGGGGGCGGGATCGAAAGCACTTGCGAGGGGTTGTTGAAGTGATGGGGGATGGCAAGAAAGATTCGAGCCGCGTGCGAAGGGCCTGATGAGGTCGACGCAGCTTGTGGATGGCTGGTGAGCGAGTCGAGGGTAAAACGAAGCTTGGTGTGGCTTGACAAGCGCTTTACTGATGCCATCATGCCTACCACGGCTCAAGGGGGCCATAATCGCTTGGCAGACTTTTCTGATTTTCGTGATGTCGTGCTATATTTTCCTGTCCTTTCGCGGGTCCCGATCAGGCGCCTACTTGCTGGATTGTCTATATTCTTCCTACGCAGAAATCTCACTCGGGGATATGTTGGACGCTCAGGCCTCTCTCAGTCCCCGCTCATGAAACTCGGGCAGAAAGCTACTCTTCCTGGCAGTGCAGGCTTGGGCTTCGTTGTCAGACCGACCCATTCCCTCCGCAGGCTCTTTGCAGCAAAAACTCCTGTGCGCGGTATCCACAACGCGCTCGAGAAATGTCTTGATCACTCCCGAGATCGAGGCGTTCGCTCAAGGTTAACTTCCATCGGGAGAGCTCTCGCCATCGTAAGACGCAACCCGCACACTGCTGAGCTGAGTCCTCGAGTTTGGATCATACGGCACTGCCAAGGCCGACGATGCTCGCCGTCGCATTTCACAGCAACCTCTTTCTCTCGCCGTCGGTGGGGCTGTTGATGAAGAATGAGTCGTTGGCAGAGGAGCGGGCGAGCGAATTTGGCGGGGATACGAAGTTTCAGACTCTCGTCCCCGAGTGGAAGCTTGTCGACGCGAATTTGGAGCCCGCTCACTATTCAGAACATGCTGTCACAGCGGACGGGTCTGCCCAGGCAGGTGCGCGAGGACGGCGCCTCTGAGACGGTTCTTTCATTCGCTTTCAGCTTGTGGGACGTGTACCCATCTACAGAGCTAAACATCGATCTTCAGATACCTCTCAGAGCATCCACTGAGTGGCGAATGCAAACCACTGGAGTCACTGTTGCGAATGGGAAGGCCTCTTAACCTGAATTGGTCCGTGGTTGCCACCAGCAACGTGTTCTCAGCTCTGAAACAATCTGACGCAGAGTCCCAAAGTGTATGGGTGCGGGCAAGAGCGTGCATCCTATCGTGGACACGAGTACATCGAGCACGGTGGCAGCAACCCGGGCTTCAAGACCCAAGTCATTCGATTCCCTCAGGACGGATTCGGTGTCATCTCGCTCTCCAATGACGAGTTGGGCAATGGCCTGATGGAAACCGTCAAGTGGAGGCTCATCGACTCAGTGCTGGGTATGGAGCCTATCGACTGGACTGCGAGGTACGTGCAAGCGAGCTTCCGCTATGAGTTCTGCACTTATCAATGTCTCCAGATACCGCGAATCGCACAACAAGCGTTATAAAGAGAGCCAGGACGTCACTCCGCGACCCTCGTCACCGAAGGCACCCTCGTCCTGCTTTGCTGCCATGCACGAGACCTTCACTCACAGAGCTCACGGGCCATTCAGCCCATGCTATGTCGCTTCTGGCCCTACAGGTCTTACGCCCGGAAGTAATGCCGCGAGTATGAGCCCCGTCGTCCAAGACGTCTTCAGCGCCTCCCCTAGCGCGCTGTAGTGCGGGGCGAGTTGGTTGATGGGCCAGAGCTTGGATGGGCTTTCCGGGTGGGCTTCTAGGGAAGCCAGGGTAAAATTCGACCACTGGAGGGAAGCGTCGAGGACCAAGCTGAAATGTAGTTTGGGCGCGTTCAGCTGTGAGATGCTTAGTGGAAGTGTGGCTTCTTCGTCCTCAGTCACTAATCTGCGGTAGGCGGCCCACGACTCGATCGCGACCTGGCACCATGTGCACTCACGCGGCGACCTAGTCGGTTTTCCCGATGGACACCCCGTGATATTGACTTTTTTCCGACTCGCACGGCTCGACGAAGATCGATAATGTCTGTTACATGATCAGCCAGAAGGCTTCGCTCCTTCGGACCATCGTCTTGACACCAGTCATCTGTCGGTGTGATTGCGCAATTGTACGAACAACTTTTCTATTGGTGTCTACTTCAATGTGATTATCTATGGCCGGATTTCTCGCCAACTTGAGAGCATTGAATTCGCCATTACTTTTTGAGCAGCCTGAGCAGCACATCAATGATATTGCCCAGGACAAAGCTGCTGGACACGAGTCCCGTGACACTCAGTGCCGACGCGATCGGCCCGCAGCTCCGAGTATGACGTCACGCGTTTACCTGCAGACGCGTCTCGCCTAGATCAAAACCCATCATTCGACCTCCAGATTCGTCGCCCTCATGCGCTCGACTACGAGCCCCGGTAATCATCCCAACCCTGGTGAGTCGCACATGCACAAGACTCGCATGATAGCAGGGTTACGCCCCACGTCATAATTAAAAGCACGACGTCACAGAGCTAGATGTGATGTCATGGCACATTCGACCAGCAGAACATTCGAGACAGGAAAGACGTGCCCCTAATCGGGACGCAGACTAGTATATAAACCGACGCGTTCCTCAAGGGGAAGACAACGAGCACTTCTCCCTCTCTCACACACTCATCCAACCACTCACCCACCCACCCACCAATTCAACCAAACATGCCTTCTGAGCCTAGCCAAGTCACCGGCCAGTTCCACAGCGTCAAGGGCACCGTCGTCGAAGCTGTATGTTTCACAGCCCCTGTCGCACCCTCATCCCACTCACTCCTTCGCGCAGATTGGCAACGCGACTGGCGCAACATCATGGCAGCAGTCCGGCAAGGAGGAGCACGCAGCAGGCGAGGCTGAGCACAAGGCCGCCCAGGTCAAGGCCTACGGCGACGGTGTCCAGGACCGCGCACAGGGCCGATTCGATGCCGTCGTGGGTGCTGTGACCGGCGACCAGGCGAAGCAGGCCAAGGGTGCGTTGTTTGATCCCCATTCGATATTCGCGACACTGACAGACGCGACAGGTAACGTGCAGGAGGAGGCTGGAAAGGCGCAGACCCAGGCCAACAACCCTTTCTAAATGGAAACTCATAATGTAATCAATGTACTTTAACTTTCAAAGGTATCTTCCTTGGGACTAGTCGTACGGTTATGAATATCCTGAGAGAGTAAGGTGTGCCGCATTAGGAACCAGCACCCCTTAGTAAGCAGCACGTGATGGTCACGTGATGCTCAAATCCATGGTCCGAAAAATGTAGCTCTCTTTTTTGGTATCAATATGGACTTTTATACAACCAATGTGATCCAAAATTGGCGTCCGAAGGATAATTGAGCTTTTGTACGGCTACTATGACTATAGAAGGGCTTCAGAAGGCCGACAGCACTGCCACTTCCTAATTAGGAAGTCACGTGAATGCTCAAATCTTACGACCCAGAATTAAAAAATGCTCAGTTCAGTGATAAATCACTTTCTACAATAAAAGAAAACTTTTGATGCGAAATTCTTGAGCCTCACATCACGCTCTCTAGGAGGCATTACAAAGAATTCTGCTCACATAGCAGGTGCCCTAAAGGCCTCCAGAAACACCCCATGTGAGTACTTTAGCTGTATTCTCTCCGTGGCCGCCGTCATCTTCCGTCGCTGTTTGTCACGGTGTGACGCTTAGTCATGGGTGCTGGTTCCTAATGCGGCACACCTTACCTGTTTCAAGGCCGCCGGGTGATGTCCGAATGCCTTCGGTGTCTCCTGACCTTTGCTAATTCATCTCAGCTCATCGTTTTGAGGTTTCCAGACATCTTTGAGTCAACGTGTAATCATGCTCACAGAGCAGTCCGAATGCTCACTACGGGAAGTGTTTAGTCTGCTCGAAATGAACGCGCGTTTGTGGCTCGTTGCAGGCCGTTAATTGTGTGAAGGCCCGGTACACAAGCCAAATTCGTTGCGTTTTTGTCTCTAGCATCCTACCAACATAAACATATAGGCATGACTGGAGTAATAATCTAACAGGATAGACATGATAGAGGAATAATCGACCGCATGTAGGAAGAACACTGTTGGGAATACATTCGTATATATTACACTGGACCTAGTAGAATACCACCGAAAGCAAAATGAAAGCATAGAGAGTAATACCTAGGCGCCGTACGCGAAACCCGTCAACGAGCCGGCGCGCCGCACCCCAACAGGCGAAACATACGGGCTCGCGTACACGGCAGCGAGATTCGCATTGCTGTGCACGCTGGCAGGCGACGGCGCATAAATGCTGGGGATCGGCGAAGAGTGATATCCGGGACTGTAGTTCGTCGGCGGGTACTGCGCCGGGGCACTCCAAGGACTAAACGTCTGCTGAGGCGGAGTGATCTTGCCCAGCCCCTGATACGCGTAGTACGGCGAGGAGGTTGGTGTGATCGGCCGGCTGGGAGGCAAGGGGAAGGCTGCTGCCGAGTACGGCGAGGGCGTGTATGTGCTCGTGTCGACAGTCAGATTCACCCCTGGTACGTATGGCGATGAATACGGCACGGTGGCTGTCGCGGCTGTCGCAGAGTACGGACTGCCGTACGGCGTGCGCAGGTTCGGGTACGACCCAGGTGTGGTCTGCCTGATGTAACTGGCCTCTGGCGACAAATAGCCCATCGACCCCAAGGCTTGCATGACAGGAGCCAACGCGGTCCCATCCACACTTCCATCTCCATCGTCGCTGTCATCGAAGACGTAGTCATCGGCGTTCTCCGGCGGCGGCGTATGCACATAGCGGATGTTCTCGTCTCGATGAGCGACGGGCCCTGCCCATGGCGACGAGTTGGCACTGTAGCGCCTGGGCTTGGGTTTGGGTTTGGGTCGCGATGAAAGCCGGCGTTCGAGGCTGAGTTTGTCAGCCTCACGTTTGATCACTATGAATGAAATCCACACACCCATGCCAGCTGCTTTCAACCTCTTTAGATATTGGCTTTGCCTCGAGTAGCTCACGGTCAGCTTTATCTAGCAGCACGATCGTAATCTTCTCTCTCGACTTGCTGCTCCCGTGGCTCGATCGGCTGGCTACTGAGGGTGCACGTCTCGGGACGGTGGTAGCCTGTTCTAGAACTTCTGCACCCAGCGTTGAGTAACGGCCAAATGTCAAAGAACCCAAGCAACGCACCCTCAGCGATAGGCGACGGCGGAGCCTTGAACAACGTCTCCCTTAACTGCGACGGGCCGGGCGCCGTGATGCCTGGCACTTCAAGCAAAGAGGTGGTGCTGGATGACCTGCAACATAGAAGCCTCAGTCTCATGGTCTGAAGGGGCAGAGGATGAAAGTAAAAGGCAAGCTGCGTGCACCGGCCGAAATGCGGACGAGCACCCCGAAGGCATTTAGAAATCAGTGCTGCCTCGCACGTAATCTCCAACGCGGCGCAGATTCCAACAAGCCAGAATGGTAGAAAGGATAAGCACGCACATGGAAAACCGATCCCCTGGGCCCATATTCGTGACCCGCAGCGGAACTGATGAGCCAACCAGTCAGCATTCGAATGAAGATAGGAGGCTGAGGCAAGACAGCAGCAGCACGCCGTTGCCTCGTGGCCGATGTTTATAAAGAACGCACGTCGATTCCCATTGGGCACATTCCGCACCGCACCCAAAAACGGCATGCTCTGCACACTGGCAAGACTGTCCACGCTCCCACGGTGAGGTCCCAACGACGGCCGCGGCGGGTCAAGGTTGAGCGGAAACGAAGACGGGAGTGGCAACGGGTCAGACTGCGTTCGACTGGCCATCACCGGGGCTTTCAGATGTTTCTCCTCTTCCTCTTTGGCCAATTTGGTAATCATCGGCGGCATCGCGGGGACGTTTTCGTCTCCCTCGGCCTCGAAGGCCTTGTCCAGCGCACCCTTGACATTGCGGAACTCGTTGTCCAGAAACTCCTGATTGCGGTCCCGCTTCTTGCGCATGACGGCGCGTGGCGTCGTCTTGCTCTTATTCCAGCTCATGTACAGATCCATTGCCATGCGGCCCGCGCCTTCGACGACACGTGGAATGGCAAACACCACCGGAGGAACCCTGTTTGTCTTGGTCTTGGGGTTGGACGAGTCGAGCAGGGAATGCGCATGTGCCAGTCGACTGGGTTCTTCATGTCCTGGAGCCTCTTTGATGTCGTCCTGGTCAGGTGACCCCGCCCTTGCTCGCTCTCTGAAGTAATGACGTCAGTGGCATCCCAGGGAACGAAGCATCGACGCTCAGCGCTTTACGCACTCGATGAACTGTTGTGTAAATTGCAGTGCATCCCGACCAGTCAAAACCTGGAAGTTGCCAACTTCGTCACCTTTCGCTGCGATAGCCCGCAGAAACTCCGGCCCATACGCGGCCTCTTGCTTCTCCCCTAGCGTGCTGATTGGGGCCGGTTCGGCTGGCCTGGCGAGAGACTGAGAAGGAGGTTGTTGCTCATCTTCGTGGGGTCGTGGATTGGATGCAGTCGGCGTTTCGGGATCGGAATGTCCTCTGGACCGAGAATGCCGCCGGCGGCGATGATGACGAGACCCGGCTTCCGCCTCCTTGTCTCTGTCTTCGTCCCGGCTCTTCGTTCTCTCCCGTGCTCCTGAGTGCCGCTGGGTCCGCACTTCCTCGGAATCTTCCCGATGCTCCCTCCGGCGATGGTGAGAGCCTCGTCGATCGCGGGAGTGGGAGCGGTGGTGTGTGCGAGACGATCGTTGGTGACGGTCCGCGTCATGGTCTTTCGCTCTATTGTGGTCTCTGTCCCTCTCTCTTTCTCTTTCTCGTTCTCTGTCTCTTGCCTTTCTCATCCCCCTCTCTCCACTTCTTTCCCTCCCTCGCTCTGTATGCAGGCTCCGCTCTCGTTCCCGATCTCTCTCCTCTCCTTCTCTCCCCTTCTCTCTCTCCCGGTGACTCTCCCTAGCATCCGAGTGGTGCCGAGCAGAGGAAGAGGATGAAGATGGAGAAGGGGAGCGCCGGTGTCGGTGCCGGTGTCGGTGTCGAGAGTGCTCTCGGTGCCTTTCGCTGTCTCTTTCGCGGTCCCTGTCGCGTTCTCGGTCCGGTTCTTCACTGCGTTCTTTCTTCTGCGGATCAGCAGTTCGCTCAGGCTCCCGGCTCGCTTCGGGCTCGTGCTCGCTCTCACTGGACATCTTGTTCGGTGGTTGTAGTCGGGCGCTGGGGTGCACAGACAGGTGGGAGGAAAGTGGAGAGATACTAAGATGGTTGATCATGACCACGCCCTCGGGGTATAAACACCAATTGCGACATACCGTAAGTCGTAACCCTGACAGCCAGTGCAATCCAATCCAATCAGGCTATATACGGCGACTTCTGCTCTCTTGCTGTCCTTTGATGTGGTGTCCCGTTGCTGTGGTGGCAGGACCAAGGTTATAAAGTGGTGTCTGTACAACGGAGGCCGAGATGAATGGGCGAAAGTGTCACGGTGGCATGATGCACGTACCGGTTCGAGCGCTGCCGTCTACTATTCTCGTTCACTGTGGGGTTTTTTCGTACAGCGTGGAGTGGAGTGTCGGAAAGAGAGATCCCGGGGTGTTGGGGCGTAACCTAAGCAGAAATGCGCATGAGCATGAGCGCGTCTCGAGGATGGGGTGATCGGAGAGAAGGCCCGAAGGGAGCTGATAACACTCACGTTTACTTAGTGGGTCGGGTGTCGGGCGTGGCTCTCCCAACGCGTCGGGTGGTAGATGGGAGCGAGAAAGTGGGTGTGTGTATGCTGGGTACCCACGTTAGATTCGTATGTCGCTTGGTGGAGCTCGGAGCAGAGTCGGACGCAGTGCGCGGATGGTGGCTGGATATAGCACTAGCACCAATCGAATGAGGATAGAGCGGTCAATGGTGGTACCGGCGTACGAAAGCAAAATAGCAAATGGAATGGACGAAGAACAAAACAAAAGCGGTTGTGATGGGTGGGCGAGTGCACTGCCAAGGGTTCTTCTTGTGATTGTCGAGTTGCTCGCGGGTTAGGGTTCTCAAAGACGAAGCCGGACGGCTCCGGATTAGGCAGCTTCATTACCATATTCGGACTCCGGTCGGGCAGTTAGGACCAAGCGCCAAACTTTCCGAGATTAGCCGTTGAGAGCGTTCTACCAGTGGGATGGACGAGGCATGGAAGCATGCTGGGTTGGGACACTGCGATTACCTCATGCGGACCCCCGAGCTGCACGTGTCCGGCGCGTCGGCGTGAAGAGTCTCGAAGCTGATTACCGATGAAAACGAGACAAGCGCGTTGGTCGGCATATTTCGCGCACCAGGACGTCTGATGCGCGCTTCATGTAAGCTTCAGCTGAGAGTTGATTTGGGAGAAATTGTCTCCCTAGCGGCTCATCACCACTCGAGCTATGAACGAAGATCCAATGGAGCCTTGACACACGTTTAGGAAAAAACGTGCAGATGACATTCCGTGAAAGACACAGCTTAGGGGAAAAAACCGCGTGGCCCGCGGCCGTCGACACGTGTCCTGAGACTGTGTTCTGTCAACTCACACGCGCATCAATCGCCTATTGAACAGTTCTACGACCAGAATCAGTATGTTTCTATTCTAGGGTGCATACGTATCGGGATATTCTTCTATGCTAGCAATTACCGTAAATCTCTTTCAAAGCGTGGTCGGTTCTAGTGATATTGTGGCCCTTACAGCCCTTCCAATCATTCACGCGGCTTCAAGCGTTGTGAGTCTGATGCGCACCAGTTGAAATATGAGTCTGGACTCGTGATTCCCACAGCCTCGAGTATTTGGGGGTCATAACTCGACAATGAGGCTGTAAGTATTCTGGCACCGAGAAGCCAATTCTCGGTTAAAAAGGTTCTGAGATGAATCTAAATTTTCATTAACCTCCTTCCCACTAACTTCGCTGTTGAGATTATGGACGTGAGAAGCAGATCTCCGTTCCGCAGTTGAAACCGGCATTAGCTCGCCGGAGGCGTGTCCCCAATTGAAAGATCGCGCCATGGAATAGGGAGACACGACCGACCACCGTTTCTCGATTTTGCCTCGAGTCATTCTATACCCCGATGTTTGGAAACGCAGTTCCATTGCGACAGCTCTTGTGATCTGGGGACAAGATAAAAATCCGCTCGGTTTGCATCGCAGAAATAGGGGGTAAGGAGAACAAACTCGAGCTCTTCATCAGCACTCTCCACGTCTCAGACAGATTGAATATTTCTCTGTTTTCTGCATTGGGGTTTCACGGCCCAGAGGAATCATTGCCAAAACGTCTGGGACCACGCCGAATGATTCACACATCGGGCTGATAACAGGGCTGAGCGCTGATCTATAAGGCGCGCCATTGCGCGCCTCCATGCTTTCTGTACTTCCCTTGACTCTCGCTATCTCGAAATAATTCTACACTGTAGTATAATCGTGAAGTTGAATTCTTCTTGGTGCACGATCATCAGTGTCCAATTGAAAGTCCTCCTTCTTTGAAGCTGATTTTTGCATGGTTGACCTGAGGAGCTGCACCCAACGGGTTCCTGGCCGGTCAACTTAAACATGTCAGTTGTGAGTCAAATTCGACGGGTTTTTCCCTCCCGTGTCCCGGTACCGAGGGTCGAGATCACAATATGGTTTCTTCTGTCATGGATTGACTCCTCTAACTACGAATGTATTGGACATTGTTACCTGAAAGCACAGACCGCAATTGATCATGGGCTCTAATCTTATCGATCTTATCTGCGTCTGAGAGTGGCTGTGACGAGAAAACCACGTCAATCATTTGTCCACTACCTACTTGGATTCTCAGCAGCACTCCTAATTCTCTCTTGACGTGCCCTTTGTCAACAACAGAGATCGAACGCCATGCAGCTACGCGTATCAGCAACTCCACAATTCCCCTGCGATACATTGTTTGCCACTCAGGGCAACCGACGCTTTGAAAGAAAGCAGTCAGGGCTTTGTCCCTGCCAGCGCTTTGATATGGGCGGTATAAAGACTGCAGTTACCATCTAGGTGGTGAGAAATCAATCTCTCTCTCTCAGAATTCGCTGAAAATCTATGCAGAACCAATCTCAGTTCGTGTCGTCAAAACCGGTTAGAGCTGAGACAAGCCGCCCATCGCGCTCGAATGTATGGTTCAAGACATCACCTCCGTCCATACCACGGGCCAAGCCACTTCTTGGCACAGAATTGGCCCCTGTGTCTCCACCTCGTATTATCCTGACCGTACCAACGCCAGAGAAACCTCGTCGGAAACGTAGCCCTGCACCTCTCCCCCATCTCCTTGGACCTTTCTATGTGTCTCGACCACCTACTCCCACACGACGTGGCTCATTGAATGTCGCTGCGACATCAACCCCTTTCACGGGTGCCGTTCGTCTGGGCATACCATCGCCGGAAACGTGGAGCACGACCAAGAACGTCCAGCGCGTGCCCGACTGGACATTGTACGCAGATCTTGACAAGCCACCTGTTTGGTCCATTCCTCAAGACGAATGGGAGCGGGCCAAATCCATGCCACTGGGTATTACGCGTGCAGGTCTGGCACAGGATACTGGACCGCGTGTCATCTCGGCCTTGCCCCTGCAGGAGCGCAATGTTTCTCGTCCATTCGGGCCTCAGCCGCCGTTGTCTCCTACTCAGCCCATGGTAAACGCATTTCCCCATGTTCCGGAATCCTGGGAGATGTTCGCCCAACTGCAGCGGAGTCGGCTGGCTTGCGGGGACATGCATGGTGTCGCCTTTGCTCTCGTTGCCCGTGCAGTCTCGTATCCGAGCGAAGCGCATCGCGTCGCGGCTTTGGCAACCAAGCTTTCGGGAATTCCGCTGTGCGGGGTGCGGGAATGGTATGCGCTGCTGGGGATGCATGTCTTGAAGAAGTTTATGATGGACTTTCGGGTGCGCTCATTGTCTTCATGCCATTAGTTCGCGCTCAGACACTGGTCGTCCGTTCACAGAACCTATCCAAGACATCATCCGTGACCGAGGTCGAGGCCGGGATGAGTCTGACCGCGTTCATTGGCGCATTGTATCACTACGTGATCCTGGATGGGAAGGAGGTCTACTACGTGCTCAAGGAGCTGCTCTTCCCGCCGAACACTGGCAACATCACACCTCAGACTGTGCGATTGAGAGGTGTGCATGTGCTTATCTCGCACAGTATTCCCCGAATCGCGGAATCAGCGGACTATCATGAAGTCAGATATCTCCTTGGCAAGGCTGGTTTCTACTCCTTATCCAGTGCCTTGATGTGGGCTGACGGAAAGGATCGAGCACTTATCGAGGCCGTTGTTACAACTCTGAGAAACTTGAGAAAATCAAGAGCAGAGTAAATTGAGGTTGGGCGGCGTTTCTGTAGTCTTATCATTCGTATCGTAACTGTACTTCGGCTCATCTCCGCATCAATATGATGTTAGCGAGGACATGGCCTGTCCTGTTTCCCATGCTGCTTCCTTCACAACCACCAACTTCTTTTGACCGAGACGAGGACGAGTGACGCGTAGGAACGAATCCTCCAAGCCAAATGGAGGCATGCGGGCATATGGTCTTGATTTGTCCGGCAGAGAGTACACTCACCCCGGGCCGCGGCTCATCGTTGACGACCTGGTACTTATCTCCCCTCCAACCCGAATGTGCAGACCCAGTTGACTTTCATGCGGGACCTTCTCCCTATAGAGGTCGTCGAGTGCATCATCGACGCCTCGCGCACATTCCCCCGTAGTCTGTCTGCATGCAGCCTAGTCTGTCGGTCCTGGCTACCACGAACTCGATACCACTTGTTCTCCTCACTCGACCTCTCGGCGGACTGGGCGCCGGAGCCGAACGCGGTGACGGATTTCATGGAGATTCTTACCGGGACCTCTGCGGGCTCAGATTCCTCGGGTGTGCCATGCTGTGCTGCGACGGTGACGCTGGTGCCGTACGTGACGTGCGTCGTACTGGCAAAACGCTCCTGGGGGATGACACCGGTGCAGACCATCCTGGCCGTCCTAGCCCGTGCGGGGATACGACCGGAGATCCTGCAGATCAACTGCCCTGCCTATGAGCTGCGCTCATCGAGTCCCCAGAGCGTCGGCTTTGGTTTCCCATTCGCGCCGTCTCTGGTGCATCTTGCGCTACAGCTTCACAACGATACATTCTTGGATGCCCTGGTGGATCACATTTGCTCTTTCCCGAAGCTGCAGTCGTTGGAGATTACTGGCTCTGCGCGGGTGACGGTCAGGGAGGACGCTTGGCCCAAGACGACAGCGTTGCCGCAGAATCTTCGAAGACTTGTGCTTGCATATCCTGAGATTTTGGATTGGGTTATCACCTCGGGAAGGATCCCATCCACAGTGGATCAAATGGTTATTCGGGATCTCGAGACTTCGCCCCAATGGGCCTCTGTCAGCCGGTTCTTAGCTAGCGAGCAAGCGGAAGGGCTCAGTTCTCTGGAGTTCCAGAACTGTAACATGGGTGCGTGTGTATGGTTTCATTCACTCTCGATTCCCAGCTGATCTAGGGACTAGACCACCTCCACTCAGCAATTGCTCCCTATGTTCCCTCCTTGCAGCATCTAAGCATAGAACTGTTCCCTGCTGCACCCCCACTTTCTGCCTCCACCGCCCTGATCCGATTATTTACCACTTTCCGGGGCATGGCAAGTTCTTTGGAGATTCTTACGCTCTTCGCGCCGACGCTGGCTGCCTTCGACGACACTGAATGGGACCGATTAGACTCGCTATTCACGCAATCTCATTCCTTGAGTCTGCCACTGTCTCAGCCCTTCCCGGCGCTTTCCAGGCTTCGTTTGCGCGTGAGAGTACGCTCTCCGCGCACAAGAGACCTGGCATACGACTACGGACTGCCAACGCCGTACGTTCATCGTATATCTGCTCAAATGGGAGCATGGTCAAAGGGTAGTGTTGTTTTGGACTTCTAGATTACTCTGATTAGACTTTTTATTGATATCTATGCGCTTCTGCATATTAGAATGTATACTTGGCACTACTAGAGATCTTATTCCGAGTTGTGAGCAAGCGTTGGCTCAAGGACTCTGAATATTCACATTTCAGGAGTGCGAATTGCTTGGGGCACCGAAGTGAGTGTGTGTTTCCATGATGTATTCTACACTGCCGTGAATGAGCGAGCTCGGTATTGTATCCGGTAGGAAATCCCACTTGTGCTTCGATTTCACACCTAAACGCGGCCAAACCACACTTCAGCCCGGTCCTTGACGCTTCCCTCCAGCGGCCGGATCTTCCCTTGGCTTCCCCAGAAGCCTCCCCGGAAAGCCCATCCTGGCTCGGGGCCATCGACCCACTCAACCTCATTCTGGTCATCGAACCCAGCGTAGATGTCGTTCTCCTCGTCCAAATACCCTTCCGCACGGCGCGTCTCTCTGTTCGTCACGATCAGCGACGTGTTGAACACATTGCCGTCGAAGTGCATCAGCCGCAGATACGTTGAGAACGTCCGCTTGAATGGCACGATGAACGTAGGAATGTCGCCAGTCACTGCGCCTGGAGAGGCATCGAGGATGCGCTGGACGACGGGGCTCGCAATCACGGCAATGCATTCGGGCGTGAAACCTGTAGGGCCGGACGCGACATAGCAAGGACTGAATGAACCGTAGGCTCCGTGGGAGAAGGTCCCGTGCATAGCAGCGAAGGAGGACGATGGTGGTTTCGGTGACGAGGGTCGCGGAGTGACATCCTGGCTCTCTTTATAACGCTTGTTGTGCGATTCGCGGTATCTGGAGACATTGATAAGTACAGAACTCATAGCGGAAGCTCGCTTGCACGTACCTCGCAGTCCAGTCGATGGGCTCCATACCCAGCACTGAGTCGATGAGCCTCCACTTGACGGTTTCCATCAGGCCATTGCCCAACTCGTCATTGGAGAGCGAGATGACACCGAATCCGTCCTGAGGGAATCGAATGACTTGGGTCTTGAAGCCCGGGTTACTGCCACCGTGCTCGATGTACTCGTGTCCACGATAGGATGCACGCTCTTGCCCACACCCGTACACTTTGGGACTCTGCGTTAGATTGTTTCAGAGCTGAGAACACGCTGCTGGTGGTAACCACGGACCAATTCAGGGTAAGAGGCCTTCCCATTCGCGACAGTGACACCAGTGGCAACGTGCTCCACGACATCAGCCGGCACAACCGTCTCGTTGGTGATCGGATGGCGCCCGTCGTTGAGAAGCATTGCGACCCAGGACGTCTGTCTACTATAAGTTCAGAGTATAACATGAGAAGCCATGACCCACTAGATCACGAGCAGAAGTGAGCACACCACCCGCGCCGGCCCATATTCCCTCTTCTCCTGGGCGCTGGAAATACGGAATCGTCGGCGTCAGCGTGCCATTGATACCGCGGGACCAGTCTTGCATCGACCAGTAGTATCCGTCGGCCAGGGTACCCCAGTTCTCAGCTTCGGCCACCGAGTACGTCGACGAGTTCATCCCAAGCGGAGCAAACAGGTGCTCGTGAATGTAGGACTCATACGTTTGATTGAGGAAAGTCGAGGGGAGATGCGAGAGCGTTTCGTACATCAAGTTGTTGTACTGATATTGCTCGCGCCACTCGGCAGACGGCTTGAGGTACCGGAGGGTGGATATCTAGCTCTGGGAGTCAGAGATTTTAGCAAGTGCACGATTCATGTACGAACCATCTCAGCAACACCACCCTCGCGCGCCTGCCCCGAATAGTCGTGGCGCGGCAGACCCGTGCGGTGCGACAGCATATCCTGGATGGTGATCATGCGCTCCATCTCCTCGTCCAGCAGCTTCCACTCGGGAATGAGGGTCCGGATTTTGGTGTCCCAGCCAAACTTACTGCCCCGCTCCTCCGCCAACGTTTCGTTCTTCATCAACAGTCCCACCGAGAGCGAGAGGAAGAGCTTGCTGTTGGAGGCGATGGCAAACATCGTGTCGGGCGTGACAAGCGACCCGTCCGCCTTGGCGATACCGTAGGAGCCAAACTCGACGGTCCAGTTCAGCGGGGCGTCGGGGTCGCTTCGGACAATGGCAAGAGCTAGACCGGATGAGCCCAACGACGCTAGCTGGTCTTCGGCGAAAGCGTCGATCTCGGGGGTGATGAAAACATTCTTCGTGCGCGTTATCGCTACTGGGACGAGCGGGGTTTCCTCGAAGGAGCCTGCGAAGGGAAGCGGCTGTCCTGCGAGCGAAGCCAAGCCTTGCGCCGTGAAAGACAGCAAAATGACCTTCTGTAGGAAGCTCATGAGCGGAGACGGAGAGATGACCAGATCTCCATACATGTTTGATATCTTTCGTGTATCCATCGAATCGTCAGCGCCCTTGCGGGACGCAGGTAACCGCTGGGACTTCAGATTGATGGCCGTGGCCAATGACTAAAATCTGGCACGGTGTAACTGTGCGTAGCATGACCTGGCGCTGTGAAAAAGGAATTGAAAAACCCCATGTCAATTCTCCCGAAAAGGCTGAGTCTCGCTACCAGATTGGCTTTTTGCATCCTGATTTGCACTGTATCGGACTGAGGACCTCCCACATTCGGTCAGATATTTCGTAATTCGCTACGTTTTGAGCAATTTTCTGATCCGATCACCCCTTCTTAACCTGGCGCACATGTAGCGAGCTCCCACTCTCGAAGAAGGACAGCGCCTGCAGAAAATTTGGGAGACTATGCTCGTGATTTATATCAAGTCCGTGATCGTTCGCTTCTTTTTCTCAGAATCCAGAAACGGGTGTGACATGCGTTGACGGTCGATCGACTTCCCATCCGCACAATCCCCACGCTAACGCAGACATCCCTGCGTTGATTCAAACCACAACATCGCACGCACAGACGAATTCGCCCATGGACAACCCGATTCCGAGTCTCATCACTCTTGCTGCTGCTTTTTCTGTAGTTGTTGTCCTCCGCCGCTTCTTCGGCAGCAAGAGTTTTTCCCCTGCACCGCCCCTGCCACCGGGCCCACGCAAGTTGCCATTCGTAGGGAACTTGTTCTCTGTGTCCAAAGGCCGAGAGTGGGAGGCCTACGCCCGGCTGGGCCGGGAACTCAGTGCGTAGAGTTCTCTTGTCCTTCCGATACTCCAGCATAAATTCTGTACAGACTCGGATATCATCCACCTCGACATGGCAGGGACGCATCTCATCGTGCTCAACTCGGCCCAGGCTGTTGACGATCTGCTGAATAAGAAATCGGCTTTGTATTCTGATCGGTGCGCATTGATCATCCCCGTTCGACTCAATCGATTTCAAAGGAACACTCCAGACCAAGATTCACGATGTTGCATGATATCTTGAGATACGATTTCAGTCTCAGTGAGCCTTGATTTCTCAAGTGCCGCTTTACCACATCTGATTTGATCGATCAGCAACCATGGAGTATGGCCCTCGTTGGTACGTTTCGCCTGACACTTACGGGTATCACCCGTGAAACAACTTCATCAGGAGAAAAGCCCGTCGACTGCTGCATCAACAGGCCAACTTTGAGACGGCGAAACAATTTTATGCCACACAGGAATCTGCCTCACGCCGATTTCTAAAAAGCCTTCTGACTGATCCCGTATCGCTGCAGAAAAATATCCATCGGTAAGTCCTGGAGTTTATGGATAACTGATCTCTTCTTGAGAGTCCCAGGCTCATCGCGGAAACAATATTATCCTTCGCATATGGCCTGCCGATCCAGCGTGAGAACGATCCGCTGGTCGGATTGTCGGAAGCTGTCACCCGAATCGGGATGGAAGCAGTCACTCCAGGCCGATTTCTCGTCGTCAGTACTAGGCCGGAAGGGTTGCAACTAAAATTCTGATTCGTGTTAGGACTCGATCCCGATGCTCAAGCACTTTCCTGCATGGTTCCCTGGCGCCGGTTTCAAGCGAAATCTCCATGAGTGGCGGGCACTCGGTCGCTCCGTCGTTGAGGCTCCCTTCGCGCAGGTCAAGCAAAGAGAGGCACGTGCAAACCCTTCTTGAAACTTATCTAATCTAATCTTATCTGGCTATCCGAACCAGGCCGCTGGAATGCCCACTCTGTCTTTCATCACCGCATGCCTCGCAAACAGCCCAATGGAAGATGAGCAGACCATCAAAGGAGTCGCTGCAACAATGTATACGGCAGGCCTCGATTCGACCATGGCGGCCGTGTCGACGTTCTTCTTGGCTATGCTCGCGAATCCGGAGGCCCAGGCCACTGCGCAGCGTGAGATCGACGCGGTCACGCACGGCGAACGGCTCCCCGACTTCTCTGACCGCGAGAAGATGCCGTACGTTGGGGCACTGGTCAAGGAAGTGCTGCGCTGGCATGTCGTTACTCCGATTGGTGTGTGTTTGTTTTGATTCGAACGAATCCTCGAGCCTCACGAATTTGCAGCAATCCCGCACCGTGTTACAGTCGAAGACGAGTACAAGGGCTATCGGATCCCTGCTGGTGCTTATGTCGTCGGCAACATGTAGTAGGTCTTCGATCATTCTCTCTTTGTTGTCTGTTCAAGCGGTTGACCTACTGTCTTATCCAGTGAATTGCTTCGCAACCCGGTCAGTATCAGAACTCTCCGTCGGCCAGCTTGAACCTCATCGCCTCCCACAGGCGACGTTTCCAGACCCGGACAAATTTTCACCTGAACGGTTCCTCGACGATTCCGTGGCGAGGGACATGATTGGATCGATCGAAATTGCATACGGATTTGGGCGCAGGTGAGGAGAACCACTGGCGATCTACCCGCTCATGTGCTAAGCCTTCGATGGGAGAATCTGTCCTGGGCGCCATGTGGCGATGGCCACCCTATGGAGTGCGTTCTCTGGCGTTCTCGCCACATTCCATATCGCAAAGGCCGTGGATCAGAACGGAGACCCCATCGAGCCAACGTACGCATATGATTCTAATCTGATCGAGTGAGCCAAGCAGCAGTATTTCCCGGGGAAATGACGGCTGACACAGATAACAGCGCACCCGTCCCATTCGAATGTCGTATAATCCCGAGGAATGAAGAACTTGCCAAGCTTCTCTCCGGAGAAGAGGAATAGAGTTCAGAGCATACCTTCCGGGCCGGGGGCGGGCCGCATATAAAATGACTCTTTAATGTAACTTTTTTTCGGTGGACAGTAAAGATTATTTGAGATGGATGATGATACTATTATACATGAGACAAGTTCCCAGTCGAACAAGCAGATAGTCATACAACGTCGTGAGGGAAATAACAAAGCGTGTAGGGTAAACTCGGACTCGGTTAAACCTTCTCGTCATTATGGACACTGGTGACCTCTCTGTCCAGTTCATTCTCACGGGCCGCGATATGGGCCGTCCTGGCTTCCTGTGTGGTGGCGCCGAAGATGATGTCCATGTCTTCCAGCGAGCGGCCCTTGGTCTCAGGGATAAGCCTGCGTCCGGGTCAGCATGCGGAGATCTGACAGTACAAGAGAACTGACAAAGCAAAGACAGCCATGGCGCCGATGTTGATCGTCCCGAACATCAGGAAGATCTTGAATCCAAGTTTAGTGACTGCGTTTGGTGTGAAGTGCGCCACGACGAAGTCTGTGAGAAGGCAGATTAGAAAGAGAAGCAGCAGAGCATTCGCCAAGACGCACTCCACAGCCACTGGCTTCCACTGGCTACTGCCATGCCATAGTGCCGCGTCCGAGTCGGGAAGATATCGGATGCATACACCCAGGGAAGGGGTCCCCAGCCCATTGAGTAGAAGCAGACGTAGAGATACAGCATCGCAGCCATGGCCTTGCTGCTCGGCGGTGGGTTCACAGGGGCGCCAGTAGTCGAGGCGTGCGGAGGGAACGTCTTGAGTAAGGCGCCGATGATGAAGAAGAAGATTCCCATGCCCATTGCAGAGATGAACAGCGACATCTTACGACCGAACGAGTCGACCATGGTGAATACGAAGATAGCGGTCGCAGTGACCTTGACGACACCGTAGATGCCACTGGCGAGGAGCGAGTTCTTGGAGCCCGTGTAGCCAATGCTTGCAAAGATCTGCGGAGCATAGTATCCAACGGAGTTTTGGCCGGAGAATTGCTGGAGGAAGAAGATAAAGAACGCAATCACGAAACTATCATGCAAGCTCAGCAAGGCCGCCGCATCATGCATAGCCAAGCAAACTTACCGGATGAAGTTCCCCTTCCCGAAGAAGGCCTCCTTCCAGCCCAAACCTTGTCGGGCTTCCTGCTCCTCAGCGATGGCACTCTCGATCTCCGCAAGCTCGTGTACAACCCGCTCGTCCGTCGGCGGAAGGCTGCGGAGGTAAGCCAGGTTGGCCAACGCTTGCTCCGAGTTCCCGCGGGACGCGAGGTACCGAGGTGATTCCTAGCATCAACGCCGACGATCAGTAATGCACGGGGACGGGATAGCATGCGGGTAAACGCACCCGAACAGTGAACAGCCCTAGGAGCATGAGCCCGGCCGGAGCCAATTGGAATCCGAAGGGGATCTGCCATACTTTGGGGGAGTTGGCGAGGGACGGGGACAGTGAGAGACCATCTGCACGCGTGTCAGAAGCGATTCGGCTTGCTGAGAAAGGAAATGAAAAGCATGCACGCACAGTTGATGAAATACGAGATCATGACACCGATCGCCACGGTGACCTGGAAGATACCGGTGATACGACCCCGAGACTCCTTCGGCGCACATTCCGAAACGAACGCAGGGGCGACAGCGCTGATAGCACCAACACCGACACCCGAGATAACTCGGCCTGCGTAGATCATCGCGAGACCGTTCGAGGGGGACTTGGCGGCGGTGGTGAGCGCCGCGCCGATAGCGAAGATAACGCTGAAGATGACAAGCGTGGGCTTGCGGCCGAGGTAGGCTGGCAGGAGCATCCACGCGTCAGCGCATGCCTCGCAAAAGAAGATGGGGCTCACAGGACATGGGTGCGGATCCCAAAGCACCGAAGAACGCGCCCGCCTGCAGCACACTGACGACGTTGGCCGAGATTGCGTTCGTCTTGGACAAGATGGGCTGGCCCTTGGCGTCGAGCATGTTGAAGTGCTGGCGGAAGTAGTGGGCAGACACGACACCTCCCGCGATACCTGTGTCGTAACCGAAGAGGATGATTCCCTGAGGGTAAAAGTCAGCGCGCAAAAACGGGATGGGGTCCAGCGGGCGGCTCACCCAGTACACGACGAACGCGACCCAGTAGGCACGAATGTTTTGGAATCTGCTGGACTCTCCCATTTCGATGGCGTTGCTTGTTCGTCTGAGTGGATGGGCCGTCAAGAGCAAGGGCAGCACGCACACCCCAAATGTGTGATTCACACGGCTTATATAGTTTGACAGAGGTCTGGGACCCCATGACCCCACATCCGGGGAAGCCATCAATTGCGGAGTGGCGGGCCGCGGCCCGCCCGGGCCAAACCTCGAGTCTGAGATCTTTGGGAGATTCTATTCAATCAGACCAGGCACGGCTGTTGTGTATGTTTCCGGTATATTTAGCATTGTCAGCATTGGGTCTGCTGACATCCCTTGGTGTCCCTTGCCACGCCATAAACCCCGCTTGAAAGGCCAACCAGGGCTCGCTACTAATTGCGTTGAGGTCCTCATCCTACTATTGATGCCAACGCTACGGGAAAAGCACAATGCAACGGGAAATGGCTGATCTCTCCTTCCCTCCTTCGAATTTGCCCCCGGTATCCTCCGGAATTTGTAGCTAGCATTTGAAAACCCTTAAGTACCAAATACTGCATTTATACATGAGCGGGAACCATATAAAAAATGAAGGCCGGTCCATCACGTCACATGATTTGACAATGATTTGTCATGATAGACTGGCCTTCATTTTTTATATGGTTCCCGCTCATGTATAAATGCAGTATTTGGTACTTAAGGGTTTTCAAATGCTAGCTACAAATTCCGGAGGATACCGGGGGCAAATTCGAAGGAGGGAAGGAGAGATCAGCCATTTCCCGTTGCATTGTGCTTTTCCCGTAGCGTTGGCATCAATAGTATCAAATAACGGAGGGTCGACTTTAATGTCGCTTGTCAGGCTCGGACGTTATAGAACAGATCGCGAAGCATTTTCTGTCGTCCATTATCAAAGAAGAGGACTTCACACCCACGGCCGAAGATCATTGCAAAAGCTTGTATGGAGAGATCCGGTGTCGCCAGCCGCCGCCCACATTCAGTAGGCTGCAGTCTCCGCTCTGGTTCCGCTACCGAGAGATTCTAAGTTTTTGTGCTGAATTGCAGGCGTGTGACTTATTGTCAGTGCACTGCTTCCGGGACTTGATCTCAGCACGTAAGCTGGCCAACATAACGGCTTTTTTTCGGGAATGATGGGGCGGCCTACCCTCCCGAAGATGAGAAGTAGAAGAGGAAGAGCGCTGTGAAGGATTAGAAGAATTAGATATGGAGTCTACGCGAAACTTCAAGCAAAAATGCGGCACGTTTACTGCCGGTTGTTTACTCACCATCTCCGACACCGGACTGGGCGTGAAGCTCAGCTCTATAATCGCTGCCGGCGGGGAACAACACCAAGCGAACACCAATGCCGAAGGGCGTGTATTCGTGTGTCATCTCCCGCCCACTGAGCCAGACTGAGCCCCCGAGATCTGACGATCCCGGCCGTCACGCACTATCGTTGCCAGATCCTTGTCAAGGAGTCTCAAGGCACGTCACGGCTTGCCACGCTTTCAGAGCACAAGGAGACGGTGAGACAGCACTGCGCAGCGCCGGATCTCAAGCGGAATGATGTGCCCGGGGGTTATACTCGGGCATATGTCACCACTTCGCTCCATACTATTGATGCCAACGCTACGGGAAAAGCACAATGCAACGGGAAATGGCTGATCTCTCCTTCCCTCCTTCGAATTTGCCCCCGGTATCCTCCGGAATTTGTAGCTAGCATTTGAAAACCCTTAAGTACCAAATACTGCATTTATACATGAGCGGGAACCATATAAAAAATGAAGGCCGGTCCATCACGTCACATGATTTGACAATGATTTGTCATGATAGACTGGCCTTCATTTTTTATATGGTTCCCGCTCATGTATAAATGCAGTATTTGGTACTTAAGGGTTTTCAAATGCTAGCTACAAATTCCGGAGGATACCGGGGGCAAATTCGAAGGAGGGAAGGAGAGATCAGCCATTTCCCGTTGCATTGTGCTTTTCCCGTAGCGTTGGCATCAATAGTAGCCTGACAATCGGTGAAAGAAGTGCAGGTCAAAGGTGTTAATTCGGTCAAGTCGACTAGATTCACGTTGGCACTACAGCTTGGCCATCCAAGCAATCGTCTCCTCAGCCCATTGCTCGCCCTGTCCCGTGCCCAGAGCGAATGTGATGCTGATGTGGTTGTGGCCTGCGGCCGTGATGTATGGTGCTTGGATCCCCCTAGACTTCACGGCAGCCGCGTATTCATCGCCTACAATGATGAGCCCCTGTGGATCGCGTTCGCTACGCAGCATTAGAAGAGACGGGAGGGACTTGATCGTCTCGTCCGATGCTCCCGAAAGTAGGGCGAGCGGCGAGAACTGTCTGGCCTTGTCCTCCGAGCCGTAATACATCGGGGCGGTGCCCATACCCCGGTCAAAGTGATACGGTGCGGATGCAATGACGGCACCCTTGATCTTGGAGAGCAGTCCACCGATGATGGAGGGCGTGAAAAGCAGCGTCAGAGTGTGGGCCGCGCCGGCGGAGAAACCCAGGAAGAAGACTTTATCCAGGTCCGCCCCGGGCCCCATTTCATCCGGGTGGCTGGTCACCCACTGAAGAGCGTCGCGCAGATCCTCAGCGGGCCCCGGGTAGGTCGTCGCCGGCGCCAGGCGGTAGTCGGCGATCACGGTGACGTAGCCGCGTTTGGCAAAGTAGACCCCGACGTTCCCGTAAGACGTGTCGGCGGGGGACGGGAGCGTACGATCTCCTTGCACGAACCCTCCCCCGTAGACGATGAAGAGGACTGGGTGTTTCTGGCTTGTGTCCGCCGGAGAGTAGATGTCCAGCTAATCGATGTCAGTAGACAGTAGATAAGAGGGTAGTTGGAGCGCACCTGATGTCTTCTCGTCCCTCCGTACTGGAATGTCTTCCGGGCAAGTTCGATCTCCTCCCTCAACGGCTCTAAAAGAGGCACAAAGATCCCAATGGCTACCCTCGGCATGCAATGAGTTCGAGATCTATGGAGTGTCTCTACCAATGTGCGCACTGGGGAAGAGAATCTCCATGATTTCAGTTTGTTTCAGCTTCGAGATAGCCTCCAGAGTGTCGACTGGGTGGAAAGAAGCGGAACTGTGCGTTTAAGAACAATGTGCGACCGTCGGCCGCGGCCGCGTCAAACTCCATCAGCCGCGCTGTAGTTGAGTTGACGACATGGACGTTGTATATGCAAGGGAGGCCATGGCGGAGACACTTCTGTATACTATGGTCTTCGATGCTTTAGAATGCGGACAGAGCAGACAGGTTTAGCAGTATACCCCAGACCTGTCTATCATGATCATCTGATGCTCATCAATGCGGGAGAGCGGCCATCTTTTGGAGATTGAATTCCGATTTTATTTTAGATGACAACATGAGGTGCCGACCAGTCCATATTGAGAAGAAATAAACTTGGTAAATATCTCATCCCTTCAATATTTATGGATCTTGGGGAAGATATCTGCGCAGAAAATCGAATACTCGAGAACCTGGGGCAGAGCAGTCAGGCCCTCAACGAGAATACTCTGGACCGTCTCGTCGTCGAGGAACTAGCAGAGAGACATCGGAATCTCAGCGAAGTTTCCTGGATCGATTGAGAACATTGCGCACCTCAATCAGATTCTCGAATTTCTGTAACACAACATGAATCAGATCGGGCCTTCAAGTGATGGAGGTGGTTAATACCCACCTCAGTCTCGACCGTCACGACGAAAGTGGGCTCCGGTTTGGGAAGATTGAGTTCAACCAGATCCTCACGAATGTCTTCGTTCTGGATCCACTGAAATCAACCCCAATCGCATCAGCCATCCACACCAGGGGCAAGATACTAGTAATTTCAAGCACGCACCAAGCTGTGCAGCAGGAGATTCTTCTTCGCGGCGGGAACCTCGAGGATCTTGTCCATCAAGTCCTCGAGTTTCTTGTGAACCGCTTTGAGTCCGTCGACGGACGTGTCGGGGCCGAGTTTGAACATGCCCATGGCATGTGTGCGGTCGTCTGCCTCCGGAACGTGGACCTTGGTGTGGAGGTCGGCGGAAAAGGAGCAGGAGCCGGCGTGGAAGCCGAAGTGCTCTGCTTCCATGATACGGGCGATGAAGGGCGGATCACGGATAAGCTATTTATCTGTGAGTGAGTGCACACGCTCGCAAGCTCGAATGCAAGAGGATATCTCGACTTACCGCGGAGAGCTCCTCTTTAGTCTGTGAAATTCTTCAACATCATTGTGTACAGCAGCAAGGAAGAGATGGTCTCACGTCGCACTCGATCATATGCCACACAGCTGGATGAGGAAGTGACAGCCCGAGCTTCACCAGATGTTCGTCGAGCTTATCGTTCTGCACAACCATCTCGAAGGTCTTGAAGTTCTGCGCGGCAAGGGGAACCCGGACAAGATCGTCGGTGAGGGTATTCATATGCTCCTCAAATTCCTCCTTAGGCATTCCAGGTGGCGCTTTGTACATTCCCATGGCAGGGAAACGTTCTGGGTGAGAGGCGATTGGCATTCTTGATGATTGAAGTTGTATCGCTTCCAAGGGGAGACTCAACTTGCTCTTTATACATCGCTTTCCTCAGATCTATCAGTCGGGCAGCCGAAGAGATATTCTAAGTGACAGTCTCTATTCCGAACAGGACAATGAAGACAAATCATTCATCACGCTAACCTTCACGGAAACAACACATGTGAGACAACGGTGCGGCGGGACCGCGGTATCGAGAAGGATACGATTAGCATTTAGGCGAGCGACGACAGCGTCGAGGAGAGCAATTGTTGCTCCCGATTGAGGTCATGCGACCGCAGGTATCCCCTCCAGGTGCTCGTCCTCCTCGTCACGAAACAAGGCATCGTAGTATGCAAGGCATGAGACATCTGATCTATCTAGAAGAACGCCGCCATCAGCCAAGCTTGAGAGCAGCATGCAGTCAGGCACCAACCGAAACTCTTTGCGGGATCACATTCGCACCGGCCGCGGGTGAATGCGGGTCCCTCTGGACAGTGCTCATAAGGCATGTGGAAATAGCCTTCGACGTTGTGAGTAAACAGATCAACTGGACAGCACATATGCACACCTATTTCATTGAAGAAATGCTGTCGTGGAAGTGAGAAATGGATCTGAATAGAAGGAAGTCCAGAACACACAATCTGATCTTTGCGCAGAAACATGGCCGCTCCCAGAGTATGTACGGGGGCGTCACCCCATCTCTGTATAGCGTTTTAGTAGAAATATCGAAGAAAATTTCACCGAAACCTCATAGTAAAAGCCCTATGATGATGTAATGAGTCTACAGCCGCGGCGGTCAGTGTTGATACTGACACCCTTCCTGTCGAGGAAGTCGAAATACTTGAGATACGACTCGCTCCTCCACAGGTCAAGATCCGCAATCTCAAAGTTGGACCAGACTGACAAACGAGGCACGATCAAGGGTGTTCGGAACATGGAGAAGCACTCGTCTCACAATGGCATCGATTGTAGTAGCCTTTGCGGCGGTCAATCAACATCTCCATCGCGTTATCTGTGACAACCAAATCCGGATTCATTCGCATGAATGCTATCGGCAAGTGAATCTGACTGCGCACGATAGCAACGGATCATACTTGCCTCGGACTGTTGTCCAGAGTGATGGAATTGTCTTCCGATACTCCCCGAGACTGATCGTAAACGCTGTGGTCGCCATTCAACAGTCTGAATGGTGGGAAATATGAGCAGATGCACCGTAACGTTTATCTTCGCCTTCCATGAACAGGAACGGATCGAAATCCAGGTCGCAAGAGAATTTCACATCCGGTCTGTGAGGTGTTGATAAAATTTCGAATCGCAAGGATTGTGCCGAAACTTACTCTACCCTGCCGCGTGGATCTAGTTTGTGAAATGAATGGCTGACAGGACACAATCACGCACCGCCAGTACCATCTGTACTTCTTGAGTAATTCGTGTCGAAAGAAGAACTGCACGTGTAATTTGGTAAAGACGGCAGAAATGCCGAGTGGTTACGCACCCCAGATTGGAAGCGACACATGTTCCGGTATCTGCCTCCACAAGTATCAGCTCAGCGGGTGCAGAGAGGATTGCGATTCACGAAACGCTATCTGAAGCATGGTTCGTCAGTCAAATCAAGCGGACTTGGAAACACCAAGGCTTGTCCGCACCTCCGTATAGCACGGTATTCTTCATTCGCTCGCGCACTGCAGATGCCTTGTTCTCATCGATCCACGATGGCTGATACCAGTCCTCCGGTGGAACTAAACCGAACTCGACACGCGCGCGAGTGAGCGCTGTCACGGCACTATGACTGCATTAGCACGCAACATCCACAGCACATACCATCGAGCGCTCACACTTTGAATGCCTCATCAAATGGAACTTCGTTAAGGAAGACATAGGGGTAATTGAACTTGTGGTTGAACTTTTGCTCGAACTGGATGAGTGTCTGCACCACTCCGGGCAAGTTGCGGTTGCGTGCTGTCAAGAGATAAATTATATTTCTATCTTTGTCTCGCGGCCTTCATGGAACAGACCGAGGATGACTATTGCGGCGGAAGCGCGTTTCGAGGTGTTAGAGGCCTGGTAGTATTTCTCCGCCACTGGTGTCTTGTATGGCGGTTCGCGCCATATCTTTGGGGAGGGAGGACTCTGGAGCTCATCCAAGACGAGGCTGGCAGCCCGGTTAGGGTTGAAAACCGAGAGCAACTGGGCCGAATGCCGGTGATATGCATAAGTCTGAGAGAGCTTAGAAACCGATGCGCATCCGTGCAGAAGCAAATCTCTCTGAAACGTACTGATAGAAGCACGAGTGCCAGCAGAAGAAGTAGGCTCCTTTTCCGGAATATCATTCTCGATCCGGCTGAGCTTATTGAGCGGCCGATGTTATTCACAGGCTTGCTGGGAGAGAGAGAGGGTTGTGTGCTGTCAATGTGCGTGAAATGATCCGGTGAATCGGCCTGATATCCAACACCATTGGTCACAGCCCAGGTGATGAGGTCACGCCACGCACAGCTTTTTTTCACTACGACTCTCAGGGAGTCAGCGCCATTCGAATTGGCCGGTCAAGCATCCCCTTCAGAGAGCCCAGAAGTCTTCAGACCATGAATCTGCATTCATTCCTGAAACTCGCTTCACTACTCGATACTTCCAGCTTCCGGCGACAACCTAAAACTGACTATTTCTCACTTCGAATTCTTCCCGTGTTATAGCTCACGCGTCATCCTTTCTCCGCCGATGCAGCTCTCGACTTCTATGAGCCGCAGCGTCATCGCTGCTGTGGGACGACTTTGTACCACATGAGTCGGCAAGTACCAACGGAAAACCCCGGATTTGAAGAACGGAGAGGCGTCATTTGGATTCTTGCAAGCCGTAGTAACGGGCCGATGACGTCCTCGCATCCGGCCATTGAAGGGCGCACAAGGATATGAGTCAGGTCAGCTGAGTCTTCAAAGGATCACTCATATTGGGCGTTATCGCAGTCTTGATCGCGCTGACTGACGTCCCACAAATCGATCTATAAAACAACGAACACGCACAGCGAGGTGGCCATAATCGCACCCCCACTTTCCACGACTCCCTCATGCCCACTCTCCAGTCAGGCAAAGTCCTCGTCTCTGGCGCCAATGGATACATCGCAGTGGTCTGTGCATTCCGTTTCCCCGAGCTGCCCTCCGATCTGACACGCCAACGCGCAGTGGGTGGTGCGCTTCTTCCTCGAAGAGGGCTATTCCGTGCGCGGGACGGTGCGTTCGGCGGACAAAGGCACGCATCTCGTCGAGCTCTTCAAGTCATACGGCGACAAGCTCGAGGTGGTGGTCGTGCCGGATATCACGGCGGTGCGTGCATGATCGTCCGTGTCGCGCAGCCTTGACTCATGGCGATGCAGGACGGCGCGTTTGACGAGGCCGTTAAAGGTGTCGATGCGATCGCGCACACTGCTTCCCCGTTCCATTTCCAGGTCCACGAACCATCGGGTGCGCTTGTGGTAGTGTCTCACTGCCCTTCTTTCGCTGACTCGTTCTCCAAGAGCTCATCGGGCCCGCTGTCAATGGCACTTTGGGGATACTGAAGAGCGCTTTGAAATGCGGGTCAGTCTTTCTCTTTGATCCTTCGATTTCAATATCACTCATTTGATCTGTAGCGAGAACGTCCGCCGCGTAGTGGTGACTGCTTCGACTGCCACGGTCCTCACGGCCAACCTGCCGACGCAGACGGTATTCAGTGAGAAGGACTGGAACGAACGGGCAATAGAGCAGGTAGAGAAGTTGGGTGTCGAAGCCAGTGCCGGTGACAAGTACTGTGCCAGCAAGACTCTCGCTGAGCGTGGTGAGTGCCAGCTTAGGTTTTCGTATTGGTATCCATAGTACTGAGCTTATAACGTCCAGCTGCCTGGAACTTCATGAAGGAGCACCCGGAGGCCAAGTTCGACCTCACGGTGCTCAATCCCCCGCTTGTCTTGGGTGTGAGCGAGCAATCGCACTCACGCTCGCCTCGAAACTGACAAGATCTGCTCCCAGCCTGATATCCAGGGCGTCTCGTCTCCATCCGAGCTCAACACATCCTCGAAGGCGATGTACCGCGGCCTCACCGACCCCGCAGCGCTTGTCGACGGCGCTCCGTTCATCGACGTGCGCGACATTGCGCTGGCCCATGTCCGCGCGGTGCAGCGAGAGGAGGCTGGCGGGGAAAGGATCATTGTCGTCGCGGACAAGCCCTACACGTGGCAAGATTGCCGTGAGTCGCGGCTGTGCTCCCACTCGATGTGCGTCGCATGCTGACAAAAACCTTCTTTCTCTTGGCCAGTCGATGCACTGCCGGCGGCGGCCGTGGCTTCTGGAAAGTACCAGAAGGGAAAGCCCGGGACCGGCAAAGACGTTCCCCAGAACATATTGTATGACAACTCGAAGGGGAAACGGATCCTCGGCATCAAGTACCACTCGCTGGAGGAGATGACCGCTGCCACGGTAGAGCAGTGGGCGGGCCGTGGATGGTGATCTCTCGATCATAGCTGTGGTTCTATCTATACGTGTTACATAGACAGACAGCGTTCACTGCCTCAGAGAATAGAACCACTGATGAAGTGAGTACAACTGAGTTCGAAGGGATTGTGCCATTGATCAGCTGCATCAACGGGAAGCTAATCACGATAGTGGATGAACCTGGAGTAGTATCCTTTCAGTGGTGAGCAGAACTGCGAGTTGTTTTATGCCCGGTACGGATCCCCAAAGTGTCCGCATTTCGATTGCTCGCGCCAGGGAGATCCGCGGGTCCCAGCTCGAATAACGGATAACGATCTCGCATCCATGCCAAAAGAACTGGACAGCTTGTACAGCCTTCCCGAGATGGCTTCTGAAGTTTTGCCTTCAAAGGGGACTGACGAAGGCTGTCCGTTGACACGCGTCCTCTCTCTTATGTCGTCTCTCACCGAGCTCGACGAGTCATCGGTTGTATGGGGCAGTCGGGTGTTGATTTCGGCAGCGGGTGCGTTCGATGCTCGGGAGATCTTGGCATGTCTGACATGCCAACAGTGCTCTTCTTCAACGACTTCCTGTTGACGCTGCCGCAAGAAGTGCGGTTCCACGAAAAGCGCAGAAATCGGCACGTAAGCGGGACGGTCTTTTTCATCCTGCTGCGATACATTCCTGTGCTGTATCACCTGGCCGTGATAATACCGATATGCCGCGATGTGTGGACCGTACAAGTGTGTACTCTTTGCTTCCTGCGCATGAAGATGGCTCTTACTGTGTAATAGACGTATGTACAAATCCTCACGACTTTCACCATTGACACAAACCCTTACCCGACCCTGGAGCTGTGCGATCTGGGATTCAATCGGCCTTAGCTTCGATTCCGCCTTCCAGATGATTTATGTTTGTGGGTACTCATATGGTGTATCCTTGACCGAGCTGAACGACCCAGGTATCATCTCTTGGAGAATTTTCATCATCAGTGGCAAGCCGGTTGGAGCGGTCGCCCTCGTCGTGGGTCTCTTGCCTTCAATCATCAATGTGGCTCTCCCAAATCCGTCGGTTTTCCCTCAATGCCGGGCAATAAATCCCTCTGATACGTCGAGGTCAGTCGGCTACCCGCTGCTGGTACTCACCAGGACGGGCTCAATCCCTCACAGAATCAGTGAGAGCCTTTCTGCGTCGAAGCTGACGTAGTAGGATCCATGGGAAGCCTGACTCAGCAAACAGTTTTGTTTGTGCCTTGCTTACGGGCGATATTCGACGCTTTCACGACGATCGTGTTGTTCTTCACCTTCTGGAAGCGCTCCCGTGCGATTCGGGACTTGCCGGGACTGAGCACTGGGGGGCTCGTTGAATATTTGATGGAAGAAGGCGAGTGCTCCGCCGTTTGTCCGTATACGGTGGATGAGAACTCCGAACAGAAATCAAGGATATCCTGTGCGTTCCCGCCTCTGATATTATTATCGAAATTGAGGACGATTCTCATTACCAGCTTGATCTTTGTGATCATGGCGATGGAAGCAACCTTTTTCCAGGTACATTCCGATCCCTTTATTCCATGAGATCGAGGCTTCCCACCTTACATTTTCCAGATCCCTTCGGTATGTGTGCTCACTGCCTAACAACGCGCCAACTCACTCGTATCAAAGGCGCGCAATCACGCAAGGAACTTCATCGCGCCATATGTTGATGCGTAAGTCTCTGCTTGCCGCGGCGGGGTTATCTGTGACACTGCTGAACACATGGTCATTGGGACAGACTGACACCTCTGCTGGCGACGCGATTCATCCTTGAGCTGCCCATGCGCAGTCAGGAGACCGCGGAGACGAGAATGAGTGCCGTGTCCCGCACATACTTTGAGCGTTACGGGTCCGAGAGGAACACGAAGGTCAGTGGGTCAACCGATCTTCGGCGTATTGGAATGAAATAACGCTCATAGGGGTTGTATTCTACTGATGGAGATGAGGGCGAGAGCGCGGTACGCCGGCAAAGCATTATAATCTGCAATCGAGGAATCTGAATGAACACCATAGGATTTTGGAACGACGACCATACGACCGGGGGATAGCGCAGTCCATTTGCCGGATGTATCGTCGTATCGTGGATCCGACCTGTCACGCTCGACTACTGTACAAAGTGCAGTGGCCTAGAAGGCTGCCGCAGTTATTAATAGCATATAAGATTACCATCCCATTCAATTCACTCTTTAGCGCCGTTGAGATGATAATAATAACGACCCGTTTGAATCACTGGGTGAGACGAATAAGATGCTTAATCAACCCGCCACCCATTTATAAAGCCAGAAAAAGCATCCATCCTGCCCCAATCAACTCAGCCCCAATGCAATTCCCCACCATCTCTTTCACTCGCCTCGCTCTTGTAGTTACTGCCCTGGCAGTCGGCGCCAACGCTGCCGCGGTCGAGAACCGCATGGGTAAATGTGTCTGGAACGAGGTTGAACAGGCCTGGATTTGCTAGACAGGTGCCTCTTTCTCAGTGTTGAAAGAGAAAAACTTAAAGCTGATTCACAACACATTCAGGACATTCCCAGGTCGAAGTCGATTCTTCACCGCAGTCCATGGTCATACAATAATTGTACCTCTGCTGCCATCAATTTCGCGATGCCGTCTCTGCCCACTCGTCTGTCGAGTACTCCGTGTCCATCGTATATGCTGCATGACGGGGACCCAACGTCGAGATGACAGGCAAGTCGGTTTCCCTTGCCCCCGACGACGATCGGGTGGCGAGCGAATGGCGGCCTGGCCAGCGCTGGGACTGATCCCGTCGACGGCCGGATTCGTGCAGATTGAACATCAGTCGGGAGATCATCACGGAGGACGTTCTGTCTATATGTGAGCGGCGGTGCTTCACGGATCTCAAGTAGTGGGACTCGCTCCACGCACATGCTCGTCACGTTTGTGGCACTCCCGCGAATGAAGGGCTGGTTACAATAGACAATTGAGATCACACATTGCGGGAGGGCGGATGGCTTACGCTGCCCATCTGTGCGGAGAAGAATCAGCACATCTAATGCAGATGCCGATCATGGAAAACTCAACAGTGTATGTTCCGATATTGATCGCATTCGCGACTAGTATCAGCCTAGTCTCGGTGAGCTCGTGCTGTGCGATACGGTGCAGTACTCCACGAACCCAAAATAGATCGTACCTGATTCATCACATTCAATCAGTGGCCGGAAATGGACCGGAACAACACATACCGTCGCGCACCAAAACAGTCAAAAGATCGCCTCGTCGTGTCTCGATACTGAGTGCTTTATATAGCGTGAGAACGAATATCATCGAATCGAACACGAGCTGGGAAAATCATCGTCAGCTTCTTGCATAGCCCGATGTTTGCGCGGGTAAGTACCATCCCGGCCCATGCTTCTGCTAAGCCTGAGTGAATCCTCTGTCAATAACTGGGAATTGTTTCCACGGTGCGAAACGTACGTATGCTCCTGGCGGGAGCTGTCAGCGAGCCGAATCAGCCACGAGGAGACCAAACTTGGCACATACTTGGCATGCGCGGTTGCAAACGGGCATCCATAAACCTGCAGCTCAGGCGAGAGGGTGCTTTCGTTGTTCCCGGTCAGCAAAAGCGTCTGCGGTGCCGATGGTCAGGATGCGGGCGAGTCGTTAGAATCAACGAGGATCTGACCATAGCGGAGGCAAACGCCGAAAGCGTGATGGATATCATGACCCCGAGAACGAGTTTGTTTTTCGAGTAGAGCGCATACGTGCGCATGATCAGTATGCCTGCTCTCAGTCAGACTTCGGGCTGCAATTTGAAGTAGAATTGCGACGGACAGGCGACGAGGACCTGCGATATGAGCGCAAAGTACTGGTGATACATCCTCAGCGAATGACACCTAAGCGCCGGCGTCAGTCCCGTGTCTTTTATTTCCCAGAACGAATCATCAGCTAATTACATCTGTGGGAGACAGCTCAGCCTGCGATCACCGCAGTACGCACGGGGGGAAATGTGCCACGCACTGGAATCTTGCCCGGATCCGTCGTCGTCAACCAGAACTGCACCACCACCGGGATCGTGCCGAGCAGCGACGAGTAGCGATTGAGATAGAAGAAGAAAGAGCCCCATGTGAACGACGTCGTCCAGAAACCCGACACCTCGAGCTGGATGGTCAGGAAGTAGTCGTACACGAGGACGGCTGCAGGGCACAGATGTGGATCAGCGGGTCCGTGCACGCAGGGTCAGGTGGCACACGCACTATACGGGATGACGACCAAGATGCGGGCGGTGGATCTGGCCCAATCTGGGTCAGCCGTACGGAGCGGGAACGAAAACGCTGTGATGGACACGGAAGACGGACGGACGTACATGGCGTTCTGAATCTGCACCGCATCCTCGGTTTCCGTTTCCATCGTCTTTCGTTTTGATCGCGCGCAGTGGGCCGCCGGAGTTGAGCCTCGAGGATCAGCGTGCGGGAGCTCACGACGAGGGATCGGGCATGGGGGTGCAGAGAAAGAGGCGAATCCCCATGTGATGGAGCGTTGTTACCATCACTTGCACATCGGGACGATCGCGCCGGAACCCGGTGCATCCACAGAAGATGACCGTCCCATTCCGAAAACCCAACCTTCTGACTTGGACTACCAACACATCAATATTGAGTCTAGGAAAACTTTCCGAGCATCACGCAAGATTCTGATTTTCTCTTGAAAAGATCAAGAATTTTATGCTACTTTGTTGGGCCAACCAATAACCATCTTGATGAACAGTCTCGGTCTTTTCGGAGATACCAAAAGGGATACGCACTCACGTGATTACTTGGCAAACGACCTTTCTACCCGAGTCCGGTCGTCGGTTTCATATTCGATTCCATAGAGAATCATTATTCGTGTGAATTTACCATGCCAAGTCGTCGAGTTCGGTGAATGGCTTGGATGTTCCGTACTCGCACCACTTTCCTTGCATCTATCGTGGATCTCTCCAATGATTGCAGTAAATCTCCAAGTCTTGTGGCAAGACCGACCAGCGCACTCACAGTGGCGACGTGATTTCGCACTTGAGTATCCAGTGTGACAAAAACGATCAACGGCTCAAGAGTAACAACGTATGAGTAGATGGAAGCCGAAAAGATTCAATTCAACTGGCCTCGTCCGCGTCGGCGAGCGACTCAGTTCCGTCGGATGATCTCGACATCGGATGAGACACAGCTCAAAATTTGACGTCTGTGGAAGAACAATATTTTCGAATTTAGTTCGGCGCAAACGGCGCGAGAATTTACAGTATTAATTAGACGAATGTATATATCGACGATTCTGATTACCATATCAAAGACCGTCGGCCTCAGCAGGCTCAGCAGCTACTCAGAGTCAGAAATTTATTTCACGGAGAACTAGACTTGTGCACTTACCGAAAAAATGAGCGACCAAACTCTCGGGACCCGAGACGGCGTTGAGCAATTTAACGAAAGGATCCTTCGGTGCACGCGATACAAAAACGCAGGCAGTCGGAGCGGAGGAATGCGCCGCAAAAGGAGGGTCCAAGATCTGCCGCATCTTGGTCAGCCGTTCGCGAATATCGCAAACGTTGGGATAGTCCTTCTCGACGGCCACAGCCGCGGCGACCCAGTCGCGGGCGAACCGCGTCTGGCACGTGTTTTCGTGGTAGCTCAGGGTGCACAAGGCGCGAGAGACGTCGATCCTGGGCACCCTGTGCCGCAGGCCGAGCCAAGAAAGCGAAAGAGATGAGTAGCCGGTGTAGATTCGGCCGAGGTGGACGGGTGATATGTCCGGTATGGTGGTGGCCGGATCTTCGTGACAAACTTTCTGATCAATTTTGTCGGCTCAATAACTGTGACCACAAATATTCTAATGCATTGAAACATTGAATTTAGCACCCTATTGAGTAGTACTAGGAACCCCATGGAGCAGAATCTCGAAATTCGTGACTCCGGAAAATGTCATTCCGATTTGGCCATCCCAAAAAGGAATTATCTTCCCACCCTCTACCACACACCATGGGTCGACGAAAAACGGCCTCTGAACGCTTCCGCACGTCCAATGGGACCTTTGCGTCAACCAGGACACTCGAAAACGACCACGAAGGCTCCTCAGATCGCGCAGAGAGTGATGTCGATGCGACTGACATAGAGATGGCAGATAATGACACCGACTCCAATTGGACGGAACAGAGCGACGAGAGTGGGTCAGACGAGTCGGAATCAGAGGATGAGACGATCCGAATTGTTTTGCCCAGCTCCTGGGGGGAGGCTGCAGCTCCACAGACTGTGTTTGTGTCGTCAATGTCCGGGGCAGAGCGTGCGTGGGATGGACCGGGAGATCGAGACACAAAGGCAGGGAAGAAGAGGGGACCTTATGGAATCGGCGGAGACTCGGATCGTGAAGTGAGACGGAAGCGGCAGAAGGTCATGAGCGAATTTAGGAGAGGCTCGATATCAGCGGCGGCGAGAGACATCCAATTGGCTGGGATCGAACGGAATGCAGCCCAGAAGCCTCGAGCGGATGCAAAACTCACCTCATTCTTCACCCGAGCACCCATCGCATCCGCCTCCCGCTGCTCCCCATCTCCCACTGTGCACGAGGAACCAGACAACGACGACATCACCTATCTCGGCGTGCGCACAATCCCTGTGCATGAAGATCTGCCCATTCTGTGCACCATGAGCGAGACCCCGGAGCGCAGAAGTCAATCCACTGCACCTCCCATTGCACCACCTGGTGCTGAGGCACCGTCTTCCTCACCCGAGCCACCGCTTTCCGAGGCAGATCAAGAAGAGGATCCTTCCGTGCTCGCGGAGCTCAAAACGGCGGATGATGTGGCGGACTGGGTCGAGGGAGTCATCGGAGAGGAAATGCCAAAGAGTGACACTGAGCTCTGTCTCATGGCAAATGAAGGAGTGAGATTAGCTCGCAAGATGAAGGACTATCGATCGGAGGTGCTCTGGGCCTCACTTGTCAAATTCTACACATGGAAACCCCGACACGGCCGTGGTGGGGCCGCTTTGCGATGTGCAAGAGCCTTGTTGCGTGGTCCAGCATTTGCTCGTGTCCTGTGCCAGCAAGCACGACATGTTGAGTCCTTCGGCGCTCTCAAAGCCTCCAGACAAGGACAGCGAAGTCAAGGCATGTCTCTGCTTGATAACGAGGCCTTTTTGTTGGGTCTGCAGCGCTGGCTGCGAACGTTGGAAGCAGGAAAGGTTTGCGTTCCCATGGCCGTCAGATAAGATTGATCTCATGTGTTCATCAGGTCAACCCGAAGCTCCTTCAGCAATATGTCAATGAGACTCTGCTGCCATCGCACAATCTTCGAAAGAAGTCAATCTCCCGACGGCAGTCACGCCGATGGTTATATCGGCTTGGATATCGTCGAAAGCAACATTCGAAGGGCGTTTATTGGGATGGGCACGAGAGAAAGGACGTCAAGAAACATCGGGCAGAATTCATTGCGCAAATGTCCGACCTTGAAAAGTCAGTCATTGAATCTTCATTCACGGAATCATTCTCAAGAATTGGTCGCAGCTTTCGTCCGATTTATGACGGCAATGAGATGTCAGAGCTGGCACCACCCATGAAGGATGCACAGGGATGGGAGCACATTCTCATCTATCAAGACGAGTCTAGTTTCCACGACAATGACTATCAGAATGTCTCCTATTATCTTCGTCCCGGGGAACAGGTTCTGAAGAAGAAAGGCCGTGGTCGTCTCATTATGGTCTCTGGATACATCTGCGAACGCTTTGGGAATCTTGCGCTCACTGATGACTTGATCGAGGCTAACAATAAGCTACCCACAGCAGAACAACTTGACATTGTTGATTCTCGTGTGGTCATCTATCCCAATGGAAAGGAGACAGGCGACAACTATTGGAACATGGATCAGATGATTGAGCAGGTGTGACGGGAAGACATTCATATTATCTCTGACTCATTACATGAACTACAGCTTCGGAATGCAATCAAGATTGCCAAACGACTCTTTCCCAAAGCAGTGATTCATTGGGTGTTTGACAACTCATCATGTCACGGCAGCTTACCCCATGATGCCATTTCTGTCAGCAAGATGAATTTGAAGCCAGGAGGGAAGAATCTGCTGTTGTTCAAGGACACCATCATCCCAATGAGCAATCCATTTGGCAAAGGTGGTCAAACTCAATCATTCCAGTTCCCGGCCCATCTTTCTGATGATGATCCTTACAAGAAGTTTGAGGGGCAGAACAAAGGCATGCAGCTTGTGCTTGAAGAGCGAGGATACGATGTTCGAGGTCTCAAGAAGCAACGCAAAGTTTGCGAGCAGGAACGCACTCGCAAACCTCACCTTTCTGACCTAACCCCTGCAGAAGAAGCATTGGCAGATGCAGGAGCAAATGACACGGATGATGAAGATGACCGACCTGTTAACTGCTGCCTTCGGCGTCTTCTAGAGAACGAAGAAGACATCAAGAATCAATGTTCTCTCCTCCAGGAGGTGAGTGCTAATCAGTCATTTTCCAATTGTACTTTTCAATGTTATCAGATTGTTGAAGAAGCAGGCGGGGTCTGTCACTTTCTTCCCAAGTTCCATCCAGAACTCAATCCCATTGAGTATTTCTGGGGATGGGTAAAGAATTATTTCCGCCAACGATCTCAAGGCAATTTTGCACATGCACAAAAGTTGATCAAGGAGTCGTTGGAATCCTGTCCCGTAGCAACAATCCGTTGCTTTTTCCGACGTGCGTTCCGGTATCTCAGTGTTTACAAGGCAGGGAAGACTGGTTATTTGGCTGAGTTTGCTGTCAAAAAATATGCTTCACATCGGTCTGTCCCCGCAAAAGAGCTTGAAGAGATGCAGAAAGAGTGGGAGGTGAAGCAGGAGAAGGCTAGAATACTCGCAGCGTCCAAATAGATTCATTTCCGTGTCTGTCTACCAATATTTTACCCTGTCGAAAGTTCGATCCTTGCTCAGGAATTTGGCCATCAGCCATCAAAAAGTTCCCACGGTCCCTCCTTCTGGATTTCACCCACTCTTGGGGTCTAGCTATCTCGGAATTCTGGTCCGAGCAAAAAATGATCAAAATTCCGATGTGACATGAAGATCCGGCCACCACCATACCCAAAATCTGGGTCTTGTCACGGCACTGGTCAGCTTCGGCACTGGTCAGCTTCGGCACCGGCCTCGGGCCCATGCTTATCTAAAAAAGAAGGATCAGAGGGATTATGTGTAAGATCTGGCCATATTGTTGGCCCAAGGGACCCACGCTCGCCGGAGATCTCAGTGCATCTGTCATCCAATCGTCGTTCAAGTCTCGCTGCAAGTAAAGAATTAACCGCCGTGTAAAATCAACTTGGACTTGCTCGTATGATTTTATTCCGGACGGAAAGAGTTTGAGTACTGATAGTCTCACGGTACCGAGAATTCAGACTGGCCCGGCCGGTCCGAGTCGCTTGCTTGCAATCTGATTGATTGATGGACCCTAGCCCCTTCCGAAGGAGCAGTTCACTTCTGATCTCTTGCCGTTACCCGTGATTTCTTGGACGAAAATCAATTTGCCCTCCACAATGACAGTCAGCACGGGGAATCGGGATCGGAGCACAACCGTCGCGTGAGCAGTGATCTCTGTCCCCCCGCTCCTCATAGGAGACGAACACGTTCCCAGACTCACGGTTCCTCCCCCGCTCTCCCCCAAACGACGAAAACGCGCACCTGAGACGCACGCAAGATGCCCACAGTCGATATCACCAGCAAGGGTGGCCCATTGACTGTATCCTACACGATCTCCACCCCGAATTCGACGTTTGCCAAGACCATCACGGACGGCCTGCCCACCGTCGTCTTTCTGCATGCCGTCTTCGTCGGGAAAGCGTCATTCGACGGTGCGTCGCTTTCCGCGTGCGGAGTCAACGCGTCAGGTTCCTGATCGCTCGCGCCGTGCAGCGCAATACCGGGATCCTCGACTGCGCCGCTTCAACCTCATCGCCCTGGATTTGAGGGGCCACGGCGACACGGTGGGCGACGCAAAGGAGACTTATGGGGTGGAGGAGGCTGCGGATGATGTCGCGCAGTTTCTGGTGCGTCCCTCGCCAGCTCGCGATACGCCCACACGACCGACTTCGCACCCAGGAAGCACTCCGACTGCCCCCCGTGCATCTCATGGGCGTGAGCCTCGGGGCTATCATCGCCCTCGAAGTGGCAGTGAGATACCCACATCGTCTGCAGTCGCTCATTCTCAACTCCTGCCCTTCCATGGACGAGGTGTGTGTGCACTGTGCTGTTCACATCTTGATCGCCCTCACGCCTTACTGGTATGCACAGCCCGCAGCAGTCGCTGAGGGTCGCTTGGAGATCTACACGCTCTGGGCGAACGCGTTTGAGGGTGCGCGACAGGCTGGAACATCGGTGGACGAGGAGTTCCTGCACGAGGCCGTGTACGGCGCTCTGCAGCTGAACGTGAACAACACGGACTGCCCGTTGGTCGACCAGTGCGTCACCCACTCTTCGTCGGCCGGGCGGGTCCGCATCTCCTGCCATATTCACCACTCCTGCGCAGACTGACCGAACTGTACCTCAAGCACGCCCTGCACAACTGGGACGGCGCGCATCTGCAGTTCAGCCGGCGGGTGACCGTCACCCCGTTCGTCGACCGCCCGCGAGCGACGGTGCGCGGGATCGCGTGCCCGGTACTGCTGATCCACTGCGAGCACGACGTGGCGTATCCACTAGAAGCGGCCGAGGAGATGCGCGACGCGATGGAGGTGGCGGGCGTCGAAGTGACACTGCACGAGGTGCCCGGCGCGTTCGCCTTGGCGCATCTCTCGGACGCCGACGAGTGCGTTTCCTCGCGTTACCGGTGCTGCGTGCTGCGCTGATCAGGGGAAATCAGGATCAACGAGCTGGTCTACGATATGGTGTTGCAGCGCGCTCGGGAAGAAGACCTCCCTCCGGCTCCGACGACGGTCGTTTCTCCGTTCGCGGAGCTGCTTGTTCGCCATGACAAGCGTGATTCAGATGACACAGATTCGGCTTCTGAAGGTGTCCATTGATCCGTTACCAGCTCGCACTTTGGTCATTAGGGGTATACTTGGTGATGTGATACACAGGACTAACCGTAAAGAGCTAGCAGCGAGGCACATTGTGAGAGATCTGTCCATGCTTTGGTAATAGAGCGTGGGAAACGCAATTGCTATGACATTTCACCATCACCTCATGTATACAAGACCATCCGTCTGTATTTGTATGACAGAGCAAACGCAACCCCACTCTTACCCGACCCTTTCTCTCTGCACGACAGACCATGGCGTTTTCGGAATCAGGTGCGACCGTAACGAAGAAGACCGCACACATGACATTGATAATCACTCCAGATGACTCGAGAATGAATGGATACAGCCGTGACTGCGACATGAAATTTGAAACTTCAGTGCAGGTGTAGCAAACGACTTGATTCCCTTTGAACCAATCGATTGGTCACCCGCGGTTATAGTCGAAGGTAAAGATTGGATTGCACGGCTTGATCAGGGCCGGGACGAGTACAGAAGAATCTACAACCTATCGTACAAACAGCGGACTAGGAGTTGAATCCTTCAGGTGGGTGGGCAGCCCATTTACTGGGTGCCCTTGACGAGCAGGTAGCTGTAGGTGATCGAGTTCTGCATGCCGTTCATGCCCAACTGCAGCTGGTGGCCGCAGTTGGTGGCGTCCTTCTGGCCCGCGACAACGCGGTACAGCGAGCACGTGAGCTGCGTCGAGTTTTTCTTCTGATGATCGTCAGTACCGTGTTTTCGGCGGAGAGGGAGAGAGAAAGGACGGACGACGCTTCCATTGTCGTGGTAGACTGGATGAGAGTTCCAAGTCAGTGAGCGAAACTCAGATCAGTCCACGTCCACGCACAGTTCGCACTCATACAGTCCCTCTGGGCCGTGCACATGTCACCGCAGGCTGCAACGTCCGTCAGCAGCAAGTTCGCATGAGGAAGCCATGGCGGGCGCATTTACCCTGCGCAGAATCGACCAGAGCGAACGTCTCGTACGCATTGGCCGGCTGCGAGATTTGCACGGCGCAGGTGAGGTTCTGGAAGCCGTAGCTGTAGCCAGTCGGGGTGGCGGGCGCCGTCGCGTTTGCGTAGGGAGACGGGGCTGCGTTGGGCACGGCCATTCCCGCAGCGCAGGCGACGAGAGCAGACAGGAGGCAGAAGACGTTGGAGATCATCGTAGTTGAGTTGCTCGATGCTTTCAATCGTCGTTGAGCTCACCCTTTTATACGCCCAGATATGTCCAATACCGGCGCAGTGGACTTGATGGCAGAGAGGATTCTCCACCATTGGACCAGGGATGGTCAGGAGAGGTAAATAACGGGCTTCCGAAAAACTAAGAACCGTTACTCGGGAAAAGTGATAGACGGTATGAGGCCCAGCTGCCGATGGGGTCGCCAGAAGACGGTCGAGCGCGCCAGCAAAAGGCTGCATATGGTGGAGACTCGTCTCGATAAAACCAGAACCCGTCTTCATCCCTGCGCGTCGGTCAAACCAATTCTGCACTCGATCCGCGACAAGCCAAGATTAACGGGCAAGGTGCACCCGCGAGCAGGAACAGCAATCAAGTTGCGGGTCATGAAACACAGGGGCTCGCACAGTACGGCAGACTCGGAATTGCGGTTCCAGACCACAGCGTAGGGGCTATTTGGGGTGACTGGATCAATGGGAGAGCCGTAATGAAGCGTCCTGGGACTAACACCCGTCGTAGAAAGATTCTCCGCGTGCGCTGGAGGCTGAGAGAGCAGCGGTGCGCGCGCATCACTCCCGGGCCGGCATTTCCGCGAATATCCAATGTATGATGTCGGATCAGACGAGCTCTGACGCTCCGAGTTGGGTTTGGGTTCAGACTAGCTTTATTTTCTCTTTTCCTTTCTATAAGCACATCGTCGGGACTGAACTGAATGCCCCGCAGGAATGTCGGGACTGGACCTCAGATTATTGCGAAGATTATGCGAGTCCACACGAGAACGGAACCACCCGAACAGGGCTAGAACCTGCCCTTCGGCAAGTACTCCCTAAACTCCTAAAAATCCATGCGGACCCGGACTTCATTTTAATCGCAGGGCCGGTGACTTCCTGTCGGAAGCCGGAACCGACGGCGCGCTTGGGGCCAGAGCGGCCCCTCGGAGTGGCGCACTCCTCCGAACTGCAACGTCGGTCAGTATAAATGTACGTAATATGTGCATCCTTCATTCCCAGCTGCGAATACGTCCGGAGACATGGAAGAGCTGAGTGGGGACTCGGGGATCGATTGGTACCAGTGCGATCCGGACGGTTGCTCGGTTCCCGGAAAGAGTAAGCCCAGGAAGTGATGGATTCCAAGAACTGATGGGAGTTCGAAAATACCTGACTTGGCCACTGCCGCACGGCCGAGAGTCATGGATAGACCCTGTGAAAAATGGCCGAAGAGATGAACGAGAGGGGACTGGCAGAAAATTGGCCGAAGAGAAGAACGGGAGGGGATTGCTATCCCAGTAGAGCACCCAGGGATGTCTGCAGTGATCTGACGGAGCGACTGCCCCACGACCGAGAGTCATGGATAAACCCTGTGTAAAGCGGCGGAAGGAAAATAACGAGAGGGAGCTGATATCCCAGTACGGCGCAGAACCCAATCGCTCCACTCTGGTGATAAGCATGACGGGCTGGGCTCTGGAAGGCGTGTCTGCGGCAAGCCGGCATTCTAAGCTACCGATTACCATGAATGCATTCGGCAGTTTCTCCGGTGCGAATCATATCTCAAGTGTGTTGGGGAAGTTTAAAGGCCATAGGCATGGAATTCAGAATTGTCACTGAAGTTCGAGTTGTTCGATTGCACTACGACTACCATCCACGGCCGCCCCACTGCTCAACAGTCGCCGCAGTCATCTCTGCCAAAGTGTGGTATTTCATGCCGAGAATCCGGACGCTCTTGGCGTTGTCGTGCAGCGTGAGCTGGACAAAGTCCTTGCCAGTTCCGGGGTTGCCCTTCTGGTACTTTCCAGAGGCAACAGCCGCAGGGGGCAAGACATCAACTGGAAAAAAGCGTCAATGAGGCACTATGAGGACGTGATGGGCCACTGACTGATGTCCTGCCAGGTGTAGTTCTTGTCAGCGCAGACAATGATGCGCTCACCACCGGCCGCCTCACGCTCGAGCGCGCGGACATGGGCGAGGGCAATGTCGCGGACATCGACATACGGAGCACCGTCGACGAGCGCTGCGGGGTTCGTCAAACCGTTATACATTAGTTGCAGGGACGTGTTCAGATCCGCGGGAGATTTGACTCCCTGTATATCGGGCTGGACAAATCCGGTGAGCTGAAGGCTTTGAGAGGCCCGAGCCGGACTCACACCGAAGACGGTCGGAGGGTTCAGCACCGAGAGATCAAACTTGGCCTCCGGGTGGTCCTTCATGAACTTCCACGCGGCTGAAACATTGATGAGGACTCGCGCAGCAAGTTCAAGGAACCCCGCGTAACATACCGCGCTCGGCCAGGGTCTTGCTCGCACAGTACTTGGCGCCATTGTTGGCATCGACACCTTTGGCCTCCACCTCTTGGACTGCTCCATCATTCCAGTGTTCTTCCGTGAAGACAGTCGGCTTCGTGTGGGTCAAGTCGATGATAGACGCGCACGAGGACGTGACGACGACACGGCGGACATTGGAGCTGTGGAATCAATGAGGGACGTGTACGAAGGGAGGGAGGATCGCGATTACCCGTATTTCAGGGCGCTCTGGAGCATCCCCACTGTGCCCTTGACCGCGGGCTCGATCAGCTCTATGGCGAGGTGTGAGAATCAGACGCGAAGGCTGGTAAAATGCCAGGCATACCAGAGGGCTCAGTCACATTGAAGTAGAACGGCGAGGCGGTGTGTGCGATCCCATCGACGCCCTTGACAGCCTCGTCGAACGCGCCCTCCTAAAAGTTGGACATGAGCATCGTCGTCCCGTCGTCTCGCCCATGGACGTGATCCACGCACCGCAGTGATATCGGGCACAACGACTAGCTCGAGCTTGTCGCCGTACGATTTGAAGAGCTCCTTGAGATTCGCCCCCTTGCTCGCCGAGCGAATAGTGCCGCGCACGGTGTAGCCTTGCTCCAAGAAGGAGCGCACCACCCACTGCAAGATCGCGGTCAGCGATCTCAAGAAAAGGAATATGGAGGGAGGAAACGAACCGTGGCGAGGAACCCGTTGGCGCCTGAGACGAGGACTTTGGCAGAGGCAGAGATAGTAGGCATGGTTTCCAAAGATGCTCTGAGAGGTGAGGATGTGAGATGGATTGAATGAGGCAAGACGCGTCAATGAACACTCCTATTTATACGAACTCGTCGTGCTTAACACCTCGCACATTTGGTGGGAGATCGACACCAAAAGGTAAATTTCCGGCATCTTGACTGCGTCACTCTGCCGCAGAGTACAAGTTAGCGTGTGAATGTTGGCACTTGCCAGTGATCCCGTTCGTGATAGTGATAGTGATAGTATTAATCTTTCGTAAAATGGCCTGCAACGGGCATTCGGTCGGTCATTAGCAGGCATGGGTATTCCCCTTCTCGGCCGCTATTAGGGCGTCGCCTTTTCGGCTTCTGGTCGACGTGTCCGTTTCTCCTCTGCATAAAATAGCTGACTGTAAGTACACGCAATCGCAATCGCCCGAGTTTTGGTGCTCGCCTCGTGCTGCATGCACACGCCCAGACCATTCTTGGGTTCTTGTCGAAGTCGAGGCTAAACACGCTTTTGCAAGAACACAATCGTGACCGCACAAGCCGAGTCTAGATCGAAAACGCGCATTGTACCTGCCACGCATTGCAGTGAATTGTCTGCACCATGTCATCCGCTCCAGAAATCCTGAGTAGCGTGGAATTCTCTGCTTTGTGCGGCAAATGCCTCCTTTCTGCGCACGTTGGGCAGCATTGGGCCAACATACAAACCGGCCTTCAAAGTTTTTGGTAGCTTTGACCTCTTGCCGGGGATGATTGCCGATAGCTCAGGAAGGTTGCCGTGGATCACATGAGATTTTCTCTATCGACATTGCGGAAGAGGCACCCGTCTAGCAAATCCAGGCCTGTTCAGCCTCGTTCCAGCCACGTTTTAGCATGCGATTCTCGACTGCCGGCGTCTGCCGCGGAGTTGGCACCCACTGCGAGGGCGGTGATTACAAGAGCAAGACGGATGGAAGAGATGGCGGAGAGCTACATCCGGGATGAGCTGATTGATATATACATAGTGCTCGGTCTGGCTTTATAAGTGGGACGGGGGTCAGGTACCCCTGGGGATATGATTGATAAAGGAATGGTACTTGTCGAAGGGACGTGATTGATCACCGTTGGTAGTCCTCAAAGACCATGTATTGATCAGACCACCAATTTACCCAAAGCAATAGGCCCATACACCTCCCGCTTCTCCCGCATTCCCGCTCCGCCTTTACGCCGCCCGCCGCATACCGCCCCATCGCGCTCTCACACGCCCATCACACCATCAATCAATGCATATGGCATCAATACGCATACACCGTGCCGGCTGACACGTGCATCATGGAATCGGATTGCGCTCCCGATTCGTCCCGCCCCATTCCCCGCTGCTCCCGCCATCAATGCACATCCATCAATACACCATGCCGCATCATGCAATCGGATTGCGCTCCTGATTATTCCGCTCCCGCCCCATTTTCTCACACTCCCGCATTGCTCCCCAAACCTGAAAGTTACTACGAGGTTTGCAGCTCTCGAGCTCGCAATGATGTCACTACTTCCGAACCTCCATGCTTTCATAATATATTGATGGGACCGCCCTTCTCCTTCTACCCACATACAGGACCGCATTTTCTGCCCGATCTTCGGCATTCAAAAAAGGCATGTCACGACCGGTCTATAAACTTAACCTAACATGACATTAGAGATCCTGGATGTTGATTTGAGCTGCCATTGTGCGTAGCCATGAGCTGGCTGGTTTCGCAATCGTCTCTCCGCCTCTCTCTGGGGAGATCCATTGCAGCAATTCAAGTGTAGGTGTCACGGGCAAAGCGAATTGGAACCAGGTATGCATGTATCTATCTACCTTCTCAAGATGGCCAGCTCATTTCTCTGCTCTCGATGTCATTTTGTTCGGCGCCGTCATGGTGTGGCTGTGCTGTGTGCATCAAAACACCCGCGAGCGCTCGCGGGTGTTTTCTTTGATCTTCAAGTTTCCTCCACTCTGTGAGTCTGCCCCGTATAACATTTTCTTATCCTCTCGTTCTAATTATCCATCTTCTCCATCTGAGGAATGACACAGAGTGTGCGAATGCGATTGCCCGAATCACATTCTGACGGTAACATTCACACATTGATGGGCAGAATCGCATTCTGACATCTGCAATCTCTGATGTTCAGTGATGCACATCCAGGACTGGGATCACCCACCCGGAACCCGGTGACATTGACAGCTGTCAATCTGCTCTTCCTCTGCTGCTGCGATGTTCATCTCTCGCCCTTCCATAAGTGCTTGTGGGTCTGCATCATTACATGGACAACGGTGGAACGATCGGGCTGATTCTAGCACTTATCCCAGTGGCTCATACACTCTACTCACCTTCGAACCTTAATCAAAATAGCGTAGCACTCCTGACTGCCTCGTGTTGATGAATGCTAGTGCAATTTCAAATATATGCACATTTTTCTGCTCACTTGTTCAAATGAGTCATTCTGAGTGCTTATCTTTCAAAACCTGGCTCCAGGGCTCAGAGTTTTCATTTCTTTAAAAGTTCTTGCATCATTATATTCCAATTCTAACCTAACTCGACTAGACTATGTTCCCGGAAGCCGCTGACATCTCCTTCAACAAGTTGAAGCTGTGTCAAACTTTTGTGAGTTCATTGGGCACTTATCCCATGGTTGACTGACATTCTCTGTTGAAGGCATTCATGGCTGCGGTCTCAAATGAGAGCCATGACCCGTTCTTTGCCCTCGATCAAGCTACATTCTGGGTGGCAGATGTATCTGCTGCACAACAATGCGGAGCCAGTGGTTGAGGCAAGCCCTTCGAGTGCAACGATGGGCCAGTTAATTCGGTTTCGAGACTTGGTGCATCACTACAACCTCTCATTTATTTCGATAATTGATTATTCTCCACCAGATTCTGAGCGACAAATTGCAGCGACACCCGTTCTTCAGCTTTGAGCATGTCAAAGACTGGGTCAACCCTGTTGCTTTGGCAATTTTTCTGAAAAATTGCCAGAGTAACAGGTCATACGCTCTGTTGGTGTGTCAGCACATAAAACAAATTCTCTTGAACTCTCCCTGCTTTCTTTGTTTGTCCTTTATTTGGTCAAGCCTCTTGGGTGACCAGGTCACTCAATTACACTGAGATTTTGGGAATGTGCTATTCCTGGGCAGTACTTGCTGCCTGAGTACAGGAATAATGGTTTGAGTAGCTGGAATTTTGTGATGAAGTCACTGATAGTCAGAAGTTTCTGCTGCTCAATGCTCTTAGACAAAATTTTGCAGCTGAGTTCCTCAGATGGGATGTGGCAACTAAGGTGCTTAGTCGGGATTCTGATTCTGATACCAACTTAAACATAGGAAGATTTTTCACAAAATGTTTTTTCTAGACACTATATCGCCCAAACAATTATGACAAGTGCATATAAAATTCATTTAATTTAGAAAGCGATCTCATGTGAATGATGGTCAGCATACTTATTGATGTAGTAGTGATGGAAAGAGACCAACAAAGACGTGAATTTGAAGTGTCAAGAAACGGGCTTGTCACCAGAGACAGGTAGGAGGTGAGCACCTTGAAGGATTTGCTCACATGCACCTTCTTTCTGCAATGTTTGAAGAACGAGCTCTATTGCGACATCGTGGTCAATAAGCAAGTGGCAACTTTGGTCAACACACTTTTCCAGGACTTGTTTCTGTGTCCCAAGGTGAATATGTCCTTTGCACTTTTCTCATGCTCATCAGTGTTGTTGTAGATACAATTGTTGTGTTTTGATCATAACAATTTGTACATGCCGTATCCCGATATCGCTGTGAAGAAGTGGATCGCAGTTGCGCCTCTCATGACCAATGTCCGGCATCTCAAGTTAGCAGACTACATCCCCATATTTTCGGACCCCTTGCCCCCATTTCCCTCCCTCCGCTCACTCCACTTCACAATCAGCCTCGTCGGAAGGACTCCCCATGAATGGCATCCCTTCCTTCAGTCCCGCCACACCAATCTTCAGAGCCTCGTTTTAGAGGGACCACTAGCAAGTGGATGGGACATGCACTTCCCCACACTTCGCCACTTGGAAATCTGTCCGCCAGGTCCCACTGATGTTCAGATCCTCAAGATCAATCCTCACATTTCCAGCTTGACCATTCTTCGGCCCCAGCGCTCTGTCGTGACACCTTTTGTCAACAGCATTGCGCTGTTCAGCTTTGTTCCTGAGGACATCAAACTCCAGTCTCTCCATCTGCCGACGGCGTATCTGTGTTCCGCTGTTGGTCGGGCATGTCATCTCTTACTTATTTTCCTTCTGCGGCTAATTTGTTATTCAGGGCAACCCACATGAACTAGGGTTCACGAGAAAGGAGCATGGACTGTTTTAAGCAACGCAGATCATGATTGCAGAGTTGGGGTCTCAGTGTCACATTGTTACGGCGTCATTGTCATGTCATGAGGTCTGCATGACATGACCGTACCCTCACGTGCTCCCGTAGACACGACACGTTCCCCGATTCAGGATGCGCACGGACGCGTTCTAACTGGTAATATTGGCTCAATACTGGTGGAGGTGTGTGAAAACATAAAAATCAAAGCATAAATCAAAAGAGGAAGGAGGGGAAGAGGAGGTAAATCGGAACAGTTTTCCCCGATCACAGTCGATATCGGAAACGTCTGCATTCAGATGCCGTCAGCACAGTAACCATGTGCTTGTTGTGTGTTAGCAAAAAAAGTGCTGTGATCTGTTCCTCGAGCTCAGAGGCCACTAGCACTTGTTGCATTTGTCATAATAACTCCTTGGAATGGCCCTAGAAAAATTACATGATTTTCCCTCCGGTAGGAGGTTTATCGCAAGTGGCTTGTTGTTATCTAGCGGAGTTTGAAGCTACCTCACGGATCAGAAGCACCAAATTATGCCCTGCCGAGTCTCTGCTTTCAGCCGTTTTTCGCATATCAGTCTGCCAGAACTGATCATCAATCAAATAATTTTGCGACATCAACAGCAGATTGGCCCGGTCGTAAGTCCGCTTGCGGCTCCTCCGCTGCCAGGAGCTACATACTGAGTGCGTATTTCAAAAACAAGCCACAAGAGCAGGAGATTCCCCTCAAAGCGGCGCAAGTTGGATGGCTCGGGCGCGCCGCCATCAATGAGGAGCACGCTTATGACGTCAGGAACGGTCATCGGAGGCTTCGAATAAGCATATACACGTCTTCGAGTCACGGAGTGCCAGGACCCCAGCAGACTCGATCGATCTATTGGTCGAAACAGACCATGTCCTTTGTCGTCGACCGTACATGAACGCTCGGAGTTTGTGGCGGCGGCCAAATGGTTACGCCATGTGGTTCATCTCACCATTGATCAAGATATCACTTGGAAGGAAACCGATACTCCGGCAAGTCCCGGCTTCATGCGATTTCCATATCTCACCCAGTGTTTGCAGCCTGACCTCATGCAAGTTGTCAGTCGCGGATGGACCGCTGGCCTTCTTGACAGGGTGGAAACTCTTCGACTGATGTGTTTCCATCACTCCCTTGAGCACGCCGGCCATGTGGCTTGGCACTTTCTTCACACCAGAATGCCCAAAGGAGTTCTCTGGGTTCCTGCTCCCAAACTCCAAACAATTCATATTTGCACGCAATACTCGTGTGGGGAAGTGGATTGGCGGAGCGGGAATTGGTTCCGGGTGTTTTCAATGTCATTTCTGTCGGCCATGACCCCGTACATACTCGCGCGCTTCTGTTGGGACTATAACCTTTATTCACCCGTACATCATGTAGCCATTCAATCAATTGTCTGTGTGGACTCTGATCGTAGTCACTACATAAAGTGCTGAAACAACTTCGCGAAGATCATCAGAGAAAAAAGAAGATCTGTAAAACAAGATCGCCAAAAAAGCCGCTTCATAAGCGCTCCAAGCCCAATTCTCGTTGGACAATCGGGACATGCAAAGAGATTGGGTAGAGAATTCAGCGGCCACATGTGCGTGACTCGTTTGAGTAAACTTGAATGTGAAGTTGATGCTCTGCTCTTAATATGCTACCCAAACCCGCATAGCTGATACTCTCTCTCAATTTTAACGAGATGTTAACAAGATGTTAACGAGATGTGAACAAGACGTTAACGAGATGTTAACGAGATGATGCTCTTTCTCCTGCATCTGCCTCGCTCATTTCCCTGCAATTTTCTTGACCGGTTTGGTTCTCCCAGCTCAATCTTCCGGCTAGTGACAGCGGTATATCTCTCAAACCATCTTGTGTCCCATACCGAGTGCAATGATACGTGTTAACGAGATCAACACTGCCACAACCTCTCTTGTCTCCTACTGCGATGGCCAAGCGGCGTAAAACTTCCAACAAATCCTCCGAGAAATCTTCCGCTGTTCAGTATGCTTCTTTATAATTTGATTTAATCCACTATGTTCACCTCATATCCCAGAACAAAACCTCGACAGCAGTCACGGGCATTGTACGATGCAAAGTACTACCAGAAGAAGTAGAACATTTTTCTCAACATAATTACTGCCAACTTCTTGCTTCTCTAGCGCCAATGCCATACGCGAAAAGCAGCGCATCCGAATGGCTCAGAGAAGGTGTGTTCATGTTCCTGCATAACCCAATCGCATTCAACAGTCATAATAGGAAGGCAAAACGGGATGAACTACAACAGGCATTAGTGTCTGCTTCGACGTGCAATCCAGTCACGGAGGATGCTCATGCAGGTTCTGCTCCTGCTACTAGCTTGAAAGCAATGGCTTTGCTTTCGTCTGCGGAAGTAGCCGCCTCCGACGCTCTCTTGAAACTCTACAGCCTCACTGGGACTCGTGAAGCATACCTTACAGAACTTTCATCACCCCTGCCTCCGTCTTCGCCGTCTTACTCGTCCGAGGACGACGAAATCATGTCTGTCAACGCCCTTCTCCGTTCGATAACACCAACGGACATGGATGAAAGTCTTATACAACCTCAAGTGTGGACAACTCCCCGACGTTTGTTGGACATCGCAGCCAGCCCTACTTGGTCTTGTTCATGGGAACCCGAGGAATTGGCCATATCACCGCTCACTAGCACTTCTGCTATTCCGGTAACTCCTTCTCACGAACGATTTGAAACAGCTTCCCGCACGCAAGCCGAATGGTTAGTGAGCTGTGAAACAAAATTGAACTGTGACTGAAAGCCCTACTACCATGCAGTGCAGCAAACACGCCAACTCCGGTCCCTTTTCCTCAATTTTTAGATCGGTCACTTGCATCCTCGCGAATGGACCTACCTGTTGTCGAGGAATGTGAACATGCAAAGCATGATTCTCTTCTGCAACCACGACTTCCTGCACTTAAGATCGCAAAGTCGAAATATGCATTAGTTTGAATACCAGTTTCCTGTTGTCTTCCCATGGTCTAAAGTCACCGAGTCCAGTTTCACAAAATTGGAAATTACTGGTATCACGGATCGAGATCACACCTCTTCGCCCAGCACATCAGTACTGATCACGATTACCTGCCAAAAACCGCCAAAAATTCAAATTTCTTCGTCCCCTTCCCTTCTCTACCGTTACCTTCTGTGTCCAAGTTACAGTGGTGCGTGCATACCTCCAACGTACAAACAGCCTTTGACACTGACTCTTCGCTTTAGATATGGTCGGCACCAGTTGGACATCGGAGGCGCAAAAGGAGTTACTTACGACGCAAGTGCCCACGTTTATCCTTGCCCGCACCAATGAGCGCTTGCCGCCGTTCTGGTCTAGCATTTGGCATATGTGGTTCGACAAGTTTCCGGAGTGGGAGGCGATAGGTCTGGGAAGCGACACTGACCTATCAGCAGAGGAGAGTACTGCATTGAAGGAGGCGATTGAGGCTCGCAAATCTGTGAGTGACATCTCACTATAATGACCGTATGAATTCACACACCTTTCTTCAGCAAATCAAGTCTTGGTTCCCGCGCGCAGCCAAGAAGTTCAACGGCGGCAGACCCACCAAGAGTGGTAGCACTATGATGACCAAGGCCTTGCGTCGTACAGTCCAGGGCCGTGGCAGAGCCGCTGGTTCTCGATCTCGCCAGGCTCGTGAAGTGTATGCCACCTTGCATCCCGAGCGGTACCAGAGAGAACGCAAGCTGAACGCCGCCAAGTTGGGACTCGGCTCCAATTCTATGCAGAACTCAGACTCCTCCGACTCCGAATCTGATCCTAATTTGGACAGTGAAGACCACGGGAGTCAGAGCCGCACAAAGTCTGATGGTCGCGCACTCAATTGCACAATTCGCAACACTACCTTGAATGCATTGTGGGCTGCCGCCACGCTGGAGGAACGCCGGGAGGTGGAGGAGATTATGGAGAAAGAGAAGACCACCAGGGAAGAAAAGCTCGCCAAAGACACAAATGTAGAGACACCGCAAACACCTGAGCAGTATCAGATGTGAGTGGCTTCAATTTCTGACGACATCCATTTGTGACCTGCTGAACCAGAGGAGTCGATGGCGCGTATCAGCTTATGGCAACAGCGCTATCTGTTCTACACCAAACCGCCGGGTGGGTTGGGCATGTTGTTGTTGGCGGTCCCAATCCAAGTCAAGGTGGTGATTTGACGGTAGAAGTGTAGGAATCAATTTTTTGTCATCATTTTCACGTGTACTCATTTGCGTCTTTCTCTTCGTCCATTTCTTCTTTCTCTCAGTCTTCACACCGGCAAGACGCCAAATGGACACAGTTTCCGTGCGAGTCACCCAGACTGGCATAGTGCAATTGAAGCACCATGGAGTGTGTTTCTGCAACGTGTATTTCGTCAGTGCTGCATACTTGACGCTTCAATGCCACTCATGATATTCCAGCTTCGGAAGTACGTGAAGCACGAGCGTTACCTGATACCAGAAGCGGAGACATCGTTATTCCACCTGAGCCCCTGTCGGGAATCGCTGCTGATGACGACACCGCAGGACATCCATCAGCGAAGTCTCAAAAAAAGAAGCGCAAGCAGAAGAAGAAGCCTACTGTGCCAGCCGCTGGCGTTCAGCATCCTTCGGCACCACCGCCAACAGCTCCAGATTCCAATGCAGAGCTAGGCAGCGATCTACCCGCCACCGACACCGACTTTCCGGGATCTCACATCTTTTACGGCGCCACTCCGGGCGCAGACAGCGACAACAGCGAGGGAAGTCTGTGGGGGGGATTCAATGCCGATCTGAGCAATGGTTGGGATGCAGGTTTCACCGTGCGTATTCTAACAACTTGAGGAGATGCCACATATGAAACTGATCCAGGCGACGCCTCATCTTCAACAAGCAAACACTCTGGCAAACCCTTTTGGTCGCCCATTGCACCCTGACACACGATGGCAAGGATTTGAGGTGAGCCTTTACAGATAATAGTCCCACTGTGAACTCATTTGAACAGCCTAGCGGTGTCATTATGCCCAGTGTACCCGAAGAGCAACGCCCGCTACCTGTGCTTCATCGTGTCACTGTTCCGCACTCGCAGACTCATTTGGCCACACAAGCACAAGGTCTGGTCCATCTAAACCCGATGTCTGTAACACCTGACCTAGTCCTCGCAGATCCCAGGCGCACCTGGGCTGAATACGGGTACGGGTTCCCGGACGTTACGGACTTCTTGAGGGAGTACGGACAAGCCTTTCCAGGAGGTCATGCCAACAACAATGAGACGCTGCCGGCCCCAAACCCCACAGATATGTCGGCTAACCACAATCCCCGCATCGAGACACCCAATCTGGCGATACCGGTTCCCACCTCGACTTCTTTGCTACCACCATCGGCAAGTACCACCTCGGGTTCCATTACGTTGGAGGCAAGCGATGGATCAGTTCAAATCATCTCAACAGCAGAGTCCATTCCAAGCACGAAGAAGCGTCGGTCGCCAGCTGGACGCCAGACAGCAAAGCAACGAAGAGAGCTCGAGGCTGCTGAGACGCTGAAAGATGACTCTCGGGATGGTGGTGGGGTCATAGTCACGACAGTGGGCAGAGACAAGAGGCAGCCTAAGCCGCGTGTCAATCCTGATGGACACATGTATTCGCTGGGATGGCGAAGCGACAGGACGGAGAAGACCACGGGGACAGCAAAACGAAAGTCCAATCCGGATGCCCCTGCACCTAATAAGAAGTCAGTGTTTTTTGTCTCTGTCTCTAGCGAACATGATCTGACTTCAAGACGCAGGCGCAAGACCCAATGAATCTCCGTCGGTTTACTACTCTATCTATACCGTGCACTATGTCCAATCTACCACTTTTTACATGCTTCGAGTGCTTGGATACAGATATCATCCACAAAATGGAGGAAATGATCAGATTAAGCTGCTGAGAACGCTGCAAGCCCGGAGACAATCATGTGATTTAGATTGATCAATAAACAATCTTCTGCTTTCTGTTCGTCTCTTGTTCCTGTTGTAACGCGTCTGCAATCTCTCATCTCTGCCCTCACCCGACATTCTTCTGCGACTTCAATGGCCTCAAAGAAGCGGAAACTGAAAGGAGGGGGCGGAAAGAGAGGGAGCACGGGAATTGGCGGTGTTGAATCGTTCTCCTTCTCTATCGCTCCGGAGCCTCGCACACAGCCCATAGCGTCAGGCAGTGGCGTTCGTCATTCGACTCTCGTATGGAGGACAACTGATTTGGACGACGGACGTGTGGGACAGACCACAGTGGAGGCCACTCAAGTCCAGGAATTGGTTGACAATATCCCTGCGCTTTCAGCTCTGCCCTTCAACGGTGTACCAATTTTCGACTCAGTTGAAGAGGAAGAGGAGTGGTCTGGAAGGGAGACACGTTCTTCAGTGAGTCTCTTGAGCTTTTATGAGACCGAACTCTCATTCGAATCGTGAAGGATGATCCCATGAAACAATGGTCATCGCATTACATGGACAAGTTTCTGGCGGAGATGCTGAGGCTCGAAGGTCGCGGCGAGCACACAAGCGGTTGTTGTGATCGCTGCGGGAGTGAGGAAGGACAGTTTAGGTGTCGCGATTGTCTCAGTGTAGGTCGTCTGGTCTGTGAGAGATGTATCAGGGAGCACCATGCATTCACACCCATGCATCGAGTTGAGGTATGCCTGCCACCGCATCTCCGCTTGTTTTCCACGGGCTGACGACATTCCCACAGGAATGGTGCGGGTCGTTCTTTGTGAAGCGCACATTGAAAAGCCTCGGCGTACGCATCCAACTTGGGCATGCAAGCGCAGGCAATCAGGTCTGTCTATCGCCCAACAAGGCACAGGGGGATAGCTTCGTCATCGTGGACAATAACGGTGTCCACGAGGTGGGCTTGGATTTCTGCGGATGTGGAGCTGCGGGGGAACACGCAGAACAGCTATTGCGAGCATCACTTTTCCCCTCAACAACGACCAATCCGCGTTCAGCAGCAACCTTCAACGTCTTGCGAAGGCACCATATGCTGTCCTTTGAGGCCAAGTGCTCCGTGTACGAGTTCTATTACAGTCTGGCTCGGGAGAGTGACAATATGGGACTGGACGGGCTCAAAGTATGTGAACGTTATTCAGCTCCATTAGATGATGCTTATATCTGTTAGGATCGCTATGAGGAGTTTGCCAGGATTGCGAAGCAGTGGAGACACCTGCAGATGATGAAGCGCTCTGCTCGCGGTCACGATCCAACGGGTATTGGTGGCACTCAGGATGGGGAATGTGCTTTGCTTTGTCCGGCATGTCCGCATCCGGGCAAGAACTTGCCCGATGGCTGGGAGAAGGCAGATGGCGAGAAGATGTGAGCGACTGCTTTGCTGTCACGAACTCGACTGAAGTTACATCACCTATAAATCCCGTTAGAACCCCATACTTATAGGTGGCAGATCCCCATATGCACCATGTATAAGTATAGGCTTTTTAGTGGATCTAGGGCTTGCTGAGCCAAATGCTGGCACAAAGGCTGCAAGAAAAAGCTGCCTTGTACTAATATAAGTACTCATGGGCCTAGAGGCTTCTTGTGGCATCCCAGTGCTATCACAAGGCACTGCTGCACATTCAAAATGGAAGTCCTACCAAACACCCTGCCTAACACCCATTACGGGCATCGCCACCTTCTAAATTTGGAAGTTCTGCCTGACACTCTACCTCACAGCAATCACAGCTGTGATTGACATCACACTTTGTGACATCACAGCTGTGATTAATGTCACACTTTGTGACATCACATCACCTTCCACCCACTGCTCTGCCCAAGTGCAATCACACATGTGATCTTTGTCATATTTGGTCATAAATTGTGATCTAGCCCACCCCTTTATTATTGATGCACTCAGACACCCCTTCTCCAGACTATCTTTGGTATAATCACCTATGTATACTACTACATAACACTAGTAGTAATAGGTGGGGCAATTCTTCTGTATCCTATTATTAACTCAAAGTAGCCCTATCAAATTGCTGGTTGAAGCTTAAAGACATCCTAATTATTATGTGACATAACTATTATAAGTCTTATATATCTGGGCTGAGAACAATTGTGTCTATTCAGCCACATGACTCCTATGTGGGGTGGCACTAAAAGGAAATATCAAGAGATTTGAGCGAAGAACATTTGTAGCATATCTTTCCTATTACGTAAATTGTCTTGGATGCTGTAGACTCACTAGTGATTTATTCACCTGTGCTTGTAGGTGAAAGTTACCTAGTTTTCTGAGGGCTAGGAAAAATTTCATTCCCTATCACTTTCTTTGTCAGCATCAAACATATAATCCACTCCTGTGTGTAATAAGATAGCCTTTGATTGCAAATCATTTTTTGATAATCGTAATGACTTGAATTCTAATCTCATTGTATCTGTCCAACCCAGATTGAGATCATCTACTTTTTTTGATTGCATCCCCTATGTGACAATCAACCAAGAATAGAATTGAAAAGACAAGTCAATTCCAAGACTGTGGGATACAACACAATAGCTACTATATTTATACTAAGTCCAGTCTGGGTCATATCTACATCAAACATGTCATGGGACTATGTACCATATGGAGTGTTAGTCATGGGTCATAGTAGAATCTTCTGAAGCACACGGCATGAAATCTCTTGTACTGATAATCCCTCTAAAGCCCTAGCCTGGACTGTGTGGTGCCGTGATCCATGATAAGATAACCTTGTGTCAATGATAAGATAAGATGGTCTGATAGAATGATGAAAAATGATTGAATTATGACACCCTAACAATTAAATTCATGAAAAATCTAATCTTGATATGGCTAGTTGTGATTCAATCAGTGATTTGGTACACACAATCAGAATTGAACATGTTGAGGATGTGATTTTTTTCAGTGACATTTTGATGCAACTTCTAGCAATGCTAAAAGAAAATTCACATGAACTTTGGAACAGTGCAAGCTCATGTTGTTGGTCCTCTCTTAGCTTTACAGGATATATTCTCTTGTGTAATTTCATGTATTTGAGCCTTCAAAGCCACTGAACTGTTGTTGAATAGCCACATAGCCTGATACTTTTAGTGATACCCTACATAGCTTTTAAGACAAGATATGTTTTCCTAGGCATAACCCTCTTTTCTCCTCACACTTTCTGTTTCTCAAGCAATCTCCTGCTATCTTAGTTCACACATTGAAGCTTGTCATTACACACATATATATATGTGTGTATGTGCATAGTCGTCATCTTCCATCCATCTTGCTTTTCTATAATTTCTACACTCCCAGTTCACAACAGGCATGCTTTGGCTAGTATAGGAAGTTAGCAAGATAAGTATGAACATGGAAACAGTAATAGGAAGAAATGAAAGTCACTCTTGTAATGCGGATATTCTTGGTTCAGAAGCCCAAAGTAATTTGCTAATTCACTAAATTAAGCCATTCGGAAATTTTACAATTCTCATTGTTCCAAAAATCTTGCTCTATCTATTTTATTCAGGTCTAACTGATTTCACATTAGTGAAGTAGAAACTCTGTGGGGAATTCTACCCTCTCTTCAATGCTGAAACATATTTCTACAGGTTCCACACTTGGAATATGGATTCCATGGCAGGAGAAAACCTCAAAGTCATATTTCTTCAAACTTGCAGTAGTTGTCACGCCGGGGGATCACACATAACACAGCACATGAAGAATAAATTATACTCCACATATTGGGACCCAAAAAATATGCTGACCCGACATGTTATATATTGGTGCAAAAACATTCTGATACCACAGATATTGGGTGCTGGGCATGATCCAAGTGCCCGATATGTCACATATCAGATCCCTTAATTTTTTATGCCCCAATATGTAGGATATAATTGATTATAGGCCCTGTTATTCACAATCCCCCAGTGTGTGTATATCTCAATCTTGTTGAGAAAATTTCCAAATAGCTTACTTTGGTGAAGTAGCACATTGCTTTGGGCTTCCAAACCAGGAATACCAGCATCACAGAAGTGACTTTCATTTTTTCCTGATACCCTTGGTTTTCCTGCTTTCCTGTTGCTATATAAATATTAATCATACCAACTCTTCTTTTTCACAACACAAGCATGACAGGGAACAGACATGGGTGATCAGATCACTGCTCAGGGAACAACATCAAAAATGATCTACGTGATAAGATCCCCTGCGAAATGGTGCAGAGCAAAACAAGTGAACCAGGCCAGAAAAGGAAATTTCCAGAATGCAAGGTCATTGTGGCTAAATTTATATTTATATCTTTTACTGAATAATGATTATCATCTGTGGCTGTGTCACAAAATGCCTCTAAGTGTTCGTCTTCTTTTTGGCCATAAGTAGACGACTCTAGTAATACCCAGTCATAATGAGTAATGGATTGATAATGGGTGACTTCCCGTAAGGTTTCTGATTATATTAATGATTTCTGAGGAGTGCCAAATGATGTCGGCTACATTTGTTTTATGTTTTTTTATTGAGCGCTCTACCCGTAAGGATTTCCGAGTTTCCGCATCAGTGACGCACGCGCATCACGGCCCGGTACTCGATGGCATCACACCACACCTTCCCCCCAAGATGGATCCCGACGTGCAATATTGGCAACAAATTGTGGGCACGATGGAGGAGGAGATGGTTCGGGACAATAACAAGCAGATGATGGTTGCATTGGGGTTGATCGGCTTTGGGTACGCGGAGGCTAAGCGGCAGAAACCAAACCGTCTGTACATGTGTTGGCCCCAAATCCCTCCCAATCTATGTGTCAATACACCCTGGAAAGCCATGTACGTCAATGGGAGCGATCGCGCATTCATCACCACTATGGGTATTGACACAGACATGTTCAGCCAGGAACGCGTGATCAAACACCTTCCTCATTTGGTTTATTCGAGGCTTTCTTGGTCTATTCGAGGGGTAGAGACCCCTCGAATAGATCCTGGTTTATTCGTGGTCTATTCGAGGCCTTAAGCGAGATCTGAGCTCGATGGGGTCCTGATCAACGCCTCGGCAACTCGGCATCAAGGGTAAAACGCCTTTATTATAATCGGAAACCCTTACGGGAAGTCACCCAATACCTAGTAATGCCTAGTAATCAACTAGTAATACACAAAAATACCCCATTCATGTTCTACTGAACAATACACAAGCCTGGTTACTATCTACAGCTTTGTGTCCCAGAACATCTCAAATTGGGCTATTTTCTTGTACAAAATCAGTTTTTTCAGGCAGCCCCATCTAAGCATTTAGAAGAGCCCATCTAACCACTTAGAAAAGCCTGTCCTTTGTAACTTAGTTTCTCTATGCCCAATAGTCTAAAACCCTGCTTTAGTATTCTGTTCCCCTATATATTATGATACCAAAGATAGTCTGGAGAAGGGGTGTCCAGGCTAGGGCTTTAGAGGGATTATCAGTACAAGAGATTTCATGCCGTGTGCTTCAGAAGATTCTACTATGACCCATGACTAACACTCCATATGGTACATAGTCCCATGACATGTTTGATGTAGATATGACCCAGACTGGACTTAGTATAAATATAGTAGCTATTGTGTTGTATCCCACAGTCTTGGAATTGACTTGTCTTTTCAATTCTATTCTTGGTTGATTGTCACATAGGGGATGCAATCAAAAAAAGTAGATGATCTCAATCTGGGTTGGACAGATACAATGAGATTAGAATTCAAGTCATTACGATTATCAAAAAATGATTTGCAATCAAAGGCTATCTTATTACACACAGGAGTGGATTATATGTTTGATGCTGACAAAGAAAGTGATAGGGAATGAAATTTTTCCTAGCCCTCAGAAAACTAGGTAACTTTCACCTACAAGCACAGGTGAATAAATCACTAGTGAGTCTACAGCATCCAAGACAATTTACGTAATAGGAAAGATATGCTACAAATGTTCTTCGCTCAAATCTCTTGATATTTCCTTTTAGTGCCACCCCACATAGGAGTCATGTGGCTGAATAGACACAATTGTTCTCAGCCCAGATATATAAGACTTATAATAGTTATGTCACATAATAATTAGGATGTCTTTAAGCTTCAACCAGCAATTTGATAGGGCTACTTTGAGTTAATAATAGGATACAGAAGAATTGCCCCACCTATTACTACTAGTGTTATGTAGTAGTATACATAGGTGATTATACCAAAGATAGTCTGGAGAAGGGGTGTCTGAGTGCATCAATAATAAAGGGGTGGGCTAGATCACAATTTATGACCAAATATGACAAAGATCACATGTGTGATTGCACTTGGGCAGAGCAGTGGGTGGAAGGTGATGTGATGTCACAAAGTGTGACATTAATCACAGCTGTGATGTCACAAAGTGTGATGTCAATCACAGCTGTGATTGCTGTGAGGTAGAGTGTCAGGCAGAACTTCCAAATTTAGAAGGTGGCGATGCCCGTAATGGGTGTTAGGCAGGGTGTTTGGTAGGACTTCCATTTTGAATGTGCAGCAGTGCCTTGTGATAGCACTGGGATGCCACAAGAAGCCTCTAGGCCCATGAGTACTTATATTAGTACAAGGCAGCTTTTTCTTGCAGCCTTTGTGCCAGCATTTGGCTCAGCAAGCCCTAGATCCACTAAAAAGCCTATACTTATACATGGTGCATATGGGGATCTGCCACCTATAAGTATGGGGTTCTAACGGGATTTATAGGTGAGTTACATCAGGTTTCTGTATGCCCTTTTCCTGGCGTTGGACGCGAATTTTCGACTTCGGAGAAAGGATGTTTCATCCGAAGCAAAGGACCCCGGTTTGAGCAAGGGATATGCATTCTATTGTGAGGTCGTACAATACATGGAACACGTCAAGACGCATTGGAGACAAACTCAGGACGTGAGTTCGAAGATATCAAAGAACGGTCACAATACTAATGCTAGTAGCGAAGTCAATGTGTTGCGCACGATGCAGTGGACAAACCCGACCGCGAAGCCAGAGGAACAGCATCATCTGGTGTTTGTACCGTAGATTGCGCGAGGCACAACATGAAACGCACAAATGGTGTGGGAGATCTGCAGTTGGGAGAACGGTACATTGCATGCACGGATCATCAACTACGACTGACGCTCACCTAGCTATATGAATATGGACTACATGTTCTTCAAGAGCATTGCGGGTAGCGACCTACAGTGTTTCTTCATCTCGTATGATATTGCGTGCCAATGGAGTATCAAACTGTGGCAGCGGATGGAGGAATACTCACCGACACTTCACTTCGAGCATGGGTCCCGATATGTTCGCTTTCTGGTCCCTAAATTCCATCTCCCCGCGCACATCGAGGAGTGCAATGTGCATTACTTGTTCAATCTCATGCGTGGTGTCGGCGAGACTGACGGTGAAGCACCAGAACGTGGCTGGTCCGACACCAATGGTCTATCGGGTGCAACGATGAACAGCGGACCGGGAACCCGCCGCGATCGCCTGAATGACTTCTGGAACGACGCAAACTTCAAAAAGATTGTGAAACTTGGTATGTGCAGTGTCTGCAGCGGAACAGTCGTATTGATGTTACCTCAGGAACATCCTTGCGAGACAAGATGCTGAACGCTTTGCCACTCATGATCGAAGCAGCAAAAGCATTTGTGGACCTCGAGAAGTCCTTTGACTCATCCACACTTGCGACATGGCTTGTAATGGCACGTCGATGGGAAGACGATCCAAAGGCACCAAACCCATTTCAGTCCGCAAAGCGAGACAAGCACTTGGCCCAGGTTCGAAGGGAATTAGCGGAAGAAGCGGAGGAAAGGGAAGCTGCCGGTATCGAGGAGAGCAATATGGTCCGCGCGGACATGCATGTCACTGAGTTCTTGGTGTTGGGGTTACAGCTCGAGGAACAACAGTGAGCTTAATGCTGGTTGGGAATGTGGACACCGCTGATTCTCCATCGACAGACGACAGCTGGAGCACGACATGAGAGCTGTCGGCCGACATCCCACCGACAAGCAACGAGCGGCAATGACGGAGCGATCGAGCAAATTGCGGCGGAAGATTGTGACATGGACAGAGATCCAGTCGCTGTTCTTTCCCAATGTCAACCGATTGCGAGAGATGGAAGACAAAGCACGCGCGAAGGCAGCTGAATCGCAAACGGTACCTGGCTTGAAGGTCTACGAACTCAAGCTCTGGTTACCGTCACAGCTGGTTGCCTTTCCTGGTGCATGGATTCCCGTTGACTCCTCCGCCAACATCCTCAATGCTGAGTATCGCCTGCGAGTTGGGCAAGCAAATGAGGCTTTGGACGAGATCCGGAAGAATCTCATTGTTCGCACGCATCTGTATTCGGTGAAGGATCGGCACAAAGAGGGTGTTCGAGCACACACGCGTGCAATGGGCAAGATCGCGGTTGTGAACGAGAGGATACGGAGACTGGCAGAGAAGTACAGGGCTGCGTGGTCCGCTTTAGGCAGACTGGGGCCAGTGCTGGGACATATGGAGTGGCGATCAACTCTCCTTGCATTGGAATCGGATGACTTGCGTCCGCTGCCAAAGAATCACTTTGGGGACGTAACACGACAGAGGGCTACACAATCGAGAAACAAGAAGAAGAGCAAGTCGAGCCAATCAAAGCCCGCTGCAGTGCCAGTTCCACGGAAGCCGTCATGGATCTGGACAACGGCGCTTTCAGGCAGCATGGCAACAGGGAGCTTGGGTGCAAACGAAGGTATGTCAGACATCGCTTTCCAATGACGTGTGACTAACAACAAGTATAGCTTTGCGAATTGAATGGGCAAAGACTCGCGCCAAGGCCATGCGTTGGAGAGAAGAAGTTGATCTGTTGGAAGAAGAGATGCGCCGTGTAACGCAGTTCATGGAATGGAGAGCGAAATGGTGGACAGACCAAGTCGGACAACGGGAACTCGAGCCTGGAGCCCAATTGGAAGGCGAAACGGCTTATGCGCTGAGACAAGCGGATCTACAGCGCCGTCTGCTATCCTCGTTCCAGCTTCTTTGGTCCAAGGCGAACCTGCAGTCCAAGATTGCAGAAGCGCGCAAGGAGATGATGCAAGGCGAGTCGGATCAAGCCTCAGGGGACCACGAAGGCGGCGGAGACAGCACCGGCGCCGACAACGAGTATGATGCCGAGAGTGACGAAGATGAGAGCGAGGGTAGTGAGGACGAAGCTGTGACGTTATCGACAGCAACGAGTCTGGTCTTGGCGGACGATTGAGACTCGGGGACTCAATAGAGTAGGCTGCTGTCGCTTTGAGCTCCCGGATGTACATTTCACGGCTCAAGGTCATATTACATGTGGTTTGTAGAAGTGCAAGGTTACAAGTCGAATCAGCACTCTATCACGGAGACGTTCGGAAGCTAGTTCATGCCGAGAATAACGTGATCAGCCGATATTGATGGGCAGGCATGATGTAGAATTGATGGGATTGGTCCTCGCTGTCTAGGACGACGTACTAGGAGACTTGGTCGCTGTGTCCCATGCTCTCGGGCAAAGACAGAGTTATAGCAAAGAAGGTGAATTGGTGAGTTGATGAATCATGAGCCGTTTGAAGAACTATCATTCAGGATTGATCACGCACCAATGCACCTCAGTTACCACCGCCATCACCCGGTTGCACCCCCGCGGGGGTCCTCCTGGGTACCCTCAGACGTAGCTCTGAGGGTACCTAACAGGTACCCCCCTGCGGGGCCCGCGGGGGGGATTTGGTCCATTTGGGGGCGGGGGCATATGCGGGGGTCAGCAGGGGGGGGTCTGTACATGTCATGTGATTTATCATTGGGAGCGGGCAGGTGGGCGCGAAAAAAAAAATGAATCACATGACACATCCAATGGGCGGGATGGCGGCTGATGGCGGGGTAAAAAAATCACGTGATGCACCGCATGAAAATTATCAAAAATGGCTAGCAGGGGTTGGCGGGGGTTGGCGGGGGCGCTACTGGCCCCCCGCACACCATGGCGGGCAGTGGGCGCATTATCACGTGACTTTGGGGGCACCTTTTGTGCACCATTCGGCATGATTTCGGAGGTGTTGCTTGATCCATTGCATGCTGTGGCAGACAATGGGCGCATAATCACGTGATTTTCCGCCCAAAAAAATGGAAGCCTTCCCCAAATCATCCTGGTATCATTTCTATCGGTAAATACACTAGTTAAGCATGAATTTGAGCTTAGAAAGCCCAAAATGCACCCTGCACAATGGGACTGGTGATGCACTTGATCCCATCATTTGGCGGGGTCTGCTGCGGGGGGTGCCACGGGGGGTGCTGCGGGGGGTGCTGCGGGGGGTGCCGCAGGGGGTGCCACAAGGGGTGCCGCAGGGGGTGCCGCAGGGCCCGCTGTGGGGTCAACCACAGGAGCAGGGGTAGGGGTGCATTGCATCATATTTTGATCTATCTATTCTCGCTGTGGTCATAGCATGCAGCATAATTATCCTTCATTTTGCCAGGAGTTTGGAGGCTGTGTCTGGGGTTGGTCTGCAGCTACAGCCATGTGACTCCCTGATGCTTCGGCAGGGGCTGGGATATCAAAACTGTGCAATATTGTCTGCATAATCCAGGCATGTAGGGTTAAAAAGAAAGTGTGATTTGTTCATTTTTTGGCTGGCAGGGTAGGTGGGCTGACATCATGGGCTGCATCGGGTCCACTGTCAACTCATTGATTGTTTCGTCTGCTCATTCTATACACATGCCCATTGGTAAGCTGATCATGCTGTAGGCACAGTCTAATCTTACCCAGTGGATAATACCACACGTTAATTATGCACCTAATGTCACACTTCCTGTCTGGGACTCATTGAAGTTCATCTGTTCTGTGTTACTTTACAAGCAGTTTGCTTTAGTTGCAACATGAACAGATGTAATAGAGTGGATTTGACATGCCCTGAATTGATTCCTAGGTGGAATATGAGACAATGGATTCACCAGCAAGTTGCCTCACAATAGTCAGAGATTGGTAATATTTGAATTTCAAATTTCATATACAACACTCTGTGCACTCAGAGCTCGTATATTTGCAAGATAGACTGTAGAGACATAGATGGTTACTTTTACTACCTCTGGGGCTGCACACATCCTTGCCATGACCCACTGCCTGCACCCCTGCTGGTACCCCCATTGGCACCCCCGCCGGCACCCCTGTTGGCACCCCCGCCGGCACCCCCGCTGGCACCCCCGCCAGTCTAGCACCCCCCGCTGCACCGGTGCCTTGTCCCCGTGATTTTCTTATATGTAAGATTATGTAAACTGACAGCTCGGAACACGTCAAGTCACTAGCCAATCAGAACCTGTATAAACGTCGTACCTAAGTGTTTACTGCTCTTCTAACACTGTTCCTACAGTTATGCAGCTGAAAACCATCGGAATAAGGTCTCCTTCTGCTATTCTTATTGAATATGTAGATACTTCATATCATTTGTCCACCTAAAATTCGAAACATGAAAAGAGTTCACCATTGCTCAAGGTTCCTATGTAGACAATGGTTCAACATGGTTCACTTTGGGTATGGCAAAAAATATTTTTTCTACACACAAGCAATTCAATACAGCTGAATGATATACTCTTTGGCAGTGTCTGAAACAAATTCTGAGAGCCCTGGACCCTGGAACTATTCAAAAACTTGAAATGAGTCCGAAAAATAGGGTCTTGATAAACATGAGATATGGGCTGGTTTGAAGAGACATGGGCCACCGGTCATGTTGAATATAGTATTTTACAATGTTTCGGTGCCCTACCTCTCATTACATGGCCTCATTTCCCACTAAAAAGGGTGCATACACACTCAAGCTCATAAAATCAATTGTCACCCAGAAACAAGAGCAGTGAAGTTGTTTCACTGGGATTGGGTAAAGGTTACCTAGAAGTCACTTGGGTTGCAGTACAGAAGCTTTGGAAAGTGATTTTGTAGTTGATCCACATTTGGTAGGCTGGCAGATGCTTGTGCACCCCCACGGCACCCCCCGTGGCACCCCCCGCGGCACCCCCTGTGGTTGACCCCCCCCCCAACCCCTGCAAGGATTTAATTGACAAATGTCCTGCTCAATCCATTGTAAGAGTCTACAGTATTATTGGATTCAGTAAAGGGCCCAAATGGTGTGTAGACAAGAAGTATGAAATCCGGAAATCAACAATTATGACACCTCCACGGAATATGCTGCAAATGGAGAGAAAAATCTGAGTGCAGACAGACTACCTGAAGCAAACAGACAGAGAAAAGAAACATTAGCCATTTCTTGTTGATGATGTTGGCTGTCCCTGGAGCATGTACTTGGGAGATTTGCCTAACAAATCAAGTTGCACATTTTTCAAATTTTTAGTTTGACCTGACAGCTTGAGCAGACCATGCTAAAATGAACCAAGTCATATATATCAGTGCCCCAAGCCAAGCCAAAAGATTTAGGTAAATTTGCACAGTTTTGATATCCCAGCCCCTGCCGAAGCATCAGGGAGTCACATGGCTGTAGCTGCAGACCAACCCCAGACACAGCCTCCAAACTCCTGGCAAAATGAAGGATAATTATGCTGCATGCTATGACCACAGCGAGAATAGATAGATCAAAATATGATGCAATGCACCCCTACCCCTGCTCCTGTGGTTGACCCCACAGCGGGCCCTGCGGCACCCCCTGCGGCACCCCTTGTGGCACCCCCTGCGGCACCCCCCGCAGCACCCCCCGCAGCACCCCCCGTGGCACCCCCCGCAGCAGACCCCGCCAAATGATGGGATCAAGTGCATCACCAGTCCCATTGTGCAGGGTGCATTTTGGGCTTTCTAAGCTCAAATTCATGCTTAACTAGTGTATTTACCGATAGAAATGATACCAGGATGATTTGGGGAAGGCTTCCATTTTTTTGGGCGGAAAATCACGTGATTATGCGCCCATTGTCTGCCACAGCATGCAATGGATCAAGCAACACCTCCGAAATCATGCCGAATGGTGCACAAAAGGTGCCCCCAAAGTCACGTGATAATGCGCCCACTGCCCGCCATGGTGTGCGGGGGGCCAGTAGCGCCCCCGCCAACCCCCGCCAACCCCTGCTAGCCATTTTTGATAATTTTCATGCGGTGCATCACGTGATTTTTTTACCCCGCCATCAGCCGCCATCCCGCCCATTGGATGTGTCATGTGATTCATTTTTTTTTTCGCGCCCACCTGCCCGCTCCCAATGATAAATCACATGACATGTACAGACCCCCCCCTGCTGACCCCCGCATATGCCCCCGCCCCCAAATGGACCAAATCCCCCCCGCGGGCCCCGCAGGGGGGTACCTGTTAGGTACCCTCAGAGCTACGTCTGAGGGTACCCAGGAGGACCCCCGCGGGGGTGCAACCGGGTGATGGCGGTGGTAACTGAGGTGCACCAATGATAATTAGCGAAAGATGATCAATGAGTGGCCCAGGTGGTGTTGCGGGGGTTGATCACTTTTAGCATCCTGTTCGGCTCCCAGGTGATTCGAAATGGTAGTTATGATTATTCCAAAGGCGCTAAAGAATGAGCTGAACGGAATGATAGTCTTACATGCTATGAGTAACTGCGGCAGCCTTCTAGGCCACCTCACTTTCTACGGTGGTCGAGCCTGACAGGTCTGATCGACGATACGACGATACATCCGGCAAATGGACTGCGCTATCCCCCGGTCGTATGATCGTCGTTCCAAAATCCTATGGTGTTCATTCAGATTTGCAGATTTGCAGATTTATAATGCTTTGCCGGCGTACCGCGCCCAAGCCCTCATCTCCATCAGTTGAATACAACCCCTATGAGCGTTATTTCATTCCAATACATCACAATACGCCAAAAATCGGACCACCAACTAACCTTAGTGTTCCTCTCGGACCCTTAACGCTCAAAGTACGTGCGGGACACGGCACTCATCCTCGTCCCCGCGGTCTCCTGACCGCGCACGGGCAGCTCAGATTGCTGCACTCGCTGAAGAGCAGCACTTCTTGCGGGAGCGTCAACAGGAAATCGTCGAAGAAAACCACTTTTGGCACGTCAGGCAAGAAAAGACCGAACATTGAACGCACCCGCTGCCGAAATCAACACCCGACTACGCCATACGACTGATGACTCTTCGAGCTCGGTGAAAGACGACATGAGAGAGAGGGCGCGTGTGAAAGGACAGCCTTGGCCCGTCGCCCGTGAAGGCTATACAGCCGGTATTCTTAGCTACCGACTACCATCAATGCCTTGGTTAGTTTCACTGGTGTAACTCATGCGTCAAGTGCGTTGGTTATGTCAATGACCACGAAATCTCAACGAAACCTTGAGGATCAGGAGCTTATGGAACACCCGTGTGGTATTTGATCTGAGCGATGAGCTGAAATCCCTAGGCCATAGGCATGCAATTCAGAAATGAAACTAAATATAAGTCCGAATCGTTCGATTGAGCTACGACTACCATCCACGGCCACCCCACTGCTCAACAGTCGCCGCGGTCATCTCCTCCAATGTGTGGTACTTCATGCCGAGAATCCGGACGCTCTTGGCGTTGTCGTGCAGCGTGAGCTGGACAAAGTCCTTGCCAGTCCCGGGGTTGCCCTTCTGGTATTTTCCAGAGGCAACAGCCGCAGGGGGCAAGACATCGACTGAAAAAAGCGTCAATGAGGCACTATGAGGACGTGATGGGCCACTCACTGATGTCCTGCCAGGTGTAGTTCTTATCGGCGCAGACAATGATGCGCTCGCCACCGGCCGCCTCACGCTCGAGCGCGCGGACATGGGCGAGGGCGATGTCACGGACATCGACATACGGCGCACCGCCGACGAGCGCATCCGGGTTCGTCAGGCCGTAGTACATCGATTGCAAGGACGTGTTGAGCTCCGCGGGAGATTTCACTCCCTGGATGTCGGGCTAGAAAACAGGGTTAACCTAGAACCCTTCCACACAGCTCGAGCCACACTCACACCGAGAACAATCGGAGGGTTCAGCACCGAGAGATCGAACTTGGCCTCCGGGTGGTCCTTCATGAACTTCCACGCAGCTGAGACATCGATGAGAATTCGCAGCGCATGAGTCGAATAAGATCTCAAGAAACGCACCGCGCTCGGCCAGGGTCTTGCTCGCACAGTACTTGGCGCCATTGTTGGCGTCGACACCTTTGGTCTCCACCTCGTGAACCGCTCCGTCGTTCCAGTGCTCCTCCGTGAAGAGAGTGGGCTTCGTGTTGTTCAAGTCGATGATAGAAGCGCACGACGACGTGACGACGACGCGGCGGACATTGGCGCTGGAGAATCGATGAGGCGAGTGACGCAGTGGAAAAGATGGCGCTTACCCGTATTTCAGGGCACTCTGGAGCATCCCTACAGTACCCTTGACCGCGGGCTCGATCAGCTCTATGGCGAGGTGTGAGAATCAGACGCGAAGGCTGGTAAAATGCCAGGCATACCAGAGGGCTCAGTCACATTGAAGTAGAACGGCGAGGCGGTGTGTGCGATCCCATCGACGCCCTTGACAGCCTCGTCGAACGCGCCCTCCTAAAAGTTGGACATGAGCATCGTCGTCCCGTCGTCTCGCCCATGGACGTGATCCACGCACCGCAGTGATATCGGGCACAACGACTAGCTCGAGCTTGTCGCCGTACGATTTGAAGAGCTCCTTGAGATTCGCCCCCTTGCTCGCCGAGCGAATAGTGCCGCGCACGGTGTAGCCTTGCTCCAAGAAGGAGCGCACCACCCACTGCAAGATCGCGGTCAGCGATCTCGAGATAAGGAATATGGAGGGAGGAAACGAACCGTGGCGAGGAACCCGTTGGCGCCTGAGACGAGGACTTTGGCAGAGGCAGAGATAGTAGGCATGGTTTCCAAAGATGCTCTGAGAGGTGAGGATGTGAGATGGATTGAATGAGGCAAGACGCGTCAATGAACACTCCTATTTATATTAACTCGTTCTGCTTAATACCTCGCACATTTGGTGAGAGATCGACACCGAAATTTAAGTTCCCGGTGCGGCATCTTGAATGCGTCACTCTGCCGCAGAGTACAAGTTGGCGTGAGAATGTTGGCACCTTGATCCCGTTTGTAATCTTTCGCAAAATGGCCCACGACGGGCACCCGGCAGGTAAGGCATAACCATCTCCCCTCTCGGGCTCTATTAGGGCATCGCGTCCCCGGCTTCTGGTCGACGTGTCCTTTTCTCCTATGCATAAAATGGGCTGACTATAAGGACACGCAATTGCCCGAGTTTTGGCGTCTCGCTTCGTGCTGCCTAGAAAAGACCAGGCCATTCCTAGATTCTCTACGAAGTCGAAGCTAAACACGCTTTTGTAAGAACACAATCATTGTCTCGCGAGCCGAGCCTTGATTCACAACGCTCATTATACCTGCCCCACGGATCGCGCCGAGTCGCCTGCACCCTGTCGTTCGCTCCACATCCTAATGAGCACGGGACCCTTTGGTTTCTTCGGAGAATGTCCTCATTTCTGCGAAGCTTGGGCAGACACACAAACCTGCCTTCACGCTCTTTGAAAGCATTGACTTCTCGCCGGGGATGATTGCCGGTGGGTCAGAGGAGCTGCCGCAGATCGCATGAGTTCCGTACAACTGAAGACAAATCTCGGTCACGGTGGGGGAAGTAAGATCAGCGTGGGTATTTCTGCGTCCGCGTACAAGTATCGGCAACTCGAAAGACGCCCTTGTATCCAATTGAAGGCCGTACTGCTGTGTGTTTCTGTCCACAAGCGAGAGGGGACTCGAACATGTGATATTCACTGTTACAGCATCTCATAACATAACGTCTCTAAAACGCGGCATGTTGCTGTAAAATGCGCCCCAGATGGTATCCTAAAATATTGTCAGAAGATTGCGCTGATCAAGAACACACAAGACGTACTCGCGAGCGGACTGTTCTCCGCATACAACCGCAGCGCAGTAATCCCAACCTGAAGCTTCTCAAGCAACAGCAACGAGCCGCCGCCACTCTCAGCCTCCCGCATCTCGTCCATCAACACGTCGCACCCCAATGCAATCAGCGCCGGCATGCCTGGATTCATGGCACGCGGGCCGCCAACAAGGCTGGTGGCAGCGTAGATACGCTTCCCGCGCGAGTCCGCCGTGGCCCGGAAACGATGTAGATGGATGGTCGCTGTAGCGGCTAGGCCATGCGCCAGGGGGTAGCCAGCAATAGGAGGAAGGGAGCTCCAGAATCGCGCGATACGGGAGTCCAGCCACGAGATGTCAGCGCCGGCAGTCTGGCGCCTGCTGTAATGCAGCAATACGGCCGCCTGGGATGTAGCAGCGCTCAGTGAACCCGGGACGTCATCGTACAGGAACGCCTGCAAGGTCTGAGCGGAGCCAGAGTACCCCTCTTCCCATCCTGACATCGGCGTGGAGATCTCCACGCCGGGAGCATCCAGGATCGAGATCGCAATGCCGAGCATGCTTTGAAGCGTGACGACAGCCCAGAACCCGCGGATCTGCTCTCCGTCCAGGGGAGAATGACTAGACGCGTTTAGGTGGTATCCCAGAGCCAGGGACCCGGCCCCACTAGCGTAGTATTCGGCTTCCACCAGTCTGCAGTTGCGCAGCATATAGGTCGACAGCAGAACATGTGCTTGGATCGTATACAAAAAGGATGCCGACGAAGTTTCTGTTGCCAGGTGTGTCTGAGCGCGCCGCAGAAATGTCGATTCCATGTCCGACTGGCCGGTCAGCTGGGCACTCCAGAGGTACACGGCGAAGAGAAGAGCCGGTGGTGGTCTTGACACGTCCTGCAAACGAGATGGGTGCAGGAAGTATCCGACCTCCGTCATGTGCGGCCAGAAAGCATCCAGTCTGTGGATTTGTGAGCAAGTTGCCATGCCAGGAGTGGAAGCAGTCGCGAACAGTGGGTGTGCCACACGCGGTGGAAGATCCTGAGACAAGTCAGTACCCGTGGACGGTCGGCGAGGAAAGAGCTCCCACCTTGTCCTCTAGTTCGTCGATCCGAGACTGCAAACGGACGATCGTGTTCTCCAGCTCGACCGTACGCGACGTCCCATCGTCCGTAAACTCGCAAGGGTCGTCTTTCGGCACGCGCGTGCACGGCCCACAGACAGGTCGCTGTACGTTGGGGTCAAAACCGAAGTTGCGCGATAGAAGCACGGTCGGACTCGCCTCACCGTCGCACTTCTTGATTGCAGCGAAGAGTATACAAGTCAGCCGAGCAGACGAGCGCTGGAAGTGAGACTGGGGTCCTCACAATCTTCAGGTGCCTAGCCCGAGCAGTCAGTGCATCGCACGCGCATCGAAGGGATACGAACGCACCGACAATTGAGACACGCCTTGCCCCGTCGCAAGGCCGTCCCATGTCGGCTGGGTTGAGGAGTCCTGCTCGAGCTCATGCTGATAGTCTTATTCGTATCTGTATCCGTATTCCTGCGTCCTCTGCGTCGAGCACACCCCGCTGCACCATCCCGCGCACTATTTGAATCCCCCTTGGACTCAAAACCGCAGCACCTGGCAAGCTCTACGTCGCCGCCCCGGACGCGGTTTCAGTTGTACACCGGTGGGCGCTGAGAAAGGATGGCTACGCGCAAGGCGTTGGCTAGCGACGGGCTGATCGTCGTAGCTAGTCGTCGACGCGATGGTGTTCGTCGGCAGGGGGGACGGGACTGCGGTTGAAAGTGGTGTCTAAAACGAACTTCCGCAGCAGAGCAGGAGAACCGTAGGTGTGGCTCGTCGCGCATCGTGTGGTCTGCGGGCTTCCATGGTGTGGATGGTGGTAAGAGGATACAGTATGATATGAATGATGTTGATGCAACCGTCCCAAAGTAACCGGCATTCATTCAATCTGGGAGGAAACGCATGCAATGGAAAGTTATGGAGAAGCAACAAAAGTGGACGAGTGTTGCTGCCGACAGAGGGGGCAGAAAGAAGATGGAATACCTCCTGCGTTAAGAGCGCGAGATGATAAACAAGCACTGAGCAGATCCCGGAGAAAAATAGACCACCCCGTGATTTGAACACGGGACTTCAGGATAAATTCGTATACGAAATGTTGCAATCCTACACTCTAACCACTGAGTTAGGTGGTCTGATGACAGTTGTCCCCAGCAGTTAATAACATTATCATGACAACAACCTAGCCGTGTTGCACAAGCCACTCATGTAAGATTCGATTCGCCTGCCTTCCTGTCGCAGATTTAGATGTATTCCATACGGAGTGCTGTCATTCCTGTGGGAACAGAAGATCCTGAATCCTTCCTGCTTTTCTTTTCGAATCTCCCTCGATCTCAACGGATTCTGTGAGTTCACTCACCTGGTTTCCTGCCAGTACAAGTCGATCAAGAAGGCCGCCAGTCAGTTCAGATTCTGGATCTCGGTCCTCTTCTCATGCCCGTCCCGGTATGTGCCCGTAGATACCTTGTTTAGCGCGCCCACCAAGCGTGGAAACTGAGACTGGCAAGCCTCTTTTTGTCGATAATCACGAATGGCGTGAAACGTCCGTGCTATTAGATATTACGACTCAAATAATGAAGTAATGAAGTACATGGTTACAGGCTATGGTTTTGTGTGTCCATTATCCATGGCAAGAAGCCTGTCAAGATGAGAACCAAAACCCGTGCGGAACTGCCATGGAGAACCTCACCGAATACAACCACCGGAATCCAGGCAGCAAGGACCAGTGCCACATGCTGTGTCCCGAATTCCGAGGGTGATGTCCTCGAAAGATCGACCAGGGGTGTGATCACTGAAAGAATGTGTGTGGCGATGATCGCACTGGCAAATCTGAGCTACTGGTCCATGCAAAGCGTTCTGGTACCCACAATTGGAAGATGACAATGTTGCGCAGCAGTGGGGAGAGCTTGCTCGGTTGGTGGTACTGCCAGTGATATCCGAGCTCCGGCGAGGCTGCTCGACAGAGTTAGCAATGGACGCTTGCGCCAGGCGCTCCAAGCTTACAAGCGGCCAGATCAGACGTAGTCGCGTCGGAGAATATCTCCGACGTGACGTCTTGCCAGTCCGAGTCTGACTGTGAGATGCGCGACGAGCGCGCTGGGGTAGACTTATCGCGACTAACAGCCTCCGCCTCCGAGCTCTGCCGTCGTGGCTCACTGTGATACACAAACCGCGCGATCTCCATGATCGAACTCCGCCGCCCATCGCCGTTGTCCCGGATCGATGTCGGCGTCCGCTCGGTATTGTTCAGTGGGCTTTCAGACAGCGGAATCGACCTCAACGGAGTCGGGCTGACATCGGCGGACGTACCCCTCGTAACCGCGGGGGCAGGCTTCATCTCCGCAAACGAGATGCTCGAGATGGTGCCGAATGATTCGTCGCACGGATGTGAATGCAAGGCGTCTGACGACGTCCTCCTCGAGGAGTTGCCGCCTCCCAAGGAGCTCGGGACGAAGGGTAGGTGGAAGCTCTTCATCCGCTTTTCGCGCACAGCCAGGCTGGTCGGCTGCCTCCGCGGCTCGCGTGTCATGCGGATGGTCGAAGAAACAGGCGGAGAAGGGAACGTCACTGCTCGTGGCGTTGGCGGGCGGGTTCCGGTCGATCTAGATGCGCCAGACTTGGACTCGTGTTTCGAGGGACGCCGGCGGGGCGGTACGACCGTGTACTTGTCGAGATTGTCAAATTGGATTGACCTCCGTGACCGTGAGATGTGTCGATGGGTCCGCCAGATCCTCCAGGCGGACAGGCAAGTGAGCCATAGGCAGGGGAGGGTTATGAGCAGAGGTGTGCCCGCATATCCGACAAAGCGGAGCCTTGAGAGAACTCAAAGTTAGAGAGGCGGGAAAGCAAGAGACTGCAATGGTACGCACCATAGAGGAGATGGAATACACGTGAGGCTGTCCTCTTCACCGAACGTGGCCGAGAATAGCACGAGGGTGGACTGGACAGCGGATGCTAGCACAGGAAAGAGAAGGACGGGAAGAATGTAGTGGCTCTTCCATCTGAGAACACTGCACCGAAGATGTATCAGCCTCCCACATCCAAGTATCTGCCATCTGCCAACCAACTCACTTGACATCTGATCCAGGACCCCATCGTTTTGGCTTTGCGATGTGCATCGTCGTAGCCGTCGTCAGAGCCGCCAAGATCCCAGCTATGAAGAACGTCGAGAATCCGATCACGAGCACTTGTGCTGGGTGCAAGACGCAGATGGTCAGTCGGCAACGCGCAGTTCGAGGCAGGGGTGCACAACTCACCGAGACAAACGCCCACCGGGGACCGCTGGGGATCTAACCCCCGCCGCGACATCCCTTGATGTCATGAGCTTCGGGATAGAACGAGCACCAAGAGCACGCACCCAAGATAAAAGCACCCTCGAGGACGGTAACGCCCAGTGCGTATCCGACTGGACCCCAATAACTCTGCATTCTCCACGCCAGGGGGATAAGCACGGCCCAGCAGCTGATTACACCTGTGTTTGCAGCGCAGACAATGAGTCTCCGAGGAACAGACGAGGTGCTGTATCTCACCGGAGCCAGACAGCGCCAGCCATGCGACCTTGAGGCCAAGGGGGAGCGGCATACCATGGAGCGCGCCGTCGCAGAGAGGGGAGAGAGTGCGCCGTAGCTGTCCATTAATCAGTCTTTGTAGTCACACTAAGTATAGGTCTGATTGATCTTCACATCTGGTCTGAGAACCCGGAAGCACGGAATAAGGCCGCTGCGGTGGTAGAGCGTCCAGTGCTCTCCTCATGCTGAGTGCGACACTGGGTGATGATGCCAAGTGCCTAGATGCTTACAGAGTGGCTGACGCCCCAAAGCCGCGCGCTGACGTCGTTGACGCCGTCACATAGCTAGACCCAGCATAAGCATTCCCTTTCCAGTCGTCCAAGGCCAAACCGACCCAAGTATAGTGTGCCGAGAGCGCGCGGATATCCATCAACTCGATCACGATGGGGGCCCTATCCATCCGTCCAGAACCGCTGCTCATGTGAGCCCAAAGCGTCTAATGCACGCCACAGGCAGATGTGGTTGTTGCCAGAAGCAAGTACGCGCTTGATGCACCGCCTTACGGAGATTCCCGGGTTGAAGTAGAGTAAGCACCATCAGTTGCGGCCGCCGATTACCCTGCGTTGAAGACAGGATACTCGTAATCGAATGAGTGCTCCGCTCAGTGAATTCTTAGCACACAGCAACCTGATTGCGACAGACACAGCAAGACGAGCCGGGCCGGCCAAACGCGATCACGTGAAATGAGAGTTATTGAGATAGAGCTGAATAAAACAGCCGGCAAGAGAGCTCTCCAGTCCAATACTGTTCCATATGCTTTCTCGGACTCGAATCGGAATCGGAATAGCTTGGATTGTCGAGGGCGCATCATACACACCCCGGAGAATGTGCCTCACCCTATGATAAGCACACAGGGCACTGTTACATTGGGCGTGTCGAAGGTGGGTATATCATGCCGAGGGACCATAAAAAAACCAGAGAGAAGAAGACATTCAAGATGATTCGTCATCTTCTGACTCCTCATCCTCCCCACGCAACCCTGCTTGACCGAGATCCTCGCCAAACGGGGACACAACACTCCGAGGCGCGAGCGGTACATCCTTCTCAATCGCGCAATCAACGACCATGTCATGAATCATCTTGTTGATCCTACCAGGCTATCCTATCAGCATCCCTCCAAACGGGAACATGATGTACGCACTCTCCGGGATGTGTGAGATGACCCCATTGGACAGCACCAGGGACATCCTCCAGCTTCACATGGGCAACCCCGGCGCGCTCGAGTGCATGCTTTAGCTCCACGGTCGTTGCCCTGGGATACGCGATGTCTTCACCGCAATGCACGAGAAGCACCGGGGCAGTGATTCCTTCCAATGTCGGCCGGTCCCGGTTGATGAAAAACAGCGCGGTGGCGCAGAACAGCTCTTCCAACCTCGGCGGGCTCCAGTTGTGCGCCGCCGCAGCGAGGGTGACTTTCGTCAATCTACGAAAGCGAGGAATCAATTGAGGGGTAAGACGAGGAGGATGCTTGCGCTGACGCGGATATGAGAGGCGACTGCTGGTTGTTGGTCCCGACTTGAAGCGCCCCGCATACAGCGTCGAGGAGTGCAATCTCATCTGGAGGCTGGCCGGGTGGAAATCCCGCTTGCCAACACGCGTAGATCTCCCTCCGGCCCTCGGCAACGTCTTCAGGCTATCACAAGGATCAGCTACTCGATAGATCTCGAGGAGATGCAAACATGGCGGGCTGACCTCCTCCATGGCCGGTGGCGAGACGAGGGTGAGCGACTGGACGCGTTGAGGCCACAGGGCGGCCAGCTCGAGCGCGATGAGCGATCCGTAGTTGACCCCGACAAGATGGACCGGGGGCAGCTTCAGTGCTTCCTAGGAGGGTGTCCCAAGCGTTCACCAGCTGCGCGAGAAAGCAATGGTATATGCGCACCAGGAACTTGACGACATCGTCCACCGCCGACGCGACGCCGTAATCGTCCTTGACCGTTCCGACGGATGCACCATGGTCGCGGAGATCGAGCGCGACGAGGTTGAATCGCCTAAGCTGTGGGTCCGCGAATTGGGCTGTATCGCTCGCGGTCAGCGGAGGGCGGGGGAGAAGTAAGGAGGCGAGACACACGGTGAAACCCATGCTGCCCAATGAAAACTGGATGGAGGAACACCACGACCGGTAAGCCAGGAACGACACTCTTGGCGGACGCGGCTGAAGGCGTCGAGATCGTGTACGCCACGCTCAGAGGACCACCAGAGCTGACGATGTCGACAAAGGGCATGATGGGGGGAGGGTGGTTGGCACTTCCATTTCGGCCCGTGCGGTTAAAAGTTGGCGATCTCAAGAGGCTTTAGGAGCTAGTGCTCGAGCAGCCTGCCTAGTAATTCATTTTGACATCTCCGCGAAGACGTGCCGTGGAGTACAGAGGCTGCATAGAGGTGGCTCAAAACACCTCGCTCGAACTGCGGACCTTGCACGTACATGCGGTCATGAGCGATTGCCGCTGCGGGATGAGCTCACACGCCCTCCCATTCCATTCCACCCTCAACTCCTGTACCTCTTGTTGCGCTTAGGTCGCTCGAAATCATCAACATTCCACGGCCGCCGTGCGTCTTCTGATCGCTGTGACTCTGAGCCGAGGGGTTTATGCGAAACGGAGAGTGTGGTTGCCAAGAAGCTCCGTCCCAGGCTGGAAAAGAAATCGATGATCGGAAATCCAGACCAAGCCGGTTTCCATATCGGGGAAGGTATGTCACTGAACGGTCTGGACCCAACATCCGCGCGACATTGGGCACATGCGATAATTGAATTCGCATTCCTGCCTCAGCGGGTCCGAAGTTTCCCTCGTGAATCTTGGAACGTCCAGCCCGAGCATTGAAGAGCGATCTGCGCATCAACGGCCAGGTGCCTGAGCACACGGAATATGCCGTCGGGAACTATACAGTCAAAAGTCAAGTCCATTTCCCGTTCGAGTCCCCACGTGGGCACACTGTCTTCACCCCAGGTCAAGTCGTTCGAGTTGTCATAAATTTAACAAAATTGACAGAACACGTGTTCCAACGGGAATTAAATATTGAGCCCCGATCTCTCAGTGGGCCGGCAGCCTTGGAGCCCTTACCGTCGACCGCGCTTAGTCAAGACAGTGAAAATGACAGTAGATGGCCAAAAATCAGTGGCTGGAGTCAATTCATGGTGCATACATCAAACTAGTGATAAGTCAGTCGCGGAACTTATCAAATTTGTAAGTTGAAAGAGAGCCAATGTGCATCCTACACGTGTTATGATGTGTGGAATATGTTATTTGGTCGGCGGCAGCTCAACGGCTGGACGCTTAGCACATCCAATGCATCCATGCGGTGTCGAGAAAAAAATAATGAAACGTGAAGTGTTCGGGACTCCGGCCAGGGTTGAACTCGCGTCTCCACACTGAGACGGTGGGTATCGTACCATTAGACCACGAAGTCCAAGAAAGATTTTCAGGTTGGTTCATTATATTAAATAATTGCCACCGCACAGTGACAGTGGTGGAAACTGCTACGCTGGCCGCTCACGTCATAGAACCACACTCGAGACCAAAAATGCTGCATAAAATTGATGGCATTGACACTCACGGATACCGTCTAGTTTTCTAGTTGTTTGTGATCCTATTTCATGCTGATAATGACTTTCGGCTTGAGGAGAGTCTAGAGCTAACTATAACTAGCAACCTGCCTGTTTCAGCTTCTGTACGACTACCTTGATGTTCCTAAAACCTAGCAACGGCCCTTCGACCCGGGAAAGACTCGAGCTGAGCCTCAGTCCGAATGACAAATGACATGTCTATAAGTTTCTCACTTGCACGCAGTCTTGCCCATGGTGACCACTGCAGAAGACTTTGACTGCGACTTTCTGCTCTGATAATCAAACAGGACTGCACACATACACAACAATGTCTAATCTGAGCACTCGGCCGTCCGGTGGAATTTGTACAGACACAACCAACTACGCTCGGCCCGGCCATCAGGGCACCGCGATCACGAGACGCGGCATGAGTTTGGCTTCTGATGGGCAGATATGACATAGGCGACGCCGGCAGTCAGGGGAGCCGAATTCCGAGAATCTCTCTTGACAAGTACCCCCACCATGGCAGAGCCCTGGAGTCCCAAACGCAGTCTTGCTGAAGGTCTGACATCTCTATCCAAAGCTCAAAACACCAATCCTGACTCGCATTCCAGTGAACGCATTGTTGACCGCACCGGGTGAGCCCGACTAATTTTTTTGCTGCGGGTTCGACTGCTGGACGCGAATGGAAGGAACTCCGCTGGAGGTGGAGGAGCGACTCGTCGACGGACGGATTCTGCGCGTGTACAAGAACCAGTGGCCCTCGTTACGCGCATTCTGGCTTTGGGCCGCGACGACGTACTCGGTACGTCGTTACACTTATCCGGAGAGTCGGCCGACCGAGAACGGATCGCAGGATCGTGTGTATCTGGTGTTCGAGGATCAGCGCTACACGTGTGTTTGGAGCTCTTCTTTCCGAGCACGCTGCTGAGCCGCTCCAGATACAAGGCGGCGCTGGCCAAATCGCTGACTGCGGCTGCCGTGTTCCGGGACGTGTACGGCATCCGAAAAGGCAAGTCTCACTCCCTGTTGAGAAAATCATGATAATCGTGTCTGCATTTAGGCGACCGCGTCGGGATCTGCTCGCGCAACTACCCGGACTACATGATTGCGTTCTACGCCTGTCGTAAGCCGCATTGCACTCGCTGGCCTTCTCGCGCTGATGGAGGCGTGTGACCAGAGCTTCTCGGGGCCGTAGCTGTGCTCACCAACGCGTGTGTGCCATGCCGCTTCCCGCGTGCCCCACGGCTGACCGTCGCTTTGACAGGTGGCTCCCGACCGTGCCGCTCATCCACTGCTTGACACACACATCGTGCAAGTTGATTGTGCTCGACTGCGAGCGAGCCAAGCGGCTGCAGCCGTCGACCGGGAAGCTCGGCGGGGCCAGCCTTCTTGTGTTGAACAGTCATGAAGACAAAGGACGCCGGTGGAAAGGCATGCGCTGCTGGGACGAGGTCATGGCGGCCTATGATAAAGACACGAGTGGGATTCTGAAGCCGGATTTCGTTGACATACATCCCGAGGACAATGCAACCATCATGTTCACATCTGTGAGTGCGCAGCCGATGAGCCTTTTCAATTCTCCTCACCTTTCCACAGGGGGTACGTGCCATCTGGACGCCTCAACGCTGCTGACAATCCGAAATCAGACAACAGGACTCCCGAGTAAGTCTCGAGGAACCGATCTCCTACCTTGAAAATCTGACTCGTTCGCTCAAGAGGGTGTCCTCAGCACACAGAGGCAATTCGGAACGAACATTCTAAATGTGCGTCATTGCTCGATTGTAAAAAGTTGGACTCAGTGAAGCCCAGGCCATCGTCGCTCGCCGACGTGCCGCCCTTCGACGCGGGGAAGAGATCCCGGTACCCGCTCCGGGGACACCCCAGCCGGGGTTGTTGATCTCTGTGCCGTTATTCCATGTCACGGTACGTCAGTCAGATTTCCCGGTTGACGTCGATTCACTGGGCCCAGGGCGTGAGTAACCATCCTGCTTGATATCGTCCTACTGACACCGCGCGCAGCTGACTTCGCATATGGTGCGGCGTAACCGTCTTTTTAGCCGGTGCGCGCATGCGAGCTCATGGTCCTCTCATAGATGATGGCGACCTTTGGCGGCGCTAAGGCGGTCTTGATCCGGAAATGGGTCCCAGAAGAAGCAGCTCGGTACGTAAAAAAACCATTCAAATCCTCCTCCGTTGTAACATCCGTGCGCAACAGCGTTATCATCGACGAGAAATTGACATCAGCCGGAGGGTAAGTTTCTTGCTAGAATAATCCGGTCTGTAATCTGAGAACGTGCAGAGTGCCTTCGATGCCAGGAGACTTGCTGGAAACCATCCTTGCTAAGCAGCATTACCCGATAGAGGGTCTCTCGCTGGGCGGCGCACCGGCTCCCGAAAGCTTGCCGGCCAGAGCTAGGAAAGCTTTCCCCTCCGTCACATTGTGAGTTTTTTCGGTCGTATACAACGTGTTCATCTTATTCAAATGTTGCGTAGGAGTCAAGGGTGAGAGCTGGGGTAGAACCCAGGCTGCTTTTATCTTGCGCTGACATGCCTCTAGATACGGAATGACCGAATGCAATGCGATTGCGACTAGTTTCGGTGAGGAAATTATCAAATCTTTGGATCAGGGCCCCTTACCTCGTTGCAGCGGGCGAAGATTATCTCGCAAGACCTACGAGCTGGTGTGTTTCCACTCTTCAGGATGATAATCACGCTGACAGCGTCTTCCAGTGGTCTTCCCCCACCTGTCAACGAGATCTCCATCGTCGCCAAGGGGAGAGCAGTCCCCGCCGGAGAGGTCGGCGAGGTGTGGATTCGTGGACCTAATGTCATGAAGGAGTACTGGCGCGATACAAGTGCGATCACCGCTTAGTCTCTTCCAATTACGGTTGATGTCTCACTGTTTCTTTCCAGAGGCGACGTCAAAGGTTCTCACGAAAGACGGATGGCTGCGCACCGGGGATCTCGGCCTACTGGACCAGGAGGGTTTCCTGTATATCAAGGACCGAAGTACGTTTTTTCTTCTAGCATCATTCCTCAGCTCGAACAGAAAACTGACGCACGCTCTCTAGTCAAGGACATCATCATCCGCGGCGGAGAGAACATCGACTCTACGTCCGTGGAGAACGCGCTGTTTACCGAAGGTGTCCAGGAAGCCGCTGCGGTTGCCGTGCCCGATATAAAACTCGGGGAACTGGTCGCTGCGGTCGTGTCCGTGTCTCCAGAGTTCCGAGAGAAGATCACAGAAGCAGGACTCATTGCGCTCGCGCGGGAACGGTGAGGTCTCATTCATTCTAATGGTACTAGCGCTGATGAAATCGTGGTGCGATTGTAGACTGCCCAAATTTGCGGTGCCTGTGATGGTGCTTTTCCTCGATGCGTTGCCGCACAATGCGAGCGGGAAGGTGGTCAAAGCAGATTTGAGAGCGCTGGCAGGAAAGGAGTGGGAGAGAAGGAGAAAATTCGCTGCCAAGTTATGATAATAGATTCTGAACCATGAGATGTAGTGGAAAGAATCTCAAGTATGTTTAATCTCGCTGAATGACGTCATCACAGGGCTTGTAGCGCAGTTGGTAGCGCGTCCGCTTCGCATTTATTGGTGTGCGGGAGGTCATCGGTTCGACTCCGGTCAAGTCCAGAGAGTGGCCGAGGCAGTATTTTTGGATGGCAGATATTTCCCACACGCACACTAAATTGCTCTCCAACTTCATTGTCGCTGATCTTCGATCGTCATGACACTTCTGTGACATCTCTCTCACCCACCCAACACTTGCCGCCTGCCCTGATGCCTCATAGCCTGCACTCCCACTCCGGGCAATTCTGCAAACACGCGGTCGGATCCCTCGAAGAAGTTGTTCTGGAGGCAATTCGGAGAGGCTTCGCCGTCTACGGGCTAACCGAGCATGTGCCGCGATACCGGAACGAAGACCTGTACCCCGAGGAGGTGCCGCCCCTGTCCTCTCTGCTGCCTCTCATACCAACTACCGACGCGATGTAGCAAGGGATCGAGCCCGCAGACCTCATGCTCCAGTTCACGCGCTTCCTGGACGAGGCGCACCGGCTGAAAACGAAGTACGCGGAGCAGATCACGCTGCTGGTCGGGCTGGAGACGGAGTACATCACGCGCGACGACGTGACGGGCCTCGAGGACCTTTTGCGGAAACACCACCCGCGCGTGGAGTATCTCGTTGGATCCGTGCACCACGTGAACGCCATTCCGATCGATTTCGACCAGGCGACTTTCCGCAAGGCGGTCGACAGCTTCGATGGTGGTGGTGGCGATGGTCGTAGAGCCGAGGATCTGAGTCCTGGAGCCAGTGCCGGTGCCAGGGGCAAGGACGAGGCCTTCCTCATTGCGTACTTCGATTCCCAGTTCGAGCTTCTGAAGCGCTTCAAACCCGAGGTCGTGGGCCACTTCGATCTGTGCCGGCTCTACACTCCTTCGTTGAGTTTTTCGGAGTTTCCCGAAGTGCTCGATCGCGCGCGCCGCAATATCATGTATGCCATTGAATACGGCGCGCTGTTCGAGGTCAATGCGGCTGCCCTGCGGAAGAACTGGGAGACACCATACCCCGGGAGGGACATTCTGGAGGTGCGTGCTGATTAATGAACGCTCTCTGGACCCGTAGCCACAGCTGTCACGCATAGATCATTGTGGCGAGTGGGGGGCGTCTGACACTCTCCGACGATAGTCACGGACCACACGCTGTCGCGCTGAACTACGGCAAGATCCGCGGCTATCTGCGGAGCGCAGGCGTGTCTGAGCTCTGGTTCCTGGAGCGGTCCGTCGACATGGCGCCAAACTGCGCCGGCAGGTATGTTCGCCCTGAACGAATCAGCGGAGAGTGGGCCGAGCATCCCTTCTGGATGCAGTTTCATTCATAGGCAAGTAGAAATTACATCACCCCTTACTTCTCCGAACCTCAATTGCGTCGTCGTGACTCACACGTGGTGTCTGGATCAGATTCTCCCGTTTGCGCGAACAAGTTCGAAATCAGGGTCGCCGCAGTAGGAGAGCATTAGATGGGAGCGCGAAATATGATGCGATGTTTCTGTGAACGTGTGAAGCTCCAACATGCTCTGATGATCAGTATCCAGCTCGGCGATGTTGACTTTTTGAACCGGAGTCCTTATCGCCCTCCGCGTGAAGTAATGCCCATTCCTGATCACCGCTCTGACACCAAGCATGTTCCGAACGTCTAGAGCGACAAACATCTCGGCCAAAGGCCTTGATGCTGGACGCGGAGAAACCACAGGTTAGGCCCCACGAAACGGAGGTTCGCGATGAGCCTCAGTTCAAGAAGAGGTCCAGCAAGCAGCCTGCTCTCGATTGGCGCAATGGTTTGCCGGCGATAGCCGTCGCCTGCGTCTATCCGCGAGCCTCGTTATAGATATAAAGCCAGGGCTTTGAGAGCTCTGACCTCACTGGTGTTCAAAAACCCATTTGCATTCTGCCGCAAACTTGACTCGGAAATGTGTTACAAGACGATCACGTATATTCTGTACGCTTGCAACCACGAAGAGACGGATGGGGTCGTCTCGCAGGTGGGCGATTCGCTTTCATGTTGTCCGCCTCGCAACTCACGTGGATATTTCATCTGCAGGAGGATTGCGGCAAACAGCGTTGCGCATTCAGCGTCCGACACCCGACAGGACTGCACGTCTGCAGCTCGATCTGCATTGATAGGTGAGCGCCACTCGAAGTGGCTCCTTCACTCATTTGTCCTCGATCGCTCATTATCGCTGTATTCCTACATCCAGCATGGACAGTCGCCCCCGCCGTGTCTTCGGCGGCAGAGTCGGGACGTTGTGCTCTAGGTGCTCGGGTGGAAAGTGACGATCTCTGCCGAAATCTGCATCAGGACTCTTGTCATATTAATCCTCGATAAAGGTCTCAAGTACTCACGAACATTGTAAAGTTGCACACACCATCTTATCTTATCTTGAGTCGTCGTTTTCCCCCCATCAGGATGCATGCAGACACACTGGCAAACATTGCACCTCCAAGCCTTGAGGAATGTCATTCTTGCGACCCATCTCCTTGGCCAGTCCCGGGCAGGGAGGCATGTACCGACATGTCGAATATCTTCTGTCAAACCTGAAATCGTCCCAATTTGCGTCGCCAGCCGCCCTCGCAGCTTAGCCCCCCATGTGAACCGACTGACGCTCTGGCTCAGGGCTCATTACCGACAGCATTCTGCCGTCCTTGTCCTCCCTGACACGGAATTAACGCCCTTCCTAAGCCCATCTCAATTAATCGTCTCCCCCCCTTCTTGCCGGCTGAACAGCCTTCCACCTGCGACTTCGACTACGCATCGTCTTTGTGCCTTTGCTCTGTGAGGCTTACGTGGAGTGCTCAACTGAATTTTCGGTGTGGGTTTCGACGCGTTTGACTCCTTTTACCTTCTTTCCCCCTCCCCCCCTCTCCGAGCGTCGTTTCGCTTGTTCCAGCTCCACTTTGGTACGGGGTATTGGGCACGCATGGTGGCGCACATCGACCTCCTGCACCGTGCGTGTCTTCCATTTGTCTGCCTCGATTAAAGTCTGGGCTGGGTGCTTACCGGGAAACGCAGGATCTTGAATCACGACTCCACCAAGTATTACAGTCGCACCTGCGGCCAAGGCCCCGGCACGTCCTCACACTGGCACGACTAGTACATTCTACACTTCAATGATAGCCGATGAACATTCCTCTCATGCCAGCTTGACCTCTTTCTACTTCCTTGCCGGACCCAGTCACCGATGGTAGCTGATGACTGAGAAACTGGGCCAGGGTCTGGGGTACGGTACTACTGGCATATCATTGAAACGGTATCTGCGTCTTTCCCCCTCACAGTCTTGACCATTTTGCTCCCTTTTTGATGTTGACCCAGGCGTTTCCGCGAATCGCCAATACTATCAACGGTTGGGTCGGCGCGGTTGTGCATGAAGTACTGGACGTTTCCGTCCACCAGTCCCGAGGGGCGTTTCCAGACCGGATGTTGTATGGAGGCCGGGAATTATATGCTGATAAGCGGAGGACATATCACTGATACGCGAAAGTTTGCCGACATGGCATCAATGTCATGATGCGCTCTATGTCATGATGCGCTCTGTCTGGACCCCGAACGCTCGTTAACATGTATGAAAAAGGCCAAGTACATGCACTGTAGAGTAGCGATAGAGCGTAACTACTTACATGAGACTAGACAGTCCAAAAAACTTGCAGTAACCGGAGCATACATGCTGCTCAGGAAACTTCTCGAAGAACCTGCCTGAATTGCCACCACCAAACAGACCACGTTCGAGAGTCCTGATGATCCAGTCAGATATCAAGAGCACGCAGATTGACACAGCAGTGGACTGCGCACGGTGAAGTCATAACCTGCGGATCCGTCAAGAGATTTCCGGAGCCTTGGATAGAGTTAGTATGAAACAGTGAGCCAGATCGAATGAACCGGCCTTGAAGATCAGAAAGAAAGACCAAACGCCCGGTGTGTTCGTATTGGACATGTTGTGTAAAACAGAGGAACGATGCCAACAGCTTGAGATCTTCTGGAAGCGACGGAACGGGCACTGCACTATTGTTATTGATGTACTTCACAAACTTGCCTGAAATTCAGTGAGCAATATACTCGAGTCGTTGCAGAGAACAAACCCGTTCCAATTAATTCTTCAATGAGATATGATCGTCGGAGTGATGTCATCATTTTGCTCGACTTGCCATCTGCCGCCGCATTGTGAACCAGAGCAACGCCGGCCTCGACGAAGCGGACTTCAAAGATAGGGAGGTCGCCTGGTGGCGCGACATGCTTTGATATGTAGTTACGCACGAAAGAATAAACGAAACTGAGAAGGGTAGTGCCCCAGAATAGGAGATTTGCCTCCGATACATGGTGCGCATATTCATCGATGGGGTTGAAGCGGATCAAGACGGTATTCTTGTTGTTCTTGAACATGCGTTTCGCGGCAACGGCTTGATTTGGAAGCGCTCCGAGGGGTGTGGTCGGCAAAGTGGACAGCGTCAGAAACGCAGAATGAGCAGATTTGAACGAACCGATCCCCAGAGGCTTCTCCGAAGGCTGGAGCGACAGAGTACCGGCTTCCGCCTTCGCAATATCGCAGACAAATTTTTGTCCGCCATTTGCGAGGAGATTATTGAGATCGGAGGTCCCAGTGATACGGAAGAATTGGATTATCTCCGTTGTGTGCAAGGCTGCATAGAGATTAGATCTGAATACTTAAGTTTCATAGTAAGACGCACCTCTCGCAATGTTGGGAAAGGAGCCGCCTATACTGAGTGCCTTTCGAAGACGTTGCTGGTCAACCGGATGATAATCGTCGATTGGACTAGCAGCACGCTTTTTCGAAGTCGCTATCTTGCTACTGGATTCCTATTCCATGTATGTATCGAGTCAGCGACAAAACATGAGAAGGGTAAACGAACACACCTGAGACGAAATTTCTCTCGTGCCAGAGCTTGGAAGCGGCGACTCTGGCAGCGCTTGATCTGGCTGAGTAAAGTCCTGCAAGCTTGGCGCCGATCGAGAGGGTCGAACGGAGCTGAACGAACTGGCAGTGGCAGTCTGCTGGATAAATAATCAAACAGATACAAGAATCAAGATAGAAGCGCTCACCTTGCTCTTTGTTTTTGAGCGTGTCAAACACCCGTTACTCGGTTCCTTAGTAGTCTCCGCGGCCGACAGGACTGTCAATTTGAGGGCCGAAGGCTCAGGGGCACGCTGTACCATGTGCGAGCGTAGCGCAGATGAGACGGTATCGGCATTATCCTTTCAGAAAGTCAGTCGTGCCAAATACCGGAGAGTACTAGTATACGCACCTGAATAGAGAGTGTGTCCAGCTCCCGGGCATCACGGTAATTTTCATATCTGAGCCATTCTTTGGCGTCGATGACAAGTGCAAATTGAAAGGGCTTTCTCGGTCGCTGAAACACGAGTTGGCCCTTGTCGGCACGAGCCTTTGATGTCTTGAGGCAACGCTCATAGAGCACGCTGGATCCTGGGAGCTCCGCGTGGACATTGATCCACGTTTCAGTATCGCGTACTAAAAAATTAGACTCATCAAATACAAATTGAGAGTCAGTTTCCTGAGCGATGGCTTGACGAAGCTTGGGCGCCACGTTATCAAACACGGCTGTGATAATTTCGCTTGCGGTAATTGTTGCAGGGACATTCTTGCCCTCGTGAATCGTCTGGAAGCACAAATTCGTGACAAAAAATGATACACGTCACCGTAACATACCCCAAAGACTTGCCCAGTAGGTCGACCACGAGTCTCATAGCGGACACCAATGTTCAGGGTGATCCACTGCGGCGACATCCCAGTATACGCTGATTTGGTAAAAGCCCCGCGTGCCGCGGCATACTGAGAGTGAGCAGCAGAATAGCCTTGGCTTGAATATTGCCCCGGATTAATTGGTGCACTGGACGATCCGGAACTTGATATCGGTTGGTTTGGAAGCGAAACACGAGGACCTTAAGAATTCAGATATTAAATTTGAGCAGATCATGATGTACGTGCCTGTGGATCGCTGTGGGATCTCAAGGGGCGGTCCCATTAGACCCGATGGAATGGCCGCAATCCGGCCTCCACGAGATGCGTCTGCGAATGCTCAGTCAGAAGCAGGGTATAGAACAAAAATAACATACCTCCAACGCGTCCTTGGATGTTCCTCTGCCGGATAGATTCTTTCTCGCCTTCCAGATCGCCCCGGAACGTTGCTGCACAGATTGTGATTGATAAATTGCATCAGTTTTAGCATCTAAACGTACCTCGGACCGAGCTCGAGGCTTTCCTTGCGTAATGCGCATGGCAAGCTGCACACACAAGCCTGCCACCGGAGACAGCAGAAAGGTTCTCCACCCGGAAGCGAGGCTGACCGGGCAAGATCAGCAAGCCCTTTGTGAGATCAGAACGGTCGCGAGTGTAGCATCGGGCTCCAGTCTGGCACACAACGGGCTCCTGATCAGAACTATCATCGGTGAAGTTGGCAAAGAGGGTTGATCCAGACATGATCAGAGCACCAGTAGGCGACGATTAAGTCCCATTTTGTGAGACGCTTTTAAGGCCTTTGAGCGTCAGCAATTAGTAGTGGGTCGACAATCTCGGCTGTGTTGCCAGAGTGCTCCCCCAGGCTCGGTAAGACTGCCTCGGTCTCAGTAAATTTCACGGTGTGTCATGGATCCTCAGTTCTTAATCAACGTGTTTGGTGGAATGGATGTAGCGCCTTAAGCATGTGCCCGGCCGCACTAGGGCTCCGCCAATTACTGGGCTGTTAAACCCTTGAATTTTCCGCGGTGGTATGCAACGAGCACAGCAAGCGCTCAACATGTGCGATTTCAGTGTTGATGCTGATGTTGAATTTATTACTGCCGCCCTGCGTGTTCTCAAGCGAGGCCCTCGTTGAGAAACAACGACTCACCAAAGTACATGCCTGGGAAGTTGCACTACCGGACAAGGAGAATAATTATATCAATTGGGATCCGATCCGAAATGATATCTAGGTTTGTAAAAAGTCCTTCGGTTATCAACATTAACATTATCAACATGAGTTGAAAATAACTCCGATCAGCAACGTTTTTGTTTACCCTGACTTTCTAAGTACATGCATATGCCTTCCACTCCGTACTACCGCCGTACCCAGCTCGTTGATCGTGTTCTCAGATCGCCACTATAAAGTGAGTCCTGGCTTATTCGCACTCCAACAGAAGCTCCTCCTCGGTTCTTTTGTGCCACCAGCGGTCTCATAACTCTCTGAATGCCCAATCAGTACAAGCCCGTTCGTACGTGTTACACTTCCAACTGTTTCACCTTGCCCTTGCTCTGGAACGTTCACAGCTAATGCTGAAGACCTCCGTCCTTTCATCGAGAAGTACTGGAAGCAGAACAAGAAGGATGTCGAGATCGTCGAGCTGCTCAAGAAGTATCACATCGATCTCAACAAATACGGCCTCGAGTGCGTGTATATTTGTGTCTTCATTGTGCAGGCTACTAACCGCTCTCAATTAGAGTTCAAACATTTAGAAAAATTCGCGAGAAGCTTGGTTTCATACGCACGCGGCGTCAAGGCCACACCGTGGACACAATTGGGGTATTTATTGTCAAACTCCGTCCGATCTATCCCAAGGCTGGCGGACGGGAGATGGTTAGCTTGCTATTACACGAGGAGAATGTGCGCGTGTCCCGGTGTGTGATCCCTCCAATTGTGTTCTCATACGCTCACATAGGTATGTTTCTAGCGAGACTGTAATGCGCTATTTTCACACTCATGAGCCCGATCTTGTTCGTGAGCGCCGACGTGGACACTTCAAGCGCAAGCAGTTCTGGGCAGCGGGTGCCAACGATATATGGGCTGTAGATCAGCACGACAAATGGAAGTATAAATTCGGTTTAGCGCTACACACTGGGATTGACCCATTTCTCGGCATGATTCATTGGTTGAAGATTTGGTGGAACAACAGCAATCCCCGCCTTATATTCAGCTATTATCTGGAAACCGTGGAACGGCTTGGGGGTATGTGCAGTATTGATCTCTTCGGACTTATATTCACGACGTTTTTATCGCAGTCATCCCACTTGTGACCCAGAGCGATCCTGGGTCAGAGAACGTGGGGATTGCGAATGGACACACACAGCTGCGTCACTATCAGGACCCCTCACTTATCGGCACCTCTCAGCACCGTTGGATGCGAAAGAAGAAGAACATCATGCCGGAAATCACATGGAGTCAGATGCGGCGTCGATTCACTCCTGGCTTTGAAGACATCCTCGACGTTGGTGTAAACGAGGGCTGGTACAATCCGGGAGTTCTACTCGAAGCGTGTGTATCTTCCTTACTTTCAAAGCGATCTTCGACTTCTGAATCACAGCGCAGCTTAGTCTTCCGTTGGGTATTCATCCCGTGGCTTCAGGGCGAGCTCGAGCTGTATCGGCATCGCGTGAACAATACCGCAAAGCGCTGTGATCGTAACAAGATCCTTCCTCACGGTGTTCCGACTAGCATGTTTGAGTTCCCAGAGGATTACGCCATCCTCGATTTCAAGGTACGAGTCCAATTTCATCAAGTACAAGCCACTAACTACTAGTCCCTTACAGATCAAGGTCGATCCTATCGGTATTGAAAAAGTCCGACAGATGTACGCACCACCTGATCATGACGTCTTTCTCCTTGTTCCCCCTGACTTCGAGATCGCGATCTTGGATATCTATGCAAAGCTTAATAGCCCTATTGTGGACCGGGACTCATGTTGGGATGTATATCTCCAGCTCCTGAATTGCCTCAAGGAGTTGGATCAGCTCAACGATATCGATCAGAGTGCCGATGCAAGGTGGGGGCATGTGCTGACCCAGCCGGTCGATGAAAACATTCCCCTTCTCCCAAACTTGCAGGAACTGCGGGGCGGTGAGGGGGTCGTCGGAGAGGGTGCTTATTATATGGGTGGAGTCAACAATGGGGATGGTCTCGGTATGTTCCATTACTTGGGAACCTTACTGTTCACTGACTCGTCTCCTTTTGGAGGTCCTGAACATCACGCATGTCTGAACGCAATGATCAACGATATCGAGCCCGAAGTGGATCCCATGCCCAACTCCCAGTTACCGGATGACGCTCACGCATTGTACGCATGGTTCTCGGACGAAGAAGACTCTCAGGATTTCAATGATCATTGGTAGTACATACATGCTGACGAGCAGTGATGCGCCCTAGCCCTGAAATCAATCGATCACGTGCACGAAAAGATCCAATGGATTTGTCAGCGAGCTCGTCAAGGTTGTTGCACGTGATCATTTGATCAATCTATCACGTGCACTGAAAGATCTCAATGGATTTGTCAGCGAGCTCATCAAGGTTGTTGCACGTGATCATTCTGATCATCACTAACGAGCGTTCGGGGTCCAGACAGAGCGCATCATGACATAGAGCGCATCATGACATTGATGCCATGTCGGCAAACTTTCGCGTATCAGTGATATGTCCTCCGCTTATCAGCATATAATTCCCGGCCTCCATAATGTTGCCGCCAAACACTTCGCGAGCAGTCCGGTGTGTTCTCAATATCCGAATGCTTGGCTTGGCTGCTACGGCGCACACGCGCGGATGGCGTCGAAGGGATTCCGGTGCCCTACCTCCCTCCCGAATCCTCCATGATGTGCAGTCGATGTTTCCCTCCCCCAGTGGCCTTGAAGTCAGATCTGGGAAGCTCCACATGGCCACAACAAAAGCTTGCTGAGAGGATCGCTGCCCCCGCCGACGGCTGAGTGTCCATGGGCCGGGGCTTGGTGCTGATGGATTGCGTTCCTCATGAGACAGGGCTGACTTATGCGCTGCCATTCGGAGCCGATCTGACGGCGGTACACACACATTTATAACATTCAAGTTGGATCTGTACATTTAAGCTACTGGCAAACCGGTGCAGCAGTTCTTTTGAGTCTTCCACGGTGGATGCTTCGAGCATCTTCTCTATTCGTCTATGGCTCGGCGTGCGAGCGTTCTCTCGTCCGCGATATTTTTGGCCCGCGCACACACGCACGTTCACGGAGACCAGTCGGCATTCATGAAATGCCACGAGACCTGGATCTCGCCCGTCGACAGCGGGGCGAGCTGCTGGAACAGCGACGGCGACATGTCTGCCTGATGTGAGCCCGCAATGCCTCCGCACCACAGCGGAAAACGCAAACGCACCGAGCGAAGAGGTGTCGCAGGAGGGGCAGCTGTCGCGCGTCTGGCCGTACGCGACTTTGCCGTTCGCCGTGTTCGTCAGTTCGATCCACTGAAAACGCGGTCATCAGTGAGTGCACTTGAGTCTGGGAACACGGGGCGGCGGCGCGCGAACCTGGTTGCAGTTGCCACCGTTGTTCGAGTCGTACCGCTGGAGGGAGATCGCCACGACCGGGCTCGCGTCGCTGTCCCAGAAGCCGCAGTTGCCTGGAATGAACTTAGCGCGGTGCTGGAGATGGCATAGAACGGCTGGATCGCACCTTGACCGGCACTCGGGTTGTACCAGGTGCCCTGTATCGGGACTGAGTGCACGGAACACGCGAGACCAGGATGAGGACTCACTCTGCCGACGTGCGTGATCCGCTTTTCCAGGCTGCTTGCCGTGTCCCGGGGAAGTGACACAGCGGCGGCGCGCGTAAACGCGCTCAGAAACGCGACGAGGAGGAAGATGCTGATTTGCTGCATGATAGAAGGCATGGGGGAAAGCGCAGAGAGAACAGTTGATGGGGGATGCGCAGGCGAGAGTCCTTGGGGGAGAAAGGCACGCCCATTGCCTGGACCTTTATACCTGCGCGAGGCCCACGAAAATTATTTTCACCTTCCATGAGATTCTCCGAGTCCGTGTCGGGCGTTGCCGGAGGGTGTCCGAGGAAATTTTCCAGGGCGGGCGTTCCGACAAGATTTTCCATGATGGTCTTGGAGAAAAACGAGGGTGCGTCGCAAGGGCGACGCTGATCGGGGGGGCAAAGCTTGGGAGTCATCACACGCGCCCGGAGTTATTACAAAGACATGCGTAGGGGGGGATCCCACGTCGGCCAGGCGCGAGCATCGTGTTGGCGGAGTGGCTGGGGAGAAAAAAGGCACACGACATCATAGCGGCATCATCCCATTGGTAATCTGATCTACCCGATCTTATCGCCGACGGCGGTCCAATGTCTCTCGGACCTGTGTTCCGAAAGAGTACTGCGCCTTGGTCAGGGTTGCTTACAGACACATTCGAGCCAACAACGACCCCAAAATGAACAAGACCAATGGGTGACTTATCTTCTCCAAGGAATTGGAATGAGTGCAGACGATGCCAGACATACGAACCTCGCATCATCTGCGTGGGTCCCTATCACAGCTCCCGACGCTCAGGCGTCCTTCCAGCTTCCAAATCTCAAATAGGCACTCGACAGCATGGGAATAGACTGTGAGGAAACGTGGAGGACATGCGCTGCCCACGCATGGATCCGAGTCGACCGTGCACGAATGAACTGCGAGCGCTGATGCCTGAGTGGTGATTGGCTCGTCACCGTCGAACAAGGCGCTAACTTGGAAGCAGGTCAACACGTGGACTGGGTCTGAAATCTCATTTCGGACTCTGAGCTTTCACTGATGGTTTTGCCTCTGCCTCGCACATGCAGCCCATTGGCCGACTGGACTTCATTTGATGCACGGCGAGAGCGTGTTTGTCAGTCAGGGACAGGTTCCCGCTGGCTCCGGTCCTTTCTCCCGGTCAATCCGAGTTTTCGCCTCAGCGCTCGCTGTCGATTTCGCTCAGAGCCGGGCGCCTCAGGATAGATGATGATGGCACATGTCGCTGTTGAAGAACCTTTGCGTTTGCAGGCAAGAAGGGTGCCCCGGCCGGGCCGCCAGTTCGAGCCTTTGGAACGTGCGTCTCAGAGCCGTCGAATGCGTGTCTGATGACGGCCCAGGGCAGTCGAAGGATGGAACTCTAGCGCCTGTGCTACCAAGTCAACGGAGCCAACGCGTGAGACGCAAGTCAAGTCCATACGCACGAGGTCGCCGGTATCCGGGTGCATCTTCAGCTTGTGATGATTGCAGCCCGCAAAGAGCAAAAGACAACGGCAGCCTATGACGGTTCAAGAACCTGCTTCTTCGCGATCGCTTACAAGTCTTTACAGGGCCGTTATGATCGTTCGGAGGAAGCGCGGGGGACTCCGAATCCGATGACCCGTGTCTTCCTGAGATGCGTGTCTGCGGAAGCGAGGCCTTCTAAACATTTGCCGTAAAAAGAAGAACAGGAATGTATCCGCCTCTTTCATTCAAGACGGCCTGCTGGACGTTTCATCTGTGCTGACACTGTGTAGACCACAGCACATCGTCAATCCTTCCGCTACGAACCCGTGGTCTTCACTCGCCTCTTCCTTCCCTTGAGACGGCAACAGGCTGTAATAGTGTCAGAGAGTTCAACTCTGAGGTTTACCGTCCACCCAGGAGCTGCATGGGCGATTAGCTGCCAGGTCAAAACGGCAGCAGAAACCACGGTCGCACCTAGCTCGTATTCTGAACTCGTGAACAGACCTGGTGCTTTCCCATCCTCAATTTCGATACTTTGACACTCCCCCACTTTCGCCATGGGCATGTCAAACATATTTGGTTCGATGATCGGGCTTGTCCTTGTGCTGGGACTCGACCGACTTTGATCTCCATGCGTCATTTTGACCAAAGAGACATTCTCGTGTCGATGGATGCGACTCCTTTCGCGCCGACTAAGGAAGCCGTCGTCCAAGGCGCAGAGATCGCGGCAGCAGTGACCATCGGCAACTATCACGGAGATTTGCCGCTCAACGATTCACCGTCCCGCGTTCGGTCCCAGATTACAGTACCTCCGATTCGACACCGTCCCGCGTTTGAATTGTGGCTTCCGGGTGCAGAAAAAGACATACAGACGAGCTTTCGGGACAGACAGAGAGGTGATAATTGGATAGGCGTTCGCTGCATGTGGCCCCGTGCGCTTATTTGTACGCCCGCCTTGCGGATTCATCTTTCAATGTGTGTGCAGGAGGGTCTGCGGTGTCAATCGGGCATCGCGACTCATCTCTTCAAGAGCGCCTTTTCACGGACCGATGGAAACATCGTGCAAATATCCATAGGACTCTCGGAACTTTAATTTTCCCGTATGTATCCCGATGTGCAGTTTCTTGGCCCATTTGACTAATCTACGGCTAACCATCCGAGCGAGAAAGGGACGGATCACGGAAAGACTGCGCCTCCTCCGATCGCCTCTTTTTGCTATTTCGGTTCTGGGGGCTCTCAACTGCCACTCCTTCGATTGTTTCACTAAAGGCACATTCCCGTATCGTAGGACCCCAGATGCCTACGAATCATACGCCACCCACCGTGTTTTAAAATAGGGTACACTGTGCACTACGCACCCGCGTTTGAGACCTATTCAGGTCTGTTCAAGCGTGATATCCGTTTTAGCAGGCCTGTCCGGCTACATATATTACATAATCTACTAGAACATTATTAATATTATTATGTCATCAATTTGTCTTTCGGCCCATCTGCAGCTACCATCACTCTCAAAACACGTAACGCGTTCTACCAGGCTTTGGAGGTCACGAATCGGGATGCATGATGGATGTACACTTGTGCACTGAGAGTTTCTCGTGACTGACATGCTCAAGATCGGCGACACCGGCCCAATCGTTCCACGCTCAAGGACACCCTCGTTGGACTTGTTTCATGGGCCTGAGCGATGTAATATGTGTCACCGCTCTCGTCCCTCATGAGAGTGCCGACACAAAGGGCAGTGGGAAGGTTCCGGTGCCCACTGTCAGAGCTGCTGATTCACATCCGTGACTGCGCTGATCTGCGGCCGATGTACACATTCTGGATGCCGAATACTGCTGTTGACTGCCCCTGTCAATGTCGCTCCGGACATTCCCCCAACATTGGAATGATTATTGAAGATTCCATGGCTACTATCGGCCTCATCGGTCGGCACCGTCTCAGGCCGGACCGCCCAAATGCGGATCGACGCTAGCAGGAGATGCGTATAAGTGCCAGTGGATTCCGAAGCGCATGTGTTTCGATGGTGAGGAATCTTTATTACAGGCTGGTGTCCATCTTGGAGATCCGTGCGACTGGTTGCGGCCTGCGGTGTCGTCGGTTTTTTCTGCCGCCTCTCGGACGAAATCTCCGGGAATTGCATCCACCCGCTCTGCTTCCTTTGCAGATCCTCGGTCATGTGAAGGGCCTGACCCCCGAGGTGTTCCAGTGATGGATGACTCCTCCGGCCAGTTCCTGCCCCCTTCAAACGCGATCACAGTCGTCCATGGGAGTGGGAAGAGACAGTTCTTGACGCCGCGATCATTCTTTCCTCGACATGCGATCTTCCGGAGTGCGTGCTGCAGAAGCCCCATGATACCCAGCCGGCCCCTCGGAGTTTGGCGCTCAAAAGTTCCGTTTGACGAGAATTTGCACAGTGGACGCTCTCTCGGTATAGATCGGCGAGACGAAGTGTGACTGGGAAGGCACAGTTTTGACTAGGTATCCAGTCAGGAATAACTCCACACTTATCATCATGTCCTCTGATTAAGCGGTGTCAGGCTCTTACAGACACTGATTACACGACATCAAGACGAAGGCCATCAAAGATCTAACCTGCAGTGATATAAGCTGAGGTGTCGGAGCCTTCATTTCGTTTTCCCCTTCTTACGCTCACGGAGACTTTCGAGTTGGCTCATATTCACTCTTCTTCGTTTCTAATTTCGCCCGAGCCTCTCTTGCTTTTTCTTTCTTCGCCCAACTCGATTTTGCCGCCTGGAGTGAGTTCGGGACTCAGCATCGCGATGGGATGCCGGCTGACGAAGAGCAGATAATTGCGGCCTAACGAAAAACAGTCTCGACGACACATCACGCTATTCACTTACCATGTCCAATTTCCCCACGGAAGAAACCACCACGTCCCCGATAATGATGCGTCCCTTGGTGCTCCCCTCTCTCTCGCTGTCTCCGGCAGACGTAGAGATCGAAGAGTTCTCTGGCCAGCTTAGCCGCCGCAGCAGTCTGGACAGCGACTCGGAATACAACACCCGGGAAAAGCAGCGGATGGAAACCGCTGCGCGGCGCGCATCGCACAATGCGGTGGAGAGACAGCGCCGGGACAGGCTGAATGCACGCATCCTGGTATGCCTGCTGATTTCTGTATATGGACGTGCTATTGATCTGGTGCCTCCAGGAACTAGCGTCAATGCTCCCCAATTTGGCCGGAGTGCGCCGACCATCGCGCATCGCCATCACAAAATCATCTATCGCGTATATTAACAGTGCCCGCAGGCACCGCATGCTCGCCGCCCAGCAGCTGCGCGCCCTGCATGCCGAAACCGAGTCCCTCCGCGCCGAGGTGAACCAGTGGCGCCAGCGCAGCGGGATGCCATGCATCGCCGAGCCCCGGCGCGGCGACGGGTTCATGATCGTCCTCACTGGCGCCGAGCTCGAGCTCGACCCCGTCGATGCGGGCGAGGAGGAGGAGCTCGAGAGCGGGCATGCGTTCCCCCATGGCCAGACGCACCCGTATCCTTACGCTTACGGCATGTCCCCTCCGTCGTCTTCGTCATCCTCCAGCGGCTCGTTCCCGTCGCCGTACTCTCCGGCGTACCCGAGCCCCGAGATCGCGTATGCGAAGTACGACGTGATGACTCATGAGCCCCGCATCGCTTGCCCGGCGCCAACCAACCCGTTTGAGTCCCAGCACCGATTCATGGTCAAGTCGGAAGAAGAGTGGACGTATGGTGGACACTCCGGATCCCCCACGACGCACTTCCATGAGCCCGTCCACGGTTCGTGGTAGATTGCGATCCGGTCTACACCATATATGCGCCACCCTTTTTCTATGCGACTCATCACGACTCTATGAATATGAAGGACTGTTTGCGGACTTTCCATTCGTTTCTTTTATTACTTTTTCCGTCCTCTCCTTATACCTGCCTTGACTCTTCCGAGATTACTTTACCATATACACTCCTGTAGGATTCGTGTGTCTAATCGTAATACAATGAATGCTGTGCCATCTGATGCTTTCCAGGCTTGTCTCCTCGCATATGACAACGCCCGCTCAGTGCTGGCGGTGCACTCTATGAAACGATCAAGACCTATCTCCTTGTCTACCCGCCTCGTGATGCATAACAAAGCCTATATGTCCCCTCGCGCAAGCTGTAAGGCGATGAAACTTGCCAGAGCGCGACGCGATGAATGCGGCGTATGAGCTGAATCTGACGCCCCATCGACTATCCGGTAAGTACGCCGTCGTTTGCTGCCGTCCGCATTCCCCGCTGAAGCTAGGCCGCCGGTCTCACAGACCTCCCTTCGGACATCGAGTCCCGTCTTATCTCCGCCTCTCGGTCGGTAACAGTGGAGTCGGAATGCTGGCCGCTGGGAAAGCTCTTCAAGCGCGGGCTAGTGGAGGTTCAGACGTCGCATGCAATCAGGTCCGACGGGAACTCGTGGCACTCGCGCGTCAGTCGGCATCCTCTGCCGTTTGACCAGTTTTGGGCGCTCCTGGGAAACGAGTGGATAGAGACGAAGAAGGCGTTCAACGATCTGTAAGTCTGGCGCGTCACGGCTCGACGACTATCCTTCTCATCTGCTTAGCTACATCCACGAAATCAAGCAGGTCACGCTAGTGAAGACGCTCTCGCGCACCGCTTCGATATGGCGCCTCGATTATGGATTCTCCGCGCCCATATCCCCGCGCGTGTTCACCGTGCTACAAGTCACGCATCTCGACGACTCGGCAGGTCCGCCCGCAGGGTAAGTATCGAATGGAACCGCTTCGTGCATGGAGCTCGGCTGAGAGTCTCCATAGATGGGTGGTCCATGTGCCTATTGATATCGATGATCTATGCACAACACCCCCGGGCACCATCACCGGTCGCTATGCATGCGTCGAGCGGATCGTGGGGCTTCCCGGTGGAGAAACCGAGTGGCGGCTGGTGACGTGCAGCGCACCCGGGGGCCTCATCCCCAGGTGGCTGGCGGAGAGATCCCTGCCTGCCCGTATCGCACTGGTGTGTCTGTTGTACTGGCTCCGGGGTGCAGCAGATCTCACCCTTGCATGCACAGGATGTGACCAGCTTCATCGACTGGTATTACACCTCTCACTTGCAGGCACGAGATGTGAAACAGCCGCCAAGCTCAGGTGTGTCGATGGATCATTCTCTCTCGGGTGGCGATCCATATGCTTAATTGCGCCGTGCAGAGCGGCCCGTGCTTGGAGTTGCCTTGGCCCTGGTGAACGTCCTGACTTTGTATCAGCGAGGCATTGTCACAGCACTGCTGATGGGAGTCGGTGCGTCGCATGGTGATCTCCTCCCTTGGCTTCCATTGATCCCAGTGCTGTCAGGATCGGTGATGCTCTACCACTGGATCAAGCCGTCGCTGGATAGAGATTGGGTCCCATGGACAGACCGGTTGCTCATCGGAATGCGCGATCCCATGATTCCCGCTGTCCTAGAGCTGGGTGGCAATTTGTCCTTGGACCGTGCCCGAGAGCTGGTCTGCTCGCGGCTGATAGCTTCGGTGCCTCGGATGTCGGACCGCCTGGTCGTCCCTACGTCTGGTGCACCTTATTGGGAACGGTGTGCTCGGATGGACGTGACAATGCACGTCAGGGAACACAAAGTCGATGGTGCAGGTTATGCCCAGCTTCGAAGCGTGATCGAAGCGCTCGGCAGAGCTCCTGTCGACTTCTCGCGCCCGCCCTGGGACGTTTCTGTCATCCACCTTGGTGATCTCGAGACCGTCGTTTTCGTTCGGGTGCATCATGCTATCACCGATGGACGGGGTGTCAGCGATCTGCTCATGAGGTGTGCAGACCAGAGTCGGCCGCCGAGAGAGAGCATAGCGCCGCATGCAAGAGCATCGACCCTTGCTAGCCTCCTGGATCTCCGGCATCTCAGTCGGCCCCCGGAACGTACGAGCGCTATTAAACGCCGGGAGCCGCTCAGCGAAGCTGCAGTCGCATGGACTCGACGCCCATTCAGGATAGACGACCTGAAGGCCTCTGCCGGACGCCTGGGCGGTGGAACGATCAACGATATCCTGCTAGCCGCTGTCAGCGGCGCGTTGCAGAAGTATTTGTCCGCCGGCTCACATCACATCTCATGTAAATTGCCCGTCGACGTTTTCTCGCCCACGGACCTCTCGCCCGATGTCGTCCTCGGAGTCCATCTAAGCGATCTCAATGTGCCGTTGCCGGTGGACGAACCCGACGCCTTCGCGCGTTTCGCTCGGGTTCGCGAAACCATGAGACAGGCGAAATCTGGGTATCGGACTGGACTGACGGCGATGGCGTCGCGTCTTGTCGGTGGGCTTCCTGCCCGGATGCGACTGGGCATGATTGCTGCGGATGCACAGACGGTGTCGTGCTACGTTAGCAACATGAGAGGACCCGCGATACCGCTGACGATCGGCGGAGTGCCGGTCGACACGGTTCGGTGTCATCCTCTGGGGCTGAACAATATCGGTGTCGGAGTCGCGGTCTACAGCTACAACGGGGCACTGAATGTGGCCGTTTGCACCGACAAAGCCCTCATACCCGACCCCGATGCTCTTTGCGAGCACCTGGAAGATCAGCTCGAACACCTCGCGAAGCTCGATGTGACGGGTGTACGGTTCCTCGGCCAGTCCCCGATGTTCTGCGCGTCGCACTCGATCGAACTTGCATTTCCCATCCAGGCGGTGGCGCCTATCCTGCTCCCAGCCGATGCCGGCGCAATCAGCCGGTTCCTCGTCGGCACGCGCGATCCGTCGCTCGAGCTCGGCACGGACTTCACTCATCACAGGGCAGATTGCGTCGCCAGCTTCGACCTGCGCGTGGTTGGCTCCTTGCCGCTGATCAGCCAGCTGGAGACTGGTACTGGGCTCCAGCGGGACTGCTTCACGGTTGTCGACAGAGTCCCGGTCGCGTTTGGGCTGGTGCAGCAGACGGTGACCGTCAAGTCGTGGCAGATCCTGGATCCTGGACATCACCGGTCTGTGTATGAGATTGCTGTTCAGGGTGCCGGGGTTAGGGTGTGGAAGAGCCGGCAGTTGGAAGACTTGGGTCCAGGAAAGACCAGAGTTGTTGAGCGCATATGGGGGGTTTGCCCTTGGATCCTGAAAAGCGTGGTCGCCAAGGACTCTGTGGCTAGTCTCCGGTAAGCTGGGCGTGTCTTTTCGCTGTTTACTTGGTGCCTGACACTCATGCAGGAAGTCAATGGAGAGATACCCTGATATGGTGGCCAAGTACAATCCGTGATACGTCTCCGTCAACAGTTCCTAGTTCATGCGTACATACTTTGTTTCATTCTCACTGTGCACTATTACAGTCATTTTCCTTTGCTTGGCCCGCCAAAACTGCAGCCAGGCGACGCGGCGCGTGCTGAATCTTTGATCACATCACAAGTGTAGAAGCCGAGCTGATCCGGCCCCCGTTTTTGCACACTTATAAATTGTTTGTCAACTATATCGAAGGGGGGACGAGTAGCTTACTGATACTTAGGGAGCAGATTACGTGACAAGTACCAATCACTGTAATCGATAACTTTGAGCAGATACTAGTCATACATAATCCCCAGTCTCCTCAATACAACCCCATCTTTACAGACCAAAATGCCCTCCATGTCTTCTTCTGGTAAAATTCTCGTTTCTGGCGCCAACGGATTCATCGCCGTCGTCCGTCCTGTCATCGTCCCCTGTCTTCTCGACTGATCTGAGCTGCTGTGCGCAGTGGGTGGTCCGCACGTTCCTAGAAGAAGGCTACTCTGTACGCGGGACGGTCCGGTCATCCGACAAGGGCAAGTACCTGCTGGACACCTTCAGCGCGTACGGCGAGCGGTTTGAAGTGGTTATTGTTCCCGACATCACGGCTGTGCGTCACGGCAGCCCCCTGTTGCTATTCGTCTGACGCGCACACGCGACGCTGCGATAGGATGGCGCGTTTGACGAGGCCGTGAAGGGCATGGACGGCATCGCGCACACCGCCTCCCCGTTCCACTTCCAGGCCAACGAGCCCGCCGGTGAGGCGCCTGTGTTCGGCCGTATCTGGGATTGTGCTCATCTGCTTGGCAGAGCTGATCGAGCCCGCGGTTAAGGGTACGGTCGGGATGCTGCAAAGTGCATTGAAATGCGGGTCGGTTAGAGCGGCCCCACACATTCAACTGCGATCTCTCACCCCCTCTTCGCAGCACGAATGTCCGCCGTGTCGTCGTAACGTCGTCATGCGCTTCCGTCCGCGATGAGACGGTGACGACACCCACCGTCTTCAGCGAGACGGACTGGAACGAGAACGCTATCAAGGAGGTCGCGTCGCTCGGTGCCAAAGCAAGCCAGAATGTCAAGTACAATGCCAGCAAGACGTTGGCTGAGCGGGGTGCGTGCTGGAGGCTTGTCCGCCATTTCGCGAATTGAGCCATGTCTTCATCCAGCTGCGTGGAGCTTCATGAAGGAGCACCCGGAAGCCAAGTTCGATCTCGCCGTCCTCAATCCACCCCTGGTCTTCGGTGTGAGTTCCCTCGGGGTGCTGTTTGCTAGGATGGTGCTGAGGACCCTCAGCCGGATATCCAGGCGATTGAGTCGGCAGCCGACCTCAACACCTCATCGAAGGCGATGCACAACGGCCTGACGAGCCCGGCATCCCTCGTTGGCGGCGGACCGTGGATCGACGTCCGGGACATCGCTCTGGCGCACGTACGCAGTCTGCAACGCGAGGAGGCGGGAGGACAGAGGATGATCGTCACCGCCGACAAGCCTTTTACGTGGCAGGATATCAGTGCGTGCTCCGTATCTCTCTCTCCCCAGCTTCTGCTTGCAAGCTGAATGGCCGCTAGTCGACGTCCTGCCCCCTGCCGCCGTAGCGTCTGGGAAGTACCAGAGGGGTCGGCCGGGCTCGGGCAAGGATTTCACGCAGATGTTCCTGTACGACAACTCCCAGGGTATCCGGATCTTGGGCATCAAGTACCGTTCGTTGGCAGAGATGACCGCGGCTACGGTAGAACAATGGGAAGGTCGTGGCTGGTGATTGTTCCAAGGCAAATAAGGATGTGACCGGAAGCAGCTAGAGTAGCGGCATGGCAGAGTGGGGACTCGAGTACGCAGGTCCCGGATAAGCGCGCCGAATCGCGGCCATGAGGTAGAGGGAAATGAATCTATGAAGACCCGCTAGCGCGTCGGTTGGCCATGGGCGGGCATGTGCACTGCTTCGAAGATGAGCAACGGGCCGTGGATATGGCCCGCTCCTTGCAGGTAGCGGAAATGAGGACTTTGCCGGAGAAGGCACGCAGTGCCACGCTGCGCGAGAGGTGGAGACGAAGCTGCGCAGATGGCATGGTGCACGCAACTCGGCGCGATCCGTGGGATGTAGTGCAGTGGGCGGTCTGGATCAAGGCTCGGCTCGAGAGGACATGATTGTGTCCTTGCCAAAACGTGTTCTGCCTCGTTGAGAACCCGGGGTTGGTCTGGTCGTATCCAGGCAGCACGAAGCGATACGGCGAAACTCGGCGCGTCAAGGACTCGTCCCTCGTTTCCTGGAGGGAGCAATCGTGGGGTGCTTACAGCCAGCGCCAGCCCATCTGCACGCATATGATCATGCATGGAGGAAGACGACGCGTCGAACAGCGGCTGAGGGCGGGTCACTAGCTCACCGCAGCGCATGGGGTCAAATAGAGCCCGAGGAGGAGGAACATAGTTCTGCCTGGGCTGCCGACTGGCCGTCGTAGGTCATTTGCGAAGGATTACAAAGAGAGCAAATCGCGAATTCCCACGCCATCTTGCTCTTTGCGGCAGAGTGACGCATTCCAGATGCCGTTCCGAAAATCTACATTTCGGTGTCGATCTTCCGCAAAATGTGCGAGGTGTTAAGCAGAATGAGCCCGGATAAATAGGAGTGTGCATTGACGCGTCCTGGTCTCATTCGATTCACTCCACCTCCTCATCTCCCAGAATCTCTTTGAAAAACATGCCTACCATCTCTGCCGCTGCAAAAGTCCTCGTCTCAGGCGCCAACGGATTCCTCGCCACGGTTCGTTTCCCTCGTCTGAGCTCCTTATCTCGAGATCGCTGACCGTGATCCTGCAGTGGGTGGTCCGCTCCTTCTTGCAGGAAGGCTACTCCGTGCGCGGCACTATCCGTTCGGCGAGCAAAGGAGCACATCTCAAGGAGCTCTTCAAATCGTACGGCGACAAGTTTGAGGTCGTGGTTGTGTCCGATATCACTGCGGTGCGTGGATGGTGTTCACGGGCGAGGTGGCGGGACGACGATGCTCATGTCTGATTTCCAGGAGGGCGCGTTCGACGAGGCTGTCAAGGGCGTCGATGGGATCGCACACACCGCCTCGCCGTTCTACTTCAACGTGACCGAGCCCTCTGGTATGCTTGGCGTTTTGCCAGTCTCGGCGTCTGAGTCTCACATAACGCCCGCAGAGCTGATTGAGCCCGCGGTCAAGGGCACGGTGGGGATGCTCCAGAGTGCTTTGAAATACGGGTACGCGCGATCCTCCCTGCCCTTCGTACACGTCCCTCATTGACTCCACAGCTCCAATGTCCGCCGCGTCGTCGTGACATCGTCGTGCGCGTCCATCATCGACTTGACGAACACGAAGCCGAAGGTCTTCACGGAAGAACACTGGAATGACCAAGCGGTCCACGAGGTGGAGACCAAAGGCGCCAGCGCCAACAATGTTGCCAAGTACTGTGCCAGCAAGACCCTGGCTGAGCGCGGTGCGTTGCAAAGAATCTTTTCCCCGTGCTGCGCGAGTCCTCATCGATGTCTCAGCTGCCTGGAAGTTCATGAAGGACCACCCGGAGGCCAAGTTCGATCTCTCAGTGCTGAACCCTCCGATCGTCCTCGGTGTGAGTCCGGCTCGAGCTGTCTGGAACTCTCGGTTGACCCTTTTTTCCTATTCCAGCCCGACATCCAGGGTGTGAAATCTCCCGCGGATCTGAACACATCCTCGAAATCGATGTACAACGGCCTGACGAACCCCGCAGCGCTCGTCGGCGGTGCGCCGTACGTCGACGTCCGTGACATCGCCCGCGCCCATGTCCTCGCTCTGGAGCGTGAGGCGGCCGGCGGCGAGCGCATCATCGTCTGCGCCGACAAGAACTACACATGGCAGGACATCAGTGAGTGGCTTATCGCCCCGCGCCAGTGCTGTTCTGACGCTGCTTGCAGTTGATGCTTTGCCCCCTGCCGCTGCTGCCTCTGGAAAGTACCAGAAGGGCAACCCCGGAACTGGCAAGGACGTCGTCCAGAACACGCTGCACGACAACGCCAAGAGCGTCCGCATTCTTGGCATGAAGTACCACACTTTGGAGGAGATGACCGCAGCGACTGTCGAGCAGTGGAGCGGCCGCGGATGGTAGTCTTAGTACATGTATACACAAAATAGCACGGACTTTAATTGCAATCCTGAATTTCACGCCAACGACCGAAACCACCTGACTTTCACCTGATCGCGTCAAATTGCATTTTTACGCACATCATCTGAACACTCAATGCACTTGACAAATCATATGCACTGCAGTCTGGAGAAAATAGCGAATACATTGATGGTAATCGGTAGGTAAGAGTATCGGATCACAATGGACGCCAGCCCTCCCTTTGGACATCGACCGGCCACTTCAGCGAGTCGCGCTCCAAGACCTCTTTCGCCTGTGGTGTGAGATCAGAATCAAGCGGACGTCGCCACGCGTCATGCTCGTCGTCAGAATCGGACGAATCGGATTCTGCGCCGTGCCGGGATACCAGTCCCTCACGCTCTTCCCCTCGCCCCGTTTTCACAGGGTCCCCAAACGGCGATTCCGCCAGCCGCAGCGTGCCGATCCCGTTCAGGAGTGCGTGGACGCTTTCCGGGCGCACGCGTCCGGGTCTCGGCACCGGCGGCGGAGGCGAGGGTCGCAGCGAATTTGACCGTGTCAGCCGCATCCCGGGATGGGACTGCGAATGGGATAGCGATATGGATGCGGGCTTCGGAGGGGGGCGAGGCTTTTCTGGTCGTTCGGGAGACGAGCGTAAGCGAGATGACGTACTCGAGGACGCTGACGCCCGGGAAGACGCTGACGCTCTCGAAGACAGCGAAGCACTCGGTTTGCGATCAGGATGGGTGGGTGGGGGGAGGACGGGGTCGGCGTATGCGTCGTCGAACGCTCGCTGGAGCGCAGGAGACGGAGAGGCGAGTGCGACCTGCTCTAGTGAGCTGACACTCGCAGGGATGGACCGAGCTTTGCCCCGGCTGCGGCTGCCGTCCGATGAAGACGATGTTGTGTCATCGTCGACAGAGGACACGTTTTGACGGGGCGTTGATGTTGTGCTGCGCAGAACTTGGAGAACCCGCTCCTGTTCGAGTCGGGCCTGTCCCTGCTTCATCCATTGGCCCGCTTTCGACGCCTGCAGGCTCTGCTTCATCAATGTCGATGTGACATGTGCAGGTTTTTGCGGGCTGTTTGACCGTGGGGGTAACGGCGGCAGAGGAGGGTGACGAGGGGGTGGAGAAGGCGCGACGGGAGGCGCAGGGGCTCTCCGCGGAGGTAATATCGGGGCACGAGATGAAGTGGGAGCGGTTTTCGATCTTGTGAGCGTTGAGGTGGGCGGTATGAATGGATTGCGTCGCTGCTCGGAGGTCGCAGAGCTGGAATCAATGCTATCCTTTGGCTGCGGAACCGTTACTGCGGGAGCCGAGGGTGGGACAGTCGTTGATGTGGAGCCGGGATGCACTGCGGTTGTTCGTTAGTGAGCACGCTAAACGCATTCACATGACAGTAATGACCTTGCACGAATGCAAGAGCACGGTCTATCCCCTTCCCTGCCTCTACATGCAACACGAGGCGCTGAGCCGCAAAAAATTCGCCTCCACTGAGAGTATCCTTTGAGGGGAATAACGCAAGAATCTGGAGGCAGGCTGAGTGGCGATACGAACGCAGTCTCATCTCACGAACCATATCGATAGTGGCCGCCGGTAATCTAGGGTAGCGCCCGCGCATCCACGCACGGACCTCACGGAGGGTCATTGTCTGAGATTCCGCATTGTCGGCATCGGTGTCCAGGAGCGAGGCCAGGTTCTCGGTGAAAACAGAGTACTCTTCATCGTTGAGCGCAGAGCTATGGAGGCTTAGAGGGCGCATAAAGCGGAAAGTAGGAGGGAAGAAGACGTCAGAATAGCGGCAGTGTTCCTCTTCTTGTTGGGGGTAAGCACAGCCGTAGACGGCAATCATTGCATTTTCGTAACACAGCCACGACCGGCTGATAAGATAAGCCGTAACTTCGCCGAGACTCAATTGATCTTGATTTCCCACGTCTGACCCCCAGCTTTGTAAGGAGAAAGGACATGACCTTTCGAAAGTTTATGGTAAAACTTACTTTCTGACACAGATATCACTTTCTCAATCAAAGAAGCATTTGATCTACAGTAATCGGCATCGTCATTCCTCTCGAGGCATCAGTCAACCACCATCGCTACCTGGAATGATTCGATCCCCTGCGATGATTGACACGATCTCACAGTGCTATAAAAACACGCCAGCATGTCTATGCCGACTCCTACCTCCTCCTCAGACCCCGAATCTCTCGTCACTGTGCAATGATGCCGCCCCCAACTCTCAGAGACATTGCAGTGCGGCCTTCAAACGCCGCCTACGTTATCGAAGCTCTGCTCGAAGTCTTTCTTTGGGGGATATATCTCCTATTGGCTGGCCTGACAGTTTACCTCACTGTGACTCGACGAAGGCAGAACGGTGTCACCGGGAATGTCAAGACGAGGCTCCTGCACGGCACACTCGCGCTGCAGTTTCTCTTGGTGGCTTTGGTGAGTGTCCTGAGAAGGTCCATGAAGGTGATGGAAAGAAAGCTCATCAACTTGCATCCAGCATTGTATTGGAACTGTATACGGGAGCATATATGCTTTCGGGAATCTGGGCATGGATGCTGCGGCTGCATTTTTCCTCTTCCGAGAGAGACATTCTGGGGTCGAGCAGGCAACCAGAATTGCTGGTATCCTGGCGATTCCCGTGACAGATTTGCTCGTGGTCCGTGATCCCCACCGTTTGATGACCTCAAAGGCCTACTCACATTTCAAAAGATTCACAGAGCCTATGTCATCTATCATCAGGACATCAAGATCATACTTCCCTCCTTGATTCTTCTTCTCTGTGAACTGGGTGAATAAACCCCCTGCAGTTCTGAAATAATGTTCACAAACTCATGCACAACCAGTTGCTTCCACAGGAACAATATACCGATCTCTCGGGATCCATGGGACTTACGGGAAATCAAGTTTTAATCTATCCAATCCCTGGGTCAGTACCGCACTGACTGCGTCCATTTTGTAGGCTATTGTTTAGTGCGAATTCAGCGCCACTCATCATTTGTCCCAGAATCAGTAGCTACAGCACTGTGACAATATGGTGGAAGATCTGGCGAACGAACAAGGCTGTCAAACAGTTCTCTGCTAAAATTTCCGCGAGAATGAAGCTTACGGTGAGCATGTTCCGTGAGTTCTAACGACTTATGCTCAGATTCACGAGTCTATACTTGCCATAATCGTCGAAAGCGCCGCCATCCAAACGTGCGTGTCTCTCAACTAGGCTACCATGTGATATTGATTTTCGAATCAGCGTCGGGGCAATAGTCCTTCTAGTGACGTTCGAGAATGAGTTGATCGGACAGGTCATTTTCGTCGGAATAGGCCCTGTCATTTTGGGGATTTCCACGGTTCTCATCCATGTGCGTATCGGGCTTGGGTTGGCTGTGCACGAACCAGAGCCGCACTCGAAGGTCTCTTCGAACGTCATCCAATTGGGCCCGATGAGGGCGGAGCTCGGCGAAAACGTGGTTGCTCTATGTCCGTCTGGAACGGACGTAGTGAGAGCGGAGAAGTGAAGGGATCGTATTTTGTGCATGTACATATATAGCTCCGGAGAGTCGCGGCAGCTGAAGTTGACCTCAGTGCGAACCTAGGTCAGTCGGTGTAATTGTGTAATTGGCTGGTCTCGATTCAGTGTCAGTGAGGTTTGCCATGAGCCTCTGTTGAATTGGCGCGAATGTGACTGATTTCCGCTGTGTTGTAGTTGCTCGGCCTCGGGCTGGTTTTCAAGGGCTCACCCTTTCAGAATCGTAGGCCTGAGCCCGAGCCTGAGCCCGATGACAGGGCCTAGACTGCTCGAACAAATCTGATGGCGCTCAGAGCGCATCAGAGCGCCATCAGATTTGTTCAAAAAAGTTTAGACCCTTCGCTTACTGGACTTGGATCACTGAGACGTGCCAAAATGAATCGGACGAGGAAATTAGTGATATTTTTGTATGAAATTACCACACCGAGACAGACGAAGACCCGTACTATGTATGGCTTGGGAGATTATGTTTATTCCATCACGTTCCCAAGCTTGCGAGATTGGGGTTTCGACTGTCTTCAGATGACTCTCTAGATATAAATACTGGGACGTGCCTGCCCGAGCCAATCAGTCGGGCTAGACCAGGCTTCAAATCCCTGAGACGAGGTACCTAGACTTTCGGGCTTCAACCCCGAGCCCGCACGACACTGACGATTGAGACAGGAGTGAATTCGGAGTGGCTGCCCAATCACAAAGGTCGACTCACCAGTGACACGAATCAATGTTCAACTCGACCGGCCGACGAGGGTCGGGTCTCGGTCGAGTTGATACAATCGAAGCACCAACTCCATAGTCGTCTCCCGGCAATCTGCGCTGATTGATGCCCCATCTGATGTAACGGTCCAATATCCTGCCCTTGACGTTTTTGAAATCCATGTGAGCGGTCGCTCTATGCCCTCATCGGATCCCAAGCCCCGGATCCTCATCTCTACCGACCAAGGGCGAATCGGGTCGGATCGGAGGGCAACGGGAGGAACAGGATACGGATATCACCGACTGTATATATATATGGCAATTTGCCCTGCACTCTGCTTTCCTTATACTTCAGCTGCTATGCTACGAACTACTCTACTCAGCTTCACTCCGGTGAAGCACTATATGGCTCTGCGCGTGATCGGCGCGTCAACCTTGCGCGGATCACGTACTCGATACCTCTCCTTGTCGTCGGTGGCCAAATCGGACGCGCCGCGCTCTGATCAGGCTTTCGCGAGCAGCCCGACAGCGCTCGGCACTGCGTCGAGTGCCAGCGAAGGCGGGGATCAGTTGACCACGCCAGACGCTGTGAGCACCGTGCCGACGATGGTCCGGGGCGATTGGGTGCTCTTCCACCCGGTGTACTCTCCGGAAGAGGTCAAGGCCGTGCAGGTGAGCGAGTCTGAGTCCACTTCCCATAGATGTGTCGGGCTCATGTGATTCGCCAGGTGTTGCACCACAAAGCAAAGAATATCCCGGACAAGATCGCATCAAAGCTGGTGCTGCTAGCGCGGTAGGTTCAATTTGTGATACGAATCACGCCATCTGGTTGAAACGTTTACGAGATTCGGATTCGATTTCGTCTCGGGCTATAAGCACAAGGAGATCCCCCCAGAGAGCAACATGACCGTCGAGGATCTCCGCAAGAACGGATACCTACTGGACGAACATGGCTGGTTGAACGTGAGTTACTCTGTGGAAATTAAACGCCCAATTGATTGTTCTTTCAAACAGCGAATTTTATTCCTGGAAACTATTGCTGGGGTTCCTGGGATGGTGGCTGCAACGCTCAGGCATCTCACTAGTTTGCGCTTGATGGCAAGTCCTCTACGCTCTGTTCATCCACACCGACGTGGGTGTGCTCATATGTACTACTTTAGCGCCGAGACAGTGGATGGTACGATATCGAAATATCTACGCTTCCCCATCTGAAATTTTGTCCAGGATTCATACATGTCTGGAAGAAGCGGAGAATGAACGCATGCATCTGATGCAGGTGCCGTCTTTGAGCTCGAGGCACACTGCTGATGTTGTCCCAGGACCTTCATGACCTTGCGGAAGAACTCGATCTGGTTCCGCGCTCTGATTCTCGGAGCTCAAGGGGTCTTCTACAACATGTTCTGTACGTTTCCGGCCCGGTCTCTTCACACGGCCCTCGCCACATACTCAATACTGCCTGCCAGTCCTCGCGTACATAGTCTCGCCCCGGACGTGCCATCGTTTTGTTGGTCATCTGGAGGAAGAGGCGGTCCTCACCTAGTATGGCTCTTGATAATGTCAAACAAAAACGAATCCGCTGACCACACGACAGCACCCGCTGCATCAAAGATCTGGAAGCTGGGCGCATCCCCGAATGGTTCGTGTTTACTGTGCAGTCGATTGATCGCTGAACGACCGCCACCAGGACAAACAAGCCCGCGCCAGAGATCGCCATCGACTACTGGCGTCTTCCCAAGGACGCCACGCTCCTTGATGTGCTGTATGCCGTGCGGTCGGACGAGACGACGCATCGGTTCGTGAACCATAGCTTGGCGAACCTCAACACACGCACCGACATCAACCCTTTCGCACTGAGGGAGCCCGATATGTTTGTCAAGGGCACGAAAATTGCGTAAGAGACATGAATCCTCTACTTGCACAACACGCTGAAATGCCTTGCTTCAGTTTCGAACGCGATGAAGCAGAGGACTTTGTGCGCGAATCGCGCGAAATCATGGATGAGAAGAGAGAAGCTCAGATGGGAAAAACAGAAGCTTAGTTGTGCATAAATGTGACCGAATGGCTGCCACGGACTGCTTACCCCTCCTAGCCCAGGGACAAAACATGTATAGATAGACCGCCTACTATAATTCAAGAACCCCGAGACTGGCCGAGCCCATCCAGTTTCCGCTGAATCTCGATCAAGCGGTTGATTCGGTCGCGGAGGAAGGCACGTTTGGCTGATATTGCCGAATCTTCCGCAAGCAGGTCTCGCAGGCGCGTCGTCATGTCAGGGCCCCGGAGCAGGTTCTCGATCAACACAGGTTCCAAGCGAGAAGCCATGCACTGGTTGAACTCGCGCTCGATGACGAGAGGAACGTAATCGATGATGCGCTGCAGCGAGCCCAGTCCAGTCAGACGAGACAGCCGAGCGGACGAAAAGATGCGCAGACAGACCCGGTATGCTATCTGCCAATACGCCCGCACCGTCGCCATGAGATCGAGCTCGCTCTCATAGCCGTGTCCCTCTCGCACATAGAGATGGCGGCCGGGTATGTAATACGAGCCAGCGTCGTCATGCGCTGCTTTGTATCTGGCCGACCACGCGGCCTTCTGCGTCCGGAAGAGGTCCCGGTTTTGAGTAAACAACGGTGACTCATCGAGAGTGCGAAACTTCTCCAGAGTCTGTCGCGCTAGATCCTTGCACTCTGCGAGCTCTTGCGTGACGAGCGACCTGCCCAACGGATCAGAATCATTCGCAGCGGTGAGGGGGTGGGCAATGGAATCAACGTACGTAACGAATCGCTTGAGTAAATTGAATTGGCCGAAATGCTCATGCGTGAGATCGCACAGGAGCGCCTCAGCACAAGACACCGTGCCTTCGAAACAGGACATCGCCGGCTCCTTCCAATTGCTCGTGAACCGCTGAACGAGAATGATCGTGGCATGGAAGGGGACTTGGTCAGGCAGTTCCCAGCTTGTGGCACTGGTAACTTGCTTAGTGCTGAGCATTGACAGCATCTCTGGACACACACTCTTTGATAATCAGTTGGACCTCCGGCAGATCGATGGGCGGGATGGTGCTCGCAACATGATCCACTTCATCGAACGCAATGAGCGGGTCTCTGAAGCGCTCGTGGCCATGGAATGGCCGGAAGTCGGGGGTCGTGCGCTGGATGTCGGTCTTGAACTGGCCGTACTTCGTTCTGCAGTCTTGTACGAAGCTCTTCCGCTCCGTTCCCGCTACGGCGGCACGAAACGCATTGCAGAACGCACTGATCCTGCCGAACACGGCGACCGCGGCGTGATCCAGATCCGGTGCCGGGGGCAGACCAATGAGCTCTTCGGTGTGGCGCTTCAAGAGTGCATGGACTTGGGCTCGCAGTTGAGGCAAGCTGGTAGGCATCAAGTCAGTGCCGGGCATTGCAGCGATGGAAGACATACTTGGCCTCGATGCGCTCGGTAAGAAGTTTACTTAGGAACGCTGCCAGGTTGCTCACTCCAAAGCGCGTGCGATCGAGCACTTCGGACCAGGGCGCCGTCGAGTCGAAAAACAGCTGTGCCTGACCGTCGCACTGGGCTCTCGTCATCCCGCGCGACCGTTGGGCGTCGTCGGGAAGTCGGACGCAGTGGTACCCATGAGCAAGTGCATCCCGGTCCCCGTCCAACACTTCCTTCCATTGACTGCGGCGCCCGATATCCCCAGCACCTAGTGAATCGGGCTTGGTGAGCACGGCTGTCATCATCCACATGAGCCCACCAGCCACGATCGATTCGACGGATCTTTCTCACCGATCGTGCGTTGACCAGACGGATCCGCGTTTCTAGCGAGTCGCATTGCTTGCTGGTTCTGCATGTCATCTGCGCCCGCTCTTGAGACGATGAGTGTAGACCAGAGCGACAGCACGTACCGCTGGCGGGAATGGTCACGAGAATCAGCGTCTGCTGCTGTTCAATCCGGGAGATAGAAAGGTCTCGGACGACTTGAATGTTCTCAGGCTCCTCGTTTTGAATCAAGCCTGAGTATGCAGCCGTGAGCTGACTCTGTTGCCGAGCGGACAAGAACAAACAAACCCGGGAGATCGACAAATGAGAGATCTGAAACAAGCGGGCATCAAATAGTGAGTTTGGTTGCTGGACGCGATGAGATACCGATAATGGCAGGATCGCGCAAAGTAAGACACACGGCGTTCTTCGAAAACTTGAGACGCCGAGGATCGGTCCCTGAATTCCGCAGCTCCTCTGCGTTCTGATTGTAGAACTCCTGCGAACTGCGGTGCGGACTCAGTATGGCGGCCTGTGCGCGACGAAGCCAGATCTCGACGGCGCTGCGGTCAGTGATCGTCGGGCCGAACTGAATCTCGTGGGTTGAGCCAGCGGGATGGATGGCGTCGTCGTCCTTGGGCTCGAGCACTTGTTCGTCATGATCGAAGCGCAAGGAGATGTTGCAGGACCATGATTCGGCTGCACTTGACATGACGCACTCCATGGGACAACTGCGAGCGCGTCAGAAGACTGACGCTATTGAGCGGAACAGCATAGAAACTAACCGAGTACATGTCCCACTGTCACGCGGCACAGTGATCTGGAGATATTGGCATACAGAAGAACAAGACGACCCAGTTTAGCGCACCCCGGAAACCGCCTCGACCAACGAGCTCTTCCCAGCTACGTCGAGCGCACGCTGAGCACAACGTCATATGCAAAGATGCTGAGCGTACCAGACTGCCCCCCGATCACAGTAATCGTCGGAAGATCGAGCATGTTAGTCGCCCTACAAAAGAGATGAGCGAGAACGCGACAGTCGGCGTCGCAACTGACCCCAAGGCGCGCAGATCCTTGTTGAAGATCATCAGCTCTCTGCAACGTTGCGCGTAGTATCCACCGGTCAGAGCCCCAGAGGGAGGAGATGGCTCGCTGGCAGTCGCAGCGCCGGTGGTCATGGTATCGCCGAGGAGCTCCGAAGTTGCGTTGCTGGATCCGTCGTTCGCGTTCCCCGGAACCGAGTGCGGCGTGTTGTCAGCACTATCGCGTCTGCCATTGAAGGAGGCATTCCCTGAACGTCCGTTCGAAGCAAGGCGTCGGAGTTTACTCATGGCCATGTGCTCGAGAGAGAGGGACACGAGATGTGCTGCTCCTGCACCCAGAGGGCGGCTATTTAACCCAATCCCTCATCTCACCACGCGGCAGTCCTCGAATTCTGGGCTTCGTGCGCGGTGCGTGCGTTAAACGCGCGGGCGCGTCCGACGTAAGATTCGAAAATTCCTCATACAAATGCATGCTTCCAAAAGCGCCCGCTGAGGCCCAGATGGGAAGTTTCGTGCACGAATCGGGAGTGGAGACGGGCGCCAATCGTGAGCAGGCGAGAGAATTGCTTGTGCGTGGGACGCGCTGTATGCCATGCACCGACATAGGCGCCCATGGAGTGAGCATTTGAGCATCGAAAGGCCGTATTGAGAAGGCCTCAATACGGAAGATTCCTTCTTCGTGAGGCCAAGCACGTACTAGTCCGTTGGTGATATTGTAGGATTATGTAGTCGTCCGCAGCCGGGACGGGTCTGGTCTTAGCTGGGGCGTACGAGCGATGCAAGGCGATGCCGCGCTTCGAAGAATATTATAGCGAAATGTTGGACATCCGACTTGAGAGTCCATAGCCCGCACATGTGGTGTGGGACAAGTTTTGGGGATACGTTGCAGGAGCGACAATATGATGAGGTTAGGGTTAGGTACACCGAAAGAGCAATTAAAACGAGACCAGCCACCAAGCAGGAGCTGCGTGCAGCGGCAAGGCCGCGATGAGTAGCCCTCTTTTCCACCCAGCGCAGAAATAGAAGCGCGTTGAGAATATGGTAACCAAATAAAATGGACTATATCCCACAAAAGACCGACACAGCGCTCGATCTAACTTCTAAGCCATCGAAAGAGAGTGGCGACATCTCTGAATCTTTACTCCACACTCCAGCCCTGCCAGGGATCCAGACGGGTGGTCCGTGCCCCATCTGTGCATATGTGACAAGACACGTGAGCCACGGTCAACGCGATCGCCTGTCACTCTGACCTCTCACGGACAGTGACTCTGTCCTACACCAGATCTGAAGGCTCCAACGGCTGGACATAGCTTTTCTCGACTCTCTATTGAACATCCGGATTGAATAGATCTGCGTTGCTCGATCGACGGCCACTCAGAAACTTGGAAATGTCCCGCTGCATTTCCACCGAGACTTCACACCATCTCTCCGTTGACGGCACTTTCGATGCACTCTGACGGTCCCACCGTCTCTAGGAAGTGTCGAAATACGGCTTAGAAAGGGATGGATGAAAGAACAGGGGAAGACTCATCCGCGTCCGTCCCGCGTCGGCCCCTTACTCTCGCACCCGCGGCGGATTCGTTCTTTGGCTCTCACTACCCGCCTCAAACATGGCTGCGCCTGATTCACTTCTCAGTATGATTAAGTGAAACGCATCAGGGAGATGGTTGAGCTGCACTGACTGCTCGTCTCCAGTTTCATGGGACTGGGACTGAGCATAGCAGCTTCGGTGATGACACTGCCGCTGCTGTGTGCGCTCTGCTACCTATTCTGGCACCTCGGGTGTACAGATTGCACATGAATCGAGTCAGCCTGAGGCTTTTGTCTTATGCATTGATAGCGTAGCGAGTCTCCTCAGGCTCATGGTTGGCATCAGATTGACGGACTGAGAACAGTTTAGTATGTGGCGTCACAATGTGTGTCTCATCCAGCATCACTCGACCTGGTCCTTTCTGCACTTTATCCGCGTTCTTGATGATCGTAAGCAACCGAGGCCTGCGGGAATCGCTTAGGCTGACGTTGAATCAACGACACAGGCTGGCTTGCTCTTTTCATGCAACATGCTCTACTGCATGGCTCTCAATCTGCAGTACGTCGTCCCGCACGCGCTGTTCTAATCGTGAAGCTGATTGTCTTTAAGCTTGTTCTGGTACACCATCTGAAAGGGCACATGTTGGAAAAGTACTACGTCCTCGGTTCCCTCATGCTATGCGCCATCTGCACCGTGACCCCACTCGCTGCAGGCCGATTCGGGTGAGTTCTGTTGCCGATTGAGTCTGAACGTAACAAACGCTGCTGCCTTCAGTTGGTACGAATAGAACGCCACTTGCTGGTTTCGCTCATCGGGCGAGTCGGTGCTCCATTGGCTGATTGGCACCCAATCATTCTGGGTTCTCTTGATGTCTGCGGGCGAGATCGCTGTGTTCTGTGTAATTCTGAGTTATCTGATCTCTTATGAGGTGAGTGCTCAGCTAACATTTTCGCCTTCATTAATATGGAGACATGCTCCAGCTCATCACGAGGCGGGTGCGCGTGAGATAAGCCGACGATGACATGTCCGTGGCTGAGTCTGTTCGCCCCAAATCGCCTATCTCGATGTATCGCCAGTTGATTTTCCGGATCGGTAGGTATCTCAGCTGCCTCGCTGCGCGTCGTTGACGTCTGCCACAGCGCTGTACCCGCTAGCCTCTTGTCTGATGAACTTTTCGACGGTCATAATGGATCTCGTCATCGCCAGTCGGGGCCCCAACCAAGTTTGTGCTTCTCTTTCCAATGACTGGAGCGATGAATGACTCGCTGTTCAGAGTTGGCGACTCAGTATGGCCGACCTGGTGGTGTTTGGTTGTCGGATATTCATCTACGCAATCCTCTCCGCAACCGACCCGGGATGCCTGGCACGAGTCGCGCCGTCCCTGATTTGAGCTGACCTCTCCTCAGTCGTTCATCCGCTCGACTCTGGCACTGCGCCGCCCGAACAAGACGTGGTCCGTCCAACAAGGTGTCGCGTTCGAGATGGCCAATCCTGTGAGTGTCGCTCTCTTGTGTGCCTGATTCGGAGCACGAGCTCCAAAGCATGACATTTGCGGACAACCCCTTGTTTGGCCAAGACAAGTCAACATCGGACTCTACACAGTCCGATTTGAGGAAACTGTCATGTCAGTTTTAGTCGCTGTGTCTCGTTTTGGATTCGTAATGTACCTTCTGCATCTCGGTTATGGGAGCGAGAGTTGTGTATGTGCGTGTAAGGATGTGTGTGCTAGATTGAGAGATAAGATGAGATAGAGTAGATTGACTTGGTGATGGCACTAGCTGCTGACAAAATGTCAGCCGACCCTGCATTCTGCTGTGCAGTGCTCAGTCAAAAGTGTGAGAAGCCGATGCCAACTCGAACGATGATCAGTACTGGGCTCCGCACATGGTGTTACGATTGACGAATTCGCTGTAAGATCTAGTCACCTGACTTGACTGTTGGCAGGGCTGCTGGCCAAAAAATGGTTCCGACTTGACTCCCATGTGACAGACCCTATGCCCCTTGGCTTACCCTGGACTAGGTCTCAGTTTGTATCACAGCTACAGCTGATGTGGGACTGCCGTCTCGAACGATGACTCAGCATAGAGCATCGGCCAACGTAGTGCCCCACCTGTGCTGAGCTGCACCTCAGCACGGCGCTGCAGCAACTGTCCCTAACAGGGAAAGGCCTCGGAGATCCGTGTGTGTGTAGGTGTGTCTCTCGAGTCGGCAGGATCAACGACAGGCCCCTCGACTTGTTACCTGCCTGTTCCGCCACTGTATACGATGTTTCATTCCGTCTCACCTACCCCTCAGAATGCAGCTATAGGCCACACATTCTGTCTCGCACTCTGCTTCTACCCGACAACTCAACATGCCCTCGTTCGGAACCGTCGAGTAAGTCCATCCATGCCTTGCCGACGGCGGGAACGGGCTCGCTGTCCGATGCTGAACCGCCGCCGCAGCTACTTGGTCCTCGGATTGACGATCCCCGGCACGGTCTTCGCCTTTCTCGTGCTCTGTGCGTTTGCATATGTGGCGTGGAACCCGATATCGAGGGTGCACATGAACCGAGTCAGTCTGCGACTGCTCGTGTATGCGCTTGTAGCCACGTACGCGCTCCGACGCCCCGCGCCCCGCTGCGCCCCCACTCACCGAACCATTTCAGTTGTATATTTGGAGCAGCCTACTGCATGGGGACGGAATTTGGCCGTCACCCGAGTCCGCAGTGCGATTTTTCGGTATTCTTGATGAACGTGAGTGTCATCGGAGGTAGTCTTCTGGTGACTGGGATGTTGACCACAGAGGAGGGCAGATTAGCTTGCTGTTCTCGTGCAACATGTTCTTTTGCATGGCGCTCAATCTCCAGTGCGTGCTCCCAGCGGCATTTGCTACAGCGGCTCACCCACATCAGATTGGTTCTCGTGCATCACGTACAGTGGAAGAACCTAGAATTGTGCTACATGATCGGGTCGTTTTTGCTGTGCGCGGCGTGCACTATCCCGCCTTATGCCGCTGAACAATTCGGGTGAGTGGGGCGTTCCCAGATCGGCTTGACCGCGACGGCTTATGTTCTGCTGTTCCCAGTTGGTCAGAAGCGATGCAGTCGTGCTGGTATCGGACCTCGTCCGATGCGACTATGCTCCGCTGGGTCATCGGCACCCAATCCTTCTGGACGCTCTTCATGGTGACGGGCGAACTGATCGTGTTCTTCGTGATCATGGGCTATCTGATATCCTACGCGGTCAGTCCGGCCGGGGCGTCCCTCATGTCATCATCATCCCTGACACCCGAACAGCTGACCATCCGCCGCTACCGGCGCAAACCCACCGGGGCGAACTCCCTTGACGGCATCATTCCCGAGCCCAAGTCGCCCATCGTAAAGTACCGCAACCTCATCATCCGAATAGGCAGGTTCTGTCACCGCGCGGCACCGAGCCCCCGACTAACGCATGCGCGCAGGACTGTACCCACTCGCGTCGTGCCTGATGAACCTGTCCACGGTCGCGTTGGACCTCATCGTTGCAAAGAGCACTGCAGGCGAACATCCAGTGCGTAGGCTTCAGGACCTCACGCTCGGAAGATGGGACTGACGACGACCGGTGGCTTTCCAGGCACAGCTGCTGGAGATGGTCGACCTCGTGCTCTACGCCTGTCGGCCCTTGATCTACAGCTTGATCGCAGCGACGGACCCGGTGCGCCTCCTCCAGCCACCCATAATCGTGACTGACCTAGCCATTGAAACAGTCGTTCCTTCGCGCCGTCTCGGCGCTGCGGCGGGCAGGAAGGGAATTGTCTGTCGAGCAAGCGCAGAACATCACCTTCCAAGCGCACAGCCCGCCAGGCGCATCTATCTCATCGTCGTCCTCGACGATGCCCGAGCTCAGCACGCAGGACGACCTGCGCTCGAAGGAGATTTTGGAGATCTCGTTGCCGGGCACGAGACAGAGCAGCAGTGCTGCTACAGACGACGAGGACAAGGATATCCCTGCACATTTATGACGGCGGACTCTGTGTGCGTATGGGATTATGTTACTAGCAGTATAAGTTCATTGCGACTTGTGGTACGCCTATAAGATTATGTATAAGATATGACCTGTACTATTATCGGATCATTCTACCCTCCAACTGTGCTAAAGCAGAGAGGGGAAGGGTAGAAACCGTTTATCGGATCCGGATCGCCTCCTCCCCGGCTTTCACTGCACTAGAGCAAAGCAGCGCTTCCGGAGCTTACCGGCATCGATATGTACAGTACATGATCAGAGAGCGATACATGGAGAGCAAATCACGACACCGAGTGAGCGAACTCACCGTACCGAAAGACACTCTGATATTAGGTGGGCCGGGAGTGCAGTGTCAACCAGGCCATGATTCAGCCAGAGTGGTGTGTCTGCATCCATCTTGGCCTGAAAGACGCGCTGTAGCCAGCAGAAGAGGCTCCCACAGGGTGATCCGCCAATCGATGTAGATGCCAAGCGTCTCAGATGTATTCGGCCATTGAGGGTGCCATCGAAACTCTCGACCAGGTCTGGACAAATCGCAAGTCCAGGAAGCGTGCTAACGGGCATGCAGCAATGTCACCGTCGTCTTTGAATGCATCGGCGTGTTCTGCGTCGTATGTCCTTTCGAGAGATGATCACGCTCCGTGCGTTTTGGACCATCATCGTTCTTACCAAAACATCCAGTGTGAGAATCATCCACTTCTGACAACAATCGAAGCTCCAGCAATAACTCGTAACATTCCATAGATTCTTCTCTACCCGTACGTAGATTCCTTGTCGTAAGATCTTCTCCTCTAGATGTAGATGGGAAGTGTGGGGTTGAGGCCAACCCAGTCCGGACCCTCCACGAACTCTTTCTCGTCAATTAAGAAGTCCTATAAGCCTATTAGCAGATTCGCCAAGATACCTCGAGGGTCACTGACGGTAGGACACTCGACCAAAGCACCCCGGACGGTTGCAAGCTGCTTCTTGACCCGTTCGAGCGGGATCCCGGGCACGACGTGCCCGGTCTTAACCTTGGGCACGTAATTCTGCGACGGCGTCAGCTGGATGTCCCCGGAACCGAATAGCACGACACGCACATCATAAGCCTTCCAGTCCCGCACGAGATTCGAGGGGACAGGGCGGAAGATTTCGGTGAACACTTCCCGGTTCTTCCGGGCAGTACTGTTCCAGAGATCGACGAATTCATCCGCAAGCGGATCAGCGACGAGCGCATCTTCCTCGTCTTGAGTCTCATCCGGGTTCGGATGGGGTGCAGGGTGCATGAAATCGTCGACGTCGGCGTGTTTGTGCACATTCTGGGGGGGAATCAGGCCTAGGTGCTCTGCGAAGAAGGATTAGGACTGGCGAAAGGGAGAGCCAGCGAAATGAGAAAAGGCGCACCTCGGAAGAGCTTGCGACGCAAAGTGGCGGCGAAGCGAGCCACTTGGTACGGACGACCTTCCATCGTCGAATCGATCATATCTGTGTCTTCGACAACCATCGCAATCTCGGAATCACCGTCACCCTATAATACAAATCAGCCCGCTTGCAACCCAGATCGGAATTCACACACCTTCTGGCTACGGTCGTTCAGGTTGGCGGAGCCCATCTGGGATTCGAGTGAGCACGGTCATCCTTCATCGTAGAAAAGAGGCGCATACGATGACACGACGATCGTCCACAACCATCAGCTTGGTGTGGATGTACAGGAGTTCGGAAACATAGCTGCGTGGAGATCAGTCAGGCAAGAATCTAGTAGCCTCGCAGCACGGCTCACGAATCCAACTCCTCTTGCTCAGTCCCAAGCCACTTTTCGTCCAACAGGCTGGTCCGGTCGTGAAGCATGTGCTGCACAACATTATCGGACACGTCTTCGTCCCCGCGGATGTTGCGAGCGGCATCCTCGAATCGCTCAATGACGCCCTTGGCCTCTTCAGCAGATTCGGGGATCGGGACAGTGAAGGTTTTGACAGATTCCTCTTTCGAGAGGACGACTCCTTCCTGCGTGGGAAGGGGCACGGTCACGGTCACCTTCTTCAGCCCGTCCGGATCGTTGCCGACCCACTGACGGGCCAACGCGACCTGCGCCTCGTGGTACTTGACTCCGCTGTCTTCCTCCGCCTTAGCGATGTAGCTTTGCAGCGGGGCGTTGATGCGATCGTAAGCGCGGAGATGGTAGAAGCGGATGTAGTCGGTCCTGCACTGCGCTTAGAGTGGCATCCCCCAGACAGCGATCATACACACGGTTCAAAGCCGGCCTTGCGGATCTCCTCGTAGATGCTGTGTCCTCCGCGGTTGATCGTGCGATACTGAGCGGCCATGATCGTCTTCAAGGAGGTATCATCTTTGACTTGGCCAGCAAACGCTGGCAGCTCCGGGAAGACGACGAAGACCTGAGCGGGTTCAGAGAATGAGAGACGAAGATAGTTGCGCACGAACCAGGAACTTGCGGTCTTCGCGAGCAGCTCGCACGATACGCTCGACCAGAGCGCCAGCGATCTGGTTCTTGACGACGTCGTCCTTGTTAGTGGACGAAATACTGAGCGAGGTGAGATTGACATAGAGCAGTATGTCTTCTCCACGTACAAGAACTGGTTCTCTGTCTCAGCAAATCAGTTACGTGCATGCGTGATGATGGTTGTGCTCTGACCAATATAGATAAAATGCTCCGCCTCCCGGATGAGTTGGCAATCTGGGAACAGGCGATCAGTTGCTGTGCGGGCGCCGTCGGCCATGTGCACTCACAAGCATTTTGAATGCTGTGCTCAGTCAAAACTCCATGGGACCAATCGCTGACGCTGCGGACTACCTGGACGTTCATTCCAGGGGTCTTGCGTGGAGGATAGTGCGGGTCTTCCTCATCTTCCGGCAGTCCAAGCCACCGCTGCTTGTACTTGTGTCCCATCCTGTGCCACGCATCTCGATGCGGGTGGCGGACGACAGCCTCGTTCGGGGCGGCTTCGACGTTGTGGGGAAGGGCAAGCCACACGTATTCCTGCTTCTCACGGTACTTGCGCTTCTTGATCTCGTTCCATCGCTCGGTAAAGTGCTGCACGACGTCAAGCACCACGGGGCCGCAGATGGTCATGTGCACATCGTGCCAGGGCATGCGCGCGCTTTCAAGCGATGACAGCGTGTTGCTGACGTAGTCGTAGACGTTCTGGAAGTCCATTACCCGTGCATTGTTATAGTCCTGCCCCGGGAATAGCGTCCTGGAGAAGTCCGTCGGATGCACATCCGCGAGCGGGTGGTTGTGCGTGTCCCAGCGGCCGAAACACAGGTCAAGCCCACCGATGCACGCGTAGTGGTTGTCGACCACCACGACCTTCTCGTGGTGCGACCAGAACTCGACGGTATCTGGTATGTATCAGAGCAACGCCCGCGCCAAGGACAGAAACCGGCACACCCTTGGCGCCGATATGGTCTGGGTGCCGCATACACTTGATGTTGGGGTGCAGAGACTCGAGATAATTCTTGGTGTGGCTGGACGACATGGTCATCGTCTGAGTGACCTCCTTGTAGACGATGGCATGGATCTTGACACCCTCCTCGGCCTTGCGTTTCAACAGGCGATCCAAGCGGTACTGCGGGTATGCGGCGGGCGGGCGGCGGAGATAGATCTCGGGGGTGAGCCACCAGTCCTGGGTGCCTTGTTAAAGAACGGAGAAATGAAACGAGAGGGACGGAAGGGATATACTTGGATGAAGATGACGTCTTTGGCACTGTCCAGCATCTCAGACAGCGCCCACATGTAATCGTGTCCATCAATATGCCTTCAGAAGGAACATCAAGCGATGGCCTGGATCGGGATGAAGGGGTGCGCACCACTTGACAAAGTTCTCTGCACGCTCCGTTGCGAAACTGTCAAAGCGATGTCCAGCATTGATCTCAGCACGAATGGCGTCTTGGCGCTTCTCTTCCGGATCGTCGTGACGACCTAGATAGCACGGACGTTGGTTGAGGGGTACCAGCGACGCTGTACGACGACTCACGATTGGGGTTCAGCATTCCTGGGAGATGGCGATTAGTTTCGGTTGCCAAGGACTCTGGGGCTTGTTGGGCGCTTTCGACGCACCGATAACTTGGTCCCGAGCATGCTCGACGCCCTCTGGCAGTCTTTCAGCGAGCTCTCCTAGTTTCTTCAAGAAGCTCATGTGTAGAGAAAGGGGTACGATGAGGAAACGTTGGCAAGTGACAACTGCTATATATGCGATCACGGAATGATCACCGAGGCAGTGTCTCCCGCGGTCGGAGATTCGGGAAACAAGTCGTTCATTTGGCACTTGAAATATCGGTACTTTGATTCCGCCGACTGCACTTCGATAATCTAGGCTGGTTCAAGGACTTCAGTGAATAATAGTTCTGCTTGATCCCACAAACTTGAGACTGAAAGTTACAAACTTGCTGCGGTGGAGCATTTGGATCTTAGACCCATCATGTCAACCGATTCCCGCGTGGCAATCGCATCCATATTTACCTCAAATGTGGTCCATGTCTTCATCTGAAATTTGCGAGGTGCATGGTCCAAGCGAAACGTGACTCACTGACTCTTTTTGAGAGTGTTCGATCATCGATAGAACTGCAATCTCCTCGCTCGCGTCGCTTATCTGATTTGATCTTATCGTCCCTGCACGTGAGAGCACGTGCCATTCAAGAGAAACGCGTGACGTACTAGCTCATTAACTCAGGCACGCTCCACTCGGGCAGCTCTCCGCAATCTCTCTGCATCCTCAAGAATTAATATAGCTCTTTACCGCATACAAAATCATCACGTGTAAAATCTGCCCCATGAGTAATATTTCATGATGGTTGGCAAAGAGACACTGGCCATTCTGAGACAGTCGCCGCGGGCGTGGTTCATTTCGAAACAACCTGATCTTATCTTTGGGGCCAATCAAACTATCCCTTCGAAGTTATAGCTTTCATTACCCTCACGAAGCCTTTTCTTGGAGACCCGACCGACCAGCGGACGAAAAATTTGCAGTCGTCAAAGAAACCAAGTGTGGATGGCTGTGGGTGTTAAGGGTTAGTACTATCTAGGGAAGTCAACTGATGGAATATGCGAGGGCTCAGGGCACGCTCAGGGTGCGACATGCCGCTCGATTTCGGCTTTTTATCAAACACAGCTGATACATGATTACTTGATGCCGCAGGTGATGCCGTTCGGAGCTAGAGCTAACTGCATTATCTTTCTTCCGGACTATGATGTACGTCATCCCAATTTTGCAGCTCCAAGCAAAGCGCGCTCGGCTCGACCCCCTTCGCAAGAATCTTTACACTAACCCATAGACCCGCCCGGATTTTCCATTGTGCGTATACATTTCTCTCTCTCATCCCATCCACTTCCTTCATTTTCTTTCATTTTCAATTCCATTGACGATATTGACCATGTCTTCTGTTCGCAAAGGTAACGTCGCTTTCCGACAATGGCCCACGCATCCAGCTCCAAGCTGCCTCCCACAGGCATCATGACCGGCACCCACAGCGGGGACTCAGCTCCGCGCCATCCCGAGGCCAAGACCCCTCGAAAAGTGCAGTGGCTCGATCACACAATTGGAGACAGCCCAGCAGGATCGACGCATGCATTAGATGAGCAGGGCATCGACGTGCGTTCTCTATCGCACGTTGTTCTTTTGGACCTCGGATCGCCAACTTTTCTCCTAGCCGACCTCGTTTCAAACCTTGACAAGCGCTCTCGAGCGACACAAGTCGCAGGAAGGGCCAGGGCCGCGCACTAATTACTTCTCAGCCCCTCGACGCACTGGAACCGCCGCTCTCTCCATCGATACCGATCAACCGCCCGTGTCCAATGAACACTCCGCGCAGAAATCGACTGCTACCACGCCATCAGAGGGAGCTCCGTCCGGTCCGCCTTCCCCTACGCGAGATATACCCGGCAACTACATTGGCGGATACGAGACTGCCGGTCTGCCCAATTCGACAAACATCGAGGAGACCGCGCATCGTGTCGCTAGCAATGTCGTCCGTTCGCATACTCGGAAAGGCTTCATGGGCGGATTCGGAGAGCGGCGCAGACGGCACAACGCCGAGAAGGCCGCAGCGGCCACTGCTTCAGAGGACAAGACGGTCCCAGACGATATGGAGAAAAGCGCAGCCACGGCTGCACCTATCAACGCTCCCCTCGGCGGCGGTGTTCTTAGTGCTCTGCTGAATCTCTACAACCAGCAGAACGAGTCGATGTCTCTGCCCTCCACTCCTGGTCTCGAGCCACTGAACGAGCTACCGTGGATCACGCCGCCCCAAGTGACCCGAAAGCAGAGTTCCCCCGATTCGCAGACCAGTGTTAGCCCACCGCTATCAAAAAGCGCTACTGCGGCAGACGACAGTATCGGACGTTCACATCATTCTCGTGCCGGGTCAACCGCTTCGCTGTCCAAATTCAGCATTCTGCCACAGAAGCCGAAGTCGAAGTCTGGAGCTCTGGGTGCTTTGATCGCAAGCACAGGCAACATCAGTGGGGCTGCAGCTCCAACTTCCAGCCAGCTCGCTCCTAACATCAAACGCCCCGGATACCATCTCTCACGGCATGTCTTTTCGAAGCTGCCCTTACCCTGGGTTCGGTCTAATTTTAGCGTTACAGGTATTCCTGGGACGAGGATGTACCCAAATATAGCGCGAAAGTGGAGCGCCCCAAGAGCCTACCACCTGCACAATCTAGCACTGCCGAACAGGCGATACCGGCATCCGAACACAGGAACTCCAAGCTGTCAGAGCTAGCTGGCTCGCTCGCCAGCAAACGCGGATGGCAGGAGAAGCTGAAGGACATCGAGCATCTGACGTTCGGTGGGCGGAGCGGCAAGAGCACGCCGGGGCAAACCACACCGTCGACCAGCATGACGGACCGCGACGAGTGGCTGGACGAGAAGGCCGTTCGCGACCAGGAGCAGCACAGGCGGGAAAAGCGTCGGAAGCGCAAAAAGGCCGAGGTCTATGTATGTCCGATATTCACCGCAAGCGCCGCATAGCGACTCACCGTCGATCTCACACAGATCACTCGCCACGTCGCCCAGATCATCCAGCGCCAGGAGTTCATCCTCAAGCTCGCGCGGGCGATGATGATGTTCGGTGGACCCAGCCATCGCCTGCAAGCTCAGATCCAGTCTACAGGTCGCGTGTTGGATATTCAAGTCAACTGCATGTACCTTCCGGACGTCATCCTCATCAGCTTTGACGACAGCAGCACCGGGACGAGCAACCTCAAGTTTATTCGACAGGCCAGCTCTCTGGATCTCGGCAAGCTGCCGGACGCGTATTCTATCTACTGGAAGGTGTGTTCATCTAGCTCAAGCGGGCGAACGCCACTGACGCGCTGTGATTCAGGTTATTCACGACGAAATCTCCGTCTCTGAGGCATCCAGCGAGCTGGACAACTTGATGGTCAAGAGGCAGCTGTACAATTGGTGGCAGCTTGTGCTTACTGGTGGATTCTGTTCCTCTGCCATCTGCACTGTCAGTTTCGGCGGTAGCTTCATCGACGCTCTGATGTCGTTCCCACTTGGTGCATTGCTGGTTGCGATTCAGCTTATCAGTGTCCGCAACGAACTGTACTCCAACATCTTCGAGTATGTCTCACAGCTTCTTGGATCGCTCTAGAGACTGACTCGGGAAAGGATCACCATGGCCACGTTGTTCAGTTTCATCTCGGCCGCGCTCGCTGCGACGCACAAGTTCTGCTACTCTGCCATCGCGTCCAGCTCAGTCGTGCTCATCCTGCCTGGATTCATCGTGCTCTGCGGCTCGCTCGAAATCATGTCGCGAAACATCGTCTCTGGATCCGTGCGGATGTGCTACGCGGTCGTGTATTCGCTCTTCTTGGGCTTTGGACTCGCCATGGGCGCCGAGGCGTACCAGCAGATGACTGGCCACCCCATCATTGGCAGCACCGATTACACTTGCAGCCAGAGTCATGATCCGTCTGGGCCCTGGTACCAGCGCACGCCAAGCGAATTCTGGGGTGCGTGATGTCAGACTGCACTGCTGATGGATGGACACTGATCTAGCCTGGTGCAGCATTCCTGACAGTCCCCATGTACTCTCTCTTCTTGAGCATGCGGAATCAGGCTCCGTGGAATAGCCGACAAATGCTACTCCTGATTGCGATAGCGTCCATCGGCTGGGTCACCGACCACTTCACGTCAACCAAGTTCCCGAATCAGACAGACGTTGGTGCTGCTGTTGGGTACGTCCTCCTCTCGGCCCTGTTTTCTTCGCGTCAAGCTGAATCCATTCCAGCGCCTTTGCGGTTGGCGTCGTTGCCAACGTATACGCCCGGTTCTTCTCCGGCAACGCCTTCGTCATCATGGTGCGTCCCGCTTCTTGTCCTCGCGGGCTCCGCGTCCTCATTTCCACCAGATCACTGGCATCCTCTTCCAACTTCCCTCGGGCCTGGGCAATGGCGGACTGCTCACTTACGCGTCCCAGAAGACCGCTGACACAACGAACTCCTACCTGTCTGGGTTCCAGACCGCCCTGCAGCTCATCTCAGTCGCGATCGGGCTGGCTGTCGGCCTTGGTCTCTCGCTCGTCGTGGTCCATCCGTTCCAGTCGAAACGGCGGGGCGGTGCAGTTTTCAGTCTCTGAGCGGCACGGACCGTAGCATAGCAGAGCAGACCATATGTATACTACTAACCAGCATGTGTTGTAATTGGGAATGTATCCTTGTAGATTTAGATTTAGACTTAGATTTACATCTGGACGTTGGGGGTGCCAGGCAATGGATAAACGGTCTTGCCAATTTGCTGGAGCGGAGATTTCCTTTTGGAGACATGGGGTATTCGGACAAGTGCATGAGAGAGATTACTTCATTGGTGTGGTACGGTTGTGGTGCAGTCGCTTCTACCAACGGCGCTGGATATCTTGTAGAATCTTGCCTGCATCCAGTACAGATCGCATCAACTTCTCGTCCTCCACACCCAGAGCCTCGAGCCCAGACACCTCTTGCGAATCGGGAAAGTAGTCGAAGGATGTGTCGCAGACAGTCCCGTTTTCAGGCAAGATCCCGGCGTAGTAGTTCTGGACGAGCTTGACGGTGCACGGGCTGGGGGTTGCTGTCGAGCAGTGCTGTGGGGCAGGGTGCGCGTTAGATTTGCACAACGTGATGGACCGAATGCGTACCCCTGGTCCGTCTTGCACGATGATGCGGGTTGAGTTGCCCATGAGCGAGTTGATCCGCAGACCGCTCTGTATGGGCGTAATGCTATCGACGATGTAAGATCAGTTGAATGAGCTGCAACAGAGCCCAGGCTGCTTACGGGTCCATCTGCGCAAACGGAACGTCAGTCGGTTGCCCACATGCGCTTGTGCATACAAACACGCACCGTGTTGCTAACAATGAGCAACGGCCACTCGAGCGTCGCATTCCACGGCCCCGCGAACCGCTCCGGCCCGCGCACAGGCCAGTACTGGCACCCGCCGTCGGGCTCGCCGACGAGCACGCTCGCGCCAAAGTGCGGCGACACCTCCATCGCCAGCAGCAGCGCCTTGGCCAGGTCCTCGGGCGTCGGGATGTCGCGCCGCGATGCTGGCGGCGGCGAGTCCATGCAGGTCACGCCGAGGCGCGTCAGGTCGGTGTGCGGCACGCTGTCGGGGCGCTTCGTGACGAGTTTGTTGAAGAGGAGCGTTCCGTTGCCGGCCATGGCTTGGCTGAATGCGAGGGCTGCCTCGGCGTACTGGGGTGGCCGTTCGAGATACATCAGTAACAGGGCTGTGGGCGCGAGATCAGGGGTGAGCGTCGACCGGAGAACAGGGGCGTACATCGAGCAGCGCCGGAGGTGAGATATCCTGGTCGCACACCAAAGGGCACCGGCAGAGGTGTGCCGACTAGCTTGTCCAAAAATGCCTCGATGCGGTCCATAATGTCCTGGTACAACTCGCCCTCGTATTGCGCAAGAGGACACGCCTCGGGGCCGGCCTGTTGCATGCAAGGGTGAGCCTAGAAGGGTTGAGACGCCTCGATCCCACCTTGGAGCACGTCTCGAGGTAGAAGATGTACGTCTTTTCCGCTGAAGCCACCCAGTTGGCAGCCCACAGATGAGACGGCTCGGCTGAAAATTGTCGAATAAGTAAACTTTCCAGGTCAAGTACCGAGAGAACGAACTGGACCAGCTGACAGGGTCAGCGATGCCGTCAATAACGACTTTCCCGGATCGGTGGGGCAACATGTTCACGAGATACGCGCCTAGGATGGAACCGTATGACGCGCCCCAGTAGTTTCTTTAGATGATCGTCAAAACCGACTCCCTGATCGAATGAGACCCGCCAACATCTTTGCGCCTTTCCCGTCAAACAGCTGGGCCATGAGATCCATGTCCCTGACCACGTTCGCCGTGCCCATGTACCGCAGCTCGTCCCCCATGTTCTTTGCGCAGAGCTCCGCCTGCGTCTTCTTGAGCGCGATGAACTCGCGCGACTGTTCCACGAAGGATGCCTCCAACGCCGGATCCGAGCGGTTGGACGAAGACAGTACGTTGTAGCCCTGCTCGAGTACGGTGTTCGAGACGAAGAAATTGTAGTCCTCGGCGCTTTCGAAGCAGGCTACTTGCGGGCTGCGCACAACGTGATATGTGTGAGAAGAGAGGTCTGTGTAGTAAGATACGCACGAAGTCTGGCCGATACCCCGCGGGTCGAAGCCCAACAGATCCCAATCGTGGCCGACGATATCAGCGAACGTCTCACTAGCCAGACGCAGGCCCGAACCGCCGGGGCCGCCTGAGTCATACGTTATTGAGGAATGGGAGTTGGCATAGGACGTATGCGTACCGGGATTCATGAACACTGTGCCTCGTTTAGGGGACTTCGTAGCCCGGTAGCGCGCAATGGCAATAGACGCGGTGCCGGCATCTGGATTGAAATAGTCCTTGGGAACGCTGGACGAAGACTAAGACCGAGACCGAAAGACGCGTCGCGCGTTCGTCAAGGGAATGCACGCACATGACGGAGCCGCAATCCGTGTTCTCGTTGCACTCAGATGCAGGTTTCCAGTGCACGGTGCCGACCTCCTGTGGGTGTTGTGTGGCTTTCTTGCATGGAAAGAATTGGAAGGTAGTTGCGACGGCGAGCGCTGCGAGGACGATCAGCCGGCGAGGCCAGGCGCGACGGGGGGTTGAAGGAGACGCTGGCTCCAAGCCCAATCCACTCCCTTTGGGCTCAGACATGTCTGGGAGACGAAGAAACTGGCTCCGTGCCTGTGCATTCTATGGTTAAGATAGAGCGCTTGCCGCGGCGTGAACCGGCCCGCGGCCATCACAGCACAACCGGTTATGAGCTGATCGTGATCAATGATGGGCTGTCAAGGATGCAGATGCATTGGGTACAAAGCGATCTCAAAGGAGAACAAGGTTCAAGATTATAAGTGATACCAGTCTTCTGAAACCAGCATCCGATGCTGAGCCTACCTCCCGAGCTATTTGAGCATGCAATCGACTTTCTGCACTCCGATCGTCCGGACCTGGGGAATTGTGCGCTCGTGTGTCGTGCCTGGCTTCCGCGAAGCCGGTTTCACCTATTCTCGTCCGTGTGCTTTGACACAGACGACGGCTTCCGCGCAGCGCATCTCAACCACCTGCTCTCCAGCCCGCGCAGCACGATTCCTCTGCACGTCCAGACTCTGGAGCTCCGCGCCCAGCATCTGTTCTTCGTCCGCGATGCCTCCGGCCGGGGGGGCTACCTCGACATCGCGAGCCTCGCGCCCCGCCTCGCTCTCCTGCAGCGCGTCTCGACACTGGTCCTGTTCTTCCAGCTGCCGGCCACCATCATCCATATGTTTCCCCACGTGCAGCAGCTCCACCTGCACCTCGTGACCATCGGGCCCCTGTTCAGCGACATCGCGCGCTGCATGCCCCGCCTGGTCCACATCGAGATGACCAACGTCGTCGGTATTCCGTGCCGCCTGCCCCCGGACCATCCGCAGATGCGCCGCAGCCCCACGGTGAAGCTGCGGGTCCTGCGCCTCGACACGCCGTCGCTCGTGTTCCTCGACTGGATCGCGCTCTTCTCGCAGTCGTCCAAGCGCATATCGATCCCTCAGTTCTACCCGTCTGAGATGCAGTACCTGGTGCGCTACCTGGAGAAGTTGGACGACGCGCCTGAGTCGCTGGATCTGGTGATTCCGCTGGCGGCGAGCATGGACGACTACGCATGGGCCGATCTCGCGTATGTTCTGGGTCCTCGCTGGGACACGCGGTTGTCGTTAAAATTCATGGCTATCCGGGAGGATATTGGGAGGGCCGAGCAGTTCCTCCGTAGATCGCTTGCTGGGCTCGATTGTGCACAGAATCTGACCATCACATACAGCCAAGAGTAACAGCAGGTAAGATCTCTTCGTATGCTCTACGTTTTTCTCACCACTTTCTAGTGAAAACCGCCTCTTATACCTCTACAACTATACACGTGAAGATACCCTTGTGACATGTTCGGTTTTTCCAGGCATTTCCGCACTGTTTGCAGTTATCAAGACGCAAAGATTTCACTCGATGGTCCGACTGAGACAGAAACTTTTTTGACACTCTTCGATAGCGAATCGCGCTACACGGTCTTCCAACTAAGACCTGCGGATCTCGGCAGCAAACCGTTTGCCTAATTTTTTTACATTTGCAACGCATCGAGCAGTTTGACTCTGATTTCCATGCATCTGATCAATCAGCTTTTGTCTCCCGGTTTGTTCCACCCCATCATCCCCGATACCCTCAAGGTTCTCGCGACAGACATTGTATTAGCATGGAGCTCACTGATCCATGTGCCGTATCCTAATTTCCTTCCACCTCTTTATGAGGCTCTCATATATCAGCATTTGATCTTCTCAACCTTGAATTTCTTCTCGGAAACACACCTTTTTTAGTTCCTGCCGAACGTCTTTGTGTGTCCCTGCTTGATAGGGTTCAACTGATCGCATCAACGTCGACCTTCCGTCTCAGATTTCTCAGTTGCAGCAGCTCCACCCATGATCCACCGTTTTTAGGCGTTATTTTGTCCACAATCTGGGAAACCGATTTAGACGGCGGGGCTGTGACACGAACATTCCGGAAGCCATTAGATCACTGCTGATAGTGAATCATGGCAGGCCATCAAATTTATGCGAATCCTCGCAATTTGCGCCGTATTTTACCTTACGCGAGTCAGCTCCGCACGAAGCATCTAAACTCCCTCTCCCCACCTCCTCCCTCATGTCTGTGCACACCTTCCAGCCCCCGCGGCTCGCCGTGCAGCTCTCGCTCGGGCACAAATTCCAGCACTGGTTCCTGCTCTTCTCGCACGATTACCGCACCGCCGACAGCCGCGAGGTGGCGCGCCTCAGCGCGCCGCACCCCCCGCCGCCCGGCGCAAAATCACCGGGCTCGCGCCCGCTGCGCCCACGCTTCTGGTTCGATCCGCACGCCGCGTCCGGGTGGGAGCGCGACGGGGAGTCGCTGCTGGACGTCCTCCTGTCGCTGGATCTGCGCGAGCCGCCGATCCTCGCGGTGGTGGAGGAGCAGACGGGGATGCGGAGCGTCGAGGTGCTGGTCCCGGAGGAGCGGCTGTGCCGATTCTGTGAGGGCTGCGAGCGGTGGGAGGTGCTTCACTCGGCGGAGTGGAGGTGGTTTCGTGTGCGCGACGGTCCTCTGCCGAGCTACCTGTGCCCGTCCGTACGTGTTTCGGGGGAGTGCTGCACCTTGCATTTTTGTCTCTGACACTCTCTTATAGTGCCACCGAAAGGACTGGATTGGGGCCCGTGCGCAGAGGTGCTGGAGGCGCATATGGGATTCGATCGCCTAATCATGTCACAGTCTAACGCGTCACGCCCATCTAATACGAGTCTACGACCCGTGCGCGGGTCCATCACGTTCGTTTTACAGTACCTATAATAACCACACGTATTAGATATCACTACATGGCATGTATAGCCACAACTAATCAAACAACCAGGCGCAAAGGAACGCGAGCTCCGAGCGCTCATCCTAGCCCCTTGTGTGTTTTCTGCGGGAGTAATGGAGTGAGCCCGGGACTATCGAGGACGCGAAACCGAAAGCGCGGAGTATTTTGAGACAAATTCACATCACATCGAGGTCTTTCAGATGATTCCGGATAATCTGCTCCTGCACTGCACCCCGATGGTTAGCGATCAGCCCTGCGCTGCTCATGAAAGAGGTCGGTCATACCTTCTGCTAGGATTGAGCTCATCGATTTTGTATCCTGGCGCCAGCCAAATCAATAAACTTGTAACAAATGGACAAGCGGACCTACGATAGCCTCCGTTTCGTAGAATATGAACGGTCTCGGCCTAGGTGAGTACTTTCGCTGCAGGGGCTGAATGAGATGCGCACACGACGGCGCTCAATCGCTCACGTAATATGCCGAGAATTTGTCTCTAAAGTCTATGTGTCCAGTTAGAACTCCGTTCACCTGACAGAGTGGGCACTCGCATTTGGTAACCCCGGGGACAGTATTAGGCCGATCGCCGAAACTCGGCACGTATTTTGCGACTGAGATACCAGTGTCGAGCTGGGCTTGTAGGATATCTTTCTGTTCGATCGTCAGAGATCACCATAGCGGACCGGACGAGGACATTACTTTGTTGAAGAGAAGGATGAAGGCCGTCTTGGATAATAGAGGATTTGCGATTATCTCCCGCCAAAGCTCGAGGGAATCTTGCTGGGAGGAAATATCAAACAAACACGGTCAAGGACGCCGAGCGAGCCATCGCACTGACCACTCTATTGACCTTCGTGTCTTCGTCGAGGTACTGCCAGAATGCCAGCGGCGCAAGAAACAGAATGGCTTGAACTAATTTGCACCTTGATCAGCACGAGCGGTAAATCCGGTGGAAGATTACCCGCCGTCATCGAAATACGGCACCTGCAATCCGTCAGTCTACACATGAAAAGGAGCATATGGACTGCGCGTCACCCAGGTAGCCCGCTTGCGAAGTCCGGCAATAAATCAAAACCTCGGAATAATAAGGGGATCGGAGCACGCGTCACCTGGCTGCTGCTCCCGCAGACGTCCGTAATAAAGAACTCAGTCCCGGCTCTGAAACCTGCCACGAAAAAATGGGGTTGGTTGACGCAGCATTGCAGATGATACGGATCACGGACCGGACTCGGTCACGAAGCGATGCTCCTCGACGCCCAGCGTTTTGATTCTGGCTCGGACGATGTCACCTGTATGGGATGCGTTGAGCACATGTCCTTCCGCAGAAAATCCGGAAATCGGGGGGCGAAAGCAACGCACGGTCGGTGGGCACATACGCGAGACTCGTGATCCGCGCGGCGTCGTCCATGAAGCTGTGCGGGGTCGTCAGCGAGCGGCGAGAGCAGACTGCGCAAAACGGACAATCCGGCTCTTCTTCCAACGCCACCGCATGAGATTTGAGGATCTCTCGGACAGACACATCGGCCCACAGCGCCGAGATCTCCTGCGAGCACGCAGCCAGCAGGTGCGTCACTTCGTCGGGTCGGCCCCCGTGGGCGACGTCGGGGCCGGTGGGCGAACGGGGCGCGCCGAAGCCCGCGCCGAGCTTCTCCTTC